GCGAATGGACAAGAGGAGAAACCGGCACCTGTCAGTGAAGAGCTCGCAGCTGATCTATATGACAACAAGCGCGACTCGCGGAGGATGTCAACTGGAAGCAGGACCCAACGGAACAGCAGCAACGGACTCCGACGAAACACTTCCACCTTCTCTCAGGAGTCACACGCCAACCAGCGTTCCATAACGCATTCGCCTTCTATTGCATCTCCCGGTATTCTCTCCCGGTCTAATTCCAACATAAGACAAGACACTCTTTCGCCTTTGCCCAGCAATACGCTGTTGAGCAAGCGCGAGAGTTTAATCAAGAACCGGGCATCAGCACTATCCCCCCAAACCTCATCGACAAATCTCCTGGCACAACATGAAGAAGAAGAGATGACACTGGCACAACGCCGTCAATTGCTCCAGCAGCAGCAACTGTTGTCGCCCACTCTCTCACATCAAACATCATTGAGGTCGCCAGGAAGAACACCACCATCGGCTTCGCAGAAGTGGCAGCAGAAGCCCTGGGCCACCAAGGGTGCTCCAGCAGGGTTCGACTCGCATCAGCCCAAACGCGCGAACAGCAGCGCTCAATCGGAGCAGAAGCGTGAACAACTCTACGCAGGCTGGCGCGATACTATGCGCGACATCCAACCGCCACAGACAGCGGCCCACATTGCAGAACAACAGCGCGCAGCGTTGATCATGGACAGGAGACAGAAGGAGATGGAGAAGCAACAGCGCGAGCTGATGCAGCAGCAGCGTGCTAGCCAGATGGACAGCATGATGCGCAGCGGGCAGATGATGGATGCACACCGAGAGGCGATGAGGAAGATGCAGGCGAATGCCAACCGACACACCTAACTGTGAATATTTCCTTGGAGTTGAATGCGCGAGAGTTTGGAGCCGGCGGGCCCGTACGACGTTATTTTTCGGTAAACGTAGTAGGTTTTTCTCTTATTATTTTGTAAAGCCTTTGAGCATTGCGACTAGGCCATGTCATCATGATGGACAGGGATGGACATGAGGGACGCGTTATTTTGACGTACATATACCATTGATATACCATTTGCATGAGGGAGGATTTTGTCTTTAAATACAAGCAAGCGGCACAACTTGCGGCGCTATACCAATATCATAACCATAACATATGAACAAGCATGTCGGCAGCAATGTGTGGTGATGGGTGTGTGCTCTATTGATCGTCGAAAGTAGGCGACGAGTTATATCTGGGATGACGAAGTCACGGGCGTTTGGACTACGACGATGCTTGGAGTCGTGTCAAAGTGAGGCTGGAGGATTGATTAGATATGAGCTGTGCCGCAGCCACCTGTGTCGCGTCACGTCTCGAGGTAAGCACAACAGGCAGACTTGGTATGGTGGCAGCCACTGCACAGACAGGTGCTGACATCATTCGTGGGTTATCATCGGAACAAAGTGTGAAAAGGGGGCAAGTGTGATTGACAGGCAATGGAGCTAACATGGCACACGGACGAACCTGTCTAGATGAAAGCAAGTGCGCGATCCGGCGACACGGATCCGGGAAGAGCTGACGGCGCGGCGGTGGGATGTGGCTTGTGTGGTGGGTGATTGCAGGGCTTATTCGCTACTCATGGGCAAGAGATGGTGAGGTGTTGTCATGTGTGTAGTGAGATGGACAGGGTAGGCATTGATGGGATCGACGGGGGTCCTGATTAGGACGAGCATAAAGTGTGAGATGGTTACATATACATGGACGATGACGATGGTCGCTGGGCCGTGTTTGAGGCCGGCAGACACTGGGACCGAGGTAGTGCTAGTGAATATGGAATACTGTGGGCGGGCTGAGAATAACTTTGGCTCTAGACATTTTGTGTGCGTCGTCACGGGCAGCGACAGCGGACGACGGTTGGCAACGGCTGGCCGGCTGGCCGGCTGGGTGTGGCCGCGACGTATTCCAACGTCTGGTGGGTGGTGGTGGTGGTGGTGGTGGTGGTGGTGGTGGTAGTTTTGATTGCAGCCATGGATCAGTTTGGCAGGCAATGCCGGGCAAGGTGGGTTAGGCGGTCGTCAGTGTGATGTGATATAACATGTAGGACTGCTTGTTCGGTTCGGTCGCTGCAGGGCTTAATGCAGGCACCTCTGTCGGAAGGGCCTCAGCTGCAGGGGTTACCGTTATTCGGCAGGGCAGTCCTCAGGGCAGCACAAGCCACGGTCCAGCACTGCACTCGAGGTGCCCAAGTCCAAGTATGGCCGGACGAGGCGGAGGGGGATCTCGTGGCAGGCCTGCTCGTGTCCATGTGTCGTGCGCGTGTTTTGTACAAGAAGAAGCAAGCACCCGGCTTTGCTCCCCTTTCGAAGCGAGTTTTTTTTCCTGATGCGTGTCCAAACTTTATATCCATGGCCCGTCTCTGTCTCTGCTACTACCACTGTGGACATTGCGACATTGTGAGACACTGACACGCGACAAGACCACCACCACCAGTGACTTTTGCTGCCAACGTCACCTGCTGCTCGTCACATACAGCAGCAGCCCTCTCTCTCGCCATCGTCACCACCGACACGCCCTCTCCCGCCATTGCTATCGTCACCCATCCGCCCGCCGCCCGCCCGTGTTGACCGGCCGTCGCTGCAGGCCCGATGCAGTGAGCATGGACCACTTGGGACCCCTAAGGAATTCACCACCAACGCCTTCACCCCGTTCACCGTCACCACGACGACTCCACGCCCGCCCGCCGCTGCTTACCCGCCGCCTTCTGCGTCGCCAGTGCCTGCCCGCTGGTCGCTGACGAACCGCATCTTCAACCTCAATCTGCGCTCGCTGTACCAGGGACCGCCGCGCCTGCCCGCCTCGCGTCTCTGGAACCCCGTCAACTCTTCTCCACGCACCCTCCAGGTCGAGCATCCCGCCCCCGCAGCAGCACACGCAGCACACGCAGCTCCCACCGGCGTCTTGTACCCGCCGCTGCGAACTGCCCCGCGCGAAGAGCACTACCCAAACCTGCCCATTGAGAGGGACGTCGGCGCCAGAGAGGACGGCCGCGACGAGTACCCTCTGCTGTCCCTTCCAGAGCAGCGCCTCAGTCGCCAGAGCCCTGTGCCGAGCTCCCTCGCTGTCCAACGTTCCACGGGCGAGGACAGCATCAGCGGTCGCACCAGCATCGCCCTTCCGCGCCATCGAAGAAGCCAACAGCTATCCCAGCCGCCCACCCCAGGACCTGCCATGGCTTCTGTGCCCGCGCCGCACGTCGACAAGGACATTGAAGCCGGTCGCAACCACCAGCACCCGCAGCAGCAGCAGCAGCCGGGCATGCTGTCGCGCGTCTCCCTCCCCAGCTCCCGACGCACCTCACTAGGCTCCCGACGATCAGGGTCTGCAGGTGACGACGACGCTGACGCCGCGTCCGAGTTTCCGTGGGGTCCCTCGCATCCCTGCTTTCCCCATCCGAACCCGCATGTGCCACTGGATTCCGAGCTGTACAACACGACGCGCATCATCCGCATAAAGCGCGACTGGATGACCAAGGGTGACCTGGCCCCGACATTCGCCAACCTATACCCCGAGATATTGGACCCACTCGTCACTGAAGACGACTTCCGGATACTGATCAAGAAGATCAACGATACCCTAATTGACGCCTTCGATCCCTTCACCTTCCGCGCCTGTCTCGACACCGTCATGGGCATCGCTACTTTCTGGCTGTGGGAAGATGCGGGGTTCACAGGTGTGAAGAAGCAATTAGCAGAGCTGGAGCGCTGGATCCAAGACTGGAACCGGGACATTGGCGCAAAAGAAGCCGTCAAAATCATTCCATTACGGCGGACCGGATATCTAACAGTATGTGCACACGCATATCCCACTTAGAGCTAGACTGACCTATTCCCCCAGCTCGACGTGCAAATACCCGACCCTCATCTCGGTCCCGACACAGGTACGCGACCGCACACGCAAGAAGAAAATCACTCCGACGAAGCGCCACGGCAGCAGCACGACCAGTATTTACCATACCCCATTACACCTACCCTACAGGTTAATTCCCAACCACCCATCATCGAAGCGCAGTCGTAATACACATACACACACATAGCATATGAGGACAGAGAAAACTAGGATAACAGTTTAGGAACGATACCACGGGTTTAGCGGCATCAGCACCGGTCGTTGAGGAGTTTATTGGCCATACATCTGCTTGGGGGCCATTTTGTTGACTCTTCTTTTTCTTTTCTCCCGTGTCACGACATACAGTACACACATCTGCGGCGACGCAAAACACACAAGTCATAATGTTTCTTTTTCCTCGTTCCTCGCCTGTTGGGCTCTTGCTCCTGTTTGTTTTTGCGCGATCGATTTTTTTCCGATTTTCCTTCCGATACCCTGCTGCCGTATTCATTCGCGATACCGTATCGCGACCTTTTGTTTGTGCTGGCCTAGTACCTGATAGACGCCCTGTTGTGGCGTAAGCAAATTTCAACCATTATTAATCATCCTCCCTGCTACTACCATCACACCGTGCCACCCATCGTCTGCTTTTCCCTCAGCAATCCGGCGGCACTTGAAGCGCTACGTCTTCTTGGTGCGGCGAGGCAACTGACTCGACATTCGCCTCAGCCTTGCATTGCCTCGCATTGACACCGTCATTTCCCAACGTTGGTGTTGCCCTTGTTGGAGCTGACTGCATGATCCCGGCGGTACGCGTTTCAGTCATCATGACGTGTTGGTGTAATGACTCGATTTACAAAGTTTATATGTTGATGCCATGACAGGGTAGAGACTCAGGGTTGCCTGAGCTACATCCTGGACACAGAGAGTGGGGAGAGGAAATGTAAGTGGGAAGGACGTGATTTGGTGTATGTGCATGATGAGAAAGTCCTGTGGAAATGGTTACACGTTGGAAGTGAAAAGTGAACGGTTGAATCTGAATCATTGATCGCGATATGGTAGCATATGTCCTTGCAAGTTCAACGCATACGCTGAGCCGTTCTTCCGCTATCCTTGGAGTTCGGTTATGAGACATTATCCAAACCTCTGCTTCGTAATATCATTTGTAGTTGTGGCTGTAGTTGGTAGAGGTGATGGGGGAAGATACTGATCTTCTGCCATCTCTCAAGGGCTCTGAATTGGCGACGACGCGTGGGTTGACGTTGCGGGTTACGACACGACTATCGAGGTAAGCAAGTACTAAGACGAGGCGTTGAAATATAACAAGACGTATTGCGCTTACCGATTCGCAGGTAGAGTGAAACAGGGATGCCAGCCTATTGATCCTCTCTCAACGTCTTCTTGAGACTGCCCATCAACGACCCAATACCACGCCGCGAACTGGGCTTCTTCTTGCATATCTGTCACATGCTTCATCACGCCGTCGTATACTTGTGGACAGAATGACCGCGGGATGAGGCCATTCGTGTCGAGCGATGCAGCGGGTAGCATGTCAGGAACAGCGGCATAGGAGAGTGTGCGCCAAGTCATGTTGAACATTACCTCTGTTGGTGAGAATTTGGATTCCATGGTTCGTCTTGGTGGGAATCCGGATTCCACTCTTGGTGGCCGTTCAACTCGGGTCATGATAGGGAGCGAAGGGTACGGGCTAAAGTAATCATTTGCAGTCGCGGCAGTGATCTCTGTCGAGAGTGTATTGTGAAAGTCTTAGAGTGTCTGTGTAGACGTGCAAGCATATTTGTCGGGGTAAGAAATGGACGCTGGCAGGTGGAGGTGACTTGTGAAATGGAAGAATGGGTGTTGGTTGAACACGAAAGTCAAGGCAACCAGCCTTAGTGACTGTGAAAGCGCAAACGGAGACAATGGTAGAAGACTCTAAGCTCAGTAAAAACCATTGTTTCACATTCCACCTGAATCCACTGTCTTGCCAATACAGTCTACTACGCTTCCTGCACACACTGGAAGCTACGCGATACAAAACTTGAAGACGATCGAATCTTTAACACTCTAGAATGCAATACCAGTTGTCCACCATGTATCTCCGCTATGCCACCGTACCAGTTGCCCACTCCAGCACCACAATCCGTCTCTTGCATCAGGACCGAATCCTAGACCTCGGAACAAGGAAAGAGGAACCGGCTCGAAGAGCCATACACCACCTCGCGCAAAGTCGTCGCAGAGAAGATGAGCCGTGAAGTAGAACCAGACGTGGACATAGAGGAAGGTGAATCCCTGCTTCAGCCAACCAGGTAAATTACGACCTAGTCCAGCAGATTTCGCGGCTTGTGTCAAAGTGACTTCTGCGAAAATACCGAGCGCTTGGAGAAGGAAGAATGCCATTGGTCCTCGAAGTGGTCGGGTGTCTCCAGCACAAGTCCAACTCCCACTACCGTGTACAAAGCCGCTCAGGAAGAAAGCGATGAACAGTTGTAAAGCTTTTGCCGCCGGACTCTTCTTATCCATACCAAAAACCTCAATAAGCTTGCGGCTTGGTTCCTGGAATGCAAACCGAAAAGTTTGGTGCCACCAACTTCCCCACCACCCGGCTAAGCCTTTGTTTAGAACGACGCTGTACGGTGCCCAGGTTTCGGGGTACATCCACGGTTCTGCACGCGCTCCGAGGAGAGAGGGAGAGAGCAAACCAGAGAAGACGAGCGGTCCTAGGGAGAAAATGGTTTGGAGCGCGTATTTGACAGCGAGCATAGACAGGGTCAAATGATATATGTGAATTAGGACCGGACTGTTTGTGAGGATAGAAGGAAGGTATGTCGGTGGTGCTCTGTCGACATAGCCCCAGAAATAAGGATCCCACATCATTGTCGTCTTCAGTGCATCTATGATGAAGTAACCTTTTACAAATGTCCACGCGTTCTTCCTGAGCAACTCTTTCCTGTCTGTATAGAGCTTTACTTGTCCGTCGTGGATCCTGTACGAGTGTTTTGGCACCACGTCACCTGAGTTGGCGTGTAGTTGCTCCTGGATGAACTTGGGAGGCGGTGGGAGAGCAGAAGTTCGCCAGTTCCAGCCCATGCCGCGGAAGTTGCAGAATATATCCAAGACCCAGTCGAGACGCTCGATGAAAGGCCTGAGAGGATAAGGCTGCCATGCGAACTGGCCATGGCGGTCTCTTGGTCCGGCCGAACTATTGACGACATCCTCTTCTGTGACATGTTCCATATCTTCTTTGACATGTTCAGCACTGCTATTCGGTCTGTTCTTCTCTTTTGCTTGGTTTCGATCTGATCCGAAAACGCCTTCCATTCTCTCAATACGCATAAAGTCCGTTTGTGCATCATTGCACACTATGATTGCTCCCACCCACGCCACGCTCCATGCATTGATTAGGCCAATGCCCAAAGCTGGTGCTACGGCCCTCGTCCTTGTGTATAAATTACTGTACGTTGCAAAGCCAGTCATCCACGCAAACGCCAAGTATCGAGATCTCTTGAGCCATGGCCGATTCTGATGAGGGACAAGAAGGTATATAATAACAACAAGCGCACCGATGGTTCCCCAGGGATATAGAAAGGGTTGGTATTCTCCAGATGCGACAGCTTTGTCATACTGAGCGTGGTAGTGATTTATCAAATCGTGATGCGAGTGCGGCCAAGGGTCAGAGGATTTGAACAACATGCTTGCGGTAAGGAACGAAAAACGGCACACTGGTAAGAAACAGACAACAAAGGAAAGAAAGAAAATGTACTAAGCACTTGGAATCACAAAACAAACAAGCGTGGCGCGAAATGCTGATGGCATTCTAGATGACGCACTGCATCTTGCGTGTGCGCTAGGCTAAAAGAGTGATAGCGCTGGACTGCGGGCGCCGCAACACCAAACCTTTACCATCGTGATATCGCTGGACTGCAGCCGCCACGAAGTGCGACACCGTATCCTCACCCCAGTCCCTCTCTAACCGAGCGAAAAGAGTGCGAATAAACCGCCAAGATGGTGAACATCACAGAGAAGATCAAAGAGTGGGATAGCGCCGAAGTTTTGATGTGACCTTGCGCTAACGCCCCGCCAGAATTGAGGATGAGATGAGGAGGACGCAGAGTGAGCCAAAAGTACAGTTAACGTGAACAATCCAAGCTAATTTCTTGCAGAGAATAAGGCTACGGGTATGTCTACGCAAATTGGACTCCATTTTCCAGTGGCAGTAGGGTCATCCAGTATCACGTGCTAACATTGAAGTCAAGAATATCATCTTGGTCTACTGAAAGGGTACCAAACCTGTCCTTATTCACCAGTATATTTGCGCTAATTTGGCCACAGAAAACTTGCTCGTCTTCGCGCACAACTCCTTGAGCCGGCTGCAGGTGCAGGTGGTGGCGGAGGAAGCGGATTCGACGTATCTAAGTCTGGAGATGCACGTATAGCACTTGTTGGCTTTCCTTCTGTAGGAAAGTCTACTTTTCTCTCCAGAGTCACAAAAACAAAGTCAGAAGCCGCATCGTACGCCTTCACTACTCTTACAGCGATTCCTGGTGTGCTGGAATATGGCGGTGCCGAGATTCAAGTTCTGGATCTACCGGGTATCATCGAGGGTGCTGCAGAGGGTAAGGGACGAGGAAGGCAGGTCATTAGTGCAGCGAAAACCAGTGATCTCATTTGCATGATTCTTGATGCAACGAAGAAAGCAGAGCAGAGGCGATTGTTAGAAGCAGAACTGGAAGCTGTGGGTATCCGGCTGAACCGTGAACCACCGTAAGTTCATGTTGATCCGCGGTATTACGTAGCAAGATGTTGACCGACATGCAGAAACATCTATCTCAAACCTAAAAAGGCTGGTGGCATGAAGATCAACTTCCAGGTTCCTCCCAAGCATCTCGATGAGAAGATGGTCTACAACATTCTCAAAGACTACAAGATGCTCAACTGCGAAGTACTTGTCCGAGACGAAAACGCGACGGTTGACGACTTCATCGATGTCATCATGAAGGACCACAGGAAATACATCAAGTGTCTATATGTATACAACAAGATCGACAGCATCGGTCTACCTCATCTGGACGAACTGGCAAGGGAGCCACACACGGTCGTCATGAGCTGTGAGCTCGACCTTGGTATTCAGGACGTTGTGGACAGGTGTTGGGAAGAATTGAGGTTGATCAGGGTGTACACCAAGAGGAAGGGCAATGACCCGGATTTCTCCGAGGCGCTGATTGTACGGCACGGAAGCACGATTGAAGATGTTTGCGACCAGGTGCATCGAACGCTGAAGGAGACGTTCAAGCATGCCTTGGTCTGGGGTGCGAGTGCTAGGCATGTGCCGCAGAAGGTCGGTCTTGGACATGTAGTGGCCGACGAGGATGTTGTCAGCATTGTGGCGAAGTAATGCTGTAGTCGACAGAGAGGAATGACCATCAGCTGTTCACGTCGTACAGAGAGGGCTCTGATTAGACAGGCTAACCGCGCAATCACGGCTTGCAAGCGCGACAGTGGCGTGTTTACCGTGCTGTTGCTATCCGAGATGCTCCGAGCATCGGACGAGAAGATCTGATAAGGGGCCGCCCCTGCACGTCCCCCATAAGGCTGTCAGTCCACTCCGGCCTGAGCGGATGCTTTATATCCGTCGCGCGAGATTGTGATGCGAAGTCACGTGAGAGCCTCTAGTCTTTGGGTCGCGACTGTTGATTGGCACAGAGGCAGCGGACCCTGGCGTGCCTCAAGCTCAGGGACGCTTGTACTCGGCGCGCTGAAAAGTTATTGCCGACAAAGCACTGCGTCCCGTTATTGCTACCTACTTGACCGAGAGCATTCGCCTCGCCACATTCGTTTATATTCCCCTAGATACCCTGCCGCTTTGGCACTGCTCTTTGCATTGCCCTTGTCGCCTTTTTTTCTCAGTGCGACACAGTAATTCGTTTGTGCATTGCATGCGCCTGCTGCTCATCCAAAACACCACGAATCGCAGCCCTCCCGTACCTGAATCCACCAATCGCCGAGGCATCCCCTCACCCCGGCCACAGCAGCCATGGACGTCGTGCTCGAATTGGCAGACACGTTCTTGTTCGACCCTCTATACGCCACTCTCCTTCCCGCCTCTACATGGTCCTTCGCCGGCAATGCGACCGTCTCAAGCATCAGAGAGGAGCCCACCGCTTTCGCCGTGCCACATGCGACTTGGCAGTACGAGCCCTCGACGCAGTTCTTCTCCGTTGAGCCCTCCAAGTATGCCTACATGAGCCAATGGACGCGTGACGACTGGCGACGACAGGCCCTGTCCTTGTACCTCATCACATGGTATGCAGTGCCCCAGACACAATGGCTAAACCTCCTAACAATCCCGTAGGCTCTTTGGCGTACTCGTCTACTACGTCTTCGCAGGCGCCTCGTACTACTTCGTCTTTGACAAGGCCACCTTCAACCACCCACGATACCTCAAAAACCAAATCAAGCAAGAGATGAAACAGGCCAACATCGCCTTCCCCATCATGGCCATCTTCACCGTGCCCTGGTTCTTGCTCGAGGTCCGCGGATACTCTAAGCTGTACGATACCGTAGACCAGGGCCCGGGACTCTGGTACAACTACCTGCAGTTTCCGCTCTTCTTCCTCTTCACCGACTCGGCCATCTACTGGATCCACCGTGGTCTGCACCACCCCCGCGTCTACAAGTACGTCCACAAGCCACACCACAAGTGGATTATGCCGACTCCCTTCGCCTCGCATGCCTTCCACCCCGCCGACGGCTACGCTCAGGGTCTGCCCTACCACATCTTCCCCTTCATATTCCCTCTGTCCAAGTTCGCATACGTCTTCCTCTTCGTCTTCGTCAACATCTGGACGGTCCTGATCCACGACGGCGAGTACGCGCACAACTCTCCTATCATCAACGGCGCCGCCTGCCACACCATGCACCACCTATACTTCAACTACAACTACGGACAGTACACTACCCTCTGGGACCGCCTTGGAGGAAGTTACAGGAAGCCCAACGACGAGCTCTTCCAAAAGGAGCTCAAGATGTGTCAAAGCGAGTGGAACAAGCAGGCCGAAGCCGTCGACAAGATGGTACAACAAGTTGAGGGCGATGAGAATAACCGCACATATGCTTCTGAGACGAAGAAGGTCCGCTAGACGTTCCTTTCGTCTCAAGTACATTGCAAGTGGGAAAAATTGAAACGCTGTTACGAAAAGGTTTTGGGGCAAAGAGTTAAACGCTCATGCGATCGCGGGCCGGTCTTCGTTGGCTGTTTGGATTGAATATTTCTGTGTGTATATATCGTTCTTTGCGCTTGTTGCATCAAGACTTTGAGTATACCGATTTTGCTTTGAGGAGCAGAGCCCTTGTTTGTAATGTAATGGAGCATAGGGAGTTTGAAGAATCGCTTCCTGGAATATTAATAGTAATGTGGCTAGCATGTAGCATTCATCTTTACTCGAACTAGTTGCAAATCGCATCATGATATCAGGCACACAGCTCTATTTGGACAAGTTGGTAAGCTTGACCCCTCATTGTATAGAGCGGGGCCTGACTCGTGTCACTTGGCCTTAGTCTGCGCCCTTTTCAATACATGCATGAATAAAGTCATACGTATAATGTCGAATGTTACAAATTCATTCATCTGTGAAGTAAGAAAAGATCCGTCAACTGTAAAACATTTGACTGCAGTTCGTCTTCGTCAAGTCCTGGCCTTGTAAACTCTGCTATCTAGCACTACCGTCGGTCCTATCCAAAGTAAGTACACAAACAAGTCATCCTGCGAAATTGCAGTACAGCGTGTTCACTATTGGACTGACCCTCTGTGGCAAAGCCAGCCACGCCCCTCTCGCACCCCCAATAGCTACGTACTCTTCCGTCATCATCATCATGGCCACCTCTAAGGAGAACACCCCTCCCGTGATCTCCATAACAACAGTCCACGCCGAAGGCGAGATTGGCGACGTAATAACTTCTGGCATCCCGGACCCTACCCACCTCCCCACCATGTACGCCAAACTATGTCACTTTCGCGACAACGCCGACCATTACCGACAAATGCTCATGCAAGAGCCTCGCGGCCGTGTCTCCCAATGTATGAACATTCTCTTGTCCCCATGCGACCCCTCAGCCGATGCTGGGTTCCTCATCCTGGAAAGCGACGAGTATGCTACTATGAGTGGCAGCAATACCATCTGCGTAACTACCGTGCTGCTCGAAAGTGGCAGGCTAGAGATGAAGGAGCCAGTCACGACAGTCGTGTTAGATACGGCGGCGGGACTGGTGCGCGTGAGAGCTGAATGTGAAGGAGGAAAGTGCAAGACTGTTGAATTTGACAATGTACCTTCCTTCGTCTACGAACTTGGTTACAAAGTCTCTGTACCTGGTTTACAGAATGCCGAAGTGGAAGTGGATATCGTGTGGGGTGGTATGTACTTTGTGCTCGTGGATGCTGGGTCGCTTGACCTGGCTATCGAGCACAAGTATGGTAGGGATTTGGTGGAGTTGGGGCAGAAGATTATGAAGGCGGTTCAGAAGGTTCATACGCCCGTCCATCCGCTCAACGAGGGGATCAAGGGGGTTAGCATTTTGGGGTGGACAGGGCCACTTGTGGAGGAGGGAGATGGAACGAAGAGTGCTATCAATACTGTTGTCGTTTCCCCAGGCCGTTTTGATCGTAGTCCTTGTGGTACGGGGACTTCGGCGAGGATGGCGGTGTTGCACAAGAAGGGGCTGCTGCAGGTTGGGGAGAAATTCGTGCATAAGAGCATAATTGGGACGGAGTTTCAGTGTAGCATACTGGGTACGACGGAGGTTGGAAAGTACGAAGCGATATTACCTAGGGTGAAGGGAAGGGGATGGATTACAGGGTATAGGCAAGTCTTGATGGATAACGGTGATCCTTTTCCGGTCGGGTTTAGAGTTGGAGATGTTTGGGGAATGGATGAGTGTTGAGAGTGAGCGAATAGATAGAGTCTAAGAGTTGAGCAATAGTGTGAAGGGATGGAGGGCTTCAACTTCGATATTCCTGTTGAAAGAGTAAAGGAACAATGGAAGCAACTAGAGCGCCACAGTATCTTCACGAGCGACTTCGATCAACGTTCACGGGAAGGAGAGAAGTGCGATTCATACCGGAGCATATTGATATCACTGTTGTCCTCTCCGACTCTCAACGAAATCCGAAACAGCTCCAAGGTAGTCGATATCACACGGTTCGAAAGTGCTGCAAAGTAACACATAGTTCATACGCTTCCAAGCCTCACTGTTTTAAAATAACCAAGAAATGCTATGAAGGGCTTTGTTGTTTGCGTAGTTTGTAGAGCTTTCCATACTTGATCGTTGGTGGAACCACGGGACGTTACAGGGTTGCGCACAAGTAATATCATTACCGGACGAACGATGCGCTCAAAGAAGAGACCTGCATTACGAAAGTCGCGACTACATACATGTCTATGGGTAAAAGAAAGTCTTCTTGCATTGACAATTTAGCATCTCAGTCCAATTAGAACCGGCTGTCGACATATGTGCTTACAAAAGCTGCACACTAACATATAAGTTCGGCAATTCTGCCATGTTCCAATCAAGTGTCGAAGCTACGTTGAAGCAATCCCGCCCCTTCAAAACGCTGAAAGACAAAATCCAACAGTCTCTCAATCTCAAAAACGAGGGGCATCAGCTTCCTTCCCAAAATTCCAACCCCCTCAACCAACGGGATGCGCACGCTACAGACTTCGCATGTAAAACCAGCGGTGAGAAAACCACCAATTCGCTCTTCGCCTCGATGATAATCCCAAGCGCCCAGCTCGTCAGGGATGTCTTCGCTAGCATGTACCAACGTTGGGACGGGACCGAGGCGAGAGATGGGGCAAAAGCAATTCTCATCCACACCTCCACCCACCAACTTCCTAAATGGGAGTGGATCCCGCCACACCATGAAGCTGCCTTCTCACCGCCGTATGGATCAGCAAACTACGAGGCTAGTTTTAAGTTTGCCAAATGTGCGTTTACATGGGTGCAATTGAAGCTGAACCAAGGCTAGTTTGCCGGCTGACTGGGACATATGTTTTGCATAGGTGGGATGATGTGGCGAAGCGCTGATTACCCACTAGGTTTGCGGGTACCATGGTAATGCGCGACATCTGACAGCTACCAGATACTCGGAGATCGTCTTCTGGGGGAGATCTCGAGAAATTAAACTTGACAGCTGTCTGGTCAGATGATCGAGTAGCAAGTGTGTTACAAGTCAATTGGAGGGTGGACAATCACCCCGGTACCTTTGAGATGCACCTTGAGATGATCTTCCAGTCCTCCAACTTACATCGGCATCACCGATGAGACACGTATCTCGTTTTGATTTACTCTCTTTCACGTATCTTGGTTCAGGGTTGAAGGCAGTCGCATTAGCCAAACCTTAACTACATGCTCAAGGCAAGTATGTGGCGCACGGTCTCGAATTGAACATACATGATTGTGAACGGTGTACCTACTGTAGCTTACTGGAATCAGTTTAGTACTTCGTACGTAGTAGCAGATGGATCAGATACCTTGATACTTGTACATACGTGAAGTGTTCTCGCAAGAGTATGCCTGCCTATTGCATGCATGTACAGGTACATGTAGGGTGTCGTCATTGTTGTGTACACCACAGCCGATCAGCCGTGAAACGGAATTGCTCGCTATTTGCACCAATGATCCCGTCTTTGAGGTTTACCGCAACTTCCAACTAGCAGGAGACAATCCAGGCGCTGGCTGGCTTGCAATGAGCCCAGGCTGCAGCAGATTTCCCCAGCCGTCACTGTGCGCTATACTTCTTTGATCCCATCTTTCTACGGCTGATCTCATTCCTGTAATCCGTGTTTATGCAGTGTTATATGCGAAGTGGTACAGCATCGAACGCTCGTATCGTGAAACTCTCGATGCACCATCGTCGCTGCAGTGTTGTTCATAGCGGGGTGCTCAAATGCGAGATATTCGTGCAAGTACGCCCTCGAATTTACTTCCGGTGCTCGTTATATCCGACAGAAGCTAGTGGCGAAGTGGTATACTACGACTGTCTGTGGAGCTGCATATACGATCAGTGATGTACTAGTCGACGCGATAACGGCCACATGACTGTAAAGAAGGAGAACATTGAACTTCTGCAACATTGAAAATGTTACATGAATTGCTTCTAAAGACTGTCGTGAAAGTGTCGCGGAAGCATCGGAGAACGGAGAGTGGCTACTAACTTCGGACCAAGGAAACGAAGCTGCTCGACCGATGTTAGCCACCGAGCATAGGAGTGTTAACTTCAACCGGGTGCCATTAAGGCAATCTCCAGGCATGGCCCTTGGGTTGATGATGATACACGAGCAGTCTCGGATAGTTCGGTGGTGAAGATAACCTGTAGAGCTTTTGCTCGCCCCGCCTGCGATAACTCCATAGAACTCTTGAAGAAGGCATGGGTTGAACACATTTCTCGGCATTTTCGATATGCCAGCTTACGCGACCCTAACATGACAGTTCTGAAGGTTGACATTGACATTTGGTGGATATTGCCTGACATCCCCTGATCTGCAAGTTCCTTGAAACGGGCCGTAGAGAGCTGGAGACCATAGTGTCACGCGCGTTGGAACAGCCAGCTATTCATCGTCATCAATATTGGACTCACAGCCACCTAAACCCCACGCTTCTAATACTTACGTTCTCGCCAAGGCCGAGCTCGCCTCTTAATTTTCCTATGCTGAGGTAATACAGCTCTGCTTCTAGTACACCAAAGTCCCGTTTCGACTGGCTCCCTGCATCGGCTGCAGGTCTACCTCGAAGTAATATGTCGCCCCGGCTCCCTTTATTCTCTGGAAACTCCCCACCCATATGCAGCAAGGTCTCTCGGGCAGCTGCTGTGAGCATATGCACACGTTTTCATATGCAGACAGGGCGCCCTGGCTCACGATATTCCCATATTTTACTCGTATCCGATCGGTCCATTGGGGATTAATAGCAAGCGTTGTACGACTGCGCTTGTTTTTGCCACATGAAGTCGAGCTTGCAGGGAGGCTGAACTAGGTTTTACGGGAGGCGTATCCTATATGGTAGTATTAGAAATGAACAGGCTCGGGAGTGGTGATGGTGATGGCGGGAAAAGCAAGACATACGAGAACGTCGGCATGCCGAACAGTCGGAATCCACCATCGAACGTGAGGTGAGCGAATGGCCAACTACAATGCAGGGGGAGATGCATATAGACGGACATGCCCGAAACCATAATCTCTGATCGAAAGTATGGAGAGCCGAGGGCCAGGGTTGAAGTGCCCACGAGACTGTGTGACTTTGAAGATGGGAAATGGTTGCAGGATGCATTGACATCTATGGCCTAACTATCCTCGTCTTGTCGTTCAGATGCCGCAGGTTTACGAGCTAAGCCGGTGAGACCGAGCCACTGGATAGAGCAGGCGTACGAATGTATGGCGGTCTCGAAGGGGAAGTGTTCCACCACGTTCGCATATGAACTTCTCATCTCGCCTAAGCACGAGAAATCTGACAGGATACAGGTGGACGTCGTTTGCCTGTCAAAGTGAGACATGCATTAACGATACGAGCAGTACATACCAACACATATGGAGGCGTGATGTCCGAATACATGCGCTATAGGCCCTGTGTCGCCTATTCGTGACGAATCCAAGCCCGCTGGACGGCCGCCCCATATTGCTCCCTGTATCCGCGCTTAAGGTTCGAGTGCTGTGACGAGTATGCAGGAAAAGGTTCCGCCACCATACAAGCCCTGCATTGTTCTGAAAATTCTCCGAAGAGCACCGCAGAACGATATTGCAGGCGGCACTTGCGATTCGATCCAGCATGGAAGGCTGCCCAATTTAGCGAGGTAGTTAATGCCGTGTAACTTTGACGTATGTTTCAGACCAGAGGCTCGCAGCGCGTGAGTGGGGATACATAGTCATGTGTCTGGGAACGGGTACATACATTGCATATGCAATGTTCCGGCAGAGATCTCAGGGGAAAATGGGTGGATGAGATCTGAGTAGTGCTGGGATCGGGATGTATGATGATGAATGTGGTCAGCTCCACGGACGTTGTCATGACTGGGCAGACCTATAGTAGGGGACTTCGTCTCTTCCAAGGCAGTCTCTGCGTGCTGTGAGGAGTGTGCATCTACAGCCCTTCATTAGCCATTCACCTTGTCGTGATCACCAACTTGCAGCGTTCTGGACGCGAATACAGCGGAGTCTCTAACGCCCCCACCGAAGAGTTTTGCAAATCCTCATCAACATTGGAATTTGCATGACCCGCATTCATTCGCGTTCGTGTTCTCTATCCCTCTCTTTCGCTTTTATTTACCCGTAGTACGCACGACTCAGATGCCTGGTCACCGAAACAGGCCAGCTCATCAGCAAGCCCTGGAGACATAAGGTTTTCCATATTCAGTCAGGCCTACATGAACTGACTCGAATTACCCTGTTCAGGTACTCCAGGAACATCAAAAGAGGGCCCCGGCAAGACGATAAGCCGCTTCCGGGAGATTTCAACCGAGCGGTCCAGGGGTTGTGAGCTGAGAACCGGCATTTTGACGAGAGGAACGGGAGTGCTCCTTACAGGGGCTATACGCGATTGTAGTTGGCTAAGACAGCATTGGGCGCTGCTGGCTACCTTTGCGGCTGTCTGCGAACGCGGGTCAACGTCAAAAAACAACCACAGTGTCGTAGCCAGAGAACGAAGACCGTGCGAGTATGAGTTTTTTGTTCCACGTGTCTGGATGCGGACGTTGAGAACGTGGAGGCGAGAGCGTGAAGTTGGAGGTTGGGCTGGAGGGAGCGAGTCGTGCGCTAACAGTGACATAACTGCTGACAAGCACGACCTTGCTCACCAGGAAGGCGTCGACCAACAGTTTGTCCTCCCCACGCTTTGCAGACAAATGCCCAAGTATCTTACCTTGTAAGTCGAGATGCATTGACATGAAACGCTTCCTTCAGCCCAATCGATTCCCTCACGCCATGTTTAATCCATCGTGAGTCGATGCCTCGGTTTCCACGGATGATAAGGCGTGGCACCCCACGGCGGATCCCAACTCCCACTTCCATCCACATCAGCATCGCGCCCCCTATCCATGTGACAGGCCTAAAGCGACTAATTTTTCCTATCGCGAAGCCTCACCAGGGAAAGCCCAAATGTCGCGCAAAGCTGGCGGATGTACGTCATAACATTCTAGAATTCTGGACCTGCGTAGACAAATAGATCGACAGTTAGCAGAATGCAGATCCTACCCAATCAACGGAAATATCCCCACACCCGGGCTCAAGTGTCGAGTGTTGTATAGCCTGACAGCGCGTAGAAGTGAGGCTTTGGACATTCCTAGCATGGTCGCACCGTATTCAACGTCATATTGCAACGCAAGACGGCGATGTTACGTACCTCAATCGTTCGCGGAGATGGCGACGGCATTATTTGGCTTTTTGAACGATGGCAAAGGCGCCTTGGACTCCGGGCATAAGAGCCCAAAGATGGTGCTATTGGCCGCTTAGCGACGCGTCTTACGTCCTCAGAACGCCCGCATGGTGGTAGTTGGGGAACCCGGTCTGCGATCTGGCGGCGGCGGAAGCGCGGGATGTGCATCTCTTTGCCTGCCCAATACTGACCCGCGGAGAAGCTCTGCGCAAGATATGATTCGTTGACAGGATTGCTATCTTCAATGAGGATGCTGCGAGATGGGAAAATTGAGGGTAAGGCAACTGACTGGGTGAATGGGGCCAAAGATAGAATCATGAATCTCACTGCTCAAGTGTTGGGCGGCATGCCTAATAGTAAGTGGTCCACTTTGCGGGCCTGCGGCTTCGTGCAAGCTTGTATAGGTGCTGCACGGCATATAGCGTAGGTAGTTCCACAGCCCACTTACTTGCGCCAGTGCGTAGTTTGTCGGCAATCGGCGGCAGTCAGCCGTAGTTCAGAAACGTCAGTTCCTATCTTGCACTACAGTCATGGACAACCCAGCTAGATCTGGAGATGTGCCTAGACATGTAGCTAATGCAATTACAACACTGTCACTTCAAACTACTGGCCTGCTGGGCGCAAGTCTAAGCGAGTGGGTGTTGCGAGCAGAAAGCTGCGGTGAATGAACTGCGCAGTCGCCTTGCATCTTGCATATTGCAGCGAACCAGTCGCGTACGCTACAGATGTTGAGCACAGTTGAGCGGTGAGTCAGTTTGCACCACACTGCGTTCTGTTGATACTGTAGCGGCGCAAAGACAGAGGACAGTGACTGGATGGATAAATGTTCTTTGCTTCATAATGCTACTCTATTCGTACAGTGATGCGCATCGGGGCGTGGCGCTGTGGTAGATGTTTTTGCAACTGGTTGACAAACAAGCGTACATGGAACAACAATACATGGGACACTAAAAGCCAAACATAATGGGCGTGGACAAGAATGCGTGAGAAGACATTACTAATGCAGCGTAACTATGCGATAACGCCCGTGTGAACAAGATGACAGAAAACAATAAAGAGATTGTACCCTTCGCTGCGCTAGCTTGGGTACTTATCGCCCGTGCCCTGATGCCTACTCGATTTAAGCGCCGATATCCAAGAACTCCCACGGATTGAACCGAAGTCTTCTATAGTGTTGCTCATCTGCTTTCAGCAGTACTCAGTACATCTTCCGTTCAGGAAAGACCATATCGTCGTAGCCATTGCCTTGAGGGTGGTGATACCCGTTGTGCATTGGTGCATTGAAGTCGTATGCGCTGTCTGTTCGTTGTATTGTGATGGTGTCGGAAGACATCGATGAGCAGCGGCTCTCCCGGTCGCTGCTTTGTTGGTGGAAAGAGGTAGAGTAGCCTCGGGCCATGGGAGCCATTGACATAGAGGCGTATGAAGAAGGGTATGAAGAAGCGGATGATGACATGGCGGAGATGCGCCTGTCTTTGCCTCGACCTTTAATACCCTTGTTGGAGTTCTTGTATAGCGATGCGAAGTACTCCCAGAGTTCCTTGTCCTCTTGGGAGACATAGTCGCCTGGGTTGATAGTCGCAAACTTTGTGGTAAGGTACCTGAGAGTAGCGGCATGGAACTTGTTCTGGTGGGACTACAACCAGTCAGTGACAGAATGAGGAGTCTTCTTGAGCGAAACCAACCTTGAGGTTGCCTAGCTGAGTGAACTGCTTGCCACAGTCGTCTAGCTTGCAGCTGAAGGGCTTGATCTGTTGGTGAACAATCTTGTGTGCGCGAACGTTGCCACGTTGGGCGAATGTCTTGCCACAGATGTCGCAGCTGTACGGTCGCTCTCCGGTGTGACGCCTTTCATGTGTCTTGAGGTTGCCGAGCTGCGAGAAGGACTGGCCACATCCAGGTGCTTTGCAAGGAAATGGCTTGTCACCAGTATGGGCGCGTATGTGGATCTCAAGGTGTGTCTTCTGGTAGAAGCTCTTGTTGCAGTTGGGCACAGTGCACTGATAACGCTTCCTAGGCTTCTGGGCATTCTTTGATGCATCGTCCTGCGAAACATTAGAAGGTCGAATTTGAAGTCTCGGAGTGAATGACATACCTTCTGTTCATTCTCTGGAGGCGGGTTTGTCTGCTTCGCCTGAATGGCCTTCATAAGAGTGTCCACATCAGTAGCGAAGTTGGCACCGCTGCCTTCTGTAGGCTCTGAAGTGGATCGCTTCAATTCAGTCCCATAGGACGGATCCGCATACATTTGGTTTGACTGCGCCGGTGATGTACCCTCGGACTTGACGTTTGGGTTGAACACATGTCGGACATCTGGCAGAGTGGGGAGCGCCTGAATATCATGTGATTGAGGGTATGACACGGGATGTGGCATGGTCGATGCGTAGTAGGAAGCTTGCTGCATGTTATATGGGTTTACTGGTACCGATGTGGGAACGTCGTATGCATATGCTCCAGCTTGGTAGGGGACGGAGGTAGGGAGAGTGTTTGCTGAGTAGAGAGGCATGTTGTTCATGTCCATGTGGTTTGAAGTGGGTTGATATTCTCGAGAGACAGGAGCGTTCGAGACATTCCGCGAAGTGTCGTAGGGAGGCATGATGTTGTTGAGATGCATGTTAGGAATGTGCATTGAGGGTTCTCGTCGGTCTTGCCAGAGTCCAATGTTGTGAGATGCAACCACAGTAGCCATGGCAGATGAAGAAGCTGTTGCCACGGTATGGGCAGAAGGGTACAATGGTGGTATACCCTGCAGTTGGTAAGGCGAAGGTAGGAAGCAAGTATGGGCTGGGCCGTGTGCTGTCGGGAACAGGTCTATCAAGACTGCAATAAGAAGATGCGGTGGAGATAGAGGGTCAGATGACGTGGGAGTGTTGTAGATGTGCTCGATCGATCTGGCTGTGGTATGGGGGAGCGTTTGGGGCTTTACATATGAATGGGCCAACTCGATACACTACCACTGTGAGCATCCCGCAAGCAAGGATGGTGTTTGTAGTGGAGCAAGCCGAAGGGACTAGGGTTAGAAGCCAGAGCATGGTTGCAAGACGAACAGGGAATATCGCTCTCGCATGCAGCCAAGTTACTGGGATGGAGGCTTTAGTGGAAGGCTAACCAGCAGAGAATGGTGGATGTACGGGGCACGACAGCCGACTAGGATGCAGTCTGAAGACGGAACCGGGGTACGGTCCCAGGTGTGAACGGACACATGGCTTCGCCGTCTCATGTGCAGTGTGGGGGTTCCATAGGACAAGACGCCCAAGCCACACCCCATTTGTCGATACGTTAATCACCGCCAAAATTCACCGTGCGGCCTACCCCAGGAGTCGATGTTGAGCCTCCCTGCATATCGGGTGTCGGCTGTCCGATTGCCTCACGGATGGCAGCAGTCGCAATGTAGAATTCGAGGCCGACCGTGAAACATACAGGGCTTGAGCGTCGTCAACAGAAACGTACAGTACATTCCGCGGGCATTCGACCAAGTACGAATTCCTCGTGTGCTAGGCCAGCCGGCATCCCGGTGAGGATCCTCGCATACTGGCTTATCGTGGCTGGCAATTTCTTGGGTCCTCGGCGTAGTGTGAAGCGCGACTCCTGGTCTTCCGAACATACACACGTGGGTGCAGATATGCGCTATTGCGTCCGATAATCGACGGCGGCGTGGCGGACGGCGCTTCTACCCGGGGCGTTGACGGGACCGTAGATGAAGCCCACACTCGCCAATCATTGGTGTTTCTGGACAAGCTCATTACCTCCACCTACGAATGGAACGCCTCAAACCCGAAGTACCTTAGGTAATAAGAGGCGGCGCCCGGACGCAGCACAGGTCAGATCTTGACGTGCCTTAGTCTGTATGGGAGTCCCAGCTTGTCATCGGGGAAGCAGACGGGTATGCCGCCCCACTTCGGCTTTGTTTCAAAGCTTATGAGGTCGAGCATCGCAGTGGTCGAAGCTGAAAACAATCGCAATTCAGATGCCAATGGTACTGTCGACTTGTACAGTTGTTTTTGAAGATCGACGTGCCGGAATAGCATCACGGTTCTCACAGGGTCTCTGCGCGCACATGAAGGAGTGAAGAGCACCTGATCACGTGGCTTTGGCAGATGGCACTAGCACAACTTCAGGCGTTAGCCCCAGATAGTTGCTCACGCGATTATGGCAATCTTGCAATGAGACATTCATCCCACTTCAGCGGTTATGTGGAACCTTTCCGATCTATTGGGGCACTTCACCATGTATCCTCTCAGCTAAAAGGTACCATCAAAGTTCTTGCCTTTGGGATCCATAATCCCGCCCGCCTCTGTATTTGCTATTGGCGCCCCTGCGTTAAGGGCGATCAAATTTATTGTTACCCGCCATATGCTGTGACCCAACAGTGAGTTCAGGCTCTCGTGGCGTCACAGTCGGCGATGTCTTTAGGCCGACGCTATGTACGACGCGTGCTTCCCTATGTATCCACAGTCTCTATTGCGCCATTAGACCTGCCACCAACGGCCCTTAGTACTATCAATCCATATACCCCAATTCAAAACGCCATCTTTGGAAATTAACTTCGAACGACGCGCTCGGATCTTTAAGCAGCTTAGGTTTCCCGTATCGACCAGACTAAAGTCTCTTATCCTTGACAGTCCGATTGACGACCGTTTTCTCGACATGTATTTGAAATACAGAGTCAATGCTGAAAGGAGCTCAAACAGCTGCAGGGGCATCAGATCGTGCTATTGATCTACGTGCCAAACAGCGGCGTAGGCGACTACGGGATTGCAACATACCGAGATGGCATGTCAGTACACCCGTCTCTCCACCCCTCCGTGGAAAGCACTGTCCAAGATCCAATTACATGCCCTTGGGGTATCCCTACCAAGAGAGCAGAGCTGAATGCTGGATGGATGTGACCAATCTACACCTTCCGAGGACCGGTACTCCCTCCTTCCACTTCCAGTCCTTGGTGACCGGGACCAGATATGTTGAGACTTGCATGTGAGTAATCTGTGTGGCAGGTTTCCGTGCCAGGGTGTATCGATCGCGTCGTAGTATTTCACCGGATCATCCGTGCGGACCCTTAAGGTATCTCGTGCAGAGGGCGATTGCTTCAACCTCCCACACTGGGACACAAAGATCCGAAGTGCAGGGTTTCGTTGAGCCGCGTGGCTCGGGGACAACTCTTCGACCTAAGGTCGATGCGGTTGATGCTGGTAAGTGAGGTTTGGAGGGGTTGCAATACTAAGAAATTCTTCTTCCGAAATCGTGGACCTGCAGTAGTCTCAAACGAGTGCTGGACACCATCATGCGGCATCAAATCTCGCACTTCAGCCTCCAAAAGATGATGGACCACCATAGAATGTTCGTGTACAACGGATCTCATATCGCAGCGGTGTGGACTAGTCTTAGTCTCTGTCCTTCATCGAGCGGTCTTTGTGCAAGATTGCTGTAGTGCCAAGATATCGGGTATAGTCCAAAATTACTTGGCCACTTCACTCATTTCTCTCTGTTGTACGAACCCCGAGTTGCCAGAAACTCCCATCGCTCACATTTTCCGTTTGCGTCCGGTCCATCGATACTTTCTTGACAGGCGTTGGCTGTGCGGACGGCAACAGCGGCGGCGGCGCACGGAACCAGCGGCAGCAGGCCGCGGTCCTTGTTCGGTGGTACTGGACTGCGATCGCCACCTAGTGGTCTGTCTGTGTTAGTGTCCGCTTCACAAGATGTCGACTCTCGAGTGAAGCGAATGGTTCGTGAACCTTATGCTAGCCAAATGACGCATGCATGCGCGTGATGCTAACCGAGCAAAGATCCTAGGCCCGCGGGTCAAAGACGCACAGTTCGTCCTGTCAGACCCACCTTGGTTAGGCGGACAGGTCAGCCGCAGATGCCAGTGACCAAACGGATAGGCCCGATCGCTTCCCCGGGGCCGCTGATGTGTTTCATCCCATGTTCCCTGCCTTCACCATCAGATCGCGTTCGACACCATCGTACAGCCACGGCTGTTCATGTAATCCCCTGAATACTTCCAAATCGCTTGGTGCTCGCGTATCTACACCGCATTGTATACGAGTGTGGAAGACATCACCCTATTCACGCTCCAGGGCTCACTGTCGATCACTTCTCGGGTCTTGAGTGGTCAGCAACAAGGTGCTGTACGGTGTAGTTAGCTCCTGGGCTACCTCTAGCAACCTTGACGGTTACCCAACGGGCAAGCATCGCTACCAGCGCTTCGCTTCCAAGTTGTCCTGCAGTCTTCTCATCTCGGTATCTACCGTGAAGAGGAGAGATACTTTGCAATCTGACGGGTACCGATATCGACATGTGGTTTCAATGGATAAGGTGAAATGTGGTTGCGCGCCAACACTATTATGTTCCGGAATATACCATGGGGTATCGCAACAGGCTGATCTAGCGCGACTAACGCTCCAAACCCCAATCGCAATTCAACACCTCTACTGCGAAGCTGTGAGATCCTCCGCGGAAGGAAGGACAGCGAAGCAAGTGAGCTTGACCGCCAGACGTCTCAGAACTGTTGACTTGGGGCTACCGCATTTTGAAACCTTGGAATGTAGGCTCAACACCATCATTCATGCCCAGCAGACACACTCACATCGCAGTGCAGCAGTATGCTTGAACAACACTCACCGCAAGTACGAAGGCATATTCAGCAGGGGAGCAAGACATAGGATGCTCGTCCAACAGCGGCTAATAACGATGGCAAGGCGAATGCTGAGCTCGGTAGTAGCAGCCAACAGTGCCGATGCAATGCAGCCGTCAAAGCTAACCACGGAAGAGGTACATGAGCCGGCCCTGACATGCACCGACTACGGTCGAATCCTGTAGAGAATCAGCAGTGAATTCCCAGCCTCTGTGCCTCTCAACATGTTACATCACACTGTGATACCTGGAACACCCTGGCAGCAAAGCTTCACTGCGCGCAGCTGCCCCAGCCATCTTCCTGCTCACGGCACGCACGCCTCCCACGCAGATCTCCTTTCTATTGCCACCTTGATCGCCTTCTAGAAAAGATCGATGTGGATGATCAAACACGCTACACCTCAGTGGCGTAACGTATAGATCTCTCATCGCTCGCCTCTTGATACAGATGAGATCGCAAGCGATACACCGTACTTCGACTTCAAGACCACTCTCTTCTTGAAATCTCGAAATAGCGGTAAATCGGTCTAGAAGAGTCTGGTACACTACCGGCTTACATGCATGCCAAAGTGGTAGCGTGAAGATGCTTGACTTTTGATGCATACAGTAAGTCACGCGACGATCACTACGTACAACATGCATATCACTACACAGTGTCATCATGTTTCTGAGAAAATCTTGATCACTCGCTGCGAATTCGGCGCCATGATTCCAGAAGTTTGAAAATCTCCAGCCACGATATGGTGTTCTGTAATGGTGTGTAGCTTGAGTCAGTTTCCCTGCCAGTTCGTATCGGAGTCTTCATCGGATCTGATGCACCTTCATCGCCCCTGCGCCCGGGAATGAGAATCTGCATTTAGAACCATGTACTGCTGCATGGCCGACTACACGCTAGTCGACTTGGCGTGAAGGACGGGTGCTGAGTGTATATCCGGAAAGCGATGATGACAGAATGAAGATTGCGCAAACAGGGGAGGTGCATGAACTTCCAGGATCAGCTGACTGAAACTAACTCGTTCGAACGCAGCGTGCATGATCTGAGAACGCGATTCCGATGTACCTGAGCGTTCCGCTACAGCGGGTCGATAGAATGGCGTCAGACAGATAGCAAGAAATCGAGTCGTGAGTGTAGAAATGCAATACGATACCTGAGGTGTGCCGCCGTCCTATCTGGATAGCTCGCAATCATGTTGCATTATACCAGTTGCAAGGACGAATGTGAAGCGTCAGGGACCAAGCGATCCTTTGGTCGATAATCGGCATGTGGAGGCCAGTTGAGGACCTTGGCATAACCTATTTACCGGGTGTCAATATGACGAGTTTGAAGTGACAGTTTGACACCGGTAGTAGGCGTGATTGTGCTAAAGCCTTCCTGATCCATCTCTTTGCAACATCTATCCTCGACCCATGACCGATCACATTTCTCCATCTATAACGATTGTTAGTAAAGGACATTTTCGGTCGCGCCGCTGGTATCAGAGTGGTCGGCGAGGTATTTTGATGCGCCCCACCGATCAGAACGCAACGCTCCGTGCCCTCGAGATCTAGGGAACGGCAGCCTGTAGCCGCCGTAGGATTGTATGCACAACGCTCAAAACGGAACTGTACTAAGCCTAGCGTACCTCTCATTGCTATAGGCACAGTTGTATCTGCCAACTCAAAGTTCAAGATGGCGGGGTGATGGACCGCAGAGAGGTACTCTTAACCTCCTTGACCCAGACCAGATACTGCCATTGTTGTTGCAGATAGGCGAGCTGTTGTGTCTCTGCGCCTGTGGTCTGTGAGAGTTGTGATAGGGTGGGGCGCAATTGTGCGACGCCACCAGGGACGCTGTGTGCATTACGCGAAGCCACTGGCTGCCGGAACACATACCCACCAATGGCACCTGCGTTCGTAGTGGTGGGCGTGTCTGGAGACTTACTCCAGGACGCTCGCCCTCGTCGAGGCGGGCTCCCGAGCGGCATCTCAACGAGATACGTCGGCAGCATTCCGGCCCTTCCCAGCTACCCAGTCCGCCCCGCCAGCCGCTTCCCCAACTCCAACCAGGAACTTTTCCACCCACACAGATTTGAAAAGAAATATCAGATCTTGCGTTTCCCTTGACGATGGATCCATCGCAAGCATTCGGCCCTTCTGGATATTCCTCCAGATCTTCATCGGTGAGCGTGCCCGCTTCCGCTTCCGCATTTCGTCAATCTTGCATGACAGCCGTGCCTCTAGATCTCGGTAGCTCGTAATGTACCGACCAACCGAGTTTCAGGCCAACATATCTATCAACTGTGCAAGCTGACGCTTCTGGCGGTGGGAATCAGTCGACACATACTGTGGCCTAACACGTGGGGTTGCCGGCGAGGCCGTCATGTACGCGCAACATGTCAGGGCGACGTCGAATCCGCGACCGGTCAGATTCCGCATCAGTCAATAGGTTATGCGCATCATGTAACGGACCACCTCCATCAAAAGATGTGAGTAAAGAGAGGTACGGAACTTCCACATGATACAAACCTGCGCATCAGCGAAGCATACGACTTGAGTCTCACAACGCTGTGTGAGGACCACATTGCAACCGTTCGCCACCCTCGAGGGGTTTCGGGGGCACGCCTCACTGACGCGTTTGCACCCTTCCCTCCCAAGAATAGACCTTCTCTGCATCGCCAAACTGCAAAAGAATGGGATGGATCGCTGTGCTGAGATCCCCCTTTCCAAACCCATGCTGATCGCCACTGCCCCATTCCGCCACCGATCGAGCGTTTCCCAACATTATGGAGCTGGAGTGAGGCTGAACGTCCTATCAAGGATACATCGCCACCAACATCACATTCTTGCGCAGCCTCTGATGAAGATCCTCACTGCGACTCAATGGCCTTCGATGTCAATCTTGTCAGCATATACGGTTGCAGCCAAGCGCACGCCATAGGAGGCTAATCGGTATTCTGTCTTTACTGCATTCTTCCCTGCTATAGCAACTCGGATTTTGGCACCACGCTCAGCAGACAAGCCGGTGGCATTGTGTTTCCGGAGAACGTTCGTATATGATCATCCGACGGTAGCTTACTGCATGCTAACATTATTCCGGAACATCGTTGTCGTATTAAAACGTAACGGTCGCTGCTCGCAGTAGAATCCTTCTGCACGTTGACTGAAAAAAGTAGTGCTTGCGTCGTACCCTGCAAGTGGAGATACCTGATGTTACAGATCTGACAACGTCAAATTTGCAATTGACGAGGCTGAGACTTCTAACTGGAAGCCTCGGTCATGTATGCAGAAGACTATTCCTTCATTTAGGCCCATAAGGTAGGACTAGGCCTCGTCCACATGAAGCCACGTTTCATGAGAAAGGATGGATTATTTGGCTAGCTTATCTCGTCGTCTTTCCACTCAGTGCTTCATCTCTCATTGGTCGACCACTCAATTCCACATACTCATATGAGTCTAACTGCGTGTAAGGCAGTCCATCAGCCTCTGCACGGCTTCTTGAACCCGCAGCTACCGAGTCTTCAACCGCCGGGTCGAGTGCTATCACACAATCTTGTCACATACACACTTCAGGGGCACTAGGGATGTGCTTGGACCGTGAAGGAGACTCTGTTGGGAAAGGAGGCCGCGCGTAGCAATGTCGAATTTTAATGAGCGCTCGAGACACGTTATACTCACCCGAATGCTTTCGGCGTGTAAGGATCAGGACGTGCTCTTTCCTATGACGATGAGGAGAGTATTGCAGTGAGCGTCATTCGGTCTTGTAGTGTCATATCCTAGGCGGTCGGACCTCAGGCACATCGTAGCCTTTTCAGTCTTAGAGTCCGCCTTTCGTTGTTCGATCGATCTTAGAAGGCCACAATTACTGAGCAATGTATTTACGCTCGCCAGATGTACGAAGTAACGGCCAGCTTCACATCCAGCTCGCCCATTCTGGAGAGCCGGATACTTCACACCTTTCTGTTTACAGTGAAGCTATAGTGGGACGCCTTGTGACAAGCGTGATGGTAGAATTTGCATTCAAGATGCGCTCTTCATGCGCAAGGAAGATAGGATCATGTAGGGTACGGTGCTTAGTAGTGACTATATTAGCTTCAGATTAGATGCATTGTACGTAGCACGCAAGACATACGGACTTGCTCGGTATACGCTCACAGACCATAAAACGGAGTTCGGTTGATGAGTTCAAAAACCGGAAGCTAATCATCAGCTCCAGCCTCGTTCTGAGAGAAGGGTTGACGGACCACTAGACTTGTAACGGTAAAAACTGCGATACGTATTTCTCAAATACTTCGCCAGGATTGCATGCGGGAGAGCGTGAGGCTTCGAAATGACGTATGATAGGAAACAATCATCAGATACAACTGCAACATGTTCTACAGCAACCGAAATATGGACAGACAAGTTTTCATCTTGCTTTCCATGTCATGGTTGCGGATGAACTACGCTCTTTCTCTTCCTTACTCAATCCATCAGCTGTTTCCGATACACATATCTGTGTAAGCAGCTATTCTCTCATCCTTTGATAGGCGTCAGGATATTCGGCCCCAAAACCCGAGAGTTGGATAGATTCAATCTCCAGAGTTACCTGGTAACCTAATACTTCGCGCCCGTAGACTACTCACTCATTCCCTAAGCCCAATATTCTCCACTCCACAGACCGTTTAAGCGCTTATACTTGGGTAGCTCCAGCTCGGAAGTCGACATGCGACAAAATATCGGACCCACCTTCCGCTACCAATAGCATCGTACTTGAGCCGTTCAGCTGGACAACTTGGCTCATACAAGCGCGATAGCAAGCGTGACGATAAGTGATTGGACCCGCAGAACCATCAGCACAACATGACGTCTAGATACAATTTGCGGCTATCATTAGCTCTAGAGACCATTCAAACACTACCGGAGTACTATCTGAAATAGGGCTGACCGGTACCCAAGAACCCAATTTTGGTTGCCGGTACGCTAAGATCGTAGGCAAGTTAGGCAAGTTAGGCGGACTTTCTATAGGGCAAACGCCTTGTGATACTCGATCGACCAAAGTGTTAGCACACGCTGTCACGACACGTTGTGTTATTCGGTAACAGCGGTAACAGCGGTTACAGCGGGGCGCATGATTCAATCGTGTGGTTGTGCTAATAGAACTACGGTTATAATGGATAAGAGTAAGATCTACTGAGCAACTTGTCGCTTTACTCGAGTAACGCGCGGCTGTATTCAGTAGTCAGGAGAGTCATCCGTTCGGATTTCTATACCCGTAATTCCTGGTGAATTCATATATACGGAAGTTCTCGGACGAATGTGGACTACCGACGTGATTTCTGCGATAGGTGCAACGTATCAACATGTTGCATCAAGGTGTCTCGCGAGTGCATGATGTCTATATTTCAAATGCGTGTCACATTTGGTTGGCTCCCAGCTTATTCCTGGTATCACTGTGAACATCTCCTCTGCCTACAGAGAGAACATCTCTTATATTCAGTACCAAATTACGTCTACCAACATATTCTGACATACCTTGAGCTTAACTCTGCATACTTGAATACAACGAACATATCCATCAGTGATGCGAAAAACTGCTTTGTCACTATTCCTAGCTCTGTAACAGCCTCTTCATCCAACATAACGTTATATCCTGCTCAAACTACCTTTCACTTTGCATCAGAAAGCCCTCTAACCAGCCAGCCATTATCGAGACGGTACATAGACTTTATACTATTAAACTCCTTAATTACAGACTGGATATCATCGGCCTCGAATCCATTCAGGTTAAGTTCGACATCATCTTTAATCAAATTCTTAAGTAATAATATGAAAAGGAGATTGCTAGTGAAATCATCGCGTGACCCAATATAGCAGCGGAAGTTGAAGACTGCCTTCGTATCGAGTCGACGTCTCCGAATCTTGATGCAATCCTTGGAGAATACCACGATGGCTGCATGTTCCTTGGAACCACGTAAGCTGAATAGTACAATGGCTCGGGTCTCGAGGATATAGCTTGTAAGGAATCTAAGCCAGGGGATCTCTATCACTGCTGATACTGTCCCATTACTTTGTGAACCCGTCAGATTTTTACTTCTCGAACATCGTGCGAATACTGCGCTTTGGATAGACAAAACTGTAAAAGCCTCTCGAATCGATGATGAACCGAGAGGGTTCATCAGGTAGCGTATCTAGCTTGAGCACAAGGCAAAGTACTGCCTCTTCAAGAATCAAACCGCAAATGGCTAGGAACCATACTGGCGACGTTTTGACAACAAGTGTCGTGTATGATCATGGTATTGCTTTCTCCTCGAATCTGCACTTGAAGGTCGGGACCTTGAGCCGGTGGTGACAAGCAGACATCTCAATCTGCTCATGTACTGTGTATCGTAGCTCTACAGGAAGGTGTAGAAGCCGGAAAGGCTTGTCTGGCATCGATGAACAAAATAGCTTGGGTGAGGGTATTGAGGTTGCTATATAGCACGGTTTGGAGTGACAGTAATTGAGGCTTGCTTGGTGCGGTTGGCCAGATGTAGGAGGCTGGTTGTAGTGAGTTTGTTCCACAAAGGGAATGGGAGTTTGATATTTGACAATGACTGAAAGGTAAAATGGCAGATGCTCAATTACCGCGGGAGACGCTTTGATGTTAGTCGCTGCTTGTCGGGGCTTCTTCTGGTCACAAGGAGTAGTTGTTCCATATGCGACCGTTGGGAGTCTTCCTAAGAAGCGAGAGCAAGTTCTTGCGAGAGTGCCTTGGGGTAATTGGTGAACAAGCTTCGTGACACGTCGTGCATGACAGCAAGTCTATGAACACGGGCGCGTCAGGACATCTCGACGCGAGTCGGATAATTCATATTGGGTATCTCAACATCTTCATTCTCATCTCTTCCCCTTCTTGGCTTTTCCCTTTCCCTTGGAACCCCCACCGCCTGTGATACTCTGCACATCCTTCTTACTCAGGCTCAGTGTACCGCCCCTGAACTTTCCTATACTGGGTCCTCCAACACCCCTCTCCCTCTTCTTCTCGGGTGCCTTCTTGGTGACTCTGTTTTCCCTCTCTAGAATGATACCAGCCTCCTTGGCCTCTCTCCGCCTCTTCTCTTCCGTCGTTCGTGCCTTGTCTATCATGTGCTTCCGCTGCGCCATTGGCATTTTCTTTTGGGTAAAGATTGAGCCCTTGGCGCCGAGGGCTTGGAGGTGCAGGTCTTGGGATTTATGGCGTGCGACACCCGTTGTGGTGAGCGTGGGTGTCGAGGTACCGGAGGATGACGCGGAGAGAAGGTGTGATTCACGAAGGAGTTTTTGGAGCGCCATGTCGTTTTTCAAATTTGTGGTTTCGTTGGAGTCAGGGTCTTGTTGCTTTTTCTTGTTTGTCACATTTTTCGACGACGCGGAAGCTGAGGTAGGCGGTTTCGAAGACATGAAGGCTTTCATCTCTGCCCGTTCAGTCTCATCAAGTTCCCGGCGTGGGTCTTGGTACTCGACGACTTGGACGCCATTTTCGCTGTCGCTTATGCCTGACCAGTCTGATTCTTCCTCATCTGGTTCCTCTTGTGCGGGTGGTTCCTCGATCTTGGGTTTCTTGGGCTCTACGGGTAGAGGCTTGAACTTTGCTTCGAATGCGCGCCGGAATATCGCCTGGAGGTCTTCGGCGCCGGAGTCATCGCCAGAAGCGGAAGAGGGAGAAGGCGATGGCGACGGTTGCTCCAGTTCTGCGCGCGTTACGCGCTTCCGTTTTCCGAGGGCGGGCGCCATGGCTGCGTCGTGGTGTTGAGCGCGCAGGATGGGCGATCCAAAAGTTGGACATGGGAAATTCTTAGCGTCAATTGTTCGCTCGGACCCCCGTCCTTCACTCAACCCCTCCCCCGCAGCATCCTTCTACACGCATCGCAATCCCGTGGACTAGACAATGACGCGTTTTCGTCCCTGTATAGACCTGCACGCTGGAAGCGTCAAGCAAATCGTCGGCGGCACGCTCAACACCACGACCCCCGACGTCCTGAAGACAAACTGGACCTCAGAACATCCATCCGCCTTCTACGCTGACCTGTACAAACAACATGGCTTGACAGGCGCACACGTTATAATGCTCGGTCCTGGAAATGATCAAGCAGCCCAGGACGCATTGGAAGCATGGAAGGGCGGCATGCAAGTCGGTGGAGGAATCACAGAGAAGAATGCAGCCGAGTGGATCGAGAGAGGTGCGGACAAGGTGAGCTTTACACAATCAACCGACATTGGCGACTATGAACAAGAAACTAGGCTAATCGAAGCGCAGTAGGTGATCATAACGTCGTACCTCTTCCCCTCGTCTACCTTTTCCATGGACCGCCTGCAAGCCGTCCTCCAAGCCATTGGCAACGATAAAACCAAACTCGTCATTGATCTTTCGTGCCGAAGGAAAGACGACAAATGGTTCGTTGCGACGAATAAGTGGCAGACTATCACCGAATTTGAGCTGAATCAGGGTACATCCACCCAGTGTCCATCTTGATGCTCAACAAATGTGGCTAACATACATGTGCAGAATCCATATCCCTCCTTGAACCGCACTGCTGCGAATTCCTCATCCATGCCGCCGATGTCGAAGGTCTACAACGCGGTATCGATCACGAACTCGTCACTAAGCTGGCAGAGTGGTGCAGCATACCCGTCACATATGCCGGTGGAGGTCGTTCACTCGAAGACCTAGAGTTGGTGAAGAAATTGAGCAAGGGCAAGGTTGATCTGACCATCGGTAGCGCCTTGGATATCTTTGGCGGGTCAGGCGTCAAGTTCCAAGATTGCGTCAAGTGGAATGCGGAGCAAGCATGAATGACAAGACTATGTCATGTATCACACAATACATCGAACAAACCAGCACAAGTGCAAACTATTGCATTTTTTCCTTGTCTTCGAACATCAAATTGCCTTTTTATCAAAGGCGAGCTAAAGCTAAGCTCGCTCTAGCTACAGTAGCCATGCATGCATCAAACTCCGACTGAAGAAGAAAACCCTTGAACCCCAGAATCGTGTTACTCAATCAAGCATCCTAGAACCATGGGAAGCTCGCTGCAAAATGTCATGTGAGCGAGAAAAGACGTGTAGTGCGCGCGCAATAAAATGCCTGGAATTAAACCTCTCCAATCTTCCTCCAGGTCTTACAAGTTGTACAGGAGGACAAAAACTACATGTAAAGAAGGTGTAAGGTAGTTGAATGTTATGCCGATCAAACCATATCGTCGATGACGCGTCGTGTTTGAAGACGTACGTTCTCATCTATCGCCGTCAGTGAATACCTAATGAATAATCTTCCATGCTGCAGCTTACCTTCTTCAGACACCAGCCCGTGGTGTGCCAACCGCACTCGTCATGGTGCTCATACCACCACCATGGACACTACCACCATCGTCGTAATCTTGCCACTCTGGAAACTCTGCCGTCGCTTCTCGAAGCTTGTCGAGCGCAGTCTGCTCTATCAGGTTGGCGTCTTGGAAGAGCAGTGACGTATCCTCATTGTATGTGCGGCAGTTGTTACACAGCAAGCCTAGATCTTGACGGAACTGCTTCACAGACTGGTACTCCTTCTTGTTGATCTTCTTCTCAATCTGCTTCATGCAGATGGGATTCTTGATCAGCTGGTAGTAATCTGGGTAATCCCACTTGTCTGGAAGCTCGATAAATGGGTCGATGATACCGCGATTGGGGATGTTGGGATCTTGCGACTCTTCTTCCAGGTCGTTGAGAGCCTCGTAGACAACATTAACAACCTTCTGAAGCGACGCTCTCTGGTCAGGGTGTAGCATGTCCTTGGCTGGAGCGGGCCGGCCACGCTTGCGAGGTGCAAGGTCAGCATCGAGAGAGGCTTCGTCGGCTTTGCGCTTCTCAGCCTTGGGTTTGCGGCCTCGCTTCTTCGGCATAGGTTCCTCTGAGCTGGCGCGTGATGGAACTGGCGAATCCTCTTCACCTGCCCTTCCAGTCTTATTCCTACCTCGCTTGGCGACCTTAGCTTCTTTGCGGGCGATAGCAGCTTCAATAGTATCTTCATCGTTGTCGACAGCCTCCAACCACTGCTCCTCGGTAAGACCATCATCATACTTGACGCGGGTACGCTCTCGAGCACCACGACCAGCAGGTGTGTCATCCTTCTCATCGACGATGGGAGCCTCCTCGTTCAGGTAAATGTCTGGCAACTCACTCTCGCCGATCAAGCGACCAAGCGGTTTGCCGGGACCATATGGATCTTCCGCCAAGCGCTTTTTGTCCATCTCTTGGAAAATTGCCAGCTCGTGATCGTGTCGCATCATAATCTGGTTCAGATCATCATCATCCATCTCTTCCTGTTCAAGGCTTTCGGCGGCTTCAGCAGACTCCAACATGATTCGCAACATGGCGTCTCGCTCGTCGTCCTTGGATTTATTGTCGAATTTACCAGCTTGAATAACCTTGCCATCCATGTCCAGCTTGTAGTTGGCTCGCTCAAGAATCTTCTCCTCAACAGAGTTGGAGGTAATAAGACGCAAAATGCGGACCTCGTTCTTCTGACCGATACGATGGGCACGATCCTGGGCTTGCAAATCCTGGTGAGGATTCCAATCAGAATCGTAGATGATAACGGTATCGGCAGTTTGAAGGTTCAGTCCAAGACCACCGGCACGCGTGGATAGCAGGAAGCAGAAATACGGTGAGTCGGGAGCGTTAAACAGCCTCAGCAGATCAGATCGATCATCTGCTTTAGTCGCTCCATCCAGACGCAGGTACATCATACCTCGCAACCGCAGGTAGTCCTCCATGATGTTCATAATCTGTGTCATCTGGAAGAACATAAGGACACGATGACCTGTGGCTTGGAACTTGGGCAGAATTCGGTCAAGCAGTTCAAACTTGCCGGCTGCACGCCACAGAAGATCGTTTGTACCCTTGGTTGGATTCATGACGTCTTCGACCTCTTCGAATACGAATGGATGATTGCACAGCTTACGCAACTGCATCAGCATATTGCTCAATCCGCGCATACCAGTCTTTCCGCCCTTGCCGTCGCTGACCATGAGTCGGTTGTGTGTGACAAGTTGCTTGTACAGCTTCGCTTGGAGGGTCGAGAAGTTGCACTTGATCACACGCTCGGTCTTGTCGGGAAGATCCTTCTCGACATCACGCTTGAGACGACGGAGCAAGAAAGGCCTGAGAACCTTATGAAGACGACGAATGACGAGCAACTGCTCTTCTTCAGTGAGCTCCATCTTGTCTTGACCTCCAGTATTCGCAAAAGGAGTGTTGAACCACTCGTCGAAGGAAGTAGCCGACTTGAAGATGGTAGGAAGGACGAAGTTCAGCATAGCCCACAATTCCGTAAGGTTGTTCTGCAGCGGGGTACCAGTAAGAATGAGACGATAACGCGTTGTGTAGTACTGTGTGATGGTCATGCTGAGCTTTGAGCCGGCGTTCTTCATACGGTGACCCTCATCAACAATCATGTGTACCCACTTGATCTTGCTGAGAACTGGCCTGTCCTTGATGATGAACTCGTAGGTTGTGAGCAAAACCTGGAATTGGCCCCAACGAATCTGCTGCTGGTATTGTTTACGTGAGTTTGGAGGACCCTTGTAAACAATCTTGGTGACGCTCGGTGCCCACTTCTCAAACTCGTTCGTCCAGTTGGTAAGCGTACTAAGCGGCACAATAACCAAGTAAGGTCCTGGTTGTCGCTTCTTCTCGATGAGATAGGTGATCAAACTGATGGTCTGGATAGTCTTTCCAAGACCCATTTCATCTGCGAGGATACCGTTCAGATTGTTGTTGTACAGAGATATCATCCACTGCAGACCCTTCAGCTGGTACTCCTTCAAGGTACCTCCAACCAAGTTGGTAGCCTGTTGTGTAACCTCTTCCTTGATGCGGTGAGCAATCTCGTAGTAGTCGGTCTTCTTCTTGCCTGGGCGGTCTTCATCGCCAGATTCGGCATCGCTCTCCTCTTCCGGCTCCTCCGGCTCGTATGAGTTGTTTGCAGACCGTTGCTGTGCCTTGACGGAGTCGGCGAGTTGCTTCAAGAAACCATCGGTCTGCTTGAGCAAGTGCGAAATACGAGTATCCTTGGCTTGGCCCAAAAGCTTGAGGTAGGTCTCTTCGTCGTTGGACTTGAGAGCCTGCAGACGCTGCTTGGCGGTGCGCTCGATACGCTTTTGCTCTTCCTTCTCGATGTTCTGGTGTGTTGTGATCATGGTACGGCCGAGCTTCTGCAGACGCATGCGCTGAGCGGCGCCAGCTTCCTGCAACTCTGTGCGGTGCTTGCGGATAGCATCGATAAACTCGTGATGCTTCTTCTTCTCCTTGGTCTCGCGTGCATCGCGTTGCTGCTTCTCTAGCTTCTCGGTAAGACGGGCTTCGCGCATCGATTGCTTCTTAAGGCGTCGGTATACTGTTCGGTTCGCTGTCATGGCAAGGTTGTCAGCATGGATCATTTGCTGGGCAATCTCTCTCCGCAGCTTGCGCTGCTTCTCCAGTAGGTTGAGCTTCTTCTGCTCGATGACCAGAGCCAATTTGACCTTTCCATCATCTTCAGGCGTATCGGTCTTGCTGGTATCCCAGGAACCGATGTTCGCGTGAACCTTCTCCAACTCGGCCTTTCTCGCCGTGAGTCGGTTATAAAGTAGGATTTCGCGCTCCTTGCGCATTTCCGCCATGCTCTCCTGAACCGCATCAATGTCCACACCCTGGGGCATGATAGTCGCGAGGTATGGTCGGTTTTTGCGCTGAGTGTGAGAGATGTAGTTTACATCGCGGAAAGCTTCGCTACTCCAGGGATCGATGAACGTGTCTGGAAGGCGAGGTAGAGTTCGAGTTTCCTGTACTGCGCCGCCAGTTGCGCTCGGGGTGCTACCTGCGCGGGTGGCATTATCAAGCATCTGGGAAGCAGCAGCCACAGCCTCGGCGGCATTCTGGGGCTTTTTGGCTTGATGGTGACCAAAGATCTGCTGCTGCATGTTGGTTGGCAACGGCAGACCCTTGGAGAGATGTTTGAAAGCTCCAATTTGAGCACGTAGCATAAGCAGTTGGTCCTTGGACAGCGCCATCGAACCACTGGTGGCCGATGTGGGAGTCTGTCCATCTGAAGAAGGAGCTTGCCCACCAGCAGTCGCAATTTGCATGGTAGATGAAGGACCACTAGAAGCAGGCGCCGGCGTAGCGACCTTGCCATCACTAGCAGCAGCAGGCTTGGTGCCGTTGGACATAGCCATGCCAGCGCCATTTTGCTGGGCAGCTTGAGGATCCATCTGACCCTGCTGGCGCTGCAGCTGCTGTTGCCGTAGCATCTTCTGCTGTTGCTGGAACTGGTTCTGCTTCTGCACCATGGTGAGAAGATTGCGCGCCTTGATGAACTCGGGGTTGGTCTCGGGTACGCCTTGTTGCTTCATTGCGGTGTAGCGCTGAGGGCATTGTTAGCGATGTTTCGATGCGTAGATAATGTCTAGTAGCGCAAAAAGCGTAGAGAGGTACGTACCTGGAAGACATGTTGGATCTGCTCTCGCGTGATATTAGCGGCGAGCGGTGCCTGCCCAGGCATTTCTGAGTTGGGTTGAACCGACGCCATGGCGATGGTGGTTCAGTGTGTTGGTTGGGGTGTGCAGTAAACAGCCAAGATACGGGATATCCACGCTCGAACGCGGTCGCCGTACGGGGTCGGGGTCGACGAAGATCGCGCAATTAAGAAGGGAAAGACAGTCGCGGGAGGGTTTGTGGCGCGTGCAGCGGTTCTATGACATTATCGTGGGGCGTGGTGGTGGTGGAGGCCCTTTGGTCGATGAAGCCGATGAAAGACCTTCGGGGGTCCGCCGTTGACAGAGTCGCGTTGTGTGGTGAGGCTGAAGGGGGAGCGCGCAATTTCGGTGTGGGGGGTGGCAAAGGCGCAGACGCGCTCTAAAAGCGTCGGAAACCGCTATACGCGTCGTGGACAGCGTGTTGCGGGGATGTTGAGATGCGGGCGCAAGTCTTCGTGATATCGGGATGGGTGGTGTTGGACGTCTGCGGACGTCCACTCTAGCCTGAGCGTTGTTCGCGCAAACGAGTTAGCGCTAAATGGCTTGGCAAGATCATGTGATGGCCCGATTGGGGCTGGGCCAATCAGCGCGGAGTCGTCTGCTTGCTGCAGTTATTCACTCTTCTCCTGTCGCCCTCATCGACTTCCTCTACAGGAGTCGTTGCGCTGTGGGGTAGGGAGATAAACAACGCGCTTGACGTGGACTAGTGCCGCAATAAGCCACCGCATCGGAGGCGGAGGAACGAGTGGAGTGCGTGCCACGTCCACGACCCCTCCAAACCTGCTACCACGGTCCAGCGAACATCAAACCCGTCTTACTTTCCTTCCCAACCTAGTTCCAGTGCTATGGTTCGTACTTATTACTTTTCATCGTTCTAGACGCCTTTTCCCGACACTATGCCCACCGTAGCGGCTCTATCAGATGGAAAAGCCTTTGGTGGTGAGAATTCTGGACCCGCGCTGAATGGCGGTGGGAGGCTTTCAGCGCGCGCTCTAGCCCGTCCATAACGCTCTACTGCGTACATAGTGAACTAACAGCGAGGCCATTGAACAGCTTTTCACTTGAGTGTTCACTGAATCTTGTCTGGCGAAACGTCACACTTTACTCGCACGTTCATCTGTCTCAACCTTTGTAAAGCTGGCCCCTCGGTACCAGATAGATGACCAGGGTTCATGTCCACAGGGTCATAATGCTGGCAAATAAACATTTAGCTACGAACGCGTTGCCAACTATGTACATGTCAAAACCCAGCTCAATATCACACATTCCCTAGGTTCGTACCGTAGGGTAATAAGCCTAAGTAAGCGTGGGGGCAGTCCAGTCAATGTATGTTGCCGCATCAGCGCCTGATGGGCCCTTCTCAATGTTGGCAGTGTTTGAGCTCTGGCCGAGCAAGAATTTGTTGATGAACGCAGTGAGGTCAGCCTGCTGGTTGGATGGAAACTGGCAATGGTTGTGGTTGCCGGAGCCTGTAAAGCCCATGTTATCTGGTACACCAAGGGCCTTGTAGATGAGGCGGCCGGCCTTCATACAAGCGGTCGTGGATACAGGGCCAAGCCAGTCAATCTCGTTCTCAATGACGAGCAGACCACGTGGAGCAACCATACCGGCGAGCTGATGGTGGTCGGTGGCCAGGGTGTTGGACTTGGTGCTGAAGGAGTTAAACCTTGTGGAGAACCATACATTTTCGCCGACAATTTGGCTAGAGGTTTGGATGTTCTTTCCCTTGGCTTTCTCAGAGTCGGAGATGCGCCAGCAGGCGGCACCACCAGAACCAGACTCCTGAGGAAGACCCAGAGCAATGCGGTCGACAAGCGCAGCGGCGACAAAAGCACCCTTGCCGTTGCGAGAGCAACCGGTCACACCAACGCGCTTCGGGTCGATACCAGCACCAGGAGTAGCCTCGAGAGCATCCATAATGCGGTCAACACCCCATGCCCAAGCAGTGAGAGCACCAGCACTGTGACCGGAGCCGTACAAGTCAAAGAACTTGCCCTTTCCACGGCTGCTACCACCCTGTTGCTGGCCAATTTCATCATTATTAAAGGTGATTGTCGCAACGTTGCTGGGAACAGGGAGACTGGCAGCGCCGTATGCAATTATGGCTGGGAAAGGCCCGGTCCCGCTAGGCTTCTTGATAGAGACCGAGAAAGTAACCGACTTTCCGCCCTCAGTCGAGGTAATGGAGAGCGAGGATCCAGAGAAGGTAGCAGTAACGCTTGTTGGCTTCTTGGGGAAGTCACCAAGTTCCTGTGCCTGTATGGCAGCGCTAACCTCCTTGTTCTTGCATGCGAAGTCGGCTTTGGTGGCAACAGCCCTTCCATCAAAGAACTTGAAGGGGTTTGGCAACTTCGCGTTGGCAGTAGTAGGGAAGGTAGTTGGAACAGTGCATGTGGCGTCCTGGCGCTGTTCGATGGCTGGCGCCGCAAGGACGGTCGTAGCAAGGAGCGGAAGTACAAGTGAGTATTTCATGTTGAGCGGACCTTGGTACTCGAGACACTGTAGGATGATGATTGCTGAGGTACTCCTAACTCTTTTATAGTGATCGTGGCCTCCGCAAGCATTCCACATTCTCACGGCGAAATATAGCCACTAAATGAACCCATGGAGATGACAAAGTGTGTTTCGTAGCGTGACTATGGGGCAATCAGGGCATAACGCCTTGGCTCCTGCTGGTCTCCTCTACTTTCGCCACGCACTTGTGGAGCAAGAGCCGTCACAACAGGATAGCATAGACTCAAAATCACCATGTTTGGTAACCATCATTTTACTTTACATGCTAGTATCCTACGCTCACAACTCACAAAAGCTGACATGCTTTTGTTTTCCTATTATCGATTTAGTCCAACATGAGAAGTGTTGGACCTTTGATGTTTTCCAGGTAACTTATCTAGACATCTACGGTACTGCTATCATCATAGAATACAGGCTTACCCTGCGTTGACAGTTCATTGATGGAAAATCTGTTCGTGATTTGTATAGTTAGTACCGTCGATTGGAGTGTAAAAGCTCCCTTGAGCCGTGAGGAAACCACATCGCACTATAGCGCCCTTGGCCGGCCGTGTTCCCCAAAACAAGACGTGACCACTTAGTCTATGTTCAGATCCGGGTATTGTAGACTGGTATTGGCATGGCGCAGTGTAGCGAATGCTCTTCCAGAACTTCCAAATGGATCTCGTCAGAATATGACGATCGATTGGGCATAGCAGGATATGCGCACTCTAGAAACCCTGGTTCGACCGTCTAATGGATATTAATACCACGATGGCGGCTCTCCATGCTTCCCCACGTTGCGGGGTGCAGTGGGGCGCTTGTTGAAGTGCCGTTTAGCCTGTTCGTCACCACGCAAGTTCACCCGGTATTAGATGATCGACATCCTTCCAGCTCCATGTAGCCTTGATATGTCCTGCGCAGAAGCTTGTTGTTACTTGTCTCGTCTGTCTGTTGCTCGGGGATTTTCTTGTGCACAACGAATTGGTAGTTCGGTCGCATTTGTTCCATTACCGAGAACGCTATGTCGTGGTAGGGACATGAATTGGTTTTGCAGCATCCACTCAGGACATGGTGATATGCAAGGGTTAGTATCGCACTCTATGTCTGGTTTGAGATTTGCAGCATAGTGCTTGGACTGCATGCGCTTAGGAGATCAGAACGCTGGATGTGAAGTTGCATAGTTCATGCTCCAAAGTAGCTCCTGAGTGGGTGAACCGCAGCGTCATAAAATTAACAACAGTCGATAACGGTGAGCTTGGAAAGCTACACGGTCCGTGTGAGTTGCGGCGAGTTTCGTTTCAAGGCTGCAGACAAGTCTAGCGTGGCTTGTCGTTGAGAATAACTTCACCCAAAGACGCGCACCAAGGTAGTCATAACGGAGACCCGAGTCATGTATAACATCGGAGAAGACGAAGGAGGAGTTGCACCTTAGAGTTTGGAAGGAGTCCTGAGTCGCTCGCGCTTACCAACCGCAGCGCTAGTGCTTCACAGCTTCGGCACCCCTCATCACGGGAGTTTCAGCAAGGCTCGCGAAATCTTGAGGAAAGCTATAAATACAAATTTGCGCGTTAGCATTCAGAGTTTTACTGTCGTCAAGTTTGCATCATCGTCGACAAGAAGAGAAGGAAGCACATGCTAAAGTTTAACTGGCTACATCCAGAGCAAGTCAAGCTGACCAAGCCGCCTCTCATTGGTCACTCGCCTCTACGCCCTATTCATGTACTGAACCAAACCAACACTTATGAAGCGACCTTCCGATTTCACAACGACCGATAGTTCCAAATCACTCAGAATGTCAAGCGAAAGACAAGCGGCGGATGCTATCCGATTCTATGACTCGAAGTCCTGGGATTACGATGCTACCTGGCACAACGACTTCACAAGACGATTCATTTCCTATCTCGACATACAACCAGGCCAGCAAGTACTGGATTTGGCGTGTGGCACAGGACTGTTGACTTTCCGTGAGTCAGAGGCGGTAGGACCGCAAGGACATGTTGTCGGAGTTGATGTCACCCCTGGTATGCTTGCAGTCGCTACTCACAGGAAGACTCAAGGAGGCGACAAATATGCCAATACGACTTTCCTCAAGGGCGACGCTTTACATCTGGACGAAACGGAAGAGCTCAGTGGAAAGCAGTTTGACGTCATAACAGTGGCTTCTGCCCTTGTCTTGTTCCCCAACCCAAAGACTGCCATCGAGCACTGGACAGAATTCCTTAAGCCTGGAGGGGTCATTGCAATGGACGCAACACATCCAAGGAACTTGATCTCTGGTATGGTTCTCGAAAGAGTAGCTCGAAGATTGGAGCTTCCAATTCCATACAATCGATCATGGAGCAAATCAGAAGATACCTTGAAGCAGATGCTGGAGTCCGCGGGCCTGGAGGTAGACCAGGTTCTGACTGTCGAGGGCCAAGCTGGATATGGCAGACGTTTTTACGAGATGGAGCAATGGGACGACTTCTTCGTCGAAAATGTGATTGTCAAAGACGTTGCGAGAACGTTTGCAAATAACGACATCCGGAGGAAAGCGCAAGGCATTTACAAAGAGGAGTGGGAAAAGCTGGCGATAGATGGCAAGATTGAGGAGATCGACTCTGTTTTCCTCGGTATCGCAAGAAGACGTGAGTAAGCCATAGTGATGCATTGACACAAAGCTGACATGTTATGTAGCTGCAGACGGTTCGAGATACATGCCGCAAGTCATTCAGGACGATGTGGTTTTCAAGGGCGGATGCCGCTGTGGTGGGGTGCAATACACATCGAGTGCTCCACCCTCAAATATCACGCTGTGTCATTGCCGCGCATGCCAGCAAGTATCAGGCTCTGGCTTCCTTCCATTCACACATGTGCCCCGAGGCAGTCTTTCCTTCACGCATTCGAACACGCGCCAGGTTCTAAGACTATCGGACGTTGCAGAACGAACCTTCTGCTCGGGTTGTGGTGCTCCGATATCCATGGTCTACACATCTGATCCTGACGGTATGGGGCTGTGCATGGCCACAGTCGATCTGGAGAGTCTCAAGACTGAGGTGGCACCCAAGGTTGTGAAGCATATCTTTTTGAGGGAGAAGGCGCCGTGGGTGGTGTTGCCCGAAGATGGGACTGAGCGTTGGGGCACATCGGAAGATGCTCACCTGCTCATGCAGAAGTAGAGTAACTGTAATGGAGGTGTAGGCGCAAGAAGATGCGGTGAACTTTTTCAGGGTACGCCATTATTCGGTGTGAACTTTTGTGGGCTAGTGCAGTGGGCGAGTGTAGGTAACCCACTGATTGAGGAGACAGGTCTATGATCCCATAATTACAAGAGACGCGCAACTAGTGTCGCAGTCTCTGAGGCTTCTGTTGCTGAGAGAGCTTGCTTGGAGAGGTATCCCCTGCTGGTTGTAACGCGTACTAGCTGTGCGCTAAAGTTGCACGATGAGATGTTTTGAAACGCGAACGCAAACAGAACGGATGGAAAGCAGGGTCGAGTGCATCTTACAGCTTGTCTTGCATTAGACCAAGGCAATTCGCAAGGGGCTATTGGGTTCTCTAAGCGACGACGGCTACGTGTTGCGGTGTGCGTTGCGTACATGACGGGGCCGCTAGCCCTCCCAGCCTCACAAAATCCAGATTCCCTGCCACGCTGTTTCCTGCCAACCACACGAAACAGCCATCGAGGACAAAACCTCGCCCTTTGCTCGACGAAACATTGAACCCTCTTTTTGCCTTTTGGTACACCACAATTGCAGTCAACTGCCGTACTGCACATTCTACACATTCTACCACCAGACGCTCGTTGACCGCCGCTTTACCTTGGCACGACTCTCGCTCCTCGCTCTTATCGATAAATTCATCGTGTTGGCCGGGTTACCCTCAGCACCCGCCCCGCCGAGTAGCAAGGAAAGAAGTGCTTTCGCGTTTCACACATCTCCATCCGTCTGCTCGACAAATCGTTGGGCGACTGACACAGTCCTCGACCGCCAAACAGCGTACCGTCTAGCAATCCCGGCACCGGACGTTTAGTTGCAGTAGTTTGGAATGAGCCGCAACGCCCCTCACGACTTGGAGCTGCAACAGCCGCCTCAGGCCCCTTATGCGACCCATACCTCGCAGCATACTGGCGTGAGATCCCCATCGTATCACACTCGCAAGCAGTCTGCGCCTGTGGTCAGCGAACAGGTGAACAAATTCGACGACGTGGACATCACCGGGCTTCAACCACCACCTTCCGCTTTAACACCCACTACTGCAACTGCATATGACCCACATGCACCTTCCCCACTAGAGGACTTCCCTAGGACTGGCCGAAGTAGTCACCAGCGCACCTTGACCGGCACAATCTTCGACAACTTCAATCGCGCAACATCGACAATCCAACAGCATACTTCAAGAGCATCTTCACCTACAAAATCTCTGGCAAGCTTCATTCCCTCAAGAGGCGCTATCGAATCCAGCGCTAGCCAGCCTAAGATTAGGGCACTACAGAACTGGTTCAACGGCTCCTCTGCGCCCGTGAAGCTAGGTGTCCAGCCACAGGACGACTATTCGGATTCCGGCTCCGAGTCAGGAGAGAGTTACGATTCCGAGTCCGAAGAGGAGGAAGAGGAGAGGGGCAACATGATGACCAACCTCTTCAACCGTGGCTCTTCCCTCACGAGGGGCACGTCGCAGAGCCCGATGCGATCAGATGATACCCACACACCGAGCAAGGCACCGAGCCAGCCCACCGCTAGCAGCAAGTTCGCATGGCTGTTGTCCACACAAAAGAATGCCGCCGTCCCCCCTCCACAGCAGTCGCCCACATACCACAACCCTGACGACGAGCTACTCAACTTGAACATATCACACTCCCTTTTCCCACACGGTCCCGCCGATCCGCTAGCACCTTCGTCCTTCCACGACCTTCTTACCAACGCCGAAGCCCTCCTCTCTCGCTACCAGACCGCCTACCGCCAAGTCTCTATTGCCCTAGGAGACGCACATGCCGAACAGAGCGCGCAGGACGATGAGCTTGATGAAGCCGAGACACGGGCAAGGCACCTGAAGATGCAACTGGAGACAATGGCAGCACGAGCAGCCGAGCAGGACGAGCAAATGCGCGTCCTCATGGAAGACCTCGCGTTTGAGAAGAAAGCTCGTCAAGAAGAAGAGGCAGCTCGTAAGAGGAGTCTAGCCCTCATTAGAGCAACACCACAGTGTGAGCACACTTCGTGCCAGGAGTCTGCCCGTCGACACAACCGTGTGTCAGGCTCAGAAATCAGCGTCGATTCTGGTTTCGAGTCTGAGAATGAGACCGACGCTGCGAGCGTGTTCTCAAGAAGCTGCCTCAGCCCTACTGGTACCGACCGCTCATCCATTCTCGACAACGATATCCACGACACCACACCGAAGGGCCGAAAGCCTCAATCGCTACAACGGGGAAGCACATACGACAAGCCCCGAGAAGGCAAAGTCGACATCGCTAAAGGTGGGTGGGGATGCGCCAACTGCCAGGGCGGCGCACAATCTGCTGTTTGGGGCCGCCTAGCGAAGGAGCGAGAGGAGAACCGCACGCTCAGACTGCGTGTTGAGACCCTAGAGGAGGCTGTCGATGGTGCTTTGAATGCCGTCGCTGGCGCTTGGGGGATGTAAATATTCGTGTACGAGCATGACTTTGGCGTATATTGGCGTTTGGTATACCACTGTTTGACGATTGGATGACTATCAGATTGGTTTCAGTCTTTGGAATGTAGAACGCATACATAGTATCGTATAGCATCAACTACTACCCACCACAGTACCACTATGTGTACAAAACCTCGACATCACTTTTGCAATGTGACAGACCGAGCAGCATACGTGGGAACTCATTGGATATCCTTGAACTAATAACGACTCGTTTCAACAGTACTCAAAGCTTCTGCTCTCCAGAGCAGCATCCTTTTTCAACCAAAACCGACGCATTATTCTTCGTGCTTGGTACGTCGATAGCCGGGTTGCGCTCGAAGAAGTCGCTGGGCTTGAAATGCACTTGGTAAATCTCGACAGGCATAACGGGCCAGTCTTCGACTCTGCTTGTCGTTAGTATATGCGCCAACCTTCATCTAAGGCGATGAATCTTACCGTGGGTTATGTGTCAGTCCGAACACGTTCCAGAGAACAAGATCTTCATTCTCGACATTGTCCTTTCGCGCAGCCATGTCATGCACACCACCTTGCTCGAGCTGGCTCTGTAGCGTGAACCTACCCGCAGCGTATAGCTCATCATCCTGGTATTTTGTCACCCACACATGGTGGTTTGTGAAGAGCGCTCGTTGCGCTTGGATGCTACCTTGGCTAGCAAGTATCTTCTGCGTAGGGAGCGGTGCGAACTTGTATCCTACAGGGTTACCAGACTTTGGATTTTTCTTGGAAGGGTTAATGATCTTGAAGACGCGGTGGTCGAAGGGATTGGCGTCAACACCAGAGGACTTGTCGATGGTTGTCTTGCGGATTTCGTAAAAATTGCCATTGGGGTTGGTTTCCTTGTTCCAGGGAGCGGTGTGGGATTCTTCATAGAGGACGGTATTGTTGTGTCCGTCGATTGCTGGGTCAAAACGAGCGGCAAAGATGTGCTGGTGGTTTTGGGCAAGCACACCTCCTGATACGACATTGCCGTAGTCTGATGTCTTGCCTGGGTCGATGTTGACGACTGAGACGATACCAGTGGCTCGGACTTCAAGAGTGATACCACCGGCGGTGTCGAGCTTGTAGGCAAACACATACTCATAGTTCGCTAGGGTGATAATAAACTGAACGACGAGTTCTCGTAGTCGTGTTACTACTGCGCGTCCAGTTCTCCAGTTGGCTAATTTCTCACTTTAGCTCGTGCTGAGAAACTGTTTTGGGAGACTCACTGTGCTTCCAACCAATACCATTGTCTTGCTCGTGAAGACAGACCACATTGGGGTGGACCTTTGGTTCGCCATCGGAACCAACGATGACCGCATCAAAGTATTTTATCACGCCGAGACAGTCGCAACCTAGGGAAAGGTTGTTGGCACAGTTACCAGCACCTCCGTCACCAAAGTCGAATGCTTGCTTGCGGTGGAAGGGTGGTCGTGCATCTGCGTACGGGACCGACATCTCAGAAATGCTCATCCGGTACATGATGCTTCTACCGTCGTATTTGACGTCGTGTAGAACAGCCCCTTCACGCGGGTTGAATGATACTCTGAAGCTCCACTTCTGCCATTCGACTAGCGATTCGTCTGTAACCTTGAAGGAAGGACCCTCTGGTTGTGTAATGTTGATAGGCTTCACGTCCTGTCGAAGACCACCTTCGACCATCTCGGGGACGTATTCCGCACCCTCGCAATGGTCTAGAACACGCTCAGAATGTGTCTGGCCGGTAAGGCTATCGCCCTTTCCACCTGTGGCTAAGCGGTCAACGCGAATGATTTTCCTCGTTTGCGCGTCCATGACAGGAATTAGTGGTAAGGGGTAGGCGTAGAAGTTGGAATCGTCGTTTCCATTCCGTGTGTCCTGTGCAAAGCACAATCCTTGAAAGTATCTTCGGTTCTCGGCGCCAATGTCAAGACCACCGTATGGCCTTGTGTCGTTAGTAGTCTACATCGATAACTGGAAAGTAGGTACCTACCAGGGCTCAACAACCAACTCAAACCCATCAGGTAGCTTGAGCTCCTTCATGGCATCCTTGAACATGTCGCTTTCCTCACAAGCCTTGACCAGGTGTTGGAACTCCCACAGGGTCAAACTGGCCTGCTTCTCCTTTCCAACGATCTCATGGCGTACCCTCTTCTTCTGTTCAATATCTATGACAGACTCGTGGTACTCTGGTATCTTGTCGGTTCCGATAACATCGTATTGACACTTCGCCAACCGCGCTGGTCGCTTGGAAGCTGGTGATTGTCCTGGCTTTGCTGCATATTCTAGGTCGAGGTATTGTTTCATGAGCTCCTTCTCGGGTTCTTGGAGGTAGATCTCTCGAAAGTCGACAACGCAGTCTTTGTGGAGGGAGAGGACAGTGTCACGCGCGATACGCGTCTCCTCTACGTTGAGGATCTTGAAGGGGTGAGGTGCCATGGTAAGACGTCTAGCCTGGATAAAGAATGATGATGTGATCCTATGCTCACCCTAGAGTAGTGAAGTGTAGATGGGAGGTCATCAAGTCCGATGGGATACCACCCAATTTATCTACAGGCATATACATGATGCCGAGCCCGTGTCCCAAAGCGTAGAAGCGGGGACATTGGATGATAGAGCGTGGCGATAAGTCCAAACACGTAAAGCTGTACCGCCGTCATGCTCTCTGGCGGAATATCGCATGTACCTACTACTTCTGGTTAGTGCGACATAATAGTGATCGAGTCCTGCACGCCCTGTCAAGCAATACACGAAAACAGATATGTTATCTATCCCAACTCCTGTGACTCATGGGTATGAACAGGAAATCATGCGCTGTTGTTGTGTATCTCGCGGAACGTTGCGTGTGAAAAGAGCAAACCGCTCAGCGGAATTGTGTCCGCTGTGGGTCGGGTTGCTCGACTGGCTTGGGAAGAGACGCGATATTCTCTTAAAGGAACATTGCCATTGCGCTGCCACAACAAGCTGGGCGATGGGTCTTGTCAATCTTTGCAGCGGATTCATAGTCGTATCATGTAGATGAGTGATCTAGAGCATACAAGGAGATTGATGATACCAAGATTCAATCACGAAAGGCGTGCGATCTCGGAAGACATCTATACAACAGTGACAGAAACAATGTACCGGCTTGGCATGGTAGTGTGAAGACTACGTAGGCTTGTACTGAATTGGCTGGGTCTGTGTACGCTTGTCGTACATTGTCTATGGGTCTCGAGTTGTACATCAGGACGATCCCGAGGTCGCTATGAAGAGAGCCCTGGAGATATTCCGCAGGACTAGGAAGATTTCTTAGCCGTACATTCGGTGTCATGCTGTACAGTAAAACTGCTTCAACATCAAGATATTGTACGATACAATAGCCGATATTCTTCCGGCATTTATTTCCCTGCAGACGAAATCACAGCGGTGCAGTATTCGCTAGGCTTTCCTCGAATAGCAATATTGATGCCTGGGTGAGAGCAGACCGTCTAGGCGCCCGTAGTGGAGATTAACGATCTTTTCAGACAGTCTTAGTTAGTAATACGGCTCTCGACTCGTGCATGACACTATTCCCTAGCCAGACCGAAGACCCACAGGCGAAGTTGGAGGCAGTTTCCTAGATCTCGTGAACCAATAGTACGGATATTAAATTTGCTTTGTCACTTCCTTCCATCAGATCAGCCATTCCAGTTGTTCGAAACCTCGCATCGGTGGTTTAGTGGTAAAATTAGCCGTTGCCATCCTTCACAGGACAGTTTCGGCTAGCCCCGGGTTCGATTCCCGGCCGATGCAGCTATCAACTTTCTTTTTGTCCTCATGGACGTTGTGCGGTGGTTGTGGTGAACAGAGATGTGTTTCTAAGGGGGTGGTCGGAAGCGCACGTGACAATGCTGCGGTGGCTGGCATGCGGCACTAGCGCCGGTTATCTCCGCACCAGCAGCAGCTTGCTAGACGTGGTAGACATTATCTAAGAAGACATGCACAGCGGCTTTTGTTTTTTGTTCCTACGGTATCATGCGACTTTTATCCCTCTGTGGGAACTACTTCTAGTCTATGCTGCAAAAGTTTCCATACATAGCGCTCGCTCTAGCTCCAATTACAAAAACTATTGCCTACACATGGACGCTGTTTCGTACGCCATAGAGATAGAATATGTGCCTCTAGGTCTACTATAGGCCTAGTTTGTATGGCAATGGACGTCAGTTTGTGCTTCAGTAAATGAGTTGATTGAATGGCCTTGGTCGCAGGTATCGTAGGCCTATCACCTACAGCACATCCAACACCTGGCAAGATTGCCCCTCATCCCTTCGCATTTCCTGCGATAGTAGCAGCCACCACACCCCCGATAGCTGCACCAAGTCCGATCCTCCTATTCTCCCTCTGCCCACTCACTCGCCATCGGTGACTCGCTTTCGGCACGACGACCCTCTCTGGCTCTGCAAGACCCATCTGTCCCGGCGGCGCATGTTTGAGTTGTCCGTACTGCACCCTCCTTTTCCCAACATCCTCAAGTACCTGATCGAAGTCGCCATGATATGCTTTTGTCTTGTCAGGCGCGATGATGGGCGCACCAAAGGCTTGCGATATTTCAAGCGGACCAAGAGTGACCTTGCGGCCGAGCTGCCAGAAGCCCCAATATACGGGTAGGACGAGCATAACAGTGACGAAAGTTGCTACGAGGGCGCCAGCGACGTAGGCGTATGAGGTTTTGTATTGCTCAACGATACCGGTGACTGATGCGATGACTGTTTGGTTGGCCATCCCGAGGTCGCCGTCTAAGCTTTTATTGGAAAAAGGCGCGCCTGTAATGTACAACGCTGTCACGAAGCTCAGGGTGTTGAGTTTGCGCAATACCTCGACGGCGGGATCGTCTTTACCTTGGCTAATATTATACCAGCAACGATTGAGAGTTTCATCCGATTGGCCATAAAAAGTAGTCTGAGCCGAGGCGCCTCGAGCGACAATATCCCATGTGTCGTTGTTGTAGGTAAGATTCGCTGAGGATTCATAGAGGTTGTTCATGATGTATGTTAAAGCGCCGATAGTAGAGGGTTTGCCGAACTGCTCTTCGAGATTGACAGTCTCTTTTACTTCAAGTTGGTCGATCTGTGTAATGTTGTCGAGACTCTCACCAATTTCCCAGTTTTCGGGGCGGGAATCATTAGAGAACTTGATGTGTGTGACAATGTTTTTGCCTTTTAGTTCTTCTTCGCTTGGTACCATAACAGTAACGGGATACTGAACGAGGGCGGGCTTGATCTCGCACCTACGGATAGTCATAGTACCCGGACAAGAGTGCTCGTCTTGTCCAGGTTTGCTATCGACGTAGAGCATCTCGAGATCGATGCTGGCGTACGGTTTGGTTCCCGTTGGCCACGAGGCATTGAACTTGACATCCCATAGCGCATACGAATTGTCCGATGGAGGTATGCCCTGTAGCTCTGATTCTCGTCTTTCGTAACCATAGTCTACCTGCCTGGATGTATTGGTGCAGTTGAATGAGAAGCCTAAGCCCTCAATAGCGCCATGACACTCTTGTCGAAAAGGGCAATCCCAAAAAGACTTTGTTTGGTCAAGAGTGTCATGTACCTTACCATTTGCGATCTTGCCGTTGTATGCATCCAGTACGTTAGCCCAAGCTTTATTGACGGTCTTGATATTGCCGTCCCCTCCGGGTATACCACCAGAATTCGCTGGCCAGTCTTTCTCGATGAACCCAGTCATAGTGTGGTTCATATAGTCACTTTCCTGGGTGACGATAGTTTTTGTCGCTTTTTGAAATAGCGTACTGTCGATGACGGCGAACTTCGTCATAAGAGCAGCGAGAGCGATAATGTTGAAGTGTCTACCGGAAGTGATAATCGCATAGAAGCTGTAAGAATACGCGTGATTCTGATGTAGTTTCCGGAGTGAGCTTCCGCGCAAGGCTGTCCTCCACCATGCGATAGCCAGCCCCTGACCAATCAATGTAACCAGCCCCAGGTTCTGAACTTGATTCGCAATGTTGAGTAGTACGTTGGGTTGGGCGGTGAACCTAGTCTGTTAGTCTCCGTTTCATGTCTAATCAGCTAATTTGACTAACTTCGTAAAAGGCCAGTCTTTGACTCGCTTTTTGTTAGACGTAGCCAGTATGATTACAGCTCCGGCGGTGGCCACGAGGATGACCATAAGTCCTGCGAAGCCGAGCCATGGGAATTGATGCTTGAAGCCAGGTCTCCAGTCAATACCGTCTATATCCGGATTGTGTTCGACATGATCGAACTTTTCGCTACAATCTTGTCGAGACGTGTTTGGAGATTCGCTAGAGGTACCTGTGTAGCTGGTGGAATTTTCGCGTTCCTCGGTGATAGCATCAATCATGACTTTGAAGTCTTCCTTTGGTGAGCTGGGAGCAGTCTTCCAGCTATCCCTATTGTGTCCAGAATCATTGTTGACCAAAACTGGCGACTGCGGGACTTGGCGTATCTCATTGTCCATTGGGCGATCTAGCAAGTGGCAGCAAGACCACAGGTGAATAGAACAAACGAAGCCCAGTGACGACTGAAGCTAGAGAAGCGACAAGTAGATGATAGTAAGACTTCGTGAAACAAAGGGAGAAGCAAACAAATTCGCGTCGCGTGCTCCTGGCAGTCGTAGTACATATAAAACGATGTGGCACGGGATGCCGGTATATCAGCACAGGCCTTGCCGTCAGGCAGCCCAATGTTCATGTTGCATCTTAGTTGTTTGTGGGGGCTGAAGCTCACCAGGAAACCCACAAAGGCTTAGAGACGTGAATGCTGGCGTAGTTGACGATTGGTTGTGAGTGCGTAAGGGCCGCGGATGTCAGCCGCAGGAGGCTTGCCAACACACGCCTTACCCTTTTCAACCATCACAAATGCACGAAGCGAGATTGTCCAATCGCGGAAAGAATAAGATCGGACGGTCTTTGAGCCACGCCCTCCGCGTTAAGCTGGAAAGAACGAGTCGATTGCTAACAGGCGATTGCATTCGGAGGCAATGTTCTAGCTCTTTCCCCTTCCCGCATCTTCTGAATTTGTGTTCTATAAGACCACGGTAAAGGATAGCCGAAAAGGGATTAAAGTAGTCGGTAGCAAAGATGGTCGGTGATTCCCAGCAGCCATAGAAGTCTTGGTTAATGCACATACTGTTGGCATATCAGCTCGGATGGTAGAGCGGTACAACACTAGCCTGGTTCCCTCAAGTGTAAGTTCCAAAAATAGAATTCGCAAAAGGTCTTTAAAGCAGGTGTTTTCGCGAAACCTCAAAGAAGGATTTGGCCCCCCCGAACCTTCCATTGCCGGAAACGCAAACGCAAACGATGCGCTGTCACATTAAGATCTCAAGAACGTTGTGCGTCCCAGTTTGCCGTTTTTGCATATATTTGAGCGGCAATGTGTGGACTGCGCGATAGTTGCAGGAGCGGATGCATGCATCGGGGCATGCGGGGTTGGTAGTGCCAATGCCGGAAGTTTGCCTTCAGTCCTGCATTTGTTCATCGTCTGGCTCTTGCTCCTCCTTGACATCATCTTTCCCACCTTCTTCCTCTGGAGGCATAGACGTAGGGAACGAAAGGTGTTTCCAGTCTTCGATCTGCGAAAAGTTAATAACTCTAGTGCAGCAAGAGAAAGATATTACACACCTCCTCGGTGATGCTCTTCAGGCGGTCACGGATGCTCTCCACAGCATAACTACCCAAGATCAATCGTAGCGGAGGATAACTACAATGACCTAATTGCCATACCAACTCTGCACTCTTTACAGCGCTGACTGGTTGTCTGTCGTTCAGCCATTGTACCATCCGTCGCGCGTGTTGCGCGGGACTTGTCAGCCCCGCATAGGGTTCGCTTGGATTCGGTTTCACGAAGAAGTGGCCATAACGCTTCGGCTTCGGAGGTCCTGTTCCAGGAGTAGGCGCCGAAGTATAACTGGGTGGTAATATGTTATCGTCTGGCTCGTCCAATCGAACATGACCGGGCTCGACCAATGTTGCTTTGATGTTGAAGATATCGACCTCGTACAACATGGACTCTATCAGACCCTCAACAGCGTACTTGGTCGCACAGTACGGGCCGAGTCCCGGCACGCCAAGTGCTCCAGCCGTGGACGAGAATATGAGGTATCGACCAGAGTTCTGGGAGCGGAAGTATGGGAGGGACAACTGCAAGATGTGAAGTGTTCCGAGGAAGTTTGTTGTGAATTGATTTCGCAGGTCGTAGTCGTCCTGGTCCTCGCATGCTGCTATGACGCCGTAGCCGGTGCTGTTCGCTATGACATCCACCTGACCCCAGTATTCGATGCTCTTCTTAATGACCTGATCTACTGTCTCGCGCACTCTTACGTCACACAACAGGCCGAGGCAATTCCTGTTCTGCCATTTGTCCATCTGTTCTGGTGTGTTCTCCTCGGTCCAACCCACTGCAGTGCATTGGTCACCATGCGCTAGTATCGCTCGAACGAGGGAACGCCCCATATGACCGGTCGCCCCAAAGACCTGCATTCCAGAGTTAGCTACCGATGACCAGGTGGCCTATTCAGTGACTTACAATCCATACTGCTCGCTTGGGTGGATTGTGCTCAGATGGTGGGTCGCATGTTGCTGGCAGGATGAGATTGGGATTGTGAGTGGCCGCGCCTGGCGAAAGGCTTTGACTTTGGGTATCGAAATCCATAGCGACGTTGAGGAATCTCTACAATGATATGCGATGTCGAGCCGGTGCAGAAGGTGGGGAGCTTGGCAGCCAATCGGACTTGCAACTGCCGCTATCTCCGTGTGCTTCAAGTGAAGGAGCAACGAGGACGCGTGAGGGGACGGGGTTCGTTGCGCGATTGATGCGCATAATGTATCGTGTCGCGTCAGAATAAACATGTCGGATGACCATCGTAGCTGGATTTAGCATTCAAGGCATGATGAACCTTCTCTCGTCGATGAGGAACCGCAGCCCCTCGATAACCAGGTGGGCTGGGAAGGCTTGTTGTCGGTTCATGAAGTTGCTGACCAGAATGAAGAACATGATGAAGATATCAAGGTGCATAGGCGAAGTGAGGAAGAAGTGGTATGCGAGGAACAGAAAGGCCTGGGCCCGGTATCTGCTCTTGATGGACCGGATGACTCTGTTTGCCTTGATAGCAGCGGCGCGGTTGGTAGGGGTTTTGAAGGTGACAACCTTAGAAAGGAGGGGCATCCTAGGCAGAATCGAGGTTTCAGGCGGCTCTGAGTCTGGGGAGACCTCGGGGTTGCGGAGAGACTTGGTGAAATGATTAGGAGGCTCTCTTATCGATAGAGCTCGGTCCCTGCGCGGGCGTCCTTCCGATGCACAATTACGTCTGTCTGCCTTCTTCGAGCCCGTTCAATCCACAACCAACATGCAATTGTTCCACCGATAGCAATATCAACCATGGTCAAAGCAGTGCCCACACCTGTGGCGCTGCCAGTCACACAAGGCAGCTCATCCTCGTAATCACACCTTCATTCCATGGAGGACCCCGCTAACATGCTGTAGACTTTCCTTCACGCAAGGATTTCTGCTCGGCCAGCTTTCAATCGCGATTTTGATGTTTTGTTTCATAAAGTTCTTTATATTTGGAGAGCCACCATCTGCCGACGATCGCGCGTTACACCTCAATTCCCTCCGCCGAGCTCGAACCCTAGCACACCAACAATCGTACAAGCAACTAAGGACGCGCGCAAATTCAACGTCCCTGTCTCTACGCCACAAACCGTCAAGAAGCATAATACGAAAGGGCGAAGAGAGCAGAGGAGGACCAAGCATCACAACTATCCTCGCGAAGACCTACTACAACGTAAAGGGACACCAGCCGGAGAGCTTAGACTGGTTCAACGTGCTCATTGCGCAAACAATCGCACAGCTGAGAGCCGACGCGCGGCAGGATGATGCAATCCTCACATCGCTCACCGAAGTCTTGAACACGGGCAGCAAGCCAGACTGGATTGGCGAGATCAGGGTAACGGAGATAGCGTTGGGCGATGAGTTCCCCATCTTCAGCAATTGCAGAGTAATGCCTGCAGAAGACGGATTTTGGTACGGGCCGGGAAACACAGGGAACGAGAAAGAGAGACTACAGGCACGGATGGACGTTGATTTGAGCGATGTCATTACCATTGGCGTTGAGACGACACTGAACTTGAACTGGCCGAAACCCATGTCTGCAGTCTTGCCCGTCGCGCTTGCTGTGAGCATTGTACGGTTCTCTGGGACACTGGCCGTGTCATTCATACCCTCTTCCTCACCTCCACCTACCGCTGCGCCCATGACCTCGCCAACGTCCGAGACACACCGAGGCTCTTCTCCAAGCCGTCCAGCATCATCATCTGGCGCACCACCGCACCGACCTACAACATTAGCGTTCACCTTCCTAGACGACTATCGTCTCGACCTCTCCGTTCGTTCCTTAGTTGGTTCACGATCCCGCCTGCAAGATGTACCAAAAATCGCTCAGCTGATCGAATCTCGCGTCCACGCTTGGTTCGACGAGCGGGCAGTAGAACCCCGCTTCCAACAAATCGTGCTCCCCTCACTCTGGCCTCGAAAACACAACACGCGCGGCGGAAGCGCCACCGAAGACGCCGACGCTGCAGCCGGAGAAAACGAAAATGACGAGGATGATGAGATCGCCGTCATGGAAGGAAACGGTACCGCTCCAGGTTCAACATCTTTCATCCCTAGTCCGATTGCTGAGAACGCTACTCTGGAAGAGCGTATAGAAGCTGAAGGCCAGAAAATGCGGGAAGCCGAGATCAGAGCTGGGGTCAGGAAACCCAGTGCAAGTGACTCTCGTAGTCGGAGCAGGAATAATCGAGAAGATGGTATGCGATGGCGGGGTGAGCAGAGAGATCGAGATAGGCCGAAGGGACCGCATGGTCGACCGAAGTTACAGAGTCGGACCACGACTGGTATTGCGGGAGCTATACCTGGCGCTTTGCCGAGAGGATAGGCATGAGTATCCTTATGATGACATGACTAGATGTGTATTATGTTACGAGCGGTGGCGTCTTGGACAAAAGCGTGCTACAAGCATACGCGTGTATATAGTAATGAAGCTCAACATCACCAATGGTCATCTCTCACGGACACACATTCGATGTGCGTACACTACCAGACAACACAAGACACTGGCCATCATTGATGCTCACTTCAACGAGGTAAGTCGTATTAATTGCACCGACTCATCTAGATATTCTAGCCAGCAAGGCGGTCTATTCGTCAATAGCACACCGCGTAATACACCGCTAAGTCGATGGATGATGCATTTATCCCACAACAGAATGAGGGCAGAGATCGAGAAAAACGCCATGGGTATCTGTCGTTCTCTAGTTATGACAGGAAAGTAGATAGCAAGAAGGTGAAGATGGTTAAACATGGATCCTCAAGACAACATGGAGTCAAGCGGCATTTGGAGGTACGCATACACATTTACTGCCCGTTGATAGTAGGAGTAGGTGCAGACTGATGTGGTTGTTGAGCCTCGAATGTGCTAGCTGGAGCCTCCACTGGCGCCTGGGACTTTGGTGCTTCTTCAGGGGGAGTTGGTGCAGAGAAAACTCCATCGAGCTTGGGCAGCGCTTCTGGGTTGCCAGTAGAAGTCTGTTGTTGCTGTGCGACTGGGACAACTGGAGTATAGATTCCGTTCATAGTACCTGCAGATGCAGGCGCGGGAGCGGGTACTTCCTGCGCGGGCGCAGGCTCAGGCTGTTTTGGTGCGCTGGTGCCGGTCGACGACGCGACTGTCGCAGCAATAGAATCGCGATCCACCCCATTTGTCATGGGCGCATCTTCTTCGTAAGCAGGAGCACCTTCAGATGCACCTTTCCGGTAGCGTAGAGTGACCATAAGGCTGTGTGGTTCTTCCTCCTCTTCCGATTCCTCCGCGGCATCATCTTCGTCGTCGTCGTCGTCGTCAAGATCCATCTGATCTGGTTCCTCTTCATCGTCATCTCCACCATCCCAAGACGTCGCGTCCTCCTCGTCTTCCGAATCTACTGTTCGGTTGAATGAACGACCATTTGTGGTACCTCTGTTGGCGGCGCGAGTCGATCGGCCATGGCCTAAATATGGTTCTTCCGACACATCAGATCGGACATAGTCGCCAGTCGCAGGCGATGCGTGGTCTGCAACTTGTCCACTGAGCAATGTTTCGCCATATAAACCTGTTGCTCGAGATCGGACCTGTCGACCACTGGCGGTGACAGTAGGACCAGAAGGTGCAGCGGGTGTGTCGCGGCCCGACTGTCGCCCTGATCGGCGTACGGAGGTGTTGTCTGAATCGAAGTCGTTGTCCTCGTCAAACGTGTATCGTTGGCGCTTGCCACGGGTGCGGCCTTCATATAGGGAGAAACCAGGTTCTGGGCGGGTGAAGGCATCTTTGCGCTGGCGTGTGTACTCTCGTCGCTTACGTTTCTAAATGACTGTTAGCATAAGATGACTTGTAGAATGGACGAGGCGTACATTTTCTGAGGCCTCGAATCGTGGCACGGCGTTAAGCATACGCTCGCCAAGTGCCTTAGCCTCTTTGTGCCCATCTACTTCCTCCAGCTTTGTCGCAAGCGCCTTCAACTCATCGATGGAGCCGGCGACACTTATCCATTGTACGTTCTTGCGGCTCGGGTCGCTCTCGCGGTAGATGCGAAAGTGGGTATCGTTTTGTCCTTCGACTAGATAGTATCGACGCTTGTCACCGTCACGGCCCCATGCTTGCACCGATAACGGGATGTTGGTATCTTGCTTATCCTTGGTAGTGCGAGACTTGTATGCATTGTTGATCATGGCCTTGACTTGCTCGTTTTGATTGAGGCTCCAAAGGCAGAGTGAGTGGAGGAGGGTGATCTATGCGACGGTAAGCATTTGATGGTATCAGGATATATGACTACTTACTCGTTCTACTGCCGTCATTGTGTTGAAATTGCGACCGCCGCTGAGGGGATTGCCGGTCCATTTGGTGGGCCATTGTGGTTTTTGGGTTTGGATGGCTTCCTCGAGAGCGCGACCGTAATGACCCTTCCTGTAGAACACACACGTGTCAGCTTGAGCAATACTCCATCTACTGTGTGACGCCCACGCGACCGCAGAACGGGTGTTTGTGAAGAGCGAAGGGGTCAGACTGACTCGACAGGTTTCTTGCGATTGAGGACGAGGCCGAGCAAGGCGCATAGTAAGCCTTCGACGTCGGCGGACGGTGTGTCTTCCGCGACACCCTGCTCGATGTCCTGAGGCCCTACAGAAGGGGAACCGCGAGGAAATGCTTCGTTGAAACGTGACCGGAACATTACGATGAACTATGGCACATGGCATTAGCGACGCCTGAGCGGGCGAGTCGGGCGCGACTGCGACGCAATGCAGCGCGTCACGACGCGACGGACGCGTCCAATACGTACAGCAATGTCTGGGTTGTCCTCTGGTACAGGCTCATGTGGCGGGGACGGCGCCCGTTTTCTTGGAGGCGGCGAGGGCGAACGTTTGTTGAAAAAGGTCAGGATTGTGCCGTTCTTCTTCTTTTTCTGAGGTGCGGGCTTCGCAGCAGCAGCCTCTGGGACTTCAAGCTCCATCTCATCGTCAGTCGGGGGCGCAGAAGACAGAGACGAGTCCGAGTCGGCCATGGTTGCGGTTGTTTTGGGGGGTTGATGTTGGTGGTTGTAATTGCGGCTGCAGTCGCGGGACGAGGAGAGAACTACGAACAGAGCACGGTTAGGCAGGCATGAGGTAATGCTACTTTCGCTAGCACAGAGATCGACTATATGGATCCCTGTAACTTTGGGGTAATCAGGACAATGAGAATGGCCACCCAGAGCGCCTTTGTTTGGTAAAGCGAGGGTCGGGTAGACAGCAACGAGAAAGGAGTGGTGCAGTCAGGGCAAACTTTGTATTCTGAGAGTATCGTTTGTCTATAGACCTGATGTTCGCGTAGTGCTGCAATTGTGTTTCGATTCGCATAGGGCGAAACAAGAGCGAAAGGAAAGCTATCAATTTTACCGTCGCTCTTCATCCGTTATCCCAGAACCTGCTTTATCGAGGTCGGCCTTGTGGACACGGTCTGCCGAGGTTCAAGAGTTCCACGATACGAAGTAATGGTAGCTTGAGCGTACCTTGTATCCATTGAGATCAGCCTTGCGCCCTGTATCATTTCGCAAACCTTTTCCATCCCGGACTGTACAATCAAACGTGGGGACGCGATTGTCCTGATGGGATTGTGTATATCGTAGGCCTCCGTTGCTTGTATAGCGCATCGATGCACGTTAGTGTTCATGTTTAGGGCCGTCTTGCTGATCGGGCAGGTGAACCCTCGAGACCATCAGTCATGCGGAAAACGCTTTACAACTCCACATAGGCAAATCGCAACAAGAGCGTGGAATCCTGCGCAGGTATGTTGGTAATGCTTGTAATGGCACATGAATCTCTACTGATTGGGTCCTTCTCTTGACATCTTCATAATCCGCATGAGCGGCATGAAGCGAAACATTGAGAAATGATGTTCTAGAGTGAGCCTGCCGAAGAGGGTGTTTCTCCGGGTGCTTAAATGGATCAGTGTTGGCTGCAGGTGTGCACATATGCGTCGGGCTTCTAGTCGGAACTTGGAACTAGCCCGCGCAATCCTGAAGTTGCAGCGCACATCTGCCCACTCCCTGTCGCATACATGATGACAACATCTGCCTTAGCAATGAGAATATTGCGCAAGCGCGTGTCGTAATCAGAAAGAAACTATTTCCGATTATGTAGGATCGAGTGAGAGAGAGACTTCGTGGGACGAAGAAAAAGAGGCCGTTTCAAAGATGCGCCAGAAAAGACTCATGAAACTTGCTACAAAGGAACGTGAAAGCGCAGGTGATGTGGTGTTGACTTGGCTGAGGAGAGACGCGAAATTGAGGTTGGTGTTCCATCCAAGCAGAAGAGATGGCGCTTACCAGGTCACGTGCGGCACTATGCACTGCTGAGCGAGCAGGTAGACGATGATGTCAGAGCCAGTATTGGATCATCTTAATATTCTCCTTTTTCTCCGATCATGGTCGCAACTTATACAAAAGGAATCGAGGAAAGCAAGGCAATGTGGGTATACGCTGGGACTTTGATGGAGTGTGTATTCGCCATGGGTCGATCGAGGCAAGATAGCGACTACATTGACCGCATATGCCAAGGCTGTTCAACGATATAGAGGCAGGCTTTTCAGCTCTGTCGCGGCGATTGCAGGAGCCAGGTGATATATTGCGCTGCAAGACAAGACCGCTTGACCTGATGAGGGAAGGAGATTGGAGTTCGCGTTGTTCCTGGCTGCATATTGATGAGTCTGGAAGGCGCACTAGACTACCAACATGCGCTTCTGTAGGTCCATGAAAATCCCATGGCGGCGCGCGATAGGGAGACAAACCGAGTAGGAGCCTACTGCTGATGCCGGTGATTTGCTCGGTGACTTGTGCAGAGGACAGAGAGCAGCTAAGAGGGACGCTTCATTGGTACGGGTGGCGACGGTGAAACTGCACATCCATCATGTTGCGCTTGCTTGCGCAAACCATGACATGGACTGTGCCAAGAATAGAACGAGGGGGACGGTCTGCGGTAGCAAGTTGGATGTAATGTGTGGCAGGGCGGGTGAAACGGAGGGCATGCCTACAGAGGGCGATAGTGGGTGGGTTGGCTGTGGTGAGTAGACGGAGCGCCGGCGGAAAGGCCTTAGGGCGGCAAACCCCGGAATAGCGACAGTCGTCCCGCCCATGTCAGGACTGGCTGGGCCGCGTCTTTGGGCGACGCTGATCACCGTTGGAGACACCTAGCCCGTCTGTGGTTTCTGGAATAATGGGTCAGGGTCGCGCCTGCTTAGCCTGCGATATTGACACGCGTTGGCTCTCAACTTCTGCCGTAGGTCGCCCACTATTGCGAAACCTACTCTCCTGACTTCAACTATTGTTCTTGCCCGCGGCGAATCTGCCTCCTCCTTTCTTCTCTGCTTCCCTTTCTCCGTGTCTTTCGCTGGGTGTTGATCGTCCCGCGCCTGCCTCCCTGGCCCGTATCGATAGCTATACCCTGCACACGGCCCATATCTTATTACGCACGCCGCAGCCCCCCTCGTCACTCTGCTTGTACCACGCTTCCTTACTGCGTTCCCTCACACACGGCCGCAGTCATGAATGTCACCAAGAAATTCGATCGCTTGAAGCAATGGACCAACGAGAAGATGGGCGCAGAGGCCCGCACTGGGCTCTCCGACGAGTTCAAGGCGCTCGAGGTAGAAATGAACCTGCGTCATGAGGGTATGCACGAACCCGAGCCCTGCAGCTCCTGTCTCGCACGCTGACAACGTCTGTAGGTATGGACAAGATGCAGGCCGCCATGGCTGTCTATGTTAAATCGCTATCCAAGCGCGCAGAGGGCGCCGACAAGGAGAAGCAGCTTCCAGGTGGCCACTTGGGCTCGTCCATGGTCACCCACGGCGAGGACTTCGAGCCCGACTCGGAATTTGGCAATTGCTTATCATGTGCGTCTTGCGATCAATCGGCTCATGTACACCCCACTAACTACCAGCAGCACTGGGACGTGCCAACGAACGTCTGGCGCGAGTACAGGAGACGTATATCGCAAGTGCTACGTCATCATGGCTCGAGGGTCTTGAGCGGTCTTTGATCCAAATGAAAGAGTATCAGGTAGGACAGCAGCTGCATGAACATGATCGTGACCATTGAAGCTAATTGGCCTCAGTCCACCCGCAAGAAGCTCGAGACGCGTCGTCTGGCTTACGATACCTCTCTAGCCAAGATGCAGAAGACGAAGAAGGAAGACTTCCGCATGGAGGAGGAACTACGCGCCCAAAAGGCCAAATACGAGGAGACCAGCGAAGAGGTCTTCAGGAGGATGCAGGACATCAAGGAGTCAGAAGTCGACATGGTCCAGGACCTGACCGCTTTCCTCGAGGCAGAGCTCAGTTACTACGACCGCTGTCGTGAGATCCTCCTCAACGTCAAGCGGGAGTGGCCGGTTCGGTGAGGACTTCTCCATCAGCGTAAGACCTAGTACATTGCTGACGCATGACACAGAGACACCAGGGCTATTCCTAGCCGTCCCGCGCGCTCCCGATCCAACACTGCACACGGCTATGCAGAGCGCTTCAACCCGGTCGAAGAAGAACCCGAGCCCGAAGTCCCTCGTATGACTATTCCCAAGCTTACGTCCACGCGCAGCCGTTCGCCTGGCCCTGAGCAGTCGCCAGGTGGCTACTCTCTACGCCCCTCTCTTAGCCGAACCTCGACCTACGATAACGCCAATGGCTACCGAGACGACTCCCCTGCCCGCCGACTGTCCCGCGTCCCCACCGATTCCTCTGTCATATCTTCCGGCCGTACCAACCTCCGCCCAGTCCGCCAGGCTAGTGCCAGCCAACAGAACACCTTTGCTGATGACTACGAGGACGATTATGAGCGATCTAACGGCAATGGGTACAGGCGTGATCGATCGCCGCCCAGTCCCGATACGTCGTCATCTGTAGGTAGTGGACGCGGTGGCAACATGTCGCGGGCAGCGAGCTGGACAGCGAGCGAGCAGGGACAGGGAAGCAATGGCAAGAAGGCACCTCCGCCACCACCTCCATCAAGGGCGAAGAAGCCACCGCCACCTCCACCACCAATGAAGCGAAGTGCGTTGAGTGAATCTCAAGTAGCACGCTACTAGCCCGCTTTCATCTTCATTCCATCTTCTTCTTGGCTAACAAGTCTGTTCGTAGAGCCCATGTCTTCCTCTATCAGAGTTGCTAGTTGGTAATACTGATATGAGACGCGTCGACATGTTGTTCAGGACTCACTTGGCAGAAAACTGGGTCTGCGTTATCGACCGCAGTGCGGTCTGGCGTATGCGGCGTTACATTTGCGGGTTCATTGAATATCAGTGCCGCGGCGTTCTTGGGGTTGGGTGGAGCATTTCTCAGCGAGCACCTGTTATGCACGAAACAAGTTCAACTGTAGCATTCATGCTAGGCCTCTACCTCTAAATCTACCTCTTTTACACAACTGTAGCGATTGAGTGAATTCCCAATGTATACATTCGATGGATGCCAGCTGTGGGTGAAACATCGATACGAAAGCGATTTTCCAAAAAAAAAGTAAAGCAATTCGTGTCTATTACTCAACAAGTCAAGGCCGGTTATCCATACCTCGGCCGCTCAAGAATTGCGGGCCTTTCGTAAACACTATCGTACTCCGTGTCTCGTACACGCTCCATCATTGTTCGTATTTCGCCTGTTGAGGTGGGAAATTCCAATTTTCCTACATGGGCATTAGCACAATCAACTTTCCATCACCAGACGAAAATATTCACTCACCCATTGCTGTAGCCCCCCATTCGGACTCGTAGTTCCAAATTCGCCATGATGCCCAGTATCCACCGGCACAAAAATAGCACCCGTATCCTGACCAGCACCACCGTTCATTCCGCCCCAAACATCAAAGTCCTGGTCCGAGCCACCGCCGCCGCCACCACCACCACCATTCAGGCTACCAAGTATACTATCGAAATCCACATTCAACCCATCTAGTGTGCCCGTTGTGGGCGTCCTCTGCAATTGACTGTGAATATTATTATTCGGCGTCTGCTGCGCACCGAATCCAGGACTAGTCACCGAGCCACCAAAGGAGGGCAACGGTTGAAGTGTGGGATGCTGTTGGGGAGCAACCTGCTGCCTTTTCTTGTTGAAACCCTTCATTACATAAAAGGCTTCTAGGTTCTCTTTTACAGTGAAGAGGAGATCTGAGCAACGTTCTCTTACACCGACGCCATAGCAGTGGCCAAAGATGTGGTCGATGATGGTCGCCATGCGCTCTTTCCGGGGCAGATCGGGTGTACGGTAGAGTTCGGTGAGGAGAAGCAGGACCGCGTGATATTGCTGGTAGGTGGTCGAGTACCAAGCCCAGGAGGAGAGAGAGGGCAGTGTGTCTAGTGTTGCACCGATTTCAAGTGTGGTGAGGGCTGCGGTAAGGAGGACGTCACGAAGGCGGTTCTCGGATTCTGAACGGGGTTGCAAGGAGGTTTGTGGAAGGTGGCGGTATAGGAGCATGGAGTCACAACGGGACATCAGGAGTGTCGCAACTAGGCCTGCGTATCGTTGAATAGGCGCGTTGGCATCCAGATATTGGAGGTATTTACTCTGGATCTGGCGTTTCTTGGCTTCTACGCGGGCGCGGAGGTCATGGAGGGTAATGTGTTTGCGATCCATCTCAATCCTGCCGCGGAATATGAGACGGTGTATCTCGTTGCACTCGTAGCGTATCAACGACAATGTGACGTCTGACCAACCGGTAGTGGAGGTTGGGTTTTGCTGCCACTTCGGGCTGCCAAACTCAAAGACGTCGTCATCTACGTTCAACGGAAGGGCAATGTCAAAGTCATCTGACCGGATTGAAGGATGGGGTCCTTGCGCTTCTGCTGTCTTGAAGTCCAAGAAACAGATCTGATACCACAGGAGCGACCGAACATGTCGTTGCAGTGGTGTTAGACTATTGGCCGAGCTGTGGCTCATACGGTGTATGCCTATGCATTGTGCCAGGCGGACCAATGCGCCAACTACAACAGAAGTAGCCCGCGATATTTGCGCCCGGCAGAGGGGTATCTGCATGTGTTAGTATTCAAGAGTACGTTCAGGATGGTTCGATATCGTACCAGGTAGATTGTCAAAGCTTGCAAAGTCCGTATGTTAGATGTCTTCGCCCAATTAGCGCGAAGCAATGCCCGCTCCGTAGCTTTTTGTAGGCGCAGGAAAAGATCCTCTTTCGTAATCCCAAACTGCGACTTGGCTTGTAACGGTGAGACAGAAGCAGCGGCAGCCATACATACTGCCAGTATCAAAGCAGTACAGGAATTCTGGTTAGGGTTCCCAATCTCAAGGTTCATCCAAAAGCGATCAAACATGCGCTTGAACGACGGAAGATGCAACACGTGCGCAAGCGGGCTGACGGCTTCCGTGTACCGCTGTAGTAGCCCCTCGGCCTCCATCTTGGTGGGCAGTTGTGGCGCCTCAACTTCGTTATTCTGATGTATAGGCAGCGAACCACCTAGCAACAGATTCAGCGACGGCGCAAGCGATGGCATCTGCTCTGCTGATAGAAGCGCAGATGACTGTGTCGCTCTTTGGCCCGTGACTGATGAAGAAGGCGTGAAGCTCTCAGACAGAAGCTTGCCGAGCTACACAACGTTTCAGTCTGCGGTCATGGAAAGGCAATGCAAATGCGAGATAAAGCACATGGACAGGGCAGAAAGTACCTCTTCGGCGTATTGGGGGCGGAAAAATCCAGTGACGTTTTCACAAATGATCATCCTCCCGATTCGAATCGTGAGATCAGTTGCGATCTGATCTTCGTCGTCGTTCTCGTCCTCATACACGTCGTCCTGCGTCTCTTCAGGCTCTGCGGGCAGTCTCTCCCAAGCATCCGTTTCGGGCTCAACATCTTGCTGATAGGCTTCCCACTCGTAATCTCGTGGCGGCGTGCCAGGCGTCGTGGTGTCAACAGATCCCGCATTGTCGTATCCATCATGTACACTCGCACTACTCTGTGTGCGCACGGGGAGATTCTTGGTCCAGTCCGGGATGGTAACACCAGTGCCGCTCTTGCTCTGCGCGCGCTCTCGCTGCTCCCTTTCTTTCTTGCGTGCAGCGCTCTCAGGAACGGTAATAAAGACGCACTCGCGTCCGAAGGCTGTGCAGTTCTGGCAAGGATGGGTTTTGGAACATCGCGACTTCCGGGTTCGACATTCAACGCAGCTGTTGATGGGGCGTGGATTTCTCCGGCGGACCACTCGAGACTGCAAGACCTGTCCTTGTTCTGGCATGTCTCGCAATCCTCATTTTCGCGCCATATGTGGGTGATGTTGGGAAGGTGGCTGAGGCTGATGGTGGAGAGAGCGATCGGATGTCGGCCCGTAAGGGAACCGTGTTGCCTATAACACCAGCTGGTGATGATGCACGTGTTCAGCCTTGTCGCGTCTTCTTGGCTCTGAGCAGATTAGCAGACTTTTCGCCGCCTTCGGAGTCATGCAGGTACCGCCCAACAACTGATTTATTGACTACGGGCCATAGGTCAGCGCTGCTATCCAGGGCCGGCTTGAAACGAATGATGTGGGCCTTGGTGGGATGCATCTCGACCCTTAGCGCGGGGCATGCACTTTGCTGCACTCATTGCGTACTTGGCTGACGAACAATATTGGGATATTGGTTGTATTCACATGGGAAGCCTATCGACCTGTATTGCCTGAAACTGCATATCATGCCACTCGCTTCGACGCCCAACTCCAGGACCTTGACTGTACTTGCGCAAGACTACATCAGCTATCTACCTACTTCCCTCTTCAAGCGAGCCGCAGCTGATGTAGCGGGAGGCTCGGGCCACGAGTCGACGGCATCTTCGACTTCCTCCAAGAAGGAGGTGCTGTTATGCACGGTCGTACCACCGAGCACAACGCGAATACCAGGCGAACTTGCATTGACTTGCGCAACCATCTTGGCTTCCTCGTATGTCGCGCCGCCGACCATGAAGACGATTATATCCTGCGGCTTATCTTTGGTCGAGCCGCCACCTTCTACGAAGGGGTACAGCTGCTGGCTCAAGCGACCCTTGATCATGTCTTGCAACGTAGCTTCTAAGCGAGGCGAGTGCTGTGTGTAGACGTTCTCAACACCCTTCAGGCCCTTGAGTCGATCTCGGGCACCCCCGAAAAAGGATCCAGGCTGGAACAGGTCCGGTACCCCACCTGCTGCCGTAGTCGCTTGTAGCGAGTCATGGTAGGTCAGTAGCTTTGTGATAAGATTGATGCGATGCCGCGACAGTCCGCCCGCAACGGCGAGCAAGTCTAGGAGCATGGCTGTCGAATTCGAAGACGCCTTTGAGTAGCGTAACGCGTAAATGGCAACGAGGCGAAGCTTGTTGTTTGCCGGAACCCTGGGGTCCTGGATGATCTTTTGTAGCGACTTGACGTCGTTGTTGTGATTGTCTGTACATGCTAGACTTTGTTCGAGCTCACTGATGTCCAGCAGACTCTCTTCTCCAACTCGTCTGCTCAGCTCACCAACGAGTGTAACATGTTTGGTGACATTGCCGGAGAGCTTACGGAACTCGGGAAAGTCTTCGATGAAGCGCTTCATATCGGCAATTGAGTCGAGCTTTTGCGATCCCTGCTGTTTTGATGCAAACTGTTCGACGTACTCTTTTGCGTTTTGTCCTAGGTCACCAAAGTTGAGATACATGTTCTTCTTGAAGAAGGGATCCTGATCTTGCGATAACACAATTTCTTTGAGCTCGGGACGTATTTCCGGCACATCACGTAGATCCACGCGTCCGTTGTGTATTCCGAGTAGCTCGTGAACCATAGCCTGATATGTCCATTGCGTTAATAGCGGGGTAACGGGATCGTCTCTTCGGTCTACGATCAAAAGGATGGGCGGAGTATCAGTCTTGCGGAAATCAAAGAGCTGCTCTTCCTGTGTCATGTGGTATCGGACCTCGGTCGCCAGCTTCTTCACAAGCAGACTGTTCTTCTGATATCTTATCAAAGGCTTCTTCTTCAGCGACAGAAGCAGCGCCATGACTGCCTCTGTTGACCTGTGTAGTGCGTCCTGATTCCATGAGTCCGGGCTTGTGCTCCATATCCTATGATCCGGGAAGCCGAGGTTGAGGGACATGAGGTCGGGATTTATGACGAGGAAATCGGCGAAGTATTCTTGGATGGCGCGTACGACTTCGTGGTCGTCTGCTTCGGCGAGGCGTTCCAGCGAGGACTTTTTTATTATGTTGCTGAAGTCTGTACGTGTCAGCAACCGTTGGTGGCTTTGCGTTGCTCTAAGCGCGTACAGATGTTGTATTCGCCATACTTGGGCTCTCGCAGCTCCTCTATCAGGCTCTGTATAGACTCTGGGGACGGTCGCACAAAGCATAGGCAGCGAAGATGGCGCATCTTCTCCCGCTTTGGGTTGTCGATACGGCTACCGACGTGTTAGCCGTGCATCGCATGGTGCATTGTGAGGGCGCAGTACTCAGTAAGGTAGACTTCATGGTTGAGGAGGGCGGATTGTGTCGTCGCCGTGGAAACAATAGGCACCTTGCATCTGTCAGCATCGTGTGTAGGAGCACCTGGTAGAGGAGACAAACCCACAGTCTCGTTGTCGAGTAAGAGGATCTTCATCTTGGCCGCGGAGGTGCCTGTCGCAGCGGTGTCCCCGACCGACACCATCTTGGTGATGTAGCCGGAGACGGCTTGTATGATATCCATGGTCGCGAAGGAATTGCCTGTAAGCCACTATACACTTGTGACTGTAGATTATTAGAGTCGTCGTGGTGCTCGCTCTTCCATGTCGACGCCGTCGTTGGTCAGCCCAAGCTAGGAACGTGGCTCAAGCGCAAGAGCTCAGGAACATGACGCCGCCAAGATACCCTCCGCGACCCCTCTACATCAACCACGATTCTTTGCATGTTCGGCCTCTGTACTTTGTCTTCATCGACAACGTACATTTGCTTTAGATACAGCGCCCAGGCATGCGCAAACTTCAACAATCACACGTTGCATTTTGTTGCCTAATACATAGCTGAACTTGTCAGATACCTTGATATCTGCTGAACTTCTCAACACGGCCAACCTAGTCCAGTATGCGACTACTTCAAGATGCGCCCCTCAGCAGCTTCCTCAGCATGTTGCCTAATGCGACCAAGCGCCTTCGCTTCAGCATCGAGGATCTCTGGCATCAGATCGAACACACTCTTCTGTTTAGGGGTCCAACCGAACAGCTTGTTGGCTCGAATGGCCTTGCAGCGAGAGTTGGTGCCTGAGCATGTCAGCATGTGTTCTATTCCCAAGCATAGAGTGACTCACCCCAAAGGTAGCTGCCCGCTGGCCTCAACTCGTCAGCCTCCTCCTTGCTCACCTTGTCGACGCCCTCATGGTTGATGAGCTTGTTCTTGAATGCAACCTCAGAGATCTTGCTGCTGATATCACCCCAGCGAAACTCTCCGCTCTCAGCGAAATAATACCCTTCCTTGTTCCAGGTCGCCTTTCCACCATCTGGTGAGAGAGCAGCCGTTACCAGTGCCAGGAAGACGTCGCTGAGGTCTTGGACGTGGACCTGAGTCCAAATGTTGTCGCCATCACCAACAGCGAAAGCTTTCATACGCTTCAGTGCTACCTTGGCCATATCATATACCTGCACACTCCTTTGGTTGTCGGGACCACGTCCTGGGCCATTGATACACGGTGGGCAGACGATAGCGGACTGGATATTGCCTGCCGATACCTCGTTCGATGCGAGGATGATCTTGTCGACATTGCGGTGGAGCGCTACATCAGGGATTGAAGTGACCTCACCAATGTTGTCCCAATCATCAAAGGTCTTTTCTCGCTTGATACCAAAGGTGTTGTTCTCAATGTCCGGGAAAGACAAGACACCAGTTCCAGAGGTGTGGATGAGGTATGTCTTTCTTCCACTTCGAGCAAGTCCAGCAACGATAGCATTTGCAGCGGCCACGTGATCGCAGTCGGCGCAATGAAGAACAATGTCTGCATTTGAAGCCTCGGTGGTGAGTAACTCGGTGCTGTCAAGCGTACCGTACACAAGTCGAGTCTTGGGATATTGTGCGGCAACCTTGGCTCCTTTGTCGCTGTTGCGAACAAGTGCAGTGATCTCCAGGTCTGGGTAGGCATTTGCAACTGCATAGAGGGCATCACCTCCGATGTAGCCGGTAGCACCTGTGCTGAACCCTGTTAGTATCTAAATGCTAAACTTAATGCTTCATAGTATGGTTGGTGGTCCGCGTGTGCTTGCATGAGGTATCGTACAGACTTACATGAAAAGCTTTGGCATATTTGAAGCGTTGATGTGATTATGTTGAGAAGACGAAGCAGAGTTTTAGAAAACCAATTGCTAGGAGTGACAATATATGTTGGAATCACAAGGCGACCGTGGCTTTGAAATCGTGTGGGCTTATAGATCCACAGCTAGCAGGAATGTACGTCACAGATGTGTACCGGTGGCTGCTAAGGACTTATCCGCCCAAACACAAGCGCCTTGCTCATGCGAGGCTACAGTGCTTACTGTACGCATACCAACAACAACCATGAGCTCTACAATCCATAGAAGAGTGTCGAAGTCTTGTTGGGTGCTTAATCATCGACAATTAGCTAAGCAGTAGGCTTCATTCGAATAGCCTTCATCTGAATAGCCTTCATCGACGCCTGTCTGGCGCAATGCCCCGCAGTGGGGCACGCGCTTCTGGAAACTTTCCTTGTTATATGCAAGCTTCAAGATCTGTAGAGCTATGCTAAATGTGCCAGTGAAGTAGTCGCGCACAGAAGCCTTTAAGCTTTGTCGCTGGATTTAGTCTCCGAGGCCTCGCAGCTCCTCACGATTGAGCCTCGGTAAAGTAGATGCAATTTACGTCATCACCTAACCATGCAAACACCATTGTCACATCTCGATTACCATCTAATATTGTTAAGTCGACAAGACTGATCTTCTGGCATAATCGATCAAACGCATTTGCTACCAGAATGCCTCTCTGTACGCTTCACCTACTTGCTCTCCATAGCACCACACCTAACCCAGTCCTGACTTTCCTGTCAACACTCAAGTCCACGAACCTATCACCTCTCGTAGTCTCGCGCGTCATACGTTGGATTATTCTTCCTTCTAAGCTTTCGACCGAACATCTCCTTGCTAGGAACATCCATTGGGATCTCCTACTTATTCTACCTAGCACCGATGCCCTTCCGTCAGAGCTCGAGAAACTGGCCCAACACCACTGGAGCGTAACAGCCGGTGTACCATCTCATTTGGTCCAAGATTTCCCATCGAAGAACAACAAGCTTCTACATCCAGAACCAAGTTCCGTGCCTGAAGTTCAAACAAAAAAGAGCAATAAGACCACTGAGTCGAGCCAAAGTCTGGAACTCAGCGATGAGCTCAATAAATGGATCGAGGCCTTCGTCAACAGCGGTGCTAAAGAAGGCAAAGGCGCAGTATCAATGTTCAACCTCCTCGCTTTTAACCCCGGGATGAAAGAAGAATACCTGAAATACGGTGCCGCATTCGCTAAATCAATCGGTTCGAAGCACGGCGGCAATGCAAAGATTGTCGGAAACGCGACACACGTCAACGGTTCAGCTATTACCAAGTCTTCGAACAGCAGTGTCGGTACCAACGGCGAAGTGGGTGGCGGAAAAGATGACTGGGATGAGATTGCGCTGGCGCATTATCCTAGCATCCTGCATTTTAGGGATATGTTGGCGAGTGAGGATTATCAAGAGGTCAATCATAGGCATCGCGTGCCTAGTCTGAGAGATACATGCATTCTCATGACGAGTGAGATCGCGATCGAAGAGTTGATGAGGGAAGGTAAAGGCGGAGCGAAGCTGTGAGGGTTTATTCTGGTCCGGAGATCATCTTACAGACACTGAGTGATAAAGTAGTACAGTGCGAATGCACTCATAAGCATTGTATATACGGGTAGTATTTCTTCGTCTGCAATATAACCCGAAATTGCTGATACGGAGCCTTGCGCTGGACGGTGCCGCTATATAACATCTCATATCCGATACACATTGTTCACCATTGAACGAGGAGCCTTCCCATTGATCACATGCCATCCTCCGATGCTACAATGAAGGCTTGAAAAGACATGCGACCAAAAGGTTCGCGATGAAGGCAACGTCGACAAATTTAGAGGTCTCCAAGCGCTCTCAAGCATCTGAGTCGACGATCAATTTACAGAACGACAGACGTCCAATCCCTTCACCAGGATGTAACATCATCTCTTTCTTGACCTTGCCCTGGCGGCTGCGCCATCCACCTCTCGGACTGTCGATGTCTGGCAACACCCAGTTCCTCTTTTCTTGTTCCGCAACCCACTCCTTGCACAGATCCTCAGCCAATTCGGCCTTCCGCTTCCAGGTTTCGTCCTTCTCGCCTTTCACCTTGAGCAGAATGGGAATCTTGCAGCGTCCTACTTCGGTGAGATCAAGACTTTCGGAAACGAAACACCGGCGATGGAGTAGACATTCATCAGCGCAGTCGTTCCGCTTGCACCTGTTACAGGATGGATAGGTCCTTGAGCATGGGAGGCCAGCGAGTATGCATTGGAGGCAAGAGGTAATCCAAACAGGACGCGGCTCGTTTGGCTCTTGTGTCGAAAGAGGCGATGGAGCTTTGGGACCAAGAACAGTAGTAGGCTCACCGGTATCCGCATCCGAAATCGAAACGGAGAAGTCGAGACTGGGTGATGGCACGCTCGGTGGTAGAGAAAAGTTGGGTGGCACAGGCCGCTCAGCTGGGCGTCCAGTCTTGGTTGCTAGCTCCCAATCGTCACTACCGATGCTCGTGGTATCGGAATCGTCATCTCGTGTCTCATATCTCGGAGTTGGGCTGCTAAACAAGCCTTTGCGGAGAGGCCTATCGAAAATGCTCGACTCTGAGAACGTAGTATCAGTGGGCGAAACTTCATCCCGTGTCAGACGTGCGCTTATTTGCCTTATTGGAGTCGTCGGTTCCAAAACCCGTATCTCATCTTGGGTAATTCGGTGGCCTTCGTTTTCATCTGTCTCGGAGCCTCTACTCTCTAACTTCTCTAGCCATCTCTCAATACGATCAGGATATTGCATTTGCTCTTGCGAGGTATCCAGCGGGAAACGCTTTCTGGAGTAGCTCATGTTGATTATAGCTAATTTCGGGATGTTTTGGATGTCCAGAGGTAAAGAGACGTGGAGGTGGTGAGGCCGAAAAGATACAGTGATATCAATTCACGGTGAGGTTCACAACGCTAGTCCGGACACGTCAAGGAAGTGAGATATGAGTTCGACATGCTATCGGAATGCGGGGTAACGAGACCGATGATATACTCGGACATCAAAGGGCAGAAAGGCTTGAGAATTGGTATTCATGGTTGTTTGGTGTCGTTCGTGGTTGGTGTAGCTGATTCTATGATCTCAGATCAGTCTATAGCCGACCAATGTATATCTGCAAACAGGTCTGAAAAAAGCGCGGCCTTCTGTTCGAAGTTTCTTCTAGAACGTCTTGGACTCTTCAGCAGCCTCTTGATGGTCGTCTTTTCTACCTTTGAGTTTGGCATCTCCAGATGTCAGCTGAGACACAGTGCAATCGATCAAGAGGTGGCTCGAACAGCTAGACGTTGTAGGCGACTCGGGGCCGCTTGCTTTGTACATAGGCGCTCTGTTGTTGCAGGAAGCTCTCGCTCGGCAGTAGTATGCAGGCGCCATGATTACACTGTTACATGATGAGACCTTGGAGCGGAACGTGACAGGGCAGAGTTGATCTGCCGGGACGTTATGATACGCGATGGAATCTGTCCCAGTATCAATTGTTGGTATGCTGAGTAAACCGTGTGGTCTCGCGAAGCGTTGCTTCTTGTTATAGAAGAGTTTGAGGCAAAGCTTTGAGGGGCACTTTCATCTTACCACGCATAGCTAGGTAGCTTCAAATATTACCAGCGAGTGGAAATGGGAACTAATTCGTGCTAAGATCGATCATCATAGAACATCCATCGTGTCCACATTTCAGACGTGGTTTCGGCATAGTTGTATAACATCAAGCGATAGGACATATTGGGGATAGCTGGTTGGTGAGGGAAAAGAGCTCCACGTGGATGTCCGACGCGTCGCGAAGCGTCTCGGATGGCGTTATACGAGTCATGATAGCGCGACGCGTAAAATGTCCCCGTTGTAAACCCAGCGGCATCACTTTGTCACATGAACCTCTTGGATCTGTCTAACCTCAGTGAAACACGAAGAGCAGGCTAGTAATATCGAGAACTTAAGTTCCAATCACAACGATCATTACACCCGAGCGTCAACCGTAGTGGCATGCCCCGAAGGTCTTTTCGTTTCTAGTCGTCACAGTTCGTTTCTGAGATAGTCTTTGTCGAAAGCTTCGATTCTCCGCATTTTCAGATTGAGCCTCCGCTAGATCCGGAACGTCTGAGTTGAACGACCTGACACTATGCCTTGAGAAGGCGAGGTTGATTAAAACGGTGTCCGAGCCCATGCTCTCAGTCGACGGTGACGTATTTGGACACAGCACTCAAAGTTGGCGAGTTAGTCATGGTGTTTGGTGGTATTCCAAGGCCTATCGTGCTGCATACAGACAAGGTGAGCAGGTGTTTGCTAGAGTGAAGGTGAACTTTATCACCAATATTTGTGCGCCCCTTTGCCCTTCATATTGACAACGTTGTCAACTCAAACGCTCTCCCTCAAACCTCTTCTCGTATTCAGAACCAACTCTTGCAATATTTACAACAGCAGCTTACCCAAACTACTACACACTCATCTCCACGAACACACCTTCACTCGCCAACACTGAAATGGAACCCTACCTCCCACCAAGATACTACGAGCCTCAGAGCGGTCTCCTCACCTTCGCCCTCGTCATGGGCTTTGCTATGTTTGTTGTGTTCTCCGGTTTCAAAGCGTACGGCATGGCCACCAAGTCAAGCCCAGGTAGGTCACCGCAACTATTCCTCTCCAGGTGAAAGGTCTGACTTATACCAGAGATCGGCATGACCAAGGAAGAGCTGCAGGAGCTCGTGAGAGAGGGTGTACGACACGAGGTGGAGATCATTGAGAGGTGCATGGCGGCGCGCGAGAGCCAACTTGAGGAAGCCATCGACATGGTGCACCAGCATGAAGCTCGCATAGCGGCACTAGAAGAGAAATACGACAAGGCTATGGAGGACATGGGCGCCCTGCGTGCCTCAATCAGCAATCTTACCCCTGGGAAACTTCCGGCTACACCGTTGGTACAGTCTTCGCCGTCTGAGTGCAGCTCATGGGCACCCAGCTACCATCCATACAACTCAGATGATGTCAGCATCAACGGCATGGAAGAACACGTGTCTGAGCCGCGAGTTTTATCATCAGCAGATCAAGTGCCTAAGATATCCAGCTCTCAACTTGATTTGCTGGAAGGTGAGCTCGCTGAGTCGGGCGGCTGGGACCTGAACGTGGAGGCATCTGATGACAACAGCGATGGTAGTAACACTGACCAAGACGATGAAGGCGAGACAAGCGATGAGTATGACGACCCAGAAACATCTGTTCCTTGCGTGATTGCGCCGAAAGTTGTCAGAAAGCCAATCAGACCACTGTCAAAGTGCAAGACGAAAGGTGCTAGCATTCTTAAGGATAGGCAGGAAGGTCCCTAGGTATGTTTTGTTACGAAATAAAACTCCTGAATTTTATTAATCTCTTATGATAGGTTACCAGACACACATCGAATACTCCGGAATGACAAGATGCCAAAACGCTGGGCACTGTCCTGGGTCTGCACCATTCCCGCGACTCTCTTCGTTCACTCCCCACGCATCAAGAAGCGCCTACAGATGTCCACCCAGAGAATATCCAGCCCAGTATCAGCGTCAACTCTCTGAGCCAGCTTGAACAATCTCTTCCTTCTCTTCTCCTCATTTTCCATCCAAGCTTCGCTGCCGACCTCTCTGACTCCATCTTCACTGACCATCAAGCCTCGCCTCTCCCCATCACTTCCAACAAATCTTGCACAAGGTGGCGTTCCTCTAACCACGAAATCCAGGATCGAGTTGCGCCATTGGGCAATCACAGGTCGATAATGCGAGGGCAAACGATCTTCATGCACACCACCAAGTAGTGTTGCGATGTCAAAAGTATGGGTTGCAAAAGCACCGCGCTCACGGATCGGTCCCGGGAAAGGGTCTGGGAGGTCAAACACATGGAAATAGGTATCTTTGATCAGATCACTCTCCGCAATGCTAAGTGCGGCAGCAAAGAAACCTATGTCGCTTTCGAAAAGACAGATACGCTGGAGCGCGTCCGCATCATCAGCAACACCTTCGATGCCGTAGATGTCCATTAACTCCGCGCCATGTCCCGAAGACAGAACGTCCACAGCGATGCGATGAAAGGCCTCAGCATGGTTCTTGCGGCCGGAATCATTCTTCATCATATTGTAGGAGATACCGCCGTCGTATGTGGTGGATCCGACTATTTGGGCTTCAACAGGTTTCGCCCACTCTCTCCAGTCTGGAGGAGCAACTTTTCCCTTCCTAGCCAAGTCTATCGTCGGTCGTTCGAATGGGAAAAACTCGCTGTTCGTGCACGGTAACCCAACCCAGGCCAGATCTCGAATCTTCGATACGTCGACGCCAATTACATCTCTAGCAATAGCTTCAGTATCCCTCTCACTACCATCGTCTTCTTTGATACGAATATCCAGCTTCTCGGCGTACTTGAGAAAGTTATCATGATGCTCGTCATGCGTCATTGCCGGCATAGTAATGGGCGTTCCAGAGAACATGATCGCACGCTTGAACAACGGCCTACGCATCGCCTGCACCGAGATACTTTCGCCACCTGCGCTTTGTCCAATGACTGTAACATTGTCGACATCTCCACCAAATCCTTCGATATTCTCGCGTAACCATTCAAACGCCATGTTCTGGTCGTGGAGACCATTGTTTTCCGGTACCAGATCCCCAGCACGATTTGAGTGCCAAAAGCCTAGCGCACCAAGTCGATAATTGATACCTACGAAGAGGATAGGCTTCTTGTGCTCAATAGCATGCCGCACAAGGTTCTCCGGGTTGTAGTATGGTCTATTCGCGGAACCGAGAAAGTATGCGCCACCATGGATGAAGACAAGGACTGGTAACTTTGCACCTGGACGCATCTTTCCACTCCCATCGACAAATCCCTTTGGCAAGTGTATGGAGAGGTTTAAGCAATCCTCTGATTGCTCTTCGTCTTCTGGTAGGTTATCGATCGGTAACGGGATGTTAGATGCATCGGACTTGACGCTACCCCACGGCTGGATGCTGGATGCTCCTGGTCTTGTCGCGTCGAACACTCCATCGTGGTACCGTTTGCTTTCGCCATCAGACAGCCTTTCTGACAGCTCTGCCCGCGAGAATCGTTGGGGAATCTTACCATATGGCAGACCTAAGATCTTCACAATCGAGCTATTTGTTTCTCGAATACACCTTATCGCACCGAGTTTCGCATGATTGAAGATAACTTTGGTCATTTTGTTTGTGTTGCTTTGAGCGTTTGGTGAAGAAGCTACGTGAAGAGTACGGTACGCACATGACACCCAAGAGTGGTGACGTCAAGAAAGTACTTCCCATAGTCTATCCTCTGACTACAACATCCCGATCCCTCTGCCTTGAAACCAGATCATTAACCCTAGATTTTATCAACTCATAATCAATACGAAGACCTCTTCACTTTAGAGTGGAGCACAAATGCCTAATGCTGCTCACCCAATCCGGTTAGCCACTGGATCCTGGTTGGAGTTTGAGATGCGCGCACAGTATCCCAACAATCTCAATCGAACTTGGAGAACTGCCGATTACCATACATACATGGTCGAATCCCTCGTAAATTCCAGAGATAACGTGCGCGTTCCTGCGCAAGCGAAACCAGAAACCAGTATGCCGGAATCACGCTACCACCACCACGGTTCTACCTCTGTTAAATTTCGGTCTGAAAACTCGCGAGATGTATGATAACAACCATCATTTCGTGGCTTGGGAGAAGCCTTGTATGCGGGTACTTATCTTTTCATACCGTATAAGGCTATACTATCTTTTGCGCCTTCTTTTTTCGGTTAGTACACCACGAGCTAGAGTCTTCACCACTCACCAGTCAAAGCTTCGACTCATATCAAAAAGCTTATCGTCCCACTGGCAGTCTGGTTAAGCACAATTGACAGGATTGTCTTGCATTTGACTGAGTTGGACGACAGTTCATACAAACAAGATGTTGAAGACCTTCTATCTCGTTTCACTCGCCTTGGGCGCGTCGGCTGTCCCCACCAACAATCATTACGCCCAACGTGACAATGACACTAGTCTCAGTGTCAAGCTCTCTGTCGCAAATGGTCTTCTGGATGCACCCACTAATGGTCGCATTGTGTTGATGTTCGCCCCCAACGGAACCGATCCTCTCGATGATACCGATGTCACCTCTTCTCCGAACAAAATCTTTGGAAAGAATGTATACGACTTTGGCCCAAAGCAACCAGTCACTCTCTCTGGCGGAAACAACGACGGTACTGCTACCGGTGTATATGGCTGGCCAAATGTTAGCTTGAGTGACATCGATCCGGGTACCTACAGTGTGCAAGCCTTTCTCACTCGCTACGAGACAGTCACGAGGAGCGACGGTTCGAAAGTTTCTGTCCGTTTTCCATGTGGCGATGGCGCGCCTAATGTCAATGGATACGGAAGCTTGATCACAACGCTCCAAGACATTGAGATATCGGGAAGTGGGCAAACTCTCGAACTAACTTTCAACAACATCACTGCTGTGGAGAATTTCGCTGGCAAGGAGAGCGGCGGATGCAACCAGGGCAACTACGAAGACACAGACACACTCAAGCATGTCAAGATCCGAAGCAAGAAGTTGAGCAAGTTTTGGGGTCGCGACATGTACGTTGGAGCCAACATAGTACTTCCTGCTGGTTACGACGCCAACGATAAGAAGACACGATACCCTGTCATTTACAACCAAGGCCACTGGCCAGCCGGAGAAGGTGCTTACAACTACGGCGACGATGAGAAATTTACGGCAGCCTGGGATGCTGGTATTATTCCTGCAACCAACACCACTGCAGAGCGACCAGCACCCAAGTTCATCATGGTAACATTCCGTCATGAAGCTCCTTACTACGACGACTCCTATGCTGTCAACACAGCAAACTTGGGTCCTTATGGTGATGCTATCAACGAGGAGCTCATTCCTCATCTCGAAGACACCTTCAACACTATTCGCGCACCCTACGCACGCGTACAGGATGGAGGTTCAACCGGTGGTTGGGAGTCGATTGCCAACGTCATCTACCGTCCAGATCTTTTTGGTGTCTGCTTTTCCTCCTACCCCGACTCTCTTGACTTCCACCGTCACCAAGATATCGAGCTCTACAGTGCTGCCAATGCATACACGCGCGCGAATGGTAGCTCTGTACCCAGTATCCGCACCCACACTAATGGAACGGAGGTGATTCTTGCCACTGTCGCGCAAGAAAACCACTGGGAACTGACCTTCGGCACGTCGTCACGCTCATTCAATCAATGGGATGTCTGGAATGCCGTCTTCGGTGTCCAGGGTTACAACAACTATCCTCTCGAGCCCTGGGACAAGGTTACTGGTGAGATATATCCCGAGGCTGTTGAGCACTGGAAGCCGTTCGATCTTAGCGACTACGTCGTTACCAACTTCAACTCTTCCCGCAACCTCGGTGCCGCCCTCGCTGGACGTATCTTCGTCTACGTAGGGACCTGGGACAACTACTTCCTTAACGAAGGTGTCATGGAGTTCCAGAAGCGTACCGATGCCGTTGGAGGAGCTGGTTGGGCCAATGTCACAATCCTACCTGAGAAGCCTCATGGTGGTAACTACCAAGCCCGCGAGATTTGGGATTACCTCGAGTTGGTAGACCGATGGGTCAAGGATCACGCTCCTGATGGTCCTTCGCCGCTTTCTCATTCTGCCACTGCACCGTCTACCCGTGGAAATGTGTGGGAAGATGTCATCAAGTATGGTGGACGGAAAGCTGCTGTCAAGCGACAAGCCGATCCTAGCATCCAGGATAAGAAGGCTAAGGTGGGCCAAGAGGTTACTGCAAGTGTTGGACGGTGGGATCCAGGCGTCAAGCTCACCGCACAGTGGATCTTGAACAGCAAGCCCGCATGCGAAGCTTTCAGTGTTGAGCAAGGAGCAAGCGTCAAGTATGCGCCTACAGTAAAGGGCCACATCCAGCTGCTTGTGACAGGAGAAAAGCGCAACTACGCGACGGAGACACGCAAGAGCGGGAGGGTGCTCGTAGGCAGGTAGTAGGATATCAAGAACTATACATAGTTCAATAATGTTCAATAGTCGGAAACATTGTCCTGGTGCTCTTCATACACATTCCTGCAGCTAATGACCGAATAGGGGTGTTTGCGGGGATATGCCAAAGTTTCCTGCATGTTCTACCCGCAATCTTCGTGTTCCTGCATGCCATGGGTGTTGTCCGGCACACCCGTCGTTTCCCCATTTAGTAACGCATGATGCGGCGCCACTTCCGCGCACAGCCTAGCTCGGAGATTTTCATCTCCACCTACCTCACCGAGGTACTGTTGATAGTTGTCCATGAGTAATCATCTCAATCGCCAATGTGAAGATCATCCGATATGTATTGGCGGGCGAGCAGATTTCGGTGATGGCACGACTGCCCATCGGAATAAATGTCTGTGAGAGAAGACTGTAAATCGTGGTAGAGCAAACGAGCATAGATGGAGACTACTGGGAGCAGGTTAGCCGGCCCTACAGCTGACCGCCTACGAATGCTACGCAGTTGCGAGTGAGCACCAGACTAACTGTCTACACCGTCTTGTCTACTATCGTATCTCCACGGCATCCGGACCCCAGCAGCGATCCGCTCCGGTGGGTCGGCTTTTCTTGCTCCTCTGAGCTTACCACCGCTGCATCTATGCATGGATGAACACAAACACAACGGTAAAACGCTTAGCCAATGTCAGTGGTAGCGCTCTATACGAGCGCACTGTCTAGATCCTAGGCCCATGCTAGGGTTCCAACACGAGGCGGTGCAGGAGGCGGTGGGTATACGTGACGTCTCTTAGACCGCCCTTGACGTCTTGATACGAAGTAGTGAGTTTATATAAGAGGTCGTCGACATCACTTTTTGAAGGTCAATATCAAATCAATCTCATCTTATACTGACCAAAATTACCACCAACAACAACCCTCCCAACCAACCATCAACATGCAGTTCACCACCGCTCTCTTCGCTCTTGCTGCGGCGACCGCTGCCAATGCCGCTTCCGACCTTGGTGCCTGGAACGTCACCATTGAGAGCAACAGCGCCGCCAACGGCTATAAGTCGCGCACCGTCCTCGCTGATTTTGCTTCCGACGCCTATGCTGGCGACGACGTTATTCGCACCGTCTGCAAGTACGAGTTCATCCCTGGTGCCGACGGGGCCAAGGAGACAGAGAGCTGCGAGCCCAACACTTTCTCTTACGAGTACGATGGCACAAGTAAGTGTCCTCTCCTCCGAGCGTCCAGGATTTAAAGTACCAGGATGTGTGTTCTTCCGAACAATATGCTAACAACAAAACAGCTGTCAAGGTTCAGCAGAACATCGAGAAGCCCAACCCCATGACCGTCTTCGGCGAGGCTCCCCTTACGCAAACTATGCAGCCCGGCGGCGCTGGCAGGAGCTACAAGGGTAACGCCATTTTCGATGCCACCCGCGCCATTGCTTAAGCACTGCAACATGAACATCCGCAGTGGACCTGTAAATACAAAAGGAAGACATGACTGTACATATCACAAAACGACACAACGAACTAGAGGTTTAATGTAACAAGTTCAATTGAAACTACTTTGGCTACTCACGAAGAGCGCTTTGCTTTACTATTCCCATGATCTCATGTACACCACACCCTCGTGATAACCCATGACATTACGCCGTCTGCAATGAATCGAAAGACTTGAATAGTTTGCCAAGGAGGAACGCCTATGCTCCGTCATAGAATGGTGGTCCTCATCCCGCTTCCACTTTAAGAATAGACCCTAGTCAGCAAAGTGCTGGTTGATTAAATGAGAACATGTCAGTAGACTACTACGCTTCGCCAAACAGCCGGGCAGTGATGTCTCCCATGTAGGCCTCTTCTAGCTCGTAGTCCTCGCCGCCCATACGATCGATACCGACGTACTCAAACGAAGCAACAACAGCTTCGACATCGAAGCCCATGGCGACAAAGCGGTCGACCAGGTCCTTGTTGTAGCCCTTGTATGCGGCGAGTTTTGACTTCTCTTCGTTCTGCTTCGCCTGTTGGGCCTTCTTTTTGATGGACGCAGCGGTGGCACCCCCACTACCCTCAGCAATCTCCTTCTTGGGCGCACCAGCATACGTGACTGCCCACTCGCGTGCCTTGTGTTCGAACTCAGCTGGGTTGCGGATGAGCATTCCAGCGACTTCTGCGTCTTGTGGGTCTTTCGGTTCGGGTGTGCTGAGGAGAGATTGGAGCGAGATCAGAGCGGACTTGATGGTCAGAACCGGCGACCATTGCGAGGAGAGCGTGTCTAGACAGATGGCGCCCTAGTGCTGTTAGCTATCTTGAAGCGTGCCTTGGAACTTTGCTTGTTCCTCACCGTCTGTGAGCTGACATTAGGGTGCCAGATCTTGGTCTCGAACTTCATCAGCGGTGGACGGAAGGGGTATTCGCTCGGGATCCGGATGTCGACATGGTAGGTAGCTCCCTCGTATGGTGTGTCAGGCGGTCCGAAGAACTGACCGCGTAGATGTGTTAGGTCTTCCCCGTTGCCTGCCGGTTCGACGACGATCTTGGAGTGCTGATCGTTGTGGATGTCGGCAATCTCCTTGGCGATGCGCCGATTACGGTTGGAAGTCATTGTGGTGGATGATGACCGAGAGCTTGAAATCGAAGGGGGCGCGGTTGTATAAGTATCGGAATCAGGCAACAGAAGGGCGCAACCAAGTTGCTTCTGGGTAGACAGGTCAGCCTGAGGCTCCGCAACGTGATCCGGGCTCCACTAAGTTGTGGTGCGGGGATGTGTCATACAGAGTCTTGGGGGTCTGAGGAGGAAAAAAGGCTTCTTGCTTCACCTGAACAGCGACTGTAACGGGGTTAGACTTACTCTAGTCTTGGTAGCTTTTGCGATAGAGAGTACCTCTTAGCCCGCGTGGGGAGCTCTGGAGTGGCTCACCGGCGGGGTCAGAGCTCAGAGAGTGAAATATACTTGAGTTTTGGAGAAGCTTTTGGGGGAAGGAGAAGTTAGCGTGGAATAAGTTGCTCAGTGAGAAGTGTATAGCTATCGGACCGGGCCTGACGTGTCTGATGTTCTATGGAGGTGGAATGGTGAGGCTTCCAGCGGTTCGAGGCAGTGACGCCACACGGCGCTAACCCCGATCCTCCGACATCCACGAGCTTCGGAATCAGCGCATCAACACCTCTTACAAACAACCACCGCCTCACTGCCCCCATCGCCTCTACCACCACTCTCGCTGTGGTAACCTCTCCTCTAATCTTCTTATACTGTCGAGCGCCCGGTTCGCCTTCCCTCACCTGATCGCGTGTCATGGTAAGATCGCCTCTCATCGGAAGCCACCACGGCAACATGCTAAAGACATACAGGGTAACCAGCAATCGAGTGCTGGAGGCGGCGGACCTCCAGGAGACGATAAAAACAAGAAGGACAAGGTATGTGCTGTCCAGAATACACGGAATGATGGCTCTCGGGAGTCCGCTATCTGTCGCCTCACCGCACCTCACAGACACTAACAACGGCGTCTGCAGAAGGAGAAGCCAAAGTACGAGCCACCGCCACAACCCACAACCCGCATCGGCAGGAAGAAGAAGAAGGCCGCTGGTCCCAGTGCCGCCGCGAAGCTCCCGACCGTCTACCCGACTGCGCGATGCAAGCTACGGTACCTCCGAATGCAGCGAATCCACGATCACCTCTTGTTAGAGGAGGAGTACGTCGAGAACCAGGAGCGCCTCCGCAAGGCAAAGGCGGTCAAGGAAGGCAACGCGCCTGCTGCTGCCAACGCAGGGGACGGCGAAGACCGAAACGCTGATGAGCGCTCGCGCGTCGACGACATGCGAGGCAGCCCCATGGGTGTCGGCAACCTGGAGGAACTCATCGACGACGACCACGCCATCGTATCTAGCGCCACCGGCCCCGAATACTACGTCTCCATCATGTCTTTCGTTGACAAGGACCTGCTAGAGCCCGGGGCGAGCATTCTATTGCACCACAAGTCCGTTTCAGTAGTCGGTGTGCTCACAGACGATGCCGACCCGATAGTGTCAGTCATGAAACTTGACAAGGCACCAACAGAGTCGTACGCGGATATTGGTGGTTTAGAGCAACAAATTCAGGAGGTACGAGAGGCTGTTGAGCTGCCTTTGTTACATCCGGAGCTGTACGAGGAGATGGGTATCAAGCCGCCGAAGGGTGTCATTCTCTATGGTGCGCCAGGTACCGGAAAGACGCTTCTTGCAAAGGCCGTCGCCAACCAGACCAGCGCAACTTTCCTGCGTATCGTGGGTAGTGAGCTGATTCAAAAGTACCTTGGAGACGGACCCAGGCTAGTGCGACAGCTCTTCCAGACCGCCGCCGAGAACGCGCCTTCCATCGTCTTCATCGACGAAATCGACGCTATCGGTACCAAGCGTTACGAGTCAACATCTGGTGGTGAGCGTGAGATTCAGCGAACTATGTTGGAGCTGCTTAACCAGCTGGACGGTTTCGATGATCGTGGAGACGTCAAGGTCATCATGGCCACCAACAAGATCGAGACGCTCGACCCCGCCCTTATTCGTCCTGGTCGTATTGACCGAAAGATTCTCTTCGAGAACCCCGACCGTGAGTTTCACAATATATTGCAAAAATTTACAGATGCTGACCACAACGCAGAAACCACCAAGAAGAAGATCTTTACTCTCCACACTTCCAAGATGTCACTCAACGAGGATGTCGATCTTGACGAGTTCATCAACCAGAAGGACGATCTTTCCGGTGCCGACATCAAGGCCATCTGCTCCGAGGCTGGTCTCATGGCGCTCCGCGAGCGTCGTATGCGGGTCAACATGGAGGACTTCCGTACTGCAAGGGAGCGTGTTCTTAAGACGAAGACTGAGGGTGAACCCGAGGGCTTGTATTTGTAAATGTAGGAAGCATGCGAGGTCTGATATCATCTTCAACACTCAAGAGCTATTTGCAAGTGTATCAGTAGAAGTTGCACGTATGAACGACCTAATCATGTCAGGTTTACAGTACTCACAGTCAGTCAAATCTTTCTTTCTGTTGTGATGTTTTCGTGAGCCTGTCGACAATGAGACTTTGTCCTTTTGCTAGAACTGTCATGGACTGGCAACTACAACAACCCCAGGCCTAGCTATTTGACGCATCTACACCATTGACGGTTCCTCGCTGTCGTACTAAAGCTTTCCAAGTTGCCTAGTAAGTAGCACCTTCCTTCTATGTTCCTGATCCCAGTCGTGACCGTACACCGCTTGTGTCATCCGATCTGGGTTAAGGGAAGTCACCTCGCCGCATATCTCTCACAGTCTTTCTCGCCATGTTGCGCTATCTTCTTTGGCTTCTCTGAACGGATCTGCCCAACTGGGTAGCAAGAGGCTTCGGTTGGTCATATATTCTTGTCTTCCTTATCGCACAGTCCTGATTGAGTTATGGTCTTTCAGTATTGGGAAGGAGCGTCATCACATTAGCGACACATCACATAGGTAAATCTCAGCGGAGATGTAACGTACTAAAACCCTCAGCATTCGTGGTATCACTGCCTTTACTTAGGTAGAAGGGCTAGCAGGACAGTCCGTGAAAGTGAGAGACCGGTACTAGCTCGTCTCCCCAGGGATATAAAACCGCTTACCAAACCCAATTCGATATCTTGTCTCCCCCACCACAATATCCAGTCAAATTTGGATTCTGGATTGACGACCTTACGTTATCGCCGCCTTCGGGGCAGTTGCGCTCAGTGCCTCCCAAGAGAATACGACTGCTTCCACTATACACGACCTCTACATTTCATTCGCTATGGAGATCGAGGCACCTACCTTCATCTCGCTCAATAAGCCTCAGAAGCGCGCGCTCATTCTCCGCGACCAACTTCGCTTTCATGATCCGCACCACCTGGATTTGTTCCTTGAGGGTATCAGTAACGATGAGCCACCTACTTACACCAAAGTGAACGGTATCATCAAGCCTGAACTGGCCTTGGTCACACTCAAAGAAGAAGCCACACATTTCGATCTCGGAAATGTTCAACTACCGGAAGAGCACAACTCCATATACCGCGTTTACCTGGTGGTAGAGAATGGCCAGATCCAGATGCAGACTGAGGATCCTTTGCCACAAGATGAAAACGTGCTCGACTCTCAACCTATTCATGGCTTCATTGCTAGGACTATGGTACCAATGTTTAAAGAAAAATTCCAGGCTATCTTTACGAGGATGAACAAGATCAACGAGGCTAGGCGGACCGCTTACAACATGCCTAACCAGGCGCCAGTTTTGTTTCATGAAGGAGAGGTAGGTTCGTCCACATGTTATGACCTTTGCCAGATCTCCTGCAGACATCTGTTCCAACATGAGTTGCATGGACCAAGTACTTCCTGCTGACTCGGTACAGACACTCACAAGGCTCGATCCAGCGAAGGCTAAGCAGGACCGGACTCTTACTCGTGGTAATTATTTTAGTCATTATGATAATACAGCACTGACGAAATGGTAGTAACGAAGTCACGCAAGCGAGCACCAAATGAGGAGATCGTTCAACATGTCTCCAACAAGCGCAAATGCGTTGGTCTCGATGCAATTCCTGAAGATGCGAAGCGCAAGACCTTCGACACAATTCCGAGCCACGTCAAAGTAGATTTGTTCAACTCCGTTGTCAATACAGCATTCCCCAACTTTAACAACTTGATGCTCGCGTCCTGGAACGTGATCACAATCTATACGGCTTGCGGTAGCGACTTTCCGGATCTTCACAAGGCGATCGTCGATCTCAAAGGAGTCCTCCAGGATTTCGACGAGTCTTTTGGTCAGCACGTTGATCGAGCCCCGCCTAAATACAGGTACGACTTTAGTGGACCTTCTCGGGACGGTACAGATGAGCATGGGACCCAAGATCGTAACGGGAGGCGCGACCAGGAGCGTTACAAGGACTGCGAAGACGACGACGTTGATCATCATGGGAGTCTCTTCGAAACTCATGTGCCTGTCTTGGGACAGGGAGGAGTTGGTAACTCTAATCAAGCTGGCGACACCACTGCTAACAAAGCGGCGCAGGTGCAAGAGGGCATTGCTGAACAAGGTGACGGCACGGAATACTCAGACGACCAAGTACCTCCTGGGGATCCCGATCTGGCCCTCACGACCGAAGATCCCAGCAAAGTTTGTCGACCTGGCTCACACCATATGGCAGAAACCCACGTTGGAGGCCAGGAGCACGCTTATCATGTGAATAAGATTACAGAGCAGCACATCGACGACGACGATGCTGAAGATCGTCCCCTCATTACATTACGATCAGGATCTCGTGAGGCGTACTCATCCTCTGTTGAAAGAAAGCGTAACGAAGAGCCGCCCGTCGGTAAAGCTACTCCTAAGACTACACAGCACGCGACCAGCACCAAGGCCTATTCTGCAGAAGAGACCGATTCCCACTCAGAGCTCAATCAACAAACAACACAACTACAAGATGGCCCGACCGCAGACCCGACTTCCGCTTCAACGCCTCAACCTAGGAAGAAGAAGCAGCGCGACATCTCTAGCTACACCATCGTCGAACTCGAAAAGAAGTATAAGGAGCGCGAGGCTCACATCCTGACTACCTTCGAGAACGACATGAGCAAGGTCCCGGAGAAGCACCGCAAGGCCCTCGAGTCGATGAAGGCTCTACTTGAGGGCCGTAAGAAAGATGAAGCGCAGGAGAAAGCCAACAAAACGAGCAATTCCTCTGGAAAGATCGGACGTCCGGGTACTAGCAATGGCGGCATGTTCGGCAACTATACTGGCAAATCTCCCAGCAAACATCTCGGCAACTCTGTCCTAGGAGCGAAGAAACCAGCAAGCATCGCGCCGGTGGCGCCAATGTTTCCAAACGGCAGCCGAAGAGACCCGAGGAATGGTGTTGCGCAGAGTAGGACAGGCAACACGTCTCCTTACGGGCGTGGTAACTGATGCTAAACCGAACAGGTGCGCCTCGGAGGGAGAGGATTCCTTACAAGTTTTTGAAGAATCACGCTGAACGCATTGTTGATTAACACGAGGAGTCTCCGGACGGAATCCAAGGCGAGATTTGGGTGGTTTGCTACGGTGTGGGCATTTGGTGGCATCGATCTGGTCGAATATCCACGAACCTGGTGAGACATTGGGTAGGCGTCGGTTTATAGACGCGACGGATTAATGATTGGGGGCATGCAAAGGCTTTCAAAAGGCATAGTGCTGGTTAGACGTCGGTTTATTAACATGACGGGGTAATTGGTAATGGGAGGCAGCACGCCACGGCCTTCGATCTGGAATCTTGCATAGCCAGATTAGCAAGAATGTGAAATAATTTTGTTTACCCTCTTGGAACTCCTTGTGCTACTCGCTTGACGAGGACACTGGTATCTCTAGGAACACCCCTAACGCCACCCAATGTCGCCTAATACGAGTGAACGCCAAATTTATATGCATATCCTTGACCATCACGACCGCACTACTCCGCCTTCTTGAGCTCAGGCCCCCAGAAAGCATCAGACTCCTTCTCGTACCCTTCCCTCGCCAGTTTTCTCCTCTTGGCCTTACTCTCCTCTAGTGCATCGCCCTGCACTGCGTCCCTCTTCTGCGCCTGATTCAACTTGACCAGATCGGCCTTGTCTGGATCACGGCAATTCTTGAGCTTCTGCATTAGCGTTTTGATTTCTGCCTTATGCTTCCCGTCCCTCGCTTCCCGCTCTGGCGCTGGTAGTGTATTGTTGATGTAAAGACGGTGGCTCGAGATAAGAGACGCGCATTTCCGCAATGTGCTCAGGAGTTTGTCGTAAACCGGATTAGACGTTGGCACTTTGAGCGATAGGTAGAACAACGTGAGCGGTTCATCGGCGAGGAGATGGGCGGACAACCAGATCTGAGAGGGCGTGTACAGGAAGTACGCATCTGTCAACACGGCAATAGTGCGGAGCGTGTTAGTCGCCACACCATACGCATTGTGTATCCTCTCCTCGACCTTCTTCTCGGGCATCTTCATCGCCGGACCCCCTACCTTTACCGGCACAGAACAAATCTTAGCCTGGACCTCCTTCGATCCTAGTCCCTGCGCCGGCCCCTGGTATTTCCCATGCGCCATCTCCAGCATTTCCATGTGGCCGGCCTTGATAGCCCGGAATGGATGCCGGACGTCGAGATTGTAGCGGAGACTCTGGACGATGATGTATTCGGGGGCGAGGACGTCTTCGGCGGTCACGTTGCGGCCGGCGCCTTCAGCGTACTGCGAGACGTGAATGGGGAAGAGTTCGACTTTGGTGGCGAGAAACATTATTGTGCGGAGGATGTTGTTAACGTGGTAGGTCATGGGAGAGTTGTAGAGGTAGAAGCGGCGGAGGAATTGGATACATGTTGACTGGTGGTGCGTTAGTGACCATCTCTCTTATACTTCCTAGTATGAAGTGCTGGAGGCGTATAAAGAGCAGGACAAGTGTAGTTAGACATACGACGACGTTCAAGGGGAAGCTGTAATGGTTCCCCAGGGCGACTGCGCGTTCGCAGAATTCGTTTACTATCTTCAGTTCCTCCTCTGCGGTGAGACAGTTTATATCTGTTACGCTTTGCATTCGCCCATCTGGAGTGTTGGTTCCGCTAGTTCCACTCCCATTCTCCTTATCTATGCCAGATCCCAAAGTATCGTTGTCTACGGCGTCGTTGCCGCGCTGGGCTCGTAAACGCGCAACATTCGCTTTGACGCGCTCGGTGGCTTGAACGTTGATCTTCAGCCGCTGGGCGGCTAGTTGTGGCGCGGTGAAAGACCAATTCCTAAACTGCGTAGAGCTGCGATAGATGTCGTCTTCGGTGAGCTGCATGGTCGTGGTGATTGGCCGAAGCTGGGGCTGGGAGCGTGGCACCGGGATTTGGGTGATGAGAAGGGACGTGATGTCGCGACTGCATGGCAAGTCCAGCCGAGGCGCCTCGCGCGCCTTCGTTCCGCTCTGCCTTTCGGTCCTTCAGCATCGCATCCTTTACCCTCTTCTGCCTGATAACATTAAATATTTCATCTACTTGAGCTTTCTCCAAGATTCGAATATTCCAGATGACCGTCTTGCTAGATCTTGGCGGTACCTGTCCATCACCTAGGCACAAAGGCATGGCAGTACCATGACCGTGGTCCTGTCAAGTTACTAGAGCTTGGAAGTACGCGAAGCATGCGGCGCGTCATGCGCTGCGCCAATGACCCTGTCAATATGTAGGTCTTCTAGAATACCCTCAATTGTGCTCAAAGTATACCTCAATCATGCTCAGAGGGCACTGGAGGAGTATGCTACAAGAAGCTGTCCCTCCCGCGCTCCTGGCCACATCGGTTTCCTTCTTCTGCCAGTCGCCACCACATACTCCGCCTCATCTCCGCTACCTATGCTGCTCGACTCAACGAGTGATATGCCAAGACCAACCGTGGAGATCGCCCTTTCGGTTTCCCAGAATTCGTATTAGTCGAGATAAGGACCTTGGTGCCTGGGTGAACGTCTGCCGATAGGCGCGCTTCGGTTCAACTTCACTTCCGTTCTTTTGCATTCCGTTGCCTACCGCATAGACCGAGAGAGCGAGGTTTTCCATTTTTAGTCGGATTCAAGCACACTCTTGAGCATCGGAATGGCGACATCTGACACGCAGCATACTCTTGACGGAAGTTTGCCTGGAATGTCCTCGTGTATCCACGCACAGCATTGATCCGGCTAAAGTCTATCATCGGCTTACACCATCCAGTTCACCACCTTCTCTAGAATCAATAGTCAGGTTCAAAGCTCCTCACGGTTATTTGGTCGTGGCGCGCATGGGGTCCAGTCATTCTTGGCAACCAAAGCAGCTTCCTCTTTAGGCTACGCTATCTACCAATCCCCATCTCCGCTCGAGAAGATCCCACCCTAGGTTGCACTGCGTTTGTGTAGCCCCGCCATGGCCTCGACCAGCATGCCCTGCAGTATACTGGGGTACACCAGCCGTAGTTCCATGCTCCCATGCTCGAATCCAAGGCGGAATGCTTGCCAAGCATCACACTATTCTCGGCGTACATGAACGATTGCCTGCAAAAATCACGCCCAAGACTTCACCAAGATTCGCCCAGGACCTTGCTGCATACAACGGCCGCTGTCGTTGCTTCTATACGGCCTTGGTTGCTTATACTAACTTTTCGGAGTACCTGCGATAGGAAGGTCTGCTCATGATAGTCATCTACGGCGTCCTGCACGCGACGGCATCATGGCAGGTCGGTGCTTCCGAGAGGGTGGTGCAGAGAGGGGAGGATATATAAAGTGTTGTAACCTGCTCCCAGGTTCTCGGATCATCATCAACTGCCAACCGTCAATCCGCAGTCTTGTTCGCAAAGATGAAGTGGGCTACTATCACCACGGCTTTGCTGCCTTTGGTCGCCGCTCATGGCTTTACCCACCAGCAATATGCCTCTGGAGAGGTCATGGACCTCATGATGTCCGGCAAGGAGATGGCATGGGCTAAGCAACGTGCTGCTGGTAACTACGACAGCAAGCGCTGGAATGGCTTCTCCCACAAGCGCTCCAACAAGAACAAGATTGAGTGCAAGCACGGCCGTGTTGAGGCTGTCAAGGGAGATGCCGACCAAACCTACAAGGTAAGAAAGATCATCTCGATAAAACGGTTCCCAATTAACACTAGCACAGTGCAAGAACATCGACCTGTACGACTTCAAGACGCACGAGGAGCTCGGTGATGCCATTGGCGAGGGAAGTGGCTCGTGGGGTTGGTCGCACAAGGGCCGTGACTTCGTAAGTAATCCCTGTTACACCGAATTATCCTCTGGATAAAAGCGAACCAAAACTAATTCCAATTAGATTGCCATCGGTCAGACTTACGGTGCTTCTTTCTCCGAAGTTACCAAGGATGGTCAGTTGGAGTACCTTGGACGCCTTCCCGCCAACAACGACTCCGTTATTTGGCGTGAGATCAAGGTCGTTCGTGACAGCCTCATTGTTGGTTCCGAGGGTGTTGGTCACCACGTCCAGGTCTTTGATCTGAAGAAGCTGCTCAAACTCTCTCCCAAGAAGCCTTACACTTTCGACATCAAGAAGGACACTGCCCTTGTCGACATCAACCAGGGTATCAAGGGCCGCACCCACACTGTCGTCGCCAACGAAGAGAAGAACTATGCCGTTGCCTGCGGTGCTGGCGGTCGTCCCGGTCGTAACGACACCTGTGCTGGTGGACCCATGTTCATCAACATGGACGACCCCACCAAGCCTTACGTTGAGGGTTGCAACGGCCAGGACGGCTACACTCATGACGCTCAATGCATTGTCTACCGTGGACCTCACAAGAAGTACTACGGCCGTGACATCTGCTACGGTTACAACGAGGACACCCTGACCATCTACGACGTCACCAACAAGAAGGGTTTCGGTAACGCTGGTGCCATCATCTCTCGCACACCCTACGTCGGAGCTTCCTACACCCATCAGGGTTGGGTTCTCGACCCCTACTGGCAAACTCACATCGTTATGGACGATGAGCTTGACGAGGGCCAAATCGACCCCAACCGCACTGCTGTTGACAGTCCCGCCAAAGATGGTTTCGCTGTGACCTACATTTGGGACATTCAGAACCTTGAGAAGCCCGTCGTCACCGGCTACTACAAGACTACCACGCGCTCTGTCGACCACAACCAATACGTCTACGACGGTCTTGACTACCAGTCCAACTACCAGGCTGGTCTCCGTATTCTTGACGTCTCCAGCATCCCCAAGTTCCCTGACGGCTCCAAGGTCAAGGAGATTGCCTACTTCGATGTCTACCCTCCGGATGATGTCAAGCCCGGCGGCGGTGACGCTCTCTGGGACGCCGGTACCTGGTCCGCCTACACCTTTGAATCTGGTTACGTTGTCATCAACACCATTGACCGTGGTGTCTTTGTTGTCAAGCAGGCCGATGTCAAGGGCAAGAGGAGGGGTCGCGGTCAGTACTGGAACAAGTACTAGAGCCATGTGGTGGATAATGATAGATACCTCGCGCGGTAAAAGCGCTGAATGGTAATGAAGAATAATGAAAGATTCAAACAAGTCCCCTAGTGTCCCCATGACTGCGTGGTATCAGCTTTTTGTGACAACACGGATGTTCTTTGAGATTGTTTTGAGGCTGACACTATCGTACAGATTGAGCACGGATTCTGAGCTTGGTACTACAAAGTGTATAAAACCATACGCTGGCCCCACCATTCTTCCCCCTTATATACCAACCATTTTCCACATAATACCAAAACTTCACAACATCAAACCATGGCCTGTTCCGCTTCCCTCCTCAAACCTCGTCATTTCCTACAATGGTACAAGGTTTCCTGTTTTGGAGTTTTCATAACATTATCTCATAACCTAGTTCATATTCTTAAAACATTTCGGAGACTTTTCATATGGAGTCGACTCGCTGCAGGACAAAAAGGCTAAATGACCTGGGTTATGGCCGGTCTAGCTCGCAGCGATGGTGAAGATGGTGTGATGTTGGACTCGGAGAACATGTCAAGGCACAGGTACCAAAGAAAGAGACCAACTCAAGCCATGGTGGTGTGAGCGACCGAATCTTAAAAAGTTACTACACCTTCGACGGCTCAGGCTTCTACTCAACCATGTTTCAAGATCCCAAAAATACTGGACGAACATCATATGAGCTTTTAGCGTGCTCTTTGTAAATGTTGTTAGGACCGCACTATGGTCCGGCGCTGAGGGGTGGACCTAAAATCTTCCGCCACGGCTTATTGCTCTTATCTCTGCACAAAGATATGAACACCAAAAACCGCTATATCTATGTTGTATGTCTGTCTGTCTTGACTTTCAAAAGACCAATACTGTTTTTTCCATGTTGCAGAAACCAAACACGAGCCTAAACTTGCTCTCACGCTCACAAGCCTCTCAAAAACGTATTCAAAGAAAGGATGGACCTTGGTTTTCTCCAGTTGGTTCTTACCTATAAGCACTTACCCGCCTCATGTGTACCCATCTGTGCCAACTCTTTTTGCGACACATAAGTACGAAAAATCTGAAGATCCATTTCATGTTTGCTGTTTGGGGTGGGGCCACAATATGCATGTCTTCTTCTCCCTCTTCCGCTCAAAATCCTATGATCGCACGTGATGTTGATGCGTTTCCGTGACTGTCTTAGATACAGCGTGAGGTCCACAAAGTTCTCGCACACAACCAAGAACACAAAGCGAAGATGCACAATGTGCGCTGGCACTCGCGAGGAGACATGGGTCTGACAAACCCTCCTTATTGAATCGAGTGTATCCAAGCTACGTAGTCGCGCTATGTACTTGGGACTGGGTTAGATCGGTGAACATATAAATCCTTCCCTTCTTTCACGAAGATTCTTGCCTTCTCATCGCATACTTAATTGTTTGACTTTTCCCAAAATCCACCACCAAAATTCAAATGTGTGTGAATCTTGCTCTTCTTCCAAACAAAAAAAAAACAATGCAATCAACGATGCATGCCTGGGGACGACTCGGTGGCTTCAAAGAACGTATTCCATTTCTTGAATCGTTACACCGAAGATGAGAGGTCTCGAGATCATGATTGAGGAGCTCGAAAGACGACTGCCAGTAAAACCATGACCCGATTGGCGAAGGATATCGCAACATTTGGATGCCAGCGCTATACGTTGTCCGTGCTGTCTTGGATACTTGGGATATAAAACGTATCCTGGTCTGCGCTCTATTTGCATCCTTACAATATCATTCTGCTTGATGTTTCAAAAACATGTTATAGAACAGTGCATGACGCCCCCATGTTTCTTCGCGAAACTGCTTCTATAGAACATATGAGACGACCTCTCGCTTTTGCGTGATGTGTACTACAAAAAGGAGCATTGGGGTCGATATTCCAAAGTCTGGAAGCAAGTATCATATGGTTTCGAATTAGTCTCAGCGCTTCCCTGAAACATCAATTACATGAATACATGTCATGGCCAATTTCGTTCATCCAGACACATGTGGCGATACATATACAGCGGAGACTGAGCAACACACAAGTAAAAGAATCGTGCTGATAGATAGCCGAAATTATCGCATATCAGCGGTATCGAAGAACTTATGGAAGCATGCAAGGTCTAATCTTTTGACCTTAGTATCCCACATTCGTTCTCTTTAATGGATCCAGGATAAAGCGACACATACTGGCTGATACGCAAGGGAATTTAGCGTATACCCATTGAAACAATGGTCACAATGTGATTGAGTGTAAGAATGTCATACAGGTGCTCGTGTCGATATACTTGAATCTTGTTTAGAAAAACCACGTCCCCTCCGTCTTGCCACCTTCCTTCCCAACCTGCAACTCATCCAGGCACTTCTTCAACCTCGCCCCAGTCGCCTTCCCATACGCTTCATGATCATTAAAGTCTGGCATCTCTCCGGTCCTGGTTATATCGGTGCGCACCCATACCATCTTCTCATCTCCACAAGAACCTTTGATCTCCTCGAACATCTCATCGTTGAAACCACCTCCAAGGGCTACGACAGCAGGCCTGGTGCCGTAGTTCTGGGATCCGATATTAGAAGAGCTATTGGGTGGGGTCTTGGACGAGATGATTAGAGGGATTGAAGATGTTGCTTCTTCGACGGAGAGGTTGATGTGGATTACTGAAGGATGATGAAGTTAGTGATATTTTCCAGCGCACATGCTAGTTCGACCGAGGTGTCCAAGCATACCATCGTATTCTGGTTTGACGCCCTCACTTACGGCCTTTGCGATATTTGGGTTTCTGCCACAGACGACGATGGGAATAGGCGACATTGCTGACGTGTAGTATCTTGGATGCACTCGTGAAAACGACGACCTTGGTGCAGTGCTGAGGGAGACTGATCGGGGTACAAAACGGGAAAGCAGTCTCACGGTCATCAAATCGAGATATTCGAAGGCATGAGCCAAAGGTGTCTACATATATGCTGCGCTTCGTGTTGTAATGCTTCGGCATTATTGTGTCTAAATCCGACGCTAGTACTAAATGGCACCTGGAGGTCAGCTCGGTGCGGAGAACATGTTGTACGATCGACGAGCCATCTGACTGTATTCCAACGTCCTCACAAACATTCTTATCGCTATGTACTGTTCCTATACTATACCAATTGGAAAGATAGTATGTAATAGCAACAGACGGGACTTATCGGCATCTGCAGCTCCAGTACCGGTTCCCTACCAAGCCATAGTCAATTGTAGTAGGCTATGTGCTTATCATATTGCAGCAAAATGATAGAGCAGAGTACACAGCTTTGGCCCACAGTGCTTGCAGAATGTGGAATTGACTTGCAACCTATCATCGACCCGCATGACTAGCCCCACTGCCCCTCATCTCTAAGATGTGGCACGACCGCCATGAATCCTGTCATTTTACGTCTGTAGATTATAGTATTCCAAACTTGACCCTTAGTCATCGAAACAACCAAGGGCCGGTAACTCAGTGGTAGAGTGTAGGACTGCAGTTCACCAATAAACCGCCTTCCCGAAGTCACCGGTTCGACTCCGGTTCGGCCCTTTCCTTTTTGCTCCATGTTCTTTTTGCTTCCTACCTCTCTTTCTTCTCTTATGAGAAGACTGGCGTTGGTCTGCAGTCTCTCGGTTTACGGTAGCGCCAATCGTTTTTGTCTCGTGGGCGCTAGATATGATGTGGTCTGAGGACTCACTACACAACACTTGCTACCAACCCATGGATGTAAAGGACGAAAAATGCATATATGGGTATCATCTGGCGCGACTCATCGCCATGCCACTCGAACGAATCTAAAACTCCAACTCTTCAACTTCCATCCCACACTCCTCACACCTCTTCTTTGTCATACCCGTCTCAGGATCAAGTACGCTCCTGCCCCACTCGTGCTCATGCCTATCGTACCTGCCTTTGATCTTTTGCCCAAATTGCGCGTCACCGCCATCACCCGCCAATCTCGCGCGTTTGTACGCTTCTACTCTCGTCCGCTTTTTCAAATCCTCGAGCTTGTTCTTGAACTTCTTTTGTTTCCGCTCTTTGCTTACCACCTGCCTCTTCGCGTATTCCTCATCTAACGCTTCTGCTGACCCCCATTTCTGCGGACTAAAAGCATACGCTTCGACCTGAAGGCGCAAGAACAGTTGCATGGGGTGGAAGAATTGTTTATGTGGGTTCGGTCGTTCGAGATGAGGTAAGAGTTCTTCGTCTTTGAGTTCGGGGTCGGTAAGGAGGTAGTCGTCTCGCGCTTCGGTTTTAGTGAGGAGAGAGTATTTGTCTGGAAGTTTCTCTTTGCAGATGTTGCATATGCCGATGCCGAATATGTCCTGCCACTTCCAATCGATCTCGAGACTGTTACATTCCCGACATTTACCCTTGACATCACGCTTGCCGTCACCATATTTGCCTTTGAATGTCCCACTCTCGATCTCGGCGTTCTCAGCAGCCTCGAGCAGTGCTGCTTCCTCATCCTCTTCTTCTTTGCCATTGACAGTGTCCAAGATGGAGATACCAGGCTCATATGGACCGGCCCTGTTGGCACGAAGCTTCCGTCTTATACGCTCCCTTTCCCATTCTACCATTGATACACCCTCTGGCTTTTGTTCTTCCTTCTGTTGCCCTTTCCACATAGCCTTGTTGTGCGGGTCGTCTACGGTGCTTAGAAAACCACCCTTCGTATCCGTCATTTTACTGAAATCATATTCGATGAAGTCCGATCTCGCGTATTTCTTCGCTGGTTGAATATACTCGTTCGATGGTGGCTGTATGAAGCCATTTTGATCGCGTTTGGCGGGTGATGCCGCTGCAGCGTTGCGAAGGGTCGCTGGAGTCTGCGCGGCTGTGATAGAGGAGTACGCTCGCTTGGTACCAGCGGCAGGCACTGGTGTAGGTTTCGATGCTTGTGCTTGTTGCGCCTGCGCCTTTGCTCTCAGGCGAGCCTCTTCCATGCGCCTGATCTGCTCGGGGGTGGGAGGGTTAGGCGGAAGCTTGCCCGCTGAGCGAGTCGCTCGTGGTGGTGTTGCCGGCCGTTCGGACATGTTGATACGACGAAGAGATAGAAAATGAGTGTTTGATGTGCACGCTCTTGTTTGAGCGAGTAGTTGAAGAAGTTACTGATTACACGGCTGTCGGCGCGCAGGTGGCGGATGTCATCGGGGTTAGTTAGGGTGAAATGCGGCACCGAGACCCTTGTTCCTGAGCAATGATGTACGCCAAGAGATCTCACGATCTGTACCTTCCGATTCGCGTCTCAAATCACTATCCACATGCTAATCACCCGAGAAGTTTGCAAAAAGCTATACTTCTCCTATGATGACATATTCGTATCATCTTGAAAAGGGCGGCTTGCGGTGCAGCGCCCTTACCAATCCACTATGACTCTTACGTGTGGCTGTGATCGGAACAATTCACAGCGCCTGTTATGACGTCCCACGGCTCACTTCACAGAGCAAGTCCAAGCACAAGGCATTGACTGACTTTAAAAAAAGCTCGTTCCGCATAATCTTGTCGCGATCACCATCACAACTCTCTATTCATTTCATATCATGTCAGACGCGACCACACGTGCGCACGTGGCGAGCCCTACGGCTTCGCTAATCCCTGCCGCCGATCTCCACGAAAATGTCCAAGCCTCACCACCGGAAGATAGTGACTACAGCAGCGACGAGCCCACCACAGCAGCCGCCAGACGAAGAAAGCGGAAGCAGCTTCGCAAAGAAGAACGTAAACAAGAGAAGCAAAGGCACGACTCCGCCCTTCCAACGCCCACGCAATCCGATACCGAGACTCCGGCGAACCAACCCCGCAAACCTACCAACAAGTCCCCGAAGCGGAATCGCAGGCTTGCTGCTGAATCTGACGCTTCGTCCATAACAGCACCGTCAGAAATCTCAATGGCGAAACCCGCTGCCCAAACCGCTTACCCTCTCCTCGTAGCCTCCATCGGCAACCCAGGCTCAGCGTATGCCAATACACTACACTCCGCAGGACATATCGTCACCTCAGCACTCTCTGAAGCAAAACGCTATGAAGGCTTTCAGAGAGGCCTATCAGGCCTAGTGTCACGACCTCCGACTACACACATGGCATTTGGTTTGACCGGGTACCGAAGAGTAGCAACAGACAAAAGCACAGAAGATGACTGGACGTTCTGGCAATCCACGTCATTGATGAACGTCAGTGGGAGTGGCGTACTCCGGGCATACAACGAGTGGTTACGTGGTTTACGGCAGGCATCTGGAAGTGCGACGTTAGAAGGCAGACTAGTAGTCGTACATGACGAACTTGAATCTGCGCTAGGCAAAGTGACAGTCCGCGACGGTAGCGCCAGCGCAAAAGGTCACAATGGCATAAAAAGCTGTCAACAAAGCCTTGGAGGGGTAAAGTGGTGGAGAGTAGGCGTTGGGATTGGGAGACCAGAGAGTAGGGATCCGAATGTCGTAAGCAAATATGTCTTAGGCAAGATGACGTCCTATCAACGAGCACAGTTGGAGAAGACTGATGTGCCAGTTTACAAGGCGTTGGAGCTTATTGCTGCGGGAAAGAAATAAGGTTTTGGCATAAGCGAAGGAGCATTTTCGATGGCGTTTGGGATGATACCCCATTTTTGCATAGTAGAGCGCTGTGTACGAGGTGCATGAATCAATGTATGAATATCCAATTGAATTCTGTAAACGATGAAGCATGTGAAGGTATCGTGCAATGACCCAGAACCCAATAGCCATGGTAATCCTATACTCCGGAGAAAATGCAACAAAACACTCTAGTATCCAATGTTCGGATTAACGATCAAGATGCAACAATCGAAGGACCGGCCTTCCTCAACTTCTTCCTCTCTTCGAGCCGTCTTCTCGCTTGCTCTTTGCGGTCGACAGGTAGCATCTGGCTACGATCGTGCTTCACTTGTGCAGAACCTTCTGCATGGTGTGTGGTGACCTTCGAGAGATCGAACTTGGCATCGTTGCGAACAAAACGGGAGGATGCGTCGGTCTTGGATTCCTCTAGCTTTTGCCTTTCGACTCTCTTCGACGAAATCGATGTTGCCTCAAGCTCTGAGACGTGGGTGGCCTTCTCGATCGCACGTTCTATGCGTCGCGTGGGTTCGGCTTTCTTGTCGCTCTTCTCAGGCACGGTAGTCTTCTCGCTTGACTTAGTTGCCTCCGTTGACTTGACTTGCGATACAGATCTCGATACTCGATGCTGTTTTGGTGGTGGATTCCACTCAGGTCGTGAATAAGGCTGACCAGTAGAGACTGGAAGAGCCATTTTGTCCATCTGCGCTATCGAACTGTTGTTGATATCCATCCAGGGATCGAGACCTGGCGATGGCATCGGCAACGGACTGGAGGGCAGAGTTGCGGCAGGCGCATTGTTCTCGTCGGCTGGATCTGGCCTGCGAATTTTTAGTGGTGATCTCTGTGGTTGCTCTTGCTGAGGCTGTGCAAGCGCCTTCTCTAAAGTGATTTCAAATGGACGTGCCGGTGCACGAGGTGATTTGCCTAGGATGATGGAGGCCTCGCCTTCTGCTGTTCCTAGTCTGGACGGAAGCACTGGTCGGTTCAGTGTGTCGGGCATAGTACCACGGCGGTTGCGGCGGGGCTTAGGTGACGAATTCTCTTTGGTAGACGAAGCCATGCTGTTGTTCGCAGCATACGAAACTTCAGGGTCCATTTCTAAGCCACGCGTGGGCGATCTTGCATGATCTCTACTAGCATCCTCGTATATCTCGAACGGAGCTTTGTTCTGTTGAAGCTCAGAGGAAGGTATTGAGCCTGATGCTTCCAGGACCGTGATTCGGGCTTTCAGCGCTGCAATTTCGATACTCGAAGACATGCTCTCGGCCATCGCTTGACGTAGCCGTTCTTGGAGGTCCTTGTTCTGCTGCTCTAGATCCCGCTCTCGCTGTCTGTACCGCTTGCGTTCCTGCTCGAGTTTGGTAGATAGTTCTGTGGCTTCGCCATCCTTCTTCATGGCGAACTTCTTAGCAAGCTGCTGCTTGGCAATGACCTTCTTCATCTCCTTTTCACTGTTTTCCGCGTAGCTTTCGTACTGCTCCTTCCAGTATTTGCCAGACTCGGATCGTGGGGCACCCAGATCTATTGTGATGTCGCTGTCGTCCCTCGCCTTGGGCTTCTGCCCCGACTTTGGTTGTGTGGTCGTTCGTGCGTCGAGTAGGGCTTCGGTGAGGCGGGTACGCGGTCGTTTGTCACTTTCGGGGTCGAGCTTCAGGTGCGTGCCAGGCGTCCAAGGACTAGGGAACTTCCCAGGGCAGTCGTTGGGTATGCCGGTCTTGCCAATGTTGTCGCGCTTGCCCTCGTTATCTACCACCTGCGACCCGAATGAGACCTGCTTCCTTCCCTTGCTTGCGGTGCCTGGCGTCATGAGGATGCCGCCTGGCTGTTTTGACGGCGAGATGGGTGGGCGGCTCTGTTTCGGTGCTGGGAGCTCGAATTTTGCGTTTGCTGCATCAATCCTTGCCTTCCTTTCGCTCTTCTTTGACGGATTTTTTGCCTCCTCAGGTGCGGGTGTTCCGAATATGGCATGCTTAAAAGCCTTGACAGCGAACTGATGGGCCGGCGTCTCTGGAGGTTCGATAAAAGTGGACTCGTAGTTGTTTTCTGGTGCTGTTAGCAAGCCGCAGGAGGCGCGTAACACAGTGCGACATACCAGGCTGGAGGTCTTCGATCACATTGGTGATGCGCGGGCCAGTAATCCAAGAAAACATGATGGAGCGTGTGTCGCCGTTCGAGGCGAGAGTCGTGGGCCAGGCGTGGTGGTGAAAGTGATGGCGATTTCGAATGCGCTGGGTGGGTATATCCGTGTGTTTGTTTGGCGGGTTGTTTACTCGCAGAAAGCGAGGGCTGAGAGTGGAATAGGCGCCTTCGTGGACTCTAGTCCGTCGCGAATGGTTCGCAAACACGTCTGACGTACCATGCGATAGACTGCTAGCGCATTGCCGGAATGGAAGAAGGTGCGATGCTGTTTGTTGTTCCTGCTCGTCGATCTCGAGACATGAGAAAGTCGCGTCCGGCGGCTCAACCTGTGCCTGCAGGGATAGCGCGGAACGGACCCATGGATGGCGGGGCTTCGCCAACATATCGCCCCCACCGACCGCTACTTGACGTGCGCTGCGCTGGCCACGAAGTCTCTATCGTCATTCTCAACATCTTTCACTGCAGTCTTTACCAGTCGAAGATGTCTGCAGTGTGAAGGGCAGCGGCTACGGCTGCTAGTCTCTCCGTCGATACCCTATATGACGGCCTTTTCAATCATCACCACTAGCCCACTATGGCACCGCTAAGAACACCAAAGAATAAGAAACAAACGCATAATGCATCTACGCCGACAGGTACGCCGACTGGCGACGATGAGATGGGCCCAACCAGCCCCTTCGGAGAATCGCGACCTCCGATGGTGTCGCAAACCTCCGAAAGCTACGAGAAGGCACAAGAAGATGAGCGCGAAGTCTTGAAGGCCGTCTTCATGGACGACTATGAAGAATCAGAAGCCAAAGGTGCATGGAGCGTAAGTTACAGGATTTATATGTTACCACGATATATCAATATGATCAACGATGACTCAGTCTCAATTCAGGGCAAGCGCTAACTTCAGCGCAGAAAACTACAGATCGTGTATTGCGCCTGAAGTTGTCATCCTTTTCCAACGAGAAGATTTCCATCACACTTTGTGCTAAACTCACCGCCACCTACCCCAAAACGCTACCTGAACTTACCCTAGAAGATGGTGGTAGCCTAAGAAAAAGCACCTGGGATAGGCTCTACGGCCTGCTAAAGAACCGACCTCGCGAACTAGTAGGCGAGGTAATGATCTACGACATTGCGACCGCCATCCAAGAGATACTCGAGGACGAGATTGCAGTCCGCGAGACGGACGGAGCTTACGAGAATCTGGATGCTGAGCGAGCAGTGCAAGAAGCGGCTGCAGTCGAACATTTGAAACAGCAAGAAGAAGAGTTACAGAAGAAGCGGGACGAGGAGAAAGCCGAGGAAGAGCGCCTGTTGCAGCAGATGGTAGGCGACGAAATGCGCCGGAAAGACTTGATGGCAAAGCGCAAGAAGCATCGTGTATCTGCCATCACTCCGCCTTCGTACTTTCCCAGTGGCGAGAATGTCAACTACATCTCTTTCGACAGGACCATTACTGTTCAGCATGAAGATACTACAATCCAGTGCAACGGTGTTGAGAATCCACTCCCTTTCCGTTCTGGCCCTCTAACAGAACAGCTACTGGTCAAACCGGCTGGTAGCTCAACGACCCTTACGCTAGTATTGAAGCGGGCTCGAGTAGGAGGTGGAAGTGCTGCTGCTGATCCTCAGTTGAAGCAGGCTATTATGGGGCTCGAGGACGAGATGGAAGAGATTAAAAGACTACGACAAGGCGCCATCTTATCCGTCCTGGACTTCAAAGTTGAGCACCTCCCTGACTCCGGGTGGGAAATTAGTGTCCTGATGGAACACGCTGACAGAGGGTCCCTAGGCGAGCGACTTGCCGATGATGGACCCTTGCCGGTCGCACGAGTTCGCTCCTGGACCATTGAGCTCTTGGAAGCACTAGACTTTTATCACCGCAACGGAATAGTCCATAAACGCGTTCACCCGCACAATATTTTGCTCAAGAGATCTTCTGGCGGTGGTATAACAGTGCTTCTGGCTGATGCTAGCTTCCAAGGTTCTTTATACCACCTAAAAAGCCTGTATCAAGACGTACAACCGACAAAACCACTAAGATCGTTCTACTGGATAGCACCTGAACTCTCACAGGATGCGCATCACACTCGGAAGACTGATGTATGGGACTTGGGAGTCACCTTCCTTCAGATGCTGTTCGGGTTCGATGCGCCTGGGAAGTACAACTCGCCTAAGGAGTTGTCAGATATCCTTGGCTGCTCGGAACCATTGCAAGAAGTCTTGCGCAAATTCTTTAAACCTGATCCCAAGAAGCGACCGTCCGCCTTCGATTTGATCCCATGCGAATTTTTGCGCGACGACGTGGATGTATACGAACGACCTTCCACGCCTGTACGTTCTAGAAACTCATCGACGTCGTTGGGTCGTTATAGGCTACGGCGGGAGTCTTCATCCGGCGTTGTTCCATCATATTCACGATACGCCAATGATTGGGTCGAACAAGGGCGCCTAGGCAAGGGTGGATACGGTGAAGTCGTGAAAGCTCGTAACAAAGTCGATGGTCGCCTTTACGCCATCAAGAAGATCAAGCAAAAGTCCGCAGCAGCACTGAGTGAGGTTCTCTCAGAGGTCATGCTTCTGTCACGGCTCAACCATAGCTGTGTGGTACGGTATTACACAGCCTGGCCAGAAGCTGAAGCCGACGACGATTACGACTCTGCATCATCAGATGGAGATGAGTCTGACTGGGAATCGGACGTTTCTCCTACCACGACGACAACAGATGGTGGTGGTCACGGGAAAAGCGGTGGGGGGTTAGACTTCATCAGCTCCAGTGGGTATCCTAAGATCGAATTCGGGTCCGACGACGAGTCGGAAGATGATGTTGGTGCAGTGATCTTTGGTTCCGATTCAGGTAAGTTCTATCTCATTTGAGCTTACAAACATGTCATAGGCTGACCTAGCTTAGAAGATGAAGCTAGCCTGGGATCGCTTTCGCCGGCAGTTAAAAAACGCGCCATGTCCGATTCGATGCCTACCAAGTCGTCAAGATCAATCTTGTATATTCAAATGGAGTTTTGTGAGAAGCAAACCCTCCGAGATTTGATTCGTACAGGTCTGTACGACGATCCAGACGAGTACTGGAGGTTGTTTCGGCAGATTCTTGAAGGGCTCGCTCACATCCATGGTCATGGTATCATACATCGTGATCTCAAGCCCGACAATGTCTTCATTGATATGGCTAAAGTCCCCAAGATCGGCGACTTTGGACTAGCTACTAGTGGACAGTATCAGAGATCCGATACGAAGTCTTCCGGCGGTACACAAGACGGTGGCGACATGACGCGAAGCGTAGGCACTGCACTTTACGTTGCTCCCGAGTTGAGCTCTAGTGGTATCGGCGACTACAACAACAAAGTGGACATGTACTCCATGGGCATCATCTTTTTCGAGATGTGCTTTCCCCTAAGGACTGCCATGGAGCGTGACAAGGTTATTCGGTCGTTGCGTGAACGAAAACACGATCTTCCACAAGAATTTGAAACCCCTGAAAAGTCGTTGCAAGGTGGCATCATCAAGTCGCTTATCAGCCATCGTCCTTCGGAGCGACCAGGATGCACCGAGCTCTTGAGAAGCGGTAAGGTACCTGCCCAGATGGAGGACGAAGCCGTCAAGGAAGCTCTCAAGGCCCTTTCAGATCGCAACTCGCCACATTACGCGAAAATGATGGCTGCTCTCTTCTCACAGAAGCCTGACACCCAAGCGAAAGACCATGCTTGGGACCTCAGCGCGACAACCCAGACGATAAAGGCCAACGACGTGCTTCTACAGAATCTTGTTAGAGACAGATTAGCCATGGTCTTTCGGAGCCATGGTGCTGTTGAAATACAACGTCAGGTACTACTACCTTGGTCTGATCATTATGCAGACAGCCACGTCGTAAAACTTTTCGACCCTTCTGGAACTTTAGTCCAGCTGCCCTACGATCTGACTCTGCCCTACGCGCGTAGTATCGGTCGCGGCGGAGTCTTTCTGGAGAAGACATTCACGATCGGTCACGTCTACCGTGATAACTACACCGGAAGTGCTCCACGTAGTAACGGCGAGGCGGATTTCGATATCTTGTCTTATGACACGCTCGACCTTACCTTGAAGGAGGCAGAGGTTCTCAAGGTTGTTGACGAGATCATCGATGAGTTTCCTTCGTTCCGGTCGACGCAGATGTGTTTCCACTTGAATCACGCCGATCTGTTAGAAATGATCATGGATTTCTGTAGGATCAGCGTTCCAAAGCGCGCAGCGGTCAAGGCTGCCCTCAGTAAACTCAATATTGGGAAGAACAATTGGCAGTTGGTCCGCAACGAATTACGATCGTCAGACATTGGCATCCCATCGACCTCGTTAGACGACCTGGCGCGTTTCGATTGGCGCGACACACCGGAAAAGGCATTCGCGAAGCTGCGACGATTATTCGAGGGCACCAAGTACCTTGAACGTACGCATGTCATCTTTGCACATCTGAGTTCTGTTATCAATTACACGAAGCTGTGGAGTGTGAAGCGCAAAATCTATATTAGTGTGCTGAGCAGCTTCAACGAGAAGTTCTACTCTGGTGGCATTCTCTTCCAATGTCTTTTCGATACGAAGCAGAAAGAGGTGCTTGCTGCAGGCGGAAGGTACGACAAACTGATCGAGGAATATCGCCCGAAAGCCTCCAGTCACGCACATCCAGCAGCTGCGTCTCATGCCGTGGGCGTGAATCTAGGATGGGATCGGCTAGTCAATTCCATGAGTCGATACATTAAGAAACCCGAGAAGTCGACGTTCCTACGGAAACATGCCGAAGAAGACACCCCATCCATATCATGGATGCCACGACGCTGCGATTGTCTCGTCGCTAGTTTCGACCCCAATGTTCTCCGCTCTACGGGCATCAAGATGGTAGCGGACCTTATCGCCCATGGTTACACCGCCGAACTCGCTGTCGATGCGCACTCCATTGAAGACATCCTACGTCACTACCGCGACGATAGGCACAGCTGGGTCATCGTAATCAAGCACGGCGTTGCGCCCGATAAGCCTGAGTTAAAGGTCAAGTCCATCGCAAAGAAGGAAGACACAGATCTACGCAGTCCAGATCTTCTGAACTATCTCCGAAATGAACTCCGAGACCGCGAAGAGCGCGAAGGGAGCGCAGCTCGCCTCATCAAAGCCGCACCGCCAAGCTCAAACAACACCACCAGTGCACCAAAAGCGAACGTTGACGTTCTTATAGCTCAGCACCGGTCGAAGAAGAGCAACAAATGGTCTATCGTTGAAGCTGCGCAATCGCGCTCCACAGATCTGCTCTCCGCTTTCCAGTCTGCACCCATCGCCGCCATCGAATCGAAGGAAGAGGTGATGAACCTTCTCAAGGAGACGCGCCTCAGCGACCCAGACTCATGGCGTTACTTCATCCAGAAGATGCCGCTTGCTGAGAGAAAGTATCTGCAAGAGCTGCATGACCTACTGCTAGGCTACAGAGCGAGGTGGGTTGAAAGTAAAGGCGAAGGGGGAGCGAATGGGGAGGGACCTGTGGGAAAGGCTTTTGTGTACAACTTCAGGACTGGAGGATGTCTACTTTATGATCTGGAGAGTTGATAGACGCAAGCAGTGAGCGCCGATGTAGACACATTGGAACGTTATCGAGCTTAGCAAGACGAAGCTGAATCCTATCGCAAATTTCAACAAACAAATCAAGATGGATCATGTGCGTTGATAACAGATCTCTATTGACTTTTACTCAGTAACACAGAGCTTGTTCGCACAGCGATTATTGGGCTTGCAGAAGTTTCACCAAACATTTGCGCGACTTACTGAGTCCATTTGAATGGGATTACGTGGGCGTGTGCTTGTGTGTTTTACCTTTATAGTTTGAGGCTACTTTCTAATTGCAGTTTCCTTGTGGCTTGCGAGAAGCCAATGGAGGGGGCCTGCAGCATGTGCAGCGCTGCGGTGAGGGGTACTGCTGCTATGCTTATTCTAGCACATACGCCCTCGAACAGAGGCGTCACCAGAATTCTTGAGCATGAATAGTCCCTGTTTAATATTTTCACAATCTCAAAGCGATGACTACGATTTCTACAACCAATTTCTTGCAGCGTAATGCTTTATACGATGTCGAAAAGCCATATTCTCTCCGCTTCACCCCACCCTCAGCCTTCCCACCCTCCAACATCAAGCTAGCAAATCACAGCATTACTATCAAAGACGTACGTACCCGCCATGAGCCGCTGGACTTCTTTGAACATGGCTTCCAACTTTTACCTTTCCGATCTCAACTACCATATGCGCAATTTGACGACGATGATGCTGTAAAACGTATTTACTTACGCGAGGTTGCAAACATCATCAAAGACTTCCTTGGGGCACAAAAAGTACAAATTTTCGAGCATACAGTTAGAAAGAGACATTCCGAATTCCCGATCAGTACTGGGGAAAATTATCGGTGGAACCAACCGACGAGTATAGCACATGTGGATACTACGATGGGCTGGGCGGTGGATATGGCAAAGCAGCTGAATCCTGATAATTTGAATATTGGAAAGGCAAGAATCCAGTGTGTTAAGTACGTGTTTTCCCATATCATCGAAAACATCTTGTCAATTGTTCTTTGAACTAAGCGTTATAGCTTCTGGAAACCGTTACGCGGCCCTGTGAAAGACTGGCCACTTGCTCTCTGCAATCCACACTCCATCGATACGGAGAAAGATATGGAGCCGTGTGATCTAGTTTACCCTGATTATGTGGTGGAGAATCGACAGCTGTATTGGAGTGAAGGATTGGACTGGTGGTGGTGCAGTGATCAAAGGGCAGATGAGGCATGGATCTTTTTGCAGAGTGATACTGATGCAGAGGCGAGAACAAAGCCTGTGCCGCACACCGCCTTCGAGCTCACAGGTGAGAAGGGAGAGCCCCGGGAAAGTATTGAAGTAAGGGCGCTTGCGTATTTCGGTGACTTTTGATCTCTTGGTAATTCGCCTTACAATCAAATATATTGTGTTATAGCCTGGAGCGAGGATAGAGATACGTATCGTGAGACCATGCGAGGTCTAAGTACAGAGCAATTCTTGCGACAATGCCCTTGTCTATGACCCCTGATCTTGTCTTACAGCGCCAGTGTATATGCATTCGAATGCCATGTCCATTATCCTCTCAGTTGACCCAGTATTGAATACTATAGACCGTCTCGCCGTGACTAAACGGCTAATCAATGCCCTGACCTTAAGTTATCGCGTCAAATTTCCAAGCTTGTGTATCGCAGCCTTGTTTCAGACTGTCGCTCCGGCCCAATTGATATATTACGATTATTCTGGTTGTGTCTCGCTCTCTTGTTCCACGCTCCAGCCATCTCTAGCGAAAAAATTGCCGGCGTTGCCATCAAACACCATTATTTCCCCTTTGGCAAAGCCATATATTTGTGCCTGCTGTTGAGGCTCGCGAGGCGCAGGCCAGATCTCGCGCCATGGTTGTCGTTTCGGTTCTTTAGGGGCGAGCGTGTGGGTCGAACGGGCAGCAACTTGAGAATCGGCGGCAGGGCCAGTTGTGGAGCCTGTCATTGTAGGAATCTTCGGTGGGTGGACCGTTTAGCGTAGGACTAAAGCTGGTTAGTGAATTGGAACGGAGCATTCACGATTGACGCAAGGTGAACCCTTCGCCTACAGTATGAGACATGGAATACATGCCAGTCTGTAAATTTACTCAAATGAGCGTGGAAGGTATTGGGGAGATTGCTGACAACGCGCTGCATCGTACGTGCGCCTCCAATATTTGCTTCCTCCTAGGATGGAGGCTGAGCTGGCAGTGTGCCGTGGCACAACCAATCAAAAGTGCATACGTCACGTCACCTGCATAGGAAAAGTGGGGCAAGTTATCGTTACGTTACGTGCGGAGCTTCAAACTCTCCGGCCTATGCGCATTCAATCAAATCCTAGTTGTTCCGGTCTTATGTTGAAGCCATGCCACAACACATCCTCTAATGGTTCAACGATGAGCTCATATACTCGCTTCGGGAAATCTATGTCATCCCTTCCGTCATTCATGCTGTCCCACTCGAGACAAGCTTTTACCGCCTTCTGCAACCCGATCACCACTTTACCGTCGGACTTCCTCAGCAGACGAAGGGCTGCTGTCAAGTTGGTACTATCATTCTGTGTCGAGCCATCTGTCAGGTCTTCTGTATCCCAATGATTCTCTATCAAAGTTCCATTAGTGATCTCGAGTAGTAGAACACCCAGAGACAACAGAGTAGGATTTGAATGGATTGAGAACAGATCATCCTCTTCATCGGGTCCTGTCTCTAGCCTTGTAAAGTCCATCGCAAGGAACGGCCGACTAACATCAGGATGCTGACCATTGTTCTTCCGGAAGAAAAAGATCTCGTCCTTGTTTAAGTCCGCATGCAGCCAAGGACCTTTGGAGCGGTGCATCACCGCATGCGCTAGAGTCACGGCCAATATCGACTTGTCACGAAGATCGCAGTGTTTCCAGCGTTGGTCACTTTCGAGCAAACTTCTCAGAGATGCATCCAACTGATGGCGAATCTGTAGGCGCGAACGCTTGGCCTTTTGTTGCCAGAGTATGCCATTCTGAAACAAGATTTGAAGGCTTATATTCGGGTTCTTTGCTTTTTCTAGGAGGTCGCACAACGACTCAGATTCGATGTTGCGACCAGGCAGTGCTGAATGGGAAGTGGGCGGCGCGTGGCCGCCTGCGAATCGAACATGGGGTTCACCACGATTGTTCTCACTGATTTGATCTTCTTGGCTAAAAACAGTCAGCAATGCTCAACGCCATACCGATACCGACCATAATCCTGAGACTCACCTATCAGTAACGTGGATAGTGGTTTCAGTCCAGTGAGGTGAATTTTGCCCATCGACAGGCACAGATACGATGATGCCGAGACTATCATCGGAGCCATTGCTGTTGTCGCTCGCACAACAACAATTCCATAAGCACAATTTTGCAAGATGCCGAGCGTTGCAGGAGCAAGGCCATTTACTCGCCAGTTTTCTGAATAGTTCCTCAGGGTGTCTCTTCATTCTGTTCGCGGGAGTCCTTCGCCGCGCTGCACGACTTTGATGGTCGAAGATCTCTGTTGAAGAACCCAACAAACGCTCCAGCTTCCACACACCGTCTTGTATGCGTTTCATCGCCACATTACGAGTCTTCTCGTTCCGGGTAAATCGAAACTTTTCACGGGCCGATTTCGATGCTTTGCCGGTTTCGATTCTTTCCTCGAGGCGGTGGAGCCTTTGGAGCATAGTACGCTGGGTTTCCTAAAAAGTCAGTTCGTGGGTTCTAGCTGCGATGGCATGTGCAGTATAGTACTTACGATATCGTCCTCTGTCAGCGCATTTGACTTTTCTCGCACCAGATCGTTGATGCTCTTCAGTACCCGATCCAAGATGGTCTGAAAGTCTTTTGCGCTGTGTCCAAGTGCGATCTCGATTGATTCCGCCTGAGTGATCTCTGGCTGTGCTCCGCTGAGCCTCACCCTGGCGGACTTGATATGTACTTTTTCCAAGATCATGTTGAGGAGAGTCAGCTCTCCATGCAGGTCTTGGTAAAAGTCTAGTTGTTGGTCATTGCTGATTCTGGACAAAGTCAAAGCCTTGCCCTTTCTCAAGACGGTGCGGTGATGTTCAACCAGTACGATAACGAGTGGCACAATGGCCAAAGCAAGCTCCGCACCAGACATTGTGTTACAATAGATAGACCTAAAGCCTTTGCAAGCGAGGGGAAGGCTATTATCTGAAGAAGGTCGAGTCTCTGACAGCACAGCCAACGACGGATCCGGTGAGCTGTCACGGATGAGGGCGTCATTGGGCTGACGGGCGTCTTACCCCGCGTATCTGTGATCCCGGACTACCAATACCTGCTACCTACCGCACACCATCACCGATGGATGAACCACACCAGTAACTCTACTGGCTATCGCTTCAGGTGTTCGCTCTGGAGTGTTCACCGGACGAGGCTCTGTTGTCGCTTCACTCTTTTATCCCTCCCTCACATTCTTTAATCTTCTTGAGACATCAGTCCATCCCCAAGCATGTCCCACGAGCTTCGCACGGCTGCTCAAGGATGCATCGAACAATTTAAGCTGCTGATAGAAATCAGCGCGGAGCTGTATCCTACAAGCGATGATTCCAGAAGTACCTACGGCACCAATTGGATTGAGGAGCAGTATGTAAGGTTCAAGATATGGGCTGGCAATATAGGAGCTTTTGCTGAAGGGCACGCGTCACTTGATTACCGGCTTCGTGATAGCCTCAGCACGCAGAAATTCATGCTGCAATTCCTTATCGCTCTAGCAGATTTTGTACACAGAGGTAAGTGAAATCCTCTTCACTTGTTTGTAATATCAGGCGTCGTGTTTTGGAGCCTTAGAAAGAACCAGGCTTTGTCGTGTGTGCCTAGTTCCTAACTTTATCTTTTAAGCTATCGTAAGCTTGAGACCAGAAGAAACACCCGAAGTGCTTGAACGTATTGACAGCCTCACTGGAGCGAATGGATCAGTTGGAGATGCATTACTCGATGACTCTACGTCTTCTGCAATATCGTCTTTCCAGGGATCAGAGACGAAGTCGGTTCAAGACGAACTGACCCTTGGAATTTCGGACGAAAACTCATCACCAGAGAAGAGACTGCCAGGCATAGAGAGAGCGATTGATCGTCTATTTAGACTTTCTTTACTGATCCGCCAACCTTCGAGATCATCTCAAAATGAGAAAGCCGAACGATTCATCATGAAAGACGACGATGGCAACGAATTGAACGAGTCATTCGCAGGATTCGCTCGGCAGATAGTAGATCACTGCTTTCCAGACGCTTCTGAGTTCTTACGCGCAAAATTGTCAAATGGAATAGTCATTCGTCGCAAGCGTTTCTTGTACCGAAGACGCCATCAGGAGAAACTGTTTGGCCTAGATACAACGAAAGAAACTATGCGACAAGACTCGAAGTATAGCGAGCCATTCGAAGAGACGGATGTTACAGTACGTGCTTCTAAAGTGGCAAATGAAGTCTCACCAGCAGACATATCGGCGCCAAAGGTTTTGCGATTAAGAGGTACCAACCCATCACAAACTTCCGCATCCGCACTTCAGAAGCAATACTTTCCGATCAATACAGTGTTAGAAGACACGAAATCAAACCAGACTACATCTTTCACTGCCACACCTTCGTCGAGTGCACCAGTAGAGTTGCCGCGCCCACCCAAGCCCGCTCTTGGTAGCAAGGAGTTTGAATGCCCATATTGCTGCCTCATATTGCCTATCAAAGAATCAAGAGCTTTTCACTGGAGGTATGTCATCGCCAACCCCATCAATCCACCTTCGAGGGCAGGCCCCTTCTCCCACTCGGGATTGACAATATTTCCTACGACTTGACAACTGATGGTACTATAGACGACATGTCCTAGAAGACCTTGAGCCATACACATGTCTCTTTGAAGGATGTCCAGATGATGTAAAGCTCTTCGAGGATAAAGCCTCTTGGATAGCTCACCTCCAGCGTCACCAAATCCGCTGGAGATGCACATCTAAAGCCCATTCAGAAACACTGTTTACGAGCGAAGAGGAATATTCTGGGCACATGCGAAATCAGCACGCAAAGTCTTTTACTGATTCCCAATTGCCCTTGTTAGCCAATCGTAGCAAAGTGCCAGCGACCATGATTTTCCCACAGTGCCCTCTTTGTTCTTACATTCCGAACGAAGTTGATATCAGGGGTTCAACGGGTGCAAGTCAGACGCAGAAAGACAGATTGATATCGGACCGTATCATAAAACACCTCGCGGCTCATCTGGAGTCTCTTGCCGTTAAGGCTCTACCATGGCAAGACGAAGTCGAGGAGCATGTGGAGGGCCACTCGCAAACAGGCAAAGCCGACGAATTCACTGTACAGAGCGAGAATGGCTCTCGAGTTCTATCTTCAGATGATGCAGCAGGCTTACAATTCTCCGAGGATCCCTATGGCAATATCTCAATCGAATGGCCGACCAGAAGTGGAGACACAACACCACTTCTCGACTCGTCCTACGAGGAAGACTGGAGTTTCATCGAACGGCAACCTTACTTCGGGCATGATAGAGATGAGACCCTGCAACCTCTTCTACAGCGTCTCTTTCTTGAAGATTCCACGACCAATGCGTTTTCTGGACCATCACTTCCTGCTTACCAGGTACCTGTAACCCCTGATAGGAATTTCTACGGCCGGGATTACGCGCTGAATGCAATGGAGAAAGCCTTATGCATGGCTATCGACGATGAGTCGACGGACAATAAGCCAATAAGTTGGCCAAGATGCTATGCCTTGTATGGTCCTGGAGGTATGGGAAAAACACAAATCGCAGCAAATTTTGCGTCCAAGCATAGAAACGAGTTCGATGCTGTTCTATGGGTTCAAGCAGAAGACGTCGGAAAGATTGCACAAGACTACAAGGATCTGGCAATCGGCTTAGGCTTGGTAGAGGCTGATTCCCGAAATGCAATGGACCTCGATTACACCAAGGACGTGTTGAAGCGATGGCTCGTCAATCCCCGGAAGGATAGATCTCAAGAAGGCGAGAAAAACCCGGAACTGGCTTCTTGGCTATTGGTGTTCGATGGTGTAGAGGATGGCGATGTTCTGAATGGATTCTGGCCATACAATGGACCAGGTTCTGTGCTCATTACCAGTCGCAACCCGTACTCATGGTCAGCATCTCTCGAGCTGAAGCCCTTCAGCCTATCCGAAGCCACGAACTATTTGTTCCGTGTAACTGGAAAAGAACCAGTTCCTGGTCCCGAAATGGCAGCTGCAACCACAATCGCCAATCGTCTGGGCGGTCTACCGCTGGCCCTTAGCCAAATGGGCTCCATTGTCGCCTCAAAGGATATCTCATTCACGGATTTTCTTTACTCTTTCGAGGAGCATGAGGGCTCACAAGCCTTCTTCGACTGGCAAACTCCGGATAAGTTGCGCTCTCCCAGTAACTATCAATCCAATGTCGCATCAGTGTGGGCATTCGACCGCCTTGGGAAAGGTTCAACACTTATCAATATCGTCTCTATGCTCGACCCTGATTCAATCCCAGAATCGGTCTTCACTTCGCCAGTAGAAGAAGACGATTCTGTTTTGGTGCAGTTTGTTAAGACCAACTATGTTGCAGCACGTACGGAGTTGCTCGCGCGATCTCTTATTACCGGCAACAAAGGCAAACAAACCTTGTCAGTACACAGGCTTGTACAAGATGTAGCTCGAGCTAGATTACGCCAGTCTGAGATGAGGTGTCACTTCCTGGCCTGCGTCGAGTTGATCAATGATAGATGGACTTTCCAAGAGCTCACTTGGAGACATGGCATCGCTCGATGGGAAACTTGTGAGGAGCTGTTCCCTCATGTTCAGCGCCTTAAAACCATGTATCCATCAATAACACCATCTCCGGACTCATTTGACGACTACGAGTTCGCCAGACTACTCATAGATAGTGGTTGGTATCAACACGAACGTGGGCAGTCTCTTGAAGCGGTGTATTCCAACAACATGGCTCAGTCAATATGCGAATCCCTCAAGCTTCGCTTACTGGAGCATCCTGAATTTGCGCAGAACAGTTCTGTGACACTTTCAAAGTTGAACTATTCACTTCTCGAGATAGCACACAACAGAGGATGCATAGCCCTTGAGATCAACGAGCCAAACGACGCCCTACGGTATCTCACAATGTTCAATCAGGAGATGGTCAAGGAAAGCTTAAAGAAAGACCCTGAGGATATGCGTCTCGCTATCTCTTGGAATGAGTTGGGAAACGCGCACATGCTTAATCGTGATTGGAAGAAGGGGGAAGAATGTTTCCTCAAGTCTATCGAGGAGATGCGCAAATATCATAAGTTTAGTGAGACCATGATCTCGCTACCCGTGAGTACTATCCGTATGCAATATATGTAACAAGCGTTGACTTTGTTGCAGCTGGCTAACCTGGGTCTGGCGTACTGGCTACAAGGAAACAGCGAGCTAGCTTCAATCACACTCAAAAAGGGATTGAAAGATCGCGAAGATGAGTTCGGCAAGGAAGACCGGGTATCCTTCATCACAGGCCGCTTCCTTCACGCCTTGGGGAATGTCGAATCCAGTCTAGACTACCATCGCCGTGCACTCATGCATTACAAGTTGACCCTTGGAAACCGTCATCACCGTACTGCCGACGTCTTCGTCAAAGTTGCAGAACACAACATCAAACTTGGACATTACGACATGGCACTCGCTCTCCTCAATCATGCTCTTGGCGCATTTTCCATTTCTCATACCTACATCCCGGAGAAGATGCGAGCGTGCTGGATGCGGTCCAAAGCGTTGAGTGCGCTTGGAAAGACAAAGGAAGCAGAAAGCGAATTGGCAAATTGCTATCAGGTCTACGTCAGATTACGAAGCAAGCGCGAAGGCGACGGACCAAAGATCAAAGACGGGCCGAGCGCGCTTGATGATGAGGACATCGATGATCTTATAGTATTCTGGTCTAAGTGAAGATACAAAATGAAGTCTTAGATAACGAACTATTGTTGTCAGCACGAAAAGAACTTAAGCAAGAATGATGCCGTTATCCATCTACAAAATTCCAGGCCTTGAACCGATAAATCTGGCAGGAGCTTGGCGGTGGAGCGATACCAGTCAGCTATGCATTGCCCAAAAAGCTATTCCGATAGTGTTTTGTCTGTTTAGAGCTGTATCATTCTTAATATCCAGATTATAGCGGCTAAATGTGTCAAGTTCCCGATTCTTCCGTAGGCATAGCGCAGCACCACCACCATTTATATCTCCATCACTGCCGCTTGCACTTCGATCATAATACATCGTACATTAAACAGCAAACTTCGATCTTGCCCTTAATCTCGCGCCGTATACCCAGATCAAATACATCCCGATCTAGATCGAGTCAGCCCGCATTCGCTGCATCACTGTTCCGACCAAACTTACTATACCCATCACGCTCAAACCGCCCAGAAGACTGATGCCCTTTCCTATACCCAAGTTGATGTACATGGGGCGGGAGAAAAGCACGGACCCGAAAGCAAAGCCCGAGCGACAAAAGTCATTGCCTGCAAAGAGAGACGCGGCGTATGTTGGGTAGGACATGGGTACATACGCTATATAGGGGTCAGTAAAGTGAATAGGTAACGGGAAGTCCAGGGACAAGTTACAAAAGACAGCCTGGAAGATTATGAAAACGCTGGTCGAGTATATCGTGATACCGATGGCTGTAGCGATCCAGTGTACGGAGTGGCGAGCCGTCCAGCCTACGCGTATCAGCATTAATGCCCACTTTGTCTCACCGAAATTGCCGTCTGAAACTTACCAAAAAGGAACAATCCAACCGGCACACCAAAACTGGCGAATATTGCTGGCACAAGTCTGTGTTCCTGTGGCCTCATCCCTCTCTTCAAAATATCCGGTGTAAGATAGAACTTCAGATATGAAAAGTAAATCGTAATCGAAATGAAACACCCCACAATAATTGCTAAGAAGACTATCGTCATCTCGCCAACATTGAATCCATATATCTCAAGATACACCAAGGGGAAAACTTCAAAGAAGGAATAGTATATACCATAGGTTAAAGCGGAGTAGACGTTGATGAAGAAGAGAGCAGGGTCTTTTACGCAAATCTCCAAGGGCTTGATGATAGCATCTGCGAGTATGGCGGAGAACTTGATGCCTTTGCGATCGATCTCTGTCTGCGTATGGATGTTTGGGTTGCCTGTTAGTGCACGAAGGCGAGCAGAGCGATGCAGCAAGATGGTAGTAGGTTGTGTTTCCGGCAAGAAGAAGAAGAATAGGAGGAATACTGGGGCGGCCATCCATAGGAGTTCCCACTGTGACCTACGGATATATAATCAGCATGAGACAACACGCAATGCATACAACGAATTGTAGAAGAAAAGAGACGTACCAGCGCCAATTCTCGGCATACACAGAAAACCCGGACAGAAGAGGTCCAAGTGCTGGTCCTGCAAACGCGGCCGCCGTCCAGAAAGCAAGGCCATATGGCAACTGCAGTAGAGCATATAGATCCTGCATACTTGCTCCGCCGTTCGCTAAACACGGACTTCCAAAGAAACCTAGCAAGAAACGGAGGACGAGGAGACCGCCGAGGTTGTCCACCAGTGCCGCAGGTAGAGTCAGGATGGTGAAGAGAGCGAAGGTAGTGATGTAAGGTATGTTCCTGCCGAGCTGCGGAACTAGGAGAGCTGTCAGTCAAGATTCATCTTCGTGATGGCAGTGACCTATCTGGAGAGGAATAGGTGGAGACGTATGGATATGCTCTTACCTTCACTCAGCGGCGCAAACAACAACGGTCCAATTCCGTAACCTGTAGATACGTTGTCAGCCTCATCATACCGTAAAACAATATCAACAGATACGAAGACGTAAGGACTTACCCAAAACATACAACGCTAGTCCCAAACTCGCCTTGAAAGCACCCACTCCAAACCTCTCCATAACCAACATCTGACTACTAACATAGATCGAGCTCCCTGCATACACGATAAACGTATACAGACAGATCAAAAACGCCGTCCAAGCCTTCTTCCCCCGAGACCAGTTGTGAGGGTTCGCTGGATCGGTAGTGGTGTACCATTCTGCTAATATAAGACCGTCGGCTGTCTTTGTGGGGGCGATAGCATGAGGTGCTGAGCGCGTGCCATGGAGTGAGAGAGTTGCTTCGAGACGTTCGGCTTCAAGGCGTTCAGGGCTGAAGGGGAGAGTATGCGAAGCGATTGTCGCTGCTGGGACACCAAGTTCTTCGTGATCTGTCGAGGTTGAGTTACGCGAGTGGTCTTTCTCAATATCTTCTGTTCGAGAGGGGAGCTTCTCTAGGTCGTCTGGAAGGGGAGCGTCAGTGGTCTGGTCCGGGTTTGGCTGGCTGATGGCGGTTGCGGAGTTGTTGGGGTGCGCTTGAGTCGTCGAGCCCGAGGCTCTGGTATTTCTTTCAGTGTAGGCAGCAGGAATTTCAAAGCCAGGTAACTCTTCTGGGTACTTGAAGACGCGGTTACGTGTTGCGTAACGAACGAGCTGACCAAACGGTGCATCGCGCACTATTTCCTTCAGGGTCTCCATACTGTCAGAATGCTAGCGGGTGAATTTCAAGCGGAAAAAATGATTATCAGGAGATCTATTCGAATATCTAGGCGCACCAATACTATTATATTGACAGGTCCTACTTCCAGCCTGATCGCCGAGGGCTCCTGCAAGGGATGATCCCCTTGCTCCCAGCAATTTCACATGAATCACTCGCATAAAAACGCCCTTCTGATTGTCAGCAAAAGCCATTAGATATCAATGAATGGGTGTCATGATTTCATAGAATGTTCGATAAGGTAAGTGTGAGGAAACGCCGGAAAAGGCGTGTCAGATCCGGAAGAAGCTTACTTTCGGCCACGTGGTTGGTACACTTGAGGCAGCCACGCAGCCAGCGAAGTATATATCGCTTTTCGTTGACCGATCGGAACCAGGTGTTGGATTATGGTAGGTTAGCTGGGCAGGCCGGACTTCCCAGCCTCTGGCTTGAATTAGTGATCGGTGGTCACCAACGGATTACGCATTCGGTCAGCTTCAAGCATCCGCCAAGATCCGATACAACATCTCCGGTACCACATCTCCGAGTGCCGGCATGCACTTGCTGACGAGCACTGCTGACTGAAACTTGTCGTATCTGCGCAAGTTTAGGCAAACCACGACTTACGGATCTTTGGTACGTCAACATGTCGATTATGCGGCGCAAAAGAAGCCAATTAGACTTAACTATGTGTACACTAAGAGCAGGCAACCACCCATAGGCTCTGGTATACGCCGAGACAAGGAAACAAAAAGGAAATATGCTTGCGCCCTGATGAGAAGCGGGTCTCGATCGCTTACTTTTTTCTTTCCAAACCCCGTCTAAATTTCATCCCTCTCATCCATCCGCCCTGTTCATCCTCTGAGCCCTATGTACAAGGAAAATAAGTGCGCGATCGTACGTTCGAAGCAGGGATCCCTATTCGGCAGCTGTTTTAGACTTCGCTTCGTAAGCCGTCTTCGCGGTACTGGTCAAGGTCTCTAGTTCTCCGCTTGTTTCGCACATGGACCGGAAGGAACCGTCTTGTTTCCGAACAAGATCATATGGATGACCATATTCGATGACCTCACCCTTATCCAAAACAAGTACCTTGTCGTAGTCGATGATCGTTTGGAGACGATGAGCGATAGTGATAGTAGTGTTCTTGATCTGACGGATGGTCTCCTGAATCTTTGCATCGGTTGCGTAATCGATAGAAGCCGTGGCTTCGTCCATCAGCAGCACCTTGGGTGCCTTGAGTAGCGCTCGAGCAAGACAAAGCAGTTGCCTTTGACCTTGCGACAGGTTGGAACCGGACTCTGATACTGGGGAGTTCAGGTTCTTGAAAGGGTTCTTGTTCTCGGCCTCCATCGCAGCTTGTGCCGCAACATCGTCCTGGTCTGCGGGACGCCCGTCGGGCATCACTAAGACGGTGTCTTCCTGTGTCTCGCCACGCTCCCAGTCGCGGTTTGCGAGAATGGATCCGGGATTGGTAGTAGCGGCTGAGTAGCTGGCATTGACATCTGCAGTCACGGCGCCTGATGTAGGGACAGGGATTTGGACAGCGCGGGGTGGGGAGGCGGCTCCGGTAGGTGTCACAGTGCCAGATGCCGGACGTGATAGCGTTGAGATAAGGTTGACTTCGCGTAGTGCAGTGTAAATCTCCTCGTCAGTAAAGATTGAGAAAGGATCAAGATTGCTTCGGATAGTGCCCGTGAATAAGGTCGGATCTGTTGGATGTTAGCACTTGCTGAATCTTGATAGAACCTACATTTGCTTACCTTGCGGTACCATGACGACATTCTCCCGCAGATCATGCAGGCCAATTGTACCAACATCGATGTCATCAATCAAGATCTTGCCCTTTTCAGCCTCCAATGCTCGGAACAATGCAAGAGCCATTGAACTTTTACCAGCACCTGTCCTGCCCACTACACCGACCTTCTCTCCTGGAAGGATTTTGAAGGTCAAGTCCTTCAGGACAAGGTCGAAGTCGGTCCTGTATCGCGTACTGTAGTTGATAAACTCTACGGATCCCTTGCTTGGCCAGTTGGAAGGTGGGCGGGTCTCTGGGATGACAGAGGGAGCCTCTTGGTCAACATCGAGGTACTCCTTGACACGCTCGACCGAGTTCATGTTCTGCTCGTTGGCGGAGTAGAGACGAACAAACCACAAGACATTCTCAGTGAAGGTGACAGCGTAGGTGAGTGCGAGACCAGCAGCACCTGCATCGATGCGCCCAACGCTGAGCACAACGAAGGCTCCGGAGAAGAAGGCAACCATAGCACCAACAACATCCACTCTGAACGCAAGCCATCTGTTAGCTGCCCAGAGATAGATGAAAGGTCGATGTTGGGTGTTAATCTTGTTCAAGTTCTCGCGAATGAAGCGGCGCTCATCGCCGTAAGCTCTGATGGTCGTCATACCAGATAGAGTTTCACCAAATTGCTGATACAGCGGGCTTCGATGTACGGACTCTAATCGCTTCAAGTCGCGTGATGAGTTGATATAGAAACGACCGATGAGGAAGTAAAGTATCGAAATGAAGAAAGCCGCAATCAGAAAAGCAGGTGTGATGACCGAGATAAGGATGACGATCGTGATGATAGAAGCGAAGCAATGTACAACACCAATAGCGACAGGCGCCACCTCTTGATCGACAGATTCGATATCCTTGGAGAATCTGTTCATGAGTTGACCGAGCGGGGTCTGATCGAAGAAGCGGAATTTGGCGTGCGTAACTTTCTGAATGAGGCGTTCGTGTATGCGTTTGGATGCAGCTAGAGAACCACCGAACAGGAAGCCTTCTCGTAAGAATGTGATAAACATGAAGATGAGTCCAAGAACGGCATAGATACCCAAGAAGTACGCCGAGTTAACATCCGGGTTCGAAGCGCTGAAAGTGGTTTGCATAGTGTTGTAGGCATACGACTGCTGCTCCGGTTGGGCTGCAAAGAAAGGAATGTTCCAGCTGCAGGTGCCGCTGTTCATACATGTGCCCATACCGCTCAGAGTCGGCGCGTGTGTGACTGGAGTCTGGTGGTGTGTACCCATGACAGCATAACCCTTTTCTGCGTATGCGTTTGCCCACGTGCGGATCCAGAGATTAGTAGACACCGAGGAGATTTGTGCAGCTACGAAAGCGATAGTAGCACCAAGCCAGTAGTACCACGGACCCATAGCCCGCAGATACATTGTGATGATACTGAGCTTGACACCACCCTCTGCCTTCTTTTCCTCCTGGCTGTTGCTGACGGTTGTCTTCTTAGCGTCCGGCTTGCCATTCATGGTGACATTGGCGGATCCGTTGGCGTGATTAGCATCACCGTTCGCTCCTTCGCCTGCATCCGAGGAAGGTTCTTGAGAAGGAGGCTTGGAAGCACCTCGTGAAGCGGGCCGTGATTTTGTGAGATCTTCTGTGAGCTTTCCGGAGGTGATGACTTCGTCTGCTGTTCCTTGTGCGACTATCCGGCCGTTCTCAAGTACGACGGCGAACTCTGCATGTGGCAGACAGAGACTGACGTTATGTGTGACCAGGATACAAGTTCGGTTGGCCATGAGCGGTCCATGAAGTGCGTAGTGAAAGATCCATTTGGCGGTGTGGGCATCGACAGCGCTCAAGACATCATCGAGAAGAACATGACGGGCCTTGCTGTACAGTGCACGAGCCAGCGAGATACGTTGCTTTTGACCTCCAGATAGCGTTACACCTTTCTCTCCTACTATCGTCTCGTCACCATTGTCGAGTATCTCGAGATCTCGCTTCAGAGAGCATGCCTCAATGACATCTTGGTAGCGCTTTTGATCGAAATGGCTAGCGAATACGATATTGTCCTTGACTGTACCATTCACAAGCCAAGCTTGCTGAGCGCAGTAAGCGATACTGTCAGTGAGTCCTGTATCAGGATCGGGAGTCATGTCTTCCCGGCTGAGTCCACCTGGTAAGTAGACGCTTCCCTTGAGTTTCGTCATCTCACCAAGCAAGCCCATCAGCAATGATGTCTTTCCAGACCCAGTGGGTCCAACGACAACGTTCAGCTTGCCCACGCGGAAAGTTAAGTTGAGATCCATAAGCTTGAAGGCATCAGCTGAAGCCTGGTCCGCCATGTCGGTTCCGCCCCAGCTGAATGTACCATTCTCGAATCCAATGATGGCCTGGCCATCTTCGTCTTTCTTCTGAGTGATAAGCTGCGCGTACTTTTCGGTCTCAGGTTCCGAAAGATACTCCTCGATACGATCTACTGAAACCTTGGATTCTTGAACATGAGCAACCATGTCTGCGAGTTGGTCCAGCGGGATCCTAAGGATCTGGAATAATGAGAGAGCAGTAAAAGCGACAGACGGGATAAGTGCTTTATGTTCGACGTTCGTGTAGACTAAGAAAGATAAGAACGTGATTAAGACTGGTGAGCCCGACCATATCGTAGCTGCCACCGCCCACAGAATATAGCGCCGTCGCAGATGCTTGAGCTCAGTGTATCGCTTCTCGTTAACCAGTCCGATGAAACGCTGTTCCCAAGCAAAGAACTTAATGATTCGGATATTGGTAAGAACCTCGTTTGTAGTGTGGATACGAGCATCGGTAGCCGCAAGAATGAGCTTCTGGATCTTGGAAAATTGTCGCGCGACATACATGTTGATAGGAAGCAGGAAGACCATCATACCGATACCGGCAATCGAGCTGTAGCCCAGGATGCGGTAAAGTAAGAAGACAGCCACAACGACTTGGACGGGAGTGTTCGCCCAGAGAAAATGGAGATAGGCGCAGATTTCGCTGACCTTGAAAGCGTCAACAGCCATGAGGTTGATGATGGCGCCGGTTGTGACCTGAGCGTCAGATACTGGCTTCGTGGCGTCTTCTTCTTTGGCGGCTCCATTCACCTTCTTCTTGTTCTTGCCGAAAGTGAACATGCGCTTCAATCCCTTTGGCTCTTCGTCTTGCTCCTGTTTCTTCTTATCCTCGCCCAACGTCTTCTCAGTAGTAGCTGCTGCTCGACGCTTGAGTGCTTTGGCATAAATTTCTCCAATGATGACGGCGCGTAGACGAATGCAAATCTTTCGACCGAGCCATAGCGCTTGACCATCTGCAAGTGCGGACAAACTGCCAGAGACGAAAAGCAGGATGACGTAGAACCATGCGGCGTTGGCGGGTGTCAAGTCGGGCTTCTCAACGTACTCCAAGATAACCTTCAAAAGTAGTGTCGGGGCGAAAGTAAGGAAACCAGAAATGGCGGCCCAACCTGCCTGGATGAGTAGGCCTCGTTTGAAGTGCTTTAGAAGATGGTAGGCCAAGCCAGAGGTTTTCTTGACTTGACGGTAGTTCGCGATGACCGCTGCGGCCTTGTCCTTGGAAGGGAGGTTCCAGACATCGGTAAGCTCATATGTCTTTTTGTATCCAGTCCAAACGATTGGGTCCACCCAGCTGAAAGTAGCAAGGGAGAAAACACTAGCGACAGGCTCCCGGGCAGGCGCGATGTCGCCCTCATACTCCAATTCTACTGCCTTGTTGCCTTTTCTAGAGCACAGAGAGATGAGAAACAGTAGCGAAACGAGGGCGAAATCGCCAATCATAAGCTTCTGGTGCAAAGGCGATCGCGGATGGATAATGGCTGATCGGAACAGGAGGACGCTAAAGACCCATTGGAAGCCGTAGATGAAGGCAGTGTGGTACCAGAGATGGGGGAACGAGAACCTGCTCGTGCTAGAGAGGAGCAGTCGCAGGGACGCTAGAGTGGCGATGTAGGCCCAAATAGCGACATTGGCAATGGCAGCGAGTTTGCCGTGCTTGCCCCACACATTGGTCAACAGCACAGTGACATGAAGTCCAAGCTGTGCCAGGACCGCCAGCTCTTCGAGGATAACGACCGTAAGTTCCCCGCGAGGTTTATCTACAGCCATGGTGGATACCGTGTTGACTGCTTGGAGCGCAAGGTCTTCATTCCGCTCCAGTTCGTCGTCGGCCTCGCTGTCGGCTTCGTCGCCATCGTAGTGGCGACTTCGGTAGGACCAGACATTGCCGGGATCTTCGAGGACGCTGTAGGCGTGGTAGTACTTGGACGCGGTGGCGGCGAAGTAGAGTTGGACCAGTAGGTAAGCGACGGATACTCCGCATACGATGAGAGGGAACAATGTTTGGAGATAGCTGTGACGTGTTAGCCCTCAGAGTCGTTGGTGATGGCGCATCGCCAATCGGACGGCTGCAGTGGCATCTGAGACAGCGCGTGGGATAGCGCAAGCCAAAAAGAAGCACCTACTCTTGCTCGAAACACCTGGAAAAGTCGTCTCTGCCCCAGAGCGGGCCTCGACAGTGGGCGAACATGCTGTCTGCCGCTGCGAGTTGTACGAGACCTGTTGTGACCTGTGGTGGTGTTCAAACCCTCCAGCACTCGCACTCGTTATTGACGGCTGTTGAGGCGCATTGGGACCTGAAGAGGGGCCGGGGAGTGTATTCGCGCCTTCTGCTCGATTGCGCCGAAGTAAACAAACGTTCGGCAGGGGCCTCCAGGCAGGTGCGTCCAGGATACGGTGGTTTGCGAGGGAAGATGCTGCTTCTTCGCTTTGCGCTCCTAGTTGCCGCAAGAGCCTTTCCAGATCCGCACTGACGTTCACGCGCGTGCGCGAATCGACGAATGATGTAATTAGAGATTCCAGCCGATGTGCAACCGAGGCCGGGCTGATCTGATTAGATAGCGGACGATCAGATAACTGCTGCTCTGTGGACGACGGGTGCAACGGAGCACACTTTCACCAAGCACAAACTCCTCTTTCGAAACGTTACTGTGCTTGCTCGCGGAATGGAGGGTAGTCTTGACAGGAGAGCTAGATCGTCACGACATATAGTTTGACAGGGTATGTCTCCGCTTGACTCAAGGCGACATGGTTGTGCAGCACACGCATCCGCTGCGCATGTGTCACGGAGCAAGCAATGCATCCATTTCACGGCTTTTTCGCGCTTTACCGCCCTGCAGCTTCACACTACACAGTCACAGCAATGTCCTGACCGCCTCCTCAGACCTCTAAAGCGTCGTGTTATTGAATCAGAATGAGTCGTTAATGTCCCCGAGGGCGAAAGAGCCGGTCAAAGGGCGCAGACTGAGACTAGCTGTGAATCTCCCGCTTTCCATGTTGGGCCATGGTTCATGTCGCCCGTGCAACTAGGTCTTGTGCACGCTGGGCAATGCCCATATGCCAACGGCGTCTTACTATGTACTTTGCGCAACGTCTGGCCTGATGCTTCTCTCCACTACCAGGAATGCCATGGTTGCCCGTGCCTGTTGGAGTCCCGAGCTAAAGAGCCTCATGCCCGCCCCAGAATTCGATAAGCATCAACAAACTCTATCTATAACTCGTATCTGACATCGGAGAGTCATCTGTGACCTTCCTATAACGACGACAGCTCTATCGCGGCTGCCGGACTTAGGAAAGTCCGGGGTACTGTGGTGGCTGCAAGCTGCCTGCGACCAGCTCCGCGGGCCATGGGTAGTGGGACCAAGCGTTAGCTCCCCCACAGCTTACCAATCTGCATCTGCCGTGCATGCGGCCTGTAACGCTGCTGACATTGCCAATAGGCCCTTTGTTAGGTGCGTCCTACAAGTCGGTGAAGCCCTCGCACACATTTCGCCCTAAGATGCCTGCTGGCGCCATCTGAGGACTGCCGGCTCCCCCAAGCGCGCTCAACGCTTTGGCCAAGCAACACAGCGTTGAACGACGCGCTGCTCTCGAGTCTTGCGACATGTGAACATGTCTCGATACCGCTGTGCTCGTTGCCGTCATACTGGAGACGTCTTAGGAATATTCACACCATGGCACCAAAACTTCGACACCGCTACTAAGCCTTCACTCGCAATCCCATAGTACCCAGGTTCAACCAGCTCGCACGTGTGGAGGAGAATTCGTGTACAAATCTCGTTCTCGAAATTGAAATGAGACAACGCACCGCGAAATGCGACATGACCTGGAGATCACGCTGACGATAGTATGGATAGTCCATGCCGCTGACATGGCAATCTTGGAAGCCCACCTGAGCAATTTGACTGAACACGTAATAGAGGAGCTGTACGAACGCAGACAAAAAGCAGCGACTGGCTCATTCACAGCGAACTTCGCGTTGACCCATCCTCCTGGCTTTCAACCCGCATATCCAGAGCTGCCACAGGAATGCTTTCGGGACTGTCCGCATCATACAGACGAGGCACTAACTATACACACGCCGCTTCCTTACATTCATACCACCTTTCCAAGCTACCATCACAATCCTTCATAGTCATTGACCCGCATACACAACACTATTGTTACTACTGAGATTCTCTCTTCCTTTGGCCATGCGGACAATGCAACGGCTGCGTGGACGCTTCACTTGCCTAAGAGTGCCATCAAACATCAACGTATTGACCGGTCAGGTTGTTTCAGTCAGCCTCTTTAGTTCGAGACACATGTCGAATCGCTGTAGGTGGCAAATGTATGCCTTATACAAGATCTGACCTTGCCAAGTAAACATCAGTGGGCGCCACATGCTACGCCGCGATCCTTTTCCGACCAGTCAGAGACAGTCTGACTCCACACAACTATTTCAAAAGTAAGCAAGGTGAGCTGGAGGACGGCTATGGTAAGTGGTGCAAACACATGTAGGTGAAAATGTGTGTAGGATTCTCGATGCTGAATCGCTTTTTGACCTTACGCCTCTATGTAAGGGCTTTAGGTTGCATGCTTCCGAGGCTTTTGGGCACTTCAACTGGGTTCTTCTATTGGGAAAGGACGTATTGGAAAGAGCTACTGTGTGCTTCGGCACATTGAGAAATGTTGGATGCAATGTCATCGACGTAGAACGGACCCCAAGAGGCGTAGCCATGCATCTGCACATTCGCGATGCGATCCAGACATGTCAATGTGGATGCTCAGGATCTCAAAAACATAGTATATAAGCTTAGAAGGACCTGCGGTTTATTCCAGTGTGTAGGAAGAAGCTTCTGCACTCTCAAAGATGCGTTCTTCTCTTCCCTCAGGGGGCCTCGTTGCCTCATCTTCGTATCTACTGTCCACTCAATTCCCCCCAAATACCCTTCTTCAGCCTTCAGTCCCAACGACATCATCACTCGTGATGTAGCAATAATAGGTGGCGGCTCTTCTGGCACCCACGCCGCTATAAGCCTCAAAGATGCCGGCAAAAGCCTGGTAGTCGTCGAGGTCAAAGGCCGTCTGGGAGGGCACACGGAGACCTACACCGACCCTGTAACTGGTCGAGCACAAGACTACGGTGTTCTAGTCTTTCACAACGAGAGTACCGTTCTGGACTACTTCGCTCGCTTCGATATACCCCTAGCCATTCCGGAATTCGCTACGAATCGCGCAAACTACGACCTCAGCACCGGCCGCGAGGTCAACATCAGTGCTTCCTCTCCTGAGGCTTTAGGCGCCGGATTGCAAACATATGGTGCTTTTTTGGCTCAATACCCAGAGCTGAACAGTGGAATGTTCCTACCGGACCCTGTTCCAGAAGATTTGACCATGCCGTTTGGTGATTTCGTTGTGAAATACGGTATCGAAGCTATCGTGCAAACACTGTACAGCACGAACCAAGGTACTGGGGACATCCTCAGCATGCCAGTATTGGAGCAGGCGCGTGTCAACGGATTGGGTCTAGTAGCGCAGCTGGCTGCCAACGGTCTCATCTCTACAGCTCGACGCAACAACAGCGAGTTATACGGCAAAGCGCAGGCTGAGCTCCTCGACGCCGATAGCTTGTTATTGTCCTCCAAAGTGGTAAACTCAGTACGCCACGACGATGGCGTGGAACTCGTTGTCGAGACACCTGACGGCGTAAAATTGATCTGTGCGAAGAAACTCCTCATTACCATCCCACCGAAACTAGATCTCCTTGCGTCGTTCGATCTGCAAGAGCAAGAACGTCACGTCCTTGCGAGGTTTATCAATGCTGGTTACTACTCCGCTCTAATCAAGAATACGGGCATACCGGAAGACTTATTCATCTACAACTACGCACCAGACACACCATACAACCTACCTGCAATCCCAGGCATCTACCTCGTGCAACCAACCGCCATCCTCGGTGTCAAGGCAATCTACTACGGTGCTGATGTCTCAAATGCGACTTATCCTCTCTCTGACGATTTCATTAAAGGGGAACTCGTTGCGAGCATCAAGAGGCTACAGGCTGCAAACCCTGACAAGTTCAATGCAACAGAGCCAGAATTTGTCGTTTACACGTCGCATGCGCCATTCTACGTCCAAGCTACATCTGAGGATATCAAGGCTGGGATTTATGACAAGATGAACGCGCTACAGGGCTTGAAAAGCACGTATTGGAGTGGAGCTGCGTTTAGGGCACATGATAGCAGTGCGCTGTGGCAATTTAACAAGGAGGTAGTTTTACCAATGTTGACGAAGGGGCTCTGAGTGTAGACGTCTGGAAGGGTTGACAGCATGTGGAACATCCATTTCTTCTCTTGGTATATACAATGCTTAATATAGGAAATGAATTGCCTACTGTCGGGGCTTGGCCACAGGTGTCCATGGAGAGTACTTGGGCTTGACGCTGTTTACCGTTAGCATACCATCGCCCCAAATCGAGTTCTCTAACGCACGTGTTGTAAGGCTTGTATCCTGAACGGCTCCATGTGAGGGTTGGCCTATGCTCCTTCGGCTCCCAGACGCGGACCTGGCGCTGCAGAAGCTTGTCTGCGGCTGGCGACTTGTCGACCATGTACGACATCCAGGCGTGCCATCCGGGCTCGATCTGAGAACTGTCACAAAATCAGCTTTGCTCCGCGCCCCGTTGTGCAATATAACGTACGGATCGAACTCCTTGTCCTTGTAATCGACCCAGCGGGTTCGGACTGTACTGGTCAGACGACAGCCTTGATCTCTAAGGTTCCTGATTCTTACGGGGAAGCTCCTCCTCCAAGTTCTCGAAGTACCTGTTGCCGTACTTGTCCTGGCCGATCAGGGTTCCGGCTTTGGTATCACCTGGACCATATTAGCACCTCCCGTATCCTGCCTGCTTTTTCGTATCCAAGCGTACCGATGTTCTACACGTGCGGGCGACTCGATCAGTCTATCTGCGGTTTAAGGTGAGGGCGCGGGGATGCGAGCGTACCGCCATTTGATGGCCATATTCCTGTGGACGTGTTAGCATTGCGAGGCCAATTATTACAAGAATCGAAGTGTACCTTGAGGCCAATTCGGCGCAGGTTGCGCAGTGTTCTCATAAGCGTAGACATGGCGGCGGTTGGTCTGCTCAGCGTCGGTGATGCTTGTCGGATGTTGCTGCTTCGCGATTGACGGTGCCAAGCCCCACTTTCACGCTTTACCAAGAACGCGCTAGCTTCCAAGTCATCCTTGTCGCCCAACCCCAAAGTGCATCAAAACTTCAGGAGTCGAAGCACATACCAGCAGTCGGCGTCATAACAAATCAAAGGTCCAACATGATAATACGAAGCTTATTACGTGCCCAAGCTCCAAAGATTGCGGGGAGAAGAACTTTCCGCATTCCCACTCGGACATTCAGAACAACGAGAAGATATTCGACTTCGAATGCTGAGATGGCGTCGCCGGTGCCTCAGAGTCAAGCCTCTATGCTTGCAACGATAACAACAGATCTGGACAAGATAGCGCCCCGATTTGAGATCCAGCCAGATCAGATTGAGATTATTCAGACGCCCGCCGAGTTTTATCAAACGTTAAAGGTAGGTCGTTGTTCACTGTTACGTCCTCTCTGTTATCTGTAATGATGATTTATTTTCCGTTTCTACTATGCCGTCTCTTTCTCTAAAGATGCTCATGGTGCTCTTCATCTCTACTCGTCACAAATTTCGCTGTTGTACCATCACTCTTGTGTTGTGTGTTTGTCCTTGATGTCCAAATCTGTTCTTTACTCTCTTGTACTTTGTTTGAGAACAGCGAGTCAATGCATCATGACCATTGGACGACTGATTCTCCAAGCCACGTGAGCAAGCGCGCACTCACAGCGACTATATCTGATGCTGACATCTATCAGGACAAAATATCAAAAGCTCAACATCGCATTTACCTATCAACCCTCTACATTGGAAAAACCGAACACGAACTAATCTCCACAATCCGGGATGCTCTTCAACGTAATCCAGACCTCAAGGTGTCTTTTCTCACTGACGCTCTCCGTGGAACCAGAGAAACACCAAACCCTTCAACCGCTTCTCTTATGACACCTCTTATTTCAGAATTTGGACCAGATCGCGTAGAAGTTCGCATGTACCATACACCCAATCTAACCGGTCTCCGAAAGAAATACATTCCTAAACGCATCAACGAAGGCTGGGGTTTGCAACATATGAAGTTGTATGGTGTCGATGACGAGATCATCATGTCTGGAGCAAATCTGAGTGAAGACTACTTCACGAATCGACAGGATCGGTATCACCTATTCCGATCGAAAGATTTGACAGACTACTTCAAAAGGATACATGATGGTGTTGCAAAATTGAGTTTCGACATTCAGCCCAGTACTCAAGAAGGAAGTGGAGGCTACACCATGTCCTGGCCAACAACAAACGCCGCACCCTCACCCTTGGACTCACCATCAAACTACAGATCCGCTGCAGAGAAACACCTCGCCCACTTGCTCGTCCCGTCAAACTCTCCCTCCGCCCTCCCGTCATCATCGACCTCAAAAACAACAATCTACCCCATTCTGTCCCTTGTCCCCCTTCTCCCATCCTCAACGGAGTTACCCGCCCTGACCAAAATTCTAACACATCTCACTACTCCTCCCCTCCAAAAGTCCTCCTGGACCTTCACAGCCGGCTACTTCAACATGACACCCTCGTTCCGCCGTCTCCTTCTGTCCACTCGCCCCTCCTCCGGCACTGTGCTGACCGCGCACCCCCACGCGAATGGTTTCTACGGCTCAAAAGGCGTAAGTGGCATGTTGCCAGGCGCATACACACATCTCGCAAAATCTTTTCTTCGAAAAGTCAAGCACGAGGGTTTAGCCAACAGTATCATCCTGAAAGAGTGGAAGAAAGGTATGGTCGGACAGGAAGGCGGGTGGACGTATCATGCCAAGGGCTTGTGGGTTACTTTTCCTTCTTCCTCTTCTTCGGAGGTGGAGAAGGAAGACCCTAGTTTGACGGTTATTGGGAGTAGCAACTATACCAAACGCTCTTATGAGCTTGATTTGGAGGCCAATGTTGTTATTGCTACGTCGGATCCCGAGTTGAGAAGGAGATTGGGTGAGGAAGTCAAGTGGTTGGGTGAACATGCGAAGCAAGTCAATGAGCAAGAGTTTGAGAAGCCGGAGAGGAAGGTTGGGATGAATGTTCGAATGGCCATGTGGGCTGTTAGGGTGTTGGGTGGGGCGCTGTGAAGGAGGGCTTCGGGTCTGTATAGACAGGGTTAGGCAGGGTATGATGATATATGTATCAACAATTATCAAAAACTCACCACCGAATCTGTATCCGTCACGGTGAGAAGAAAGAGCACTTATGTGACATTGTCTTTTTGTTTGATTCTATATTAAGAGAAACTACGTAAAAGATTTGTTGGGTATATATGCGGAAGAAGGTAAAGGGAAAACAAATCGAGTGTTTAGCTTGCGCTGCCAGATTTCTTGTATCTTGTACCATGAATCAAGAAATCGAACTACCAAGATTCTTTCTAGTATGTCTCTATTCAGAGACAGGTTCACTTTCTTCAGGTGCAGGCCAGCAATTCCGAGTAGCTCGCCAGACCACCAATCCACGATCGCCGACAACGCGGTTAATGGTGTTCCAAACGCCATCGTCGGCAAAGTCCATATCGTCAAGATTGAGATGCTGACGATAGCTCCAGACTTCCTGCAACGAGACTTCTTTTGAGGTGTTGGGGCTCTGATATGGTATCAAAGCATGTGCTGATCTTGGTGCTACCACGTAAACAGCGCCGCGATTAGCCTTTGGTGGTTTCCGCGTCCGACAAGGCGGTAGTGCTTCTTTGACCTTTTCGATCATTGTTTCGGCTGGACAGCCCATCAAGTCTACGGTCTGCAGCTCCTCGTTCTTGCCATTCAGCAACCATGTCGGAGGGCTGTAGGTTTTCCACCAAAACGCATGAGAAACTGTCTCATTCGTTTTGGCGATGTTCATTTGGACTGGGACAATGCCACCTTGGTGGTACACGCCCATCAATATGCCGAAAGCGACGTTGAAGACGACCCAAGTGATGATCCAGCTTTTTCTGATACGCGGAGTTGGTATGCGTATTGAGGATAGTATTAGTGGTACAGCAGGCAGTAAGAATCGTGCTTCCTGGTGTGGGAAGATGCTGAGAAAGGCAACGCCGGAAATAGCTGAGACCAGAATCATAGAAATATGCGCCCTGCGCAAGAAGAACAGAAACGGCGTCGCTGGTCCGAGGAGTTGAGGAAGATTGACCAGGAAGTGCTGGTATCGTGGGTGTATGCCATGCTGGGCAAGGTTTGCGGAATCGGAGTTGTAGCGGAAATTATTGAAGGGCGTAATAACCGGCCCGTTGAAGACTTTTGAGAAGGTAAACTCGCCAGGGGTATAAAACGCGGTATCTACGCAGATAGCAAGGAAAGCTGTGAAGAGAGCGAATGTAGCCAAGAAGACCAAAGAGAATGGTCTGTTAATGTCAGTTGAAGTTGAGAAGACGACAACCTGGGTCGACTTACTTGCGCTGGAAGTGAGGTAGCAAGGTCGTCGCAGGAAGCAACAAGAATGCTGGAAAGGTAATGCGGTTGAAAATGCCCACGACGCCCATGAAGCCGAGGATGGATGAGGCCAATATGCCGGAGCGCTTCTGCACCTTGCGTTAGCCGCATATCCCAGATCGGCAAGCGGACCGAAGCAGACCTACCTTGTCGTCTGTTATCCTCTGGATCAACACCAGGCTCCATAGCACCAACAGTGTTTCGAGGCTGTTCGAGAAGGTATGTGTCTGGAACGTCCAAGTCACATACGAAGATGCGACGAGCATGACGGCAACGGGACGCGCGCGGGGTGAAGCGACCAGCTCATGGATGGCCCAGTCCTCCATGACGACACTCAACGACAGCATGAGTACTCGCAGTGTCCAGTATACGACCGACGGCGAGACATCATAGCCGAAACCCTCCCATAGCCAGCGCAAAATGTACATGGGCCAGCCGTATGCAAGCCATAGTGGGAAGGTACTGCGGATGGGGTTCTCAGATGTGAATTCCCAGGTTTCGTGGACGGGATAGGAGAAGACGCGTCCTAGAAACAGGTCAGTTGTGGTGGTAGGAGGACACGCAGACAGAGTCGCGACATACCAGCGATGACCTCAGGGCCCTGGAAGTTCTCGTCCGGGTGCAGGTAGCTGGGCGACAGGGCAAAGTAGATGCGCACAAGGATTAGAAAGAAGTAGACTCTCCGCCACATGATGGTGAAAGTCGAGGTGCGCCGTTGTCGAGTATGGCGGGGTTGCGCAGGCGCATATCTGTTGTTGTGTGTTTGTTTGCACAAAGTGAGGCCAGCGAATGTTTTAGTGCTGGCCTACGTCAAACATGAGTTGCACGCGGATAGGGGGGCCGATTATCAATAGCGAATGGTGGGTAGAGTTTCGCGACTCGTGCACGGCGATGATCTGCGAACTACATCTGGCGGAAAAGCATGGTTGATATATCGGCCGTTTATCATGCGGCCTGATCAGATGCGATGTGGCAGCAAGCGATGGTATCTCGGACTCGCCCACGCCAGGGCTGTCTAGGCTCTAGGCTGCCGCTGCGGATCCGTTATGCAGGCTGAAAGGTCACGTGGCGGAACATCAATGGCGTACCTGTCTCGAGATACGTAGGACTGCATCTCGAGTCCATGGGTTTGTTACAGGCATATCTGTCATTACAGGGCCGACGCATGATGAATGAAAGAATTCTGCTACGTTACAACGCATCCATCTCCACTCGTCGTTGGCATACTAGCAGCGACTGCAGTGCACCCAAGTTCCCTGCATTTCTAGTAGCCAGATACCATAGCCAACATGTGTCGATACCAACGACAGATATCTGATGCGCGCAGTATTAGCCTCAGGCACCAGCTCCAGTGACTCGAAGTCTATGTCGCATTCTGGTAACTTCTGCCGGCCCAAATGCGGCGTAGAGTCATCCTTCAACTATTTGCGCGGGCGGGGGTCCGCCATAGGCCGTTCCAGTTGCGCAAACATGGTGCATCTGCTGGGCTGGCCCACAATCAACAGCGCGAAATCACAATGTCTTTCATCACTGGCTTGTTAGCAAAGCGTGTATGCCTAAGAAAGCTAACTGAGACTGCGGACAAACCGTGGTTCTCGCGTGACTAAAGGGTACCTTTGTCGATTGTAGCCTTGCGCCTTCCCCAATTAGTTACGCTTGGCAGCCTGAGCTTAGCCTCATTGTTGGTGTGCGGCGGAGCTGCTCGCCCGCGGTTGCCTTTCCTCACTCACCCACGCGCAAACGTGAAAGCACAACGCCTGTGCATATATAACTCCTCACTTCCCGAGCCTGCAGACCCTCCCATCAACGCACCCTTTCTGTCTTCAATCGAAACTGCCGATCCAGTCCATCCGCTCGACTCCATCGACACCCTACCCCACTTCTATAACCACCTTAACACCACACAAACTAGCTACCGCAATGGCTTCCACTACTGCCGAGGGTGTCAAGCTCATCAGCATTACCACCTCCGATGGTGTCGAGATGAAGGTCGAGCGCCCTGTCGCTGAGCGCTCCATCCTCATCAAGAACTTGCTCGAGGATCTCGGTGGTGAATCCGAGGAGTCTATTCCCATCCCCAACGTATGTCTTGACCTCCCTGGAACCCTCCAAGAACGCTTACTAACAAGTCGCAGGTCAACGAGGCAGTCATGAAGAAGGTTGTCGAGTGGTGTGGCCACCACAAGAACGACCCTCCCGCCACCCAGGACGACGACTCCGACTCGCGCAAGAAGTCCACCGACATCGACGAGTGGGACCAGAAGTTCATGCAGGTCGACCAGGAGATGCTTTTCGAGATCATCCTCGCCGCCAACTACCTGGACATCAAGGCTCTCCTCGACGTAGGATGCAAGACCGTCGCGAACATGATCAAGGGCAAGTCACCCGATGAGATCCGTAAGACCTTCAACATCCAGAACGACTTCACCCCCGAGGAGGAGGAGCAGATCCGCCGCGAGAACGAGTGGGCCGAGGACCGCTAAAAATATGCGCCTTCTCTTGCTTGACCTCTCTCTGTACGTCTGTATCGCATAGGTTCACGGACCGTGGATATATTGATGGGTTTAGTCTCCGGCGCAGCGGAGTTCATGGGTATTATTATTTTGCAAGCGCATGATGCTGCAGCTGCCCCTGGTGCAGGACTAGTGGGCGCCAGCAGGTTACGAACATCACGGTGGCTTGACTGTACGGTGCAATCCATACGTCTATTTGGAACCCATTGCAGGTAGCCCAATCAAAATCTGAAATACGTGGTCTGTTTCCAAACTATTGTGACTGCGCGCGGAACCTCGGCTCCACAAATGACGTGATTTACGACGTTGCGAATTCTCGTGTCGCATCACAGCAATTGCTCACCTCTATTTTCGTTACAGCGAACGATAATGACAGATGAAAGCTGGGTAGAATGCCATGTTGAACTGATCGTCATTGCGAGTTGAGCTTATTCTTCTATACATTTTCGTAGCCCACACTTGAGCTGTATTTCCCGAACGCCAAATAATAATCATGGCTGCCTCCAAAAGACGCCTTTGAAATGATCTTCCTGCTCTACCATCCCCTCTTAGCAAGCTTCTCCTCCTCGCCCATTGTACCGCAGTTGATACCAACCATGGCCTCACCCAAATCCATGCTGACTTCCATGAGCACCTTGGGGTCTTTGTAGTGAGTAACAGCCTGTACGATGGCCTTGGCCCTCTTGGCTGCGTCTCCAGACTTGAAGATACCGCTACCAACAAAGACACCATCGCAACCCAACTGCATCATCAACGCAGCATCAGCGGGTGTTGCAACACCACCCGCCGCAAAGTTGACAACAGGCAGACGACCAAGCTTAGCTGTCTCCTTGAGCAGCGCATAATCGACCTGAAGCTCCTTTGCGTAGACACGGAGCTCCTCCTCTGACATGCTCTTTGCGCGGGCAATCTCGCTGTTTACGGTACGCATGTGGCGGACGGCCTCAATGACGTCGCCGGTTCCGGCTTCGCCCTTTGTGCGGATCATGGCTGCACCTTCCGAGATGCGGCGAAGGGCTTCGCCGAGACCCCGGCAGCCGCAGACGAAGGGAATGCGGAAGGGGTGCTTGGAGACGTGGTGAATAGCGTCGGCGGGGGTAAGGACTTCGGATTCGTCAATGTAGTCAACGCCTAGGGCTTCGAGGATCTATCCGTAAGCGTTAGCAAATGGGTCTTTCAAATGCTGAAAGTGCGGATCCGCCTCAAGACAGAAAAGTTGGAAGTCGTCAAGTCGTACCTGGCATTCGACAAAGTGTCCAATTCGCGCCTTGGCCATGACGGGGATTGTGACTGTGTCCATGATCTCCTTGATCATCTTGGGGTCGCTCATACGTGCGACACCGCCCTGGGATCGAATGTCTGCGGGCACGCGCTCAAGGGCCATGACGGCTGAAGCACCAGCTTCTTCTGCTATCCGCGCCTGTGGGACGACATTGGTTAGCAATTGGTCTTGTTGCTCGAATGGCTAGACGCCAGCACTGGAGAGACTTACTTGCTCAGCGTTGACAACGTCCATGATGACTCCGCCCTTCAACATGCGTGCCAGACCGGCCTTGACGGCAAAGTTGTTCTCGCCATCCTGTGCGCTGTGGCCGTTTGTGGTGGGGAGTTCAGTTGCCATTGTGACGTGTCTTGGGTTGTGAATGAAGTGATTCGGAAATAATGGGAGGTAAGGTCAAGTCAATTAGTAGTGTCGTAGAGTAGAGTGTTATCACAGACGATGAAGAATTAAAGTCTAAGTGGGAGAAAACGAGGTAAGATCGTGAGTCAAAGTCGAACGCGATGTATTACCTGTACATGTACCCGCGGCATCGCAATATTTTTTTGCCTTTGTAAGGTCCCTCCATCCCGCCTTCGCAGCTCGGAGGTTGCCCCGCCATAGTCCGCGGCGGCGCGACAACATCTAGACCCCGCTACGCGCCTTTTGACACATGCAATGTCTACACGCCAATCAGCCGTCGGGAAAGTGTGAACCAGGGCCGTGAATTGCCGTCGCTTAGTCAGATGATTTGTATGCTTTCATTTGGTCTGCAGTGGCCGTTGCTGAGATAGGTACAAGCTGAGCCGTCATCTGATGATATTTCGGGCCGAGTGGGGCAAACAGCTCATCCTGGACCCTAAGAGAACCCTGGGACACACTGGAAACGCCAGGCTCCATGCATGCTGCTGTATACACTACTAACGCTGTAAGTATGCCAACGCCGTGCCAATACCGAAGACTACCTTGATACTGGTACCCTAATCCTCTAGTAGGGCGCTGTCTCGCGCTTCAACCACTCCAGTGTCAAAGAGTCATTCTCGAAGAACTTGCTCGTCTTCTCGTAGACCTCCTTGTGGTATTCGTTGATGAAAGTCTTCTCGTCTTCTGTAAGCAGGCTCATATCGACAAGGTTCCTGCAGTGTGGAGTCATCGTTACATGCTCAAAACCCAGATATGGCTTATCACCGAACTTGTGCTTCGTCTCGACTTCTCGGACCATAACCATGTTCTCGATGCGGATGCCGAACTTGCCGTCTTCGTAGTAACCAGGCTCGTCAGAGACCACATTGCCTACAGCTAACGAGACTTCAGAGTATTGCACCCTGGTGCCGATGCCGATTGGGCCTTCGTGTACATTGAGGAAGGATCCTACACCGTGACCGGTGCCGTGACGATAGTCGAGACCCTCCGCCCACAAGAACTGACGAGCCAATGCATCTAACGCGAAACCGGTTGTGCCTTTGGGAAACTTGACACGCTCGAGAGCCATGTTGCCCTTGAGCACGAGCGTGTACGCTTTACGTTCCATCTCGGTAGGCTCAGTGAAGTGTAGGGTCCGTGTCGTGTCAGTGGTGCCGTCGCGGTATTGCGCGCCAGAATCGCATAGGTAGATAGCCTTAGGGTCGATGATGGCGCATTCACCCTTCTCTGGCTTGTAGTGAATAACAGCTGCGTTCGGGCCGGTTGATGAAATGGTATCAAAAGAGAGACCCATGAACATGTCGTGCTTCTTGCGAATCTCCTCCAGCTTATCAGCACCGTCAACCTCATCCAGCGTGGCCTTTTTGTTGATGAGCTGATCCTCTAGCCAAGCGAAGTACTCGCTCAATGCAGCTCCATCGCGGATATGACATTGTCGCATGCCGTCTAATTCGACCTCGTTCTTGACCGCTTTTGCATCTCCGACTGGGCTGCGGGTTTCTTCGACCTTTTCGTCACCACCAAGAGCCTTGTTGAGAGCCCACGATGCCCGATTCGAAGTTAAGAATTTCTTTTGTGCGTTCGACTTGTCGCTCGCCTCAAACAGCTCCTGACTCAGCGCTGTAACGTCTCCAAAGATAGCCTCGTATGGTCGGATTGTGACCTTATCGCCCAAGTGCTTCTTGACGTCTTCGGGTAGTTTGCTCTCGTCAACGTAAAGGGTGGCTGCGGTGGGCGTGACGACGGCGTAGGAGAAAAACACGGGGTTGTATGGGATGCTGCATCTTGTCAGTAGTGTTCTCTAATATAGGGACGAAGTCCATACTCGCTCCCGCGGAGGTTAAAGAGCCAGGCGACTTCGTCCAGCATAGATACGACGAAGCCCAGGCTCTTCTTCTTCTCCAGCTCCTTGCGCAGATCCTCGATCTTGTCTTGGAAGCTTTTTCCAGAGTATTTTTCAGGCTGAGTGATGACCTTCTCGCTCGGTCGTGCTGGTCTTTGGTCGCCCCACACCAGGTCTACCAGGTTGTCGTCGATGGCTTTGTACTCGCCGCCCTTCTTCTTGATCTTCTCAGCGAGTTTGCGAGCGTCTGCTGCGGTGACTACGCTTGGATCTACACCAACGACCTTGCCCCCTTCAGCCTGGTCTGCGGTCCACTCTTGGATGGTAGGTACATCCTGTATGCCTTGCTTCAGGAGCTCCCAATTGCTGTCCAGCTGCTTCTCGGCCTGGTTGAAGTAGCGTCCGTCGGTGGAGAGGGCGGCTTTCTCGTGCGTAATGACTGCATATCCAGCAGAGCCGGTAAAGCCACTGATGTATGCTAGGTGGTGTCAACGGGTGCGACGCCATAGGAAGCGGGGGCCCGACCTCGTCGTGCGTCACCTGGCGCGATATACTCGCTCTGATGGCTGTCCTCGGACGGTACCACTGACACGTGTTAGTTGCCTGTCTTCACATGTCTAGTCGTGAGCGCGCTTACTGTAAATGTCGACATTGCGCTCCTTCATGAGCTTGCGGAGGTCCGCCAGCCGCTGGGTCGTGTCTACTTTGGCCATATCGATAGCACGCAGGGCAGCAGAGGCGTGAAAGGGTCTGACAGGAAACGGAGGCGTCTTTCTAGCTACGTATGCTGCAGCTGTCGCGTGGGAGCGCCCTAGAAAACGCGGGAGGAGCATAAGGTATAGCACTGCTTCGCGCCTACGATCGGTACATGCACGACACCCCGCCTACACGTCTCCAGCGCCGCATCCATTCCCGCACTAAGCGCAATCGCCCAGGGCTCCAATCAAGCCTTGCCAAGCGCAAGAACTCTTACGCTCAGGCACCAAGGAGAGGCACATGTGTATTTAGTCTAGCATCAAATCCCTCCAAGTTTGATAGCTCATAACATGGGCTCACGTCGTCGTGGTTTGCTATCGATTTAGCCCCACCATACGCGACGGTAGAGGCAACTTCGCGCAGCCTCACCCCGAGCCCTGGTCCTGCACTTTCACATTCCTGCGCCGCCTAGAGCAGTCTGTCCTCTCAACTTCAAAATAGCAGCGAGTCATGTCAACTGCATAGAGGGCACAGCGCCGTCGTATCAGGCATACCCAAACACGTTCGCAGTCGCCTCTGTGCGCCCTTTTTTCGCGCCTTGCACTTCTCTGGTCGCACCTTCCCACTTTCGGTAATGCTCAACCTGGTCTCTGGGTACCCCGACATCTGACAACATAGCTAACGACACCCTATAGTATAGCGCCTCCATACCAGCCTCAGCATGGCGAGCAACGGCACTTTCCCTCTGCCCTATGAGGAGATCGAGCGCCTGGTCAAGTCCATACACGAACCTGGTCAAGCAAAGAAGATCGCCGAAAACGAGGCCACGCTTCGTGTCCTCCAGCGCTCACCTCAAGGTTGGGAGATTGCAGATGCTCTTTTGAAGAGCGACAATGAGCAAGTTCGCTTCTTCGGTGCTCTTACTCTCACAGTCAAGCTTAACGCCGATTCGGCTGAATTGAGCGAAGAGGAATCTCAGCAACTGCTGTTAACGCTAATTCACCATCTCGTCTCACGCCCGGGCTCATCTATCGCCACCCGGAAGGTCAGCTCGACCTTGGCTCAGTACTTTACCAAGCCCATTTCCGTATGGACCCATTGTATCAGGGGCCTGGCTGCATCATTCGCCGCCCAACGTCCAGTTCTAGACGAAGCATTGGATGAACATCCTTCGACATGGGATCTCTTACCACAATTCTCCGATGAGCAGCTTTTAGTTATGCTTGACTTTACCATGAGTTTAGCTGACGAAGCTAAGAAACCATCCAATCTTCCAGACCAGAAGTCAGCGAAGCGAATGGTAGCAAACGTAGAGAGTGTCGAGGTTCTTCTCCATGTAGCATTCGGTCGTGGTATCAAATGGTTGTCAATATCCATTGACGACCCCAACTACGCACAATCAGTGCAGCAAGGAGAGAAGATTTGCGTGGCCGCTCTGAAGTGCTTTACAGGATGGATTTTCTATGCCCAATCCGAATTTAAGGACGACTTAGAAAAGCTACAACACCTCCGTTCGGTGAATGAGCTCGCTCTGACATGTCTGGAATATCACGTCGAAGATGCTATGGAATTGGTGGCTGAGATTCTCGAAAATTATGCCACCTTCTTCGAAACAAAACATCAGGAAATGCTGTGGTCAGCAATCTCGGGTCCATGGGGTCTAGAGATACTCAAGAACTCTGATGCCGAGACTATTTCCCTCGCCCGGATCATTGTCGCATATGGACAGATTCTGCTTGACACCAAAGTCATTTACAGCCAGCCAGGAAGTACACATCATCAGCAGGTCATGTCCTTCTTGCATGATCTTCTCAAGTACCCCGAGCCAGTAGGCGCCGAAGACGAAGTCGCGCCGGTGGTACTCGACTTCTGGAGTAATTATGTCAGCGCTATCGCCGAGGAGACCTTCTTGTATACTGCGGGAGAGCAACCACCAGACTGGATGGACACTGCAAAGTCTAATGTGCTTCAGGCCGTCTCTGAGCTTGTGCAGAAGATCATCTATCCACCCGCTGATGTCACTGAATCGTGGGACTCTGACGCGAGAAAGACATTTAAAGTCTTTCGCATCGATGTCCGAGACATCATCATGGAGGCATATGAGCCTTTACGCGACGTTCTTACTGATCAATTTGTCGACTTTGCCTTACGTGGACTGAGTGCTGGCAACTGGTTGGAGCTCGAGACTGGGCTCTTTGGTCTGATCGCGATCGCTGACGCTTTAACTCGAAGCTCTGACGACCGTCTGATCAGATTGTTCGAGCGACCAGTCTTCTCAACCATTTCTGATACTCCTGGTGTTCCTGCAATCACTCGAAGGACCGCAGTAGAGCTTGTCGCAGCTCTGAACCATTTCTTCCTCCGTAACCCTCAGTTCCTCCCTCAAGTTCTACCCTTTCTGCTCACCGCTCTTGCTCAACCAGCTATCGCTCACGGAGCTGCGAAGTCGTTTGCTTCACTTTGCTCCGAGTGCCGGAAGTCCTTGATCGGAGAATTGCCTTCTTTCTTCCAAATGTACGAGCAATTCCTGACCTATCCAACGGCCGAGGAGTTCACCAAGAGTATGGTTCTGAAAGGTATCGCCGCTATAGTGCAAGCTCAGCCCACAGAAGAGAAGCAATTTGAAGGTGTACGACAGCTCTTTCAGTACATTACACGCGATGCCATGCAATCACTTAACATCACCAAAGAAGGAGGAGATGTAGAAGTAGGTCAAGTACTTGCTTTGACCACTTTGAAATGCCTTGCGAGCGTCGGAAAATCAATGCAAGCCTCAGACGAAGAAGTGGTGGACCTGGAATCCGACAAGGAGCCTTCGGTGTTTTGGCAGCAAGGGCCGGGCAAAGAAATCCAGAATCAGGTCATCAACCTCATCAACTACATGACCTCGATGTTTCCTGGTAACGACGAGATGATCGAAGCGGCGTGTTCTGTTCTTCGCACAGGGTTCAAGGAAACTGTCTCCGGTCCTTTCGTACTACCACACTCTGCTGCTATCGACTTCATCACCAAGACCACAGTGCAGACGCCGCGACTGCCATTTGTCTTGGAGACAGCATGCTGCTGGATCTCGTCACACAAGCATCATAAACCAGAAGGCTTCCAGGTTCAGGCCCAGCGATTGCTTCAACACGATCTAAGAATCATGCAAGCACTGGAGCATCCACGCAATGACCCCGAAATTGCCGTTGGCTGCATAGAACTCGTTCAGAATTTCATCAACACCGATCCAACAATCATGACGCAAGAGTCACCAGAGAACCTATCAGGCATGTTCGGCTTCACAGTTGAGTCTATCAAGTCGCCTGAAGTGTTACCAAAACGCGCAGCCGCCAAACTGTGGAAGGATATCTTCGAATTGGCAGGCAATACTCATAGCCCTCATCAGGCCACAACGCAGGAGATCGTAGCTCACTTTGGTCCAGCTGTGACGCTTGCTCTCATAGCTAATATATGCGGTGAGGTAGATTTCACAAGTCTAGAGCATATCATTGCACCCCTACGTGCTCTAATAAGATCCGACAAGAACTCAAGGACGTACATCACAAACTCTTTAGCAGAGCAACCGCTTTTGCAGCGCCTTCAGCAAGACCAAGGTGTTCAGGATATGGTGCGCAAGCTCATCGAGAGCATGACCAGGTAACACTTATCCATGATTGCGAGTTTTGGATTTGATGCTGACATATGTACAGAAATGCAAGAAGCGGGGCAGCTTTCAAGGAAACTGTCAAAGCTTTTTGGCAGACTTGCAAGCAACTGCAAATGCAGCTGCAACCCCAAGCAATGAATCCAGCACATCGGTTCGCCCAAGGCTTCCACCAGCCGAATGCATACTGAGCAAAGACATTGAAATCAAGATGTTAAAATTCGGCAAACGCTGCCATCGCGAAAGTCAGACCGAAGGACAACTTGAAGGCCACATTGTCGCGCACTAGTGAGCGGACATTCATCGACTTTACCCGGCGTTCCAGAAATGAATATGGTATGACGTGAATACCTCGCGACTCGATGAACTGCCATATGTCAACTCCGATCTCTAGAAAGTTTAAAGCATGGTAAAAGGTAGCGTGTCTTGCATATACCATATAGATATCCCAGTCCCATGTCCTAGATTCCAGTCCAATTTTCACAAATGAAACAACAAACGTACCTGCAGAGCAAATATTCCCAATCCAATCAACACAGCCAGAGGTTTGCTGAAAACACTAATTCCCAGCCCTCCGATCACACCCAGAATGCTTCCCATGCTGATCTGACGGACTGCTTTCGGATTCATAGCACCTGATTGAGTGATGACTGGTGTTCTCGCTTCGGTTACGTAGTTGCTTTTGAGGTCGTTTGTGATTTTAGTGATGGGATCCGGACCATCACATCGTATGGGCTGTGCATTTCGGAACTGATATACCAGCAAAGGTGTCGACAAGATGAGTGGCGTGCTGAGCATCAAGCCTCTACGAAGGCCAGGAAGAATAAATGACATGTTGGATGCTCGGGTCGATGTTCTAGGAGTGTGTGAAACGTGTTGCTGCTGGAGGTACGCGAAGAGCTGCTTTTCGAAAGTTCGGTCGGAGTTCGGGAAGCGGCTGGCGGAGCGGATAGAACGGATCGCAGAGTAGATGTGCGGAGCCGGGATGCAGACAGGCAAGCTCGTTCTCGTTAAACCAGCAAGTCCCAATGGCGTTGGATACATGGATGCTTGCTCGGAGCAGATGCTGACATTTGGGAAGCTCACCATCCGAGGTAGTGATGTCATTGGCTCCATGGCGTTACCCACTAGATTCTCTTAGGACTAGAGCTTGGACCCTGAGTTCTCAGAGCCACAAACGTAACGTCGCGTCTCTAGATACCATGTTGGACGCGTAAACTTTCCCTTCTGGCATTGGAATTGCTCATCATGCTATGAACGCGCCTTGAACTCTTCATCAACTAATCCAGAGGTACATAGGTTACAATGGCGCTTCGAACGGTTCTTCTCACGGTTGCGAACCTGCTCATCCCCGTCGCGATACTGGTCTTCGCGACTGGCTTCTTCCCGTACAAACCTTTCATGCCCGGACTAGCCGAGTATGAAGAGCTTTCATCGTCTGAAAAGATGGGCGAGGGTTGGCGGAAGCCACCAGAGGCACCTTTTGACAAGCTGGTCTTCATGGTTGTCGATGCGCTGAGAAGCGACTTTGTGTATGGAGAGGAAAGCGGTATGACTTTCGTGCAGAGGTACGTCCTTTTCCTCGAACGTCGCGCACGACATCATGACTGACAAACGGCTAGCCTCATTCGAGATGGCACTGCGCTTCCGTTCACGGCCCACGCTACCTCTCCCACCATCACCATGCCCCGCGTCAAAGCCATAACCACAGGCTCCATACCCTCTTTCGTAGACGTAATTCTAAACTTCGCCGAATCGGATACCACGTCCACACTCGCTACGCAAGACACATGGCTTGCGCAAATCAAGGCAAAGGACTATGATACCGAGAAAGGCAAGCTGGTCATGTACGGCGACGACACCTGGCTGAAGCTCTTCCCGAACATGTTTGAGCGCGCCGATGGGACAAGCAGCTTCTTCGTTTCGGTTAGTCATAAGTATCCCACTGCTGTATATAGGAGCAATAGAATGTTGATTTTTAAATTCGCAGGATTTCACAGAGGTTGACAACAACGTGACGAGACATATTCCTAACGAGTTATTGAATAGTGATTGGAATGCCATGGTTATGCATTACCTGGGGTTGGATCACATTGGGCATAAGGCTGGCCCTAAGAGGTGCATAAATCCTGGCAGATAAACTCATCTCGATGCAAGGTACTGATCTGTGTCTAGTCCGAATATGGTTCCTAAACAGATTGAGATGGATGGCATCGTTCGCGACATCTATTCTGCCATCGAGAACGAAGACCACCTGTCCAACACTCTGTTTGTACTCTGCGGCGATCACGGCATGAACGATGGCGGTAACCACGGTGGCTCATCGCCAGGCGAAACCTCTCCAGCACTCGTCTTCATGAGCCCGAAGCTCACCAAGGTCACTGAATCTGCTGATAAGCGGAGTCCAATCAAACCCAAGAATGAAGGCGAATTCGAGTATTACCGGTTGGTTGAACAGAGCGATATTGCTCCAACGCTGGCAGGGTTGCTCGGATTTCCAGTTCCACAGAATAACCTGGGCGTCTTTCTGAAAGAACTCTTGGGCTTTTGGGATAAGCCGTCGGACCGCATGCAACTTCTCTACCGCAATGCTAAGCAGATGAAGAAAATTATCGAAGCCAAGTATACCAGTCTACGATTCGACGAACAGCCATTGACGAAAGACGATTTAGGGTTTGCGTGCTTCGAATCTGGAGAAAGCCGCTCGCATCTGTCAGACGGTCAGTTGCTGGCATGTCTCTGGCAAGCAGCTGTTGGTGCGACTAGTAACAGTGCTGAATTCCAACATCGGGTTTACGAGTTCATGCACGAAACCCAGGAAATGATGTCTAGCACAGCTTCGAACTACAACGTCGCTCGCCTCTTATTGGGAACCAGTTCAGCCTTCCTCATCTGCGCCTTGAGCTATTTCACGCTTCCTGCTTTCCGACCTGCCACACCAGCTGGCCTCTACTATGGCTTCGCTCTCGTTTTGTATGCGGTACTCATGTTCGCATCCTCATACGTTGAAGAAGAACATAACTTCTGGTACTGGGCCACATCTGGTTGGTTCCTATGTCTCTTTTTTAACAACATGCGAAAGGAGTGGTACAACAACTGGATTTTCCACCCTGCCATCATGGCACTAGCTATACATAGGATTATCAGACGATGGAACCAGACCGGGCAGAAGTACGCCGGCGCAGATGACATTGTCAACAGTGGCATCTTCCACGGAAACGCCTCGGTCTTCCTCTGGATTCTGATCTCCGCTACGTACATGGACATCACAATCCGGTTAGCCAGGCACGTTGCGCGTTCTATTGCGACATTCGATACAGAGCAGAAAGACCGTAGTGTGGAGATTGAGTCAACGGATCAAAATCGCATGTTTGGAACGATTGCTGTACTGCCGCTTTGCGGAACGGCATTGATATTCAAACTTGCCTTCACCGTCAAAGACGCGCCAGAGCTGACCTATGGTCTCAGCGCAGGCTTGGTGGAGAAGGTCGAGACGTTGGAGCTTGTTGGTCTTGCTCGCATGGTGTTTGGAGGGCTGCTTCTGAGTGGGACCTGGGTCGCTTTCGCCGAGTGGACAAGGTCGCAGCGGAGAAAGAGACGCGGGAAACAGGGCAACGGTCGTATGTTGACAGCCTCGTGCGTGGATTCCAGGAGATTACTAACAGTATTGCAGAACTCGCTGTCGCTTTCTTCGACCTAATGACGCTTTTCCTCCTCACGCAAACAAAGGCACAGAACATACCTCTCTACTTTCTCTTCCGACTACAATACTTCTTCCTCAGTAGGTCATCACATTCCAAACCTAGACCACACAGTCTCGTCACTTTTGAATTCTCGAAGCTAATCCACGCCTCGCAGTCCTCCTCGACCTCACTCCCACAGCTGTAACCACAACGACGCTTCTCTTGACCCAAACCTCCTTCTTTGCCCTCGGAAACAGCAACTCAATCTCCTCCATCGATCTCTCAAACTCTTACAACGGCATCTCCGGCTACAACGTCCTAGCCGTCGGCCTTCTAGTCTTCCTGTCAAACTGGGCTGGACCCGTATACTGGTCTTTAGCTGGAATCCTCCTCCTAGGCTCTCACGGCCGTACTGAGCGCTACATTGATACCAGCGAACTTCATGTCGCGGACTGGGTAGCTAGGGAACGAGAGTGGTTGAATGAGCTTGCAAGGAAAGAAGAGAAGGGTAGAGAGATAAGGAAGGAGAAGAAGGAGTGGGTGGGACATGTTGCCTTGTTGACGTTCTGGACTGGAGCTATGCTGGGTGCTGTTATGCTGGCTTGTACTGTTTTGAGACAACATCTTTTCATTTGGACCGTATTTAGTCCGAAATTTCTGTTTGCGATGGCTTGGGGTTTGGCATGGCATGGTGGGATCACGTTAGTGGTTGGAGGGTTGGTTTGGTGGTTGGGTAGTTGGTAGAATGACTGATGATATAGTGGCAGTCGACTCAGAAACGTAACACTATATCTGCGTGGGTGAACCGTCATCCCCGCAATCTACTCATTCGTTGTCGTCTTCCCACTCGTCTTCATTATTCCTCGCATCATTCTCCTCACTCTGGTCTCCTCTTGGGTTCATGCTCTCTTCTCTTTCCTGATCGTTTGCTTCAGCCTCCTCGTTCCTTAGATTCACCCTCCGCCTAAACGCTACTCTGCGTGCTACTCTAGCCCTAGCCCTTGGTCTCAACACCTGTCTGACCGCCTCAGACTGATGTACATTACCCTATATTATACCGTCCTCGCACAGTTCACGAACGTCGTACGTCAAAATGTTGAAAGGGAGCTTCTCTTTGCAATATTCGCATCTCGCGCAAGACACGCTGAAAGTTGAAGGTGCGTGGGCGTAGAATGGATCTGTTGATCTAAAATAGTGTTAGATAGTGAGATAACCCCAGAAGATACACGTACGCTCGCGATGGCCCAGCAGCACCGATCCTTATGTTCTCCGTTTCACGTCTCTGTGTTGCCGACTCAGTAGTGGCTGGATTTTCCGGCGTAGTTGTCTCAATCCCCCTGTCATTCAGTCGACCGCAGTACTCGCATCTCCACCTATCTTGCACCTTGCTGGCTTCTCCAGCGGTCATCTTCTGATGAGTCGGCTCTTTCTTCATGTACGCGTCCTCGCGCCATGTATCTGCTACTGGGTTGCGAAAGACGCCTTTCCCCCTTTTCTGCGTCGGTGAGTCCGGGTTGTGGTAGTCTGGTAAAGAGGACTGTGGATGTGAAAACACATAGTCAGTGTATGTCTCATATGTGTTTCGTACAGGACCTAAACTACCTTGGGGGAGCGGTTCCGATCGTGATCGGGCGTGTGTTCGATTTGATTTGGTAAAGTGGAACTATGCGGTGGAGGTGGAGGACTGGGTTGGCGCGGCTGGGCAGACGCGAGTTCGGTGGGTGACATGGCTGCGATGCCCGATGATAGAGATGAGGTGCGTCTGTGTGTACTTGCGCTATTAAGTGTGTCAGTTGAACTATCAACACATAGATGTGTAAGATCGCAGTGAGCTCACGGAGTCTGTTCTTTGGGATTAAATACGTACGCAGTCTTCTCTACTTCTTCCACGCTCCTTCGCGGAAATTGCTGCTCATCCTGCTGAACTGAACTAGGATTCACGTTGTCCGCTTCGCTAAAGTGAGGAATGTCAGTGTTTGGGAAGCCTAAAGCTCAGCGCGAGACCTGTCTTACCTTTGTCTATCCTCATCTACTCCTAGCGAGTCGTTAGGCGAGTCAACCCAGTCGTCAGAGTTGGTATCGCTCATGATGTAGCCTTAGTCGAGATAGATCATAGTCCTGTGTAGCAATATCTGGTTCCGGCAACGAGTGCAGATGAAGAGACAACAGACTATCACGTGTGAAGAAGTCATGCCTGTGTGTCGAGCGCTATTGCTATCGTTCGTTGTTCGAACCTTGGAAAGTGCATCACGGCATTACTAGAGTATATCCAAAGGGTCTCACTGCACTATTTTTTACAACACTTGCTGTATTTCAAAAGATAGAGTACACTCTTCTGCACGGGTACGGTTGCCATTCGCCTCGACCTATGGTATCGCGAAAGCCCATTACTGACGACGAGTCACTCATGGCTTCCATAACACACACGCTATACCCATAATCCTAGCCACCTTCTCGCTACGTGTACACCAACATCAAGACCGGGACTAAGTTTCAGAAGGAGTGGAGGTCCATGATTAGGCAATCAACCTACATTTTCGGCGCCTCCATCGCGACCCCTTCGAATAACGTTCATAGGCCTTCTAAAGATGCCAGCGAAATGTGGGATTGTGGGTAGTGTTGGCACTGGTGGCTGTTGGAGAACGGGTGCAGGAGCAGCCACAGGAGTATGAGCAGGGTCATCAAGACGAGCGGCTGCTTGGGCGATCAAGTTGTTAATCTGCGCGTCGGTCAAATTGTCCTGAGCCCAGTTGTCAGGTTCGAAAGCAATGTAAGATTGCGCGTGAGGACAGTCGTCGCGGTGGCGAGTGTTGATGGTGTATCCGACAAGACACACCCAGCAGAAGTTATGGCTGCATTTTCCACCTAAACTGCCTGTTAGCATCGAACTTGGCGGCTTGCATATAGGCTTTTTTGACACTTACAGGTCACATGATCGCATCCTCCGTTCTTCTGGATGTTCATACCGCAGTTGGGGCATGGTTTGGCTCCCATTTTCCTGACAGCATTCATACACAGCTCTTCTTCTGCCTTCTTCGCTTGATCACAGCTGCCTTTTCCATGCGATTTCCACGGCCTGTTACACTTCAGACAGATCTCATAGTCGCAGTAGGGACATGCGACCAGCTGCTTGTCATGCTTGTTGTTTTCGCAATCTTGAGTTGAGAAGTGCAATCCGCAGGCTGTGGAAAGGCAGGACACATACGACTCTCCCATAGACAGAGCGTGCTTTGTGACGGCTTTGTCGTAGCTATTGTGGGTCAGAATATAGATCAGTCGCATCATGGGACATAACTTACTCTTCGAACGCAGCTTTACTGACAATGGCCTGGAGAGCCGTATAGTCTAGCAGATGACCACATTCGGGGAAGGGGCAGCTCAGCTCAGCCTCCCCGAGCTGGCGTTCAGCGACTTTTGTCTTGAGCATCTTTGCAACGCACAAGTTGCAGATAGACTGAAGGTGCTCACAAGCATCACGAGGAGCTTTGAATGAACGAGTCGTGGTCTTTTGTGTCGCGCAGATCGAGCACTCTCGCTTTGTCGGCCGCTCCTTCTTCTGCGGTATCGGAGCCTTCTTGAGCGCCTTCGGTTCTGTTTTCGGTTTGACGACCGCGCCAGCCTTGACACGAGCGACGCGTTTGGGGGCAACTATGGGAGAGGCGTCCGAAGATCCAGACGAAGCGTGTATGCCATTCGCGCGAACAGCATGCTTACGCCCACGCTTTTGAGTTGATGCGACAGGCTCAGACGGCATTTGAGTACCTGCTTCGAGCTCTGCTTCCGAAGCGTCGGCATAATTGATGCGGCCCTCTGGCCTGGATCGTAGTCGGGTTGAAGGGGCCATTTCCGTTGTTCTAGCACTTAGTCGTGGTGAGTATGCAATGAGTAGAATCGTTTGTACGATCAGAAGATTATATGCGGATGAGCCAAAGACACAGACCTTTACCCCGCCTAAACGATTATGAGGCCTCTCGTACGTTCCTGTGCCTGGTAGTGAATGAACGCAGGTATCGGTGAGTATTCGATGCGCAGAAGTGCACTCATAAAACCAAAAGTCAAAGCTCAGTGTCGAACTAAAGAGGCGACGATAGGAATTGAGATGAAAAAATATAAAATGAAACGGTCATGGCATTTCCGTGCAAGATTGCTGCTCTATCTAATCGCCTGAGCATGATATGCAGCCCATCTTGTCAACGAGCAAGAGTATCCCGCAATTTTTACTGTAGGTGGAAGGATCTGGTAGACTCTTTCAAAACCAGTCTCTAGACTAAAGACAGTAGTGCACTCTGACAAGCTTTTATACAAACAAAGCATGTTGGAAGACTAGGTGACGTGTATCACCATTGAGCGCTTGAAGCTGGATAAGAGCCGTTGCTCGTTGTCAAGGCTGGCATATGCGTACTGCGAGACGGCTCTAGTATTTACGTGTAAGACCAGTCTGACGCTACATACGGGATTGCAAGTGATGAAAGGAGGTCGGGTTGGCAGTTGACGTAATGCGCTCGGTACATGCCGTGCTTGCGGAAACAGCGCGTCGCGTGTCGAGCGATTCTGCCTGTACCACCGCATCCGCGCCCGCTGCAGCTCCATCCAGCCTTTCAATTCAACGGAACAGCCTAGTGCATGCATCTTTCTTATCGCAATGTGACCAGCGTCTTAGTCACGACGATCGTTAGGATCCCGAACCTGTATGCCGCAGTCCGCAGTCCCACTTCCGAACCGCTCGAACGCGTCGATACTTGACACCAGGCTCGATGGATACACTCGCGCGACACATTTGATGACCTAGACAGCCAAGAGAAAAACTACCAAAGTCTTCTCTCTTGATATACACAGGATACGTGGACTCCGAAAGATTGTCAATGTGCCATCGCGTCGGCATAGCCATGTTCGTACATCTTCACGCCGAAGATTGTAGTGCAGTATTACCGTGCATCCCCTCTACTGAAAGCAAGGCCGTACTTAGAGGAATAAAAGGTATACCTCAGTCAACCCAGGCTGAAAAATATAGTGCACTCAAAGCTGTATGGCAAAGCGAGTGGATAGAGGTGTGCGACTGCCCAGACTATGGTGCTGGAGACTCACCTGTGCATTGATGACCTTGCGCAAAGTCCACCTGCATCCAGTCCAACACACCGAATTCATCGATCTTGCAGAAGCGACGTACATTCCAATACCAATATGCGTTCAACTATTTATTTCATTCTGTCAAATAAAGAATTGGTTGAAGCACAGACTCAAGAAGTGAAGATCTGATGGTGATCGTAAAGCCGTCTAGAGACTACGCCTCAGCACCCTGATACAAGAAATTGAAACAAAAGAGTACCGAATAAAACGCCCGAACCCAAACCATCCAGACTCCTAACTCATACATAGCCAATACACATCACGATACCCCTTATCTCGTTTTTGTGATGCCCGTAACCAAAAACTCCTTGATCCTCATCTCCAAGCTATACGACCCATTTATGTCTTTGAACGAAGGGTGTTTCAGAACCCGACCTTGAAGGTACACATCGCGTGCGCGCCCTTGAGTTGATGCTGTGTGGTCCTGCAAGAGACTTTACAATACCTTTTCGGTAGAAGCTGCCTTTGAGAAAATTAAGCCACGTAGTAGAGCTTCATAGAGCTCAACACACGCTTCCTGCACACAGGGCAATTCTGCACCTCCCGTGCGCACGTCAAGCAAGCTACCACGTGACCGCAATCGTAGAAAGCCGCTTCTGCCTCCCCATCCCAGCAGATTCTACACAGTCGCTCAGATTCTTGGGCGTTCTTCCAGTGCGTAACACCCTCACCGAATTTCTTGTCGTTCTGCCATCCGCCGACATACGTGTTACCGTTTGCGGCTTCGACGTAGGTACCGGTACCGTGTTGCTGGTTGTCGACCCAGTCACCGTCATATGTGTCGCCGTTTTGGAAAGTGTACAGGCCATGACCGTAGCGTTGGCCCAGGCGGAAGGAGCCATTGTAAGTGGCGCCAGAGTGGTAAATCCTAGTACCGTGACCGTGCGCAAAACCATTAACAATCTCGCCCTTGTAGTATTCGCTTGAGAAGTAGTTGTAGGTGAAGTGACCTTGCAACTTGTGAGGGAAATTGCGTGCGAAAGCGCGGAATTGGAGGTAGCTTTGGGGGTCTGCAAATGCTGCGCGGGCTGCAAGTGCGTTACGCTTCTCAGCGGAGAGTGGTAACGAAACGATGATGATACACGCGTTGTGCAAATCCACCTGCGCAAAGGTGCGACGATGCTTCAGAGACCGTGTGTTAGTCAGCTCGTCTTCTTCGCACATCTCCATCTTCTTCTTGTCTTCCAGGCCCAGCAATACCACAAGTGTCTCATCTACCCTAGCAGACTTGAGTGCGATGTGCGATCCTCGTGCCTCTAGGGCTTGCTTTTCAGGATTCCAGAATTTTAGGAAGAAGTAGATCTCGTCGGGAGGTGGTTCAGGTGTGGGACTCCGCATTGGTGGGGGTGGTTGCAGGTGCTGTACAGGAGTCTCAACTGGTGGAGGTGGAGGTGGCGGCATGTCTTCTTGTGTACCACCCATCTCGGTATCACCAGGACCGGCGCCTGGAATTATGACATCAACAGCCGGTGGGTCAACAGCGGGAGTTGATTCCACTTCTAACATAGCAGTATCATCGCTTTCCGTGTTGTTTGTAGGTGGCGGCGGCGGTGGAATATCAACTTCTGACGCGTGATGCTGTGCTTGCTCCGGTTGTACAGCAGCAGGCTCGTCGGAACCGCTCATCAGCGTATCCTCTAACGGTGTGGGTATCTGCGGTGGTGAGGCACTAGAAGATGGCTCGACAGCACTCTCAACCACTTGGATCGCATTCATCTCAGCGTCAGCTCCCTGTATAGACGAAGAAGTTGTGCTTTGGTGGAAGGCTTCCGGACCCTTCTCTTCTTCTTTTGGAAGCTCAGGAAGCTTTTCGAAGTCGGTGATATGCACCCAGATCCTCCGGCAGGCAGATGGCGGCACTTCCAGAGTCCACCCATTGGTTTCCGTGTATCTATTGTAGCTGCCAGCAGAGAACTCAATGATTCCGGTACTGAGAAAGTTCGGTCGGTCGAACGCTCCACGTGTTGGATCAAGAAACCAAAATTTTATTTGTCGCGGATCCTTGACATCGGTCAAAACACCCATCAACTTTTCACGAATGTCTTTGCACCCGTCATTGCTTGATAGCGACAACGTATGAACGTGCTTTGAGTTTCCAGCTTCCCAACGCGCATCAAAGGCGTTGAAGACACCCGGACCTTCATGTTCTAGGTATGCTCGAGAATCGATGACACGGAAGTCAAGCAACTTTGGCGGCTCTGCAACTACTTCTTTTCCCTTTTCTTGATCGACCACAGAGTTTGGCTCGCCGATTGGTGGTGGCGGCATCGGAGGGAGGGAAGTTGAACTCTTCTTGGATTCTACCTCCAACTTGAGCCATTCCGGAACACTCCACCGCTCCGACTCAGCATCTGAGACGAATGCTGAGCGAGCTACATCGTCTCGGATATACATGGCAATGTATGCCACGGGGTCATTGCCAATGATCTGAGTGCTGCTAGGTTTGCCTTCATGCGCGTTCACTGCTTCGTGTTTGGAAAGGCACTTCACATGATTCTCATCCTTACTGTCAGAATAGCTGTACCAGCGTGAATTTGGTCCTTCGGGTCGGAGTATCGGTTGGTATACGTAAGACTGAAGTGTTTGCTTATGGACCACGAACCCGTATAGTGTGTACGGAGTATCGGCGACTGCTATTTGATCATCCAAGGTCACCTTGTTCAGAACCTTGATGTGCGAGCGTGTCTTCACACTGTCGAATTTATGCCGATCCAGCTCAATCGTCAACAATTCTGGCAGAGGCTGCCCCGAAATGGTGAGATCAGGTGACTGGTTAACAGCGTCTTGCATGCTGTCCACACCTTCTACAGGTACACGGTAGCTTGGTCTACCGGTTGAATAGTCGCGTTTCGGTCCACAGATAGCATCCAGCCGTGCAGCGTAAGGCGTGCCCTGGAGCTCTTCCTCAAGCTTGAGACGCAAGACTTCCCATGTCTCCATCACATCCAACTTGTCGAGACCCTCGTGTATACGATACCACTCCAATGCATCGATGATATCATCGAGAGCGACAGGGCCAGCCCCAGGCTCAACCTGAGTTCGTAGCATGTATAAGACTTGCTGCAAAGCACTGGTGAGTGGCTTAGGTCGAGTGAATGGCTCATCGTTGGGATCCGGAACGTTGATGCTGTACAAGAGATTCCGGAAGGGCTTGAACAGCATCCATGAGGAGATTGCAGAGATCATGTTGCCGCCAGGCGCACTAGCGTTTTCTCCGAGCATGAGGCCTTGTAGTCCTGTCATTGCGAAGCTGTCCCACGGGTTCTCCCTGATCGGATGCTCCCACAAACAGTCGGTTTGGTCTTCCACAACCCGAATGTAGGCAGTGAAGGCAAGTTTGTCGTCACGAAGGAGTGCCATGCGCTGGCCGGGTATGCGACGAGAGATGTCGTAGTGCGGTCCATGGAAACGCGTCCAACCCCAGTCAGGAGAACCTTTGCAGAAACGATGCAAAGCATTCCGCGAGTAGTTCACACGAGGTTCTGTTGGATTGTACAGAACAACCGATATCTGCGCGGCAACACTGTTTCGCTTAGGCATCTTCTTCGACCCAAGAAGCGGAAGGGGTGTATGCTGAGTGACTACTGGTATTTCAACGTCTTCTGATGCTGATTTGGCACTGTCACGTCGGTCTTGCGCAAGCTTCACGACCTGAGCAGATGCCTCGGTCACACCGTCTGTCGGTGCATGTTCGGCGGTCACCATTGCCTTCTTCTCTCCCCTTGGTTCAACTGCTTCGTCGCTAGACATGTCTTTGGAGAACTCATCATCCTTGTTGTCCTTTGTGTCCTGGACACTTAGACATTCGAGATAGACGCTGAGATAATCCGAATCATTCCCCTTAGGATAGAACTTGATTTGCCATTGATGGCCTCCGATAGTGACAATTTCAGACTTCATGACCACTTCATGGTTCTGCTTGTCCTGCGTGCCATTGTATGCATCGATTGCCCAGTGGATACGTCCTGCTTCGCCAGCAGTGTACTCCGGGTATTCCAGAGGCTTGAACGCTTCACCCTCCCAGTATTCGTGATCCAGAGCACTGTGTTCTCCCCGCTCCTCGATCTCCTTCAATTCTCCCTCGTCAGGCGACGACAGGTCTTCTGGTAATGGATGCCATGGTGGGAGACCATCTTCGTCGTCAGAAGATCCTGAGTCGGAGCGCGGGGGATCGACTGGCGGAGGAGGAGGCGGGGGTTGTGTGCTTGGATCGACAGGTGGAGGTAGCGCGTCGGGGTCAACGGGTGGAGGGGGGTCTGTGGGAATGATTGTCTCTGTCTAGGCAGCGTCAGTAATGAACAACCAAGTTGAAGCGCTCCAATGATGGTAGAGTCTGACTCACGGTATTGTCTGGCACAGGCGCAGGTGATGCCGGCGTAGTGATAGTAGTCTCTTGCGCCTCAGATGAGCCATTTGGCAGTAACGACTCCGCCTCGACATCCGGTGTGACGTCCATGGCGTCCTCGTCTATAGCCGATATCTCAACAGCGATGGTGTTTGTGGAAGCATCGCGACGGGCGGGCTCATCTCCGTCTTGCATTTCTGCATCACCCCGATCGTGACTCTGGCCTGTAGACGGCATCGTGTCAGCGGAGGTTGAGGTATTCATGTCTAGTTCGGCAGCCGGTGGTGGTGGCGGAGGTTGAGGAGAAGCTGGCGTGTGCGCGTGAAGTACGTGGTTTGGCGAATGTGGTGGGCTGGAGAGCTGCTGGCTAAAGTGTAGCGGTTGCTCTACGCTGACGCTCATGTTTGCTCTGTAGGTGTAGGCGCATGTGAAAGTGGGGAGAAAGAGCGTTTGGGCAGTTTGAGGTGAAGGTATGGCTGGGTAAAAGTGCAGATGGACGGATTGGTGAGAGAAGTTATGCACGAGGCTGCACGTCGGTGGTGTGTTGCTTTTGATCGGTAAGTGTACCAAGCTAGTAGCGTTATCGCGTCGATGAAGTGTATGGATAGTTACGAATAGAAACAGCAAGCGGCGGGTGCTTCTGGGGGTATGGCTAGATATTAGAAAGTTGGTTTGGACAAGGGAAGATTGGATCTGGGCGTGGCTGGAGCTTAAAGAAGGCTGCAGCCTACCAGCATGCGGCACGATGGCCAACAGAGGGACAGAGTGAGGCGGTAAAGCTACCTGGGAATCGGCTGGCCCACGCGCTGCGCTATCCCGAACCGATGGAGCTTGAGCATCAACGCCTCCAACCTGGAGGCTCTGCGCCCTTCACAGCCTCTCAGAATGCCCAAGTTGCTGGTTGACTCATAGCACAAGGCTGCGCGGGCATGGCGCCATCGTCATCAGCATCATCAACACGAAGCTCAGCTCCCCTTATCGATTAACGCTCCACAGTGACCGGCTAGGCAGTCACGCTAGAGCTTCGAGACTAGTGGGGAAGGTGGGCCCGACCGCGCCTTCCCTGCGTCACCTCTCCGCGCCAACAACGTTGCTCCATACAGCAGTCATGGCTCCCATACCAGCCCACTTATTTCGGTCAACAGCAGCGTTTCCGTCACGATGATACGAGTTGTTGGTATGCTACAAGTCGCATTCTGTCATTGCCCTTGCGACCGCTGAACCCGTGCGAACGTGGCCGCAACGATGAGCGGGAACACTACCGTCGCCTCTGCGTATACTTTGACGCTATCTCCATCTAGCTTGATCTTCCCCCAACTGACAGCCTCGTCTGGCCGCGCTCCCGCATCACTCCCGTCAAATTCTTGCGCCGTGTTGATGTACACCGCACTATCAGCTCCATTGCGCATCAAGTTCGCGTTGGCGATGTGATGCTTCACTAGTCCTCCACCTAGGACAATCATGCCCGTCCTCTTCGCCCGTACTGCGATCGTGTTGATCTTCCTGATGTCCTCTACGATGTCGACGCGTAGCTGTTCCGGCGACGACTTGAATGTGTGAAAGTACAACATGTCGCCTAGGCTTCCGTCTGTCAACGCCGGGCAAAACACTGGAATGTCGTTCTTCCATGCCCAGTAGTAGACGGATCGCTCGTCGTCAATCTCCTTGCCCAGACGGTGGATGATTTTGCTTGGTGTCCAGTGCAATGGCTCGTCTGTCTTCTTACTTGCTTCCTGCTCCTCCAGCATCTTGTCAAGGATAGGCACTACCCAGTCCTCGAACGCGCAGTAGTTACTGTTAGGGACGACAAGATTGCCGATGCGGTTCATGCCCTTCGCTCGCAGCCCGGCGCCGGGAGTGGAGAAAGCGCCGAGGTAGGTAGGCGCAAGACATTTGATGAAGTCTTCTTCAACACCGCCTGCAGTTGTCACGATGGCAGAGACGTGTTTGTGCTGGACAAGGTACCGCAGCGTCTCGCGCAGGCCCGAAGATATGAGGTTCGACGTGTATCCAAGGAATATCGTCGTGGACTCATTCGTCTCAGTGTCCTTCCATGCGCGCTGTTTCTCATTAGCAGGAACCCCGGGCTTCTCGATACGGTGGTGTCGCGTCGCCAAATCAGGCTAAATGTTTCGTCTTTCGGGACAGTGCACGGACGGGAACTTCCCGGCATACGCAAGTGCTGTCTCCGCACTTGACGCTGACACGCCGCAGCACGCGCATTCGGATATTCCGGGCAGAAGCAACTTACCATGTCGTTGATGATTCGCACAGCCTCTCCCACCGAAGTTGCCTGGAAGCCCATGTTGGCATAACCGCCCACCAGCTCCTCGACTGTGATGCTGCGCGACGTATACTGGTTGAAGTCGACGCCCTGCACCTCTTGCGCACCCTCAGGCACGGGCTCGGATGGCTTCAAGACTGCATCAGTGGCGCCGGTAGGGGCCGAAGAGCTGCTAGCCATGGTGATAGGCGTTTTTGTGATGAACGGTCGATGGAGCAGCACTGCCTGGATGATTTGACGTGTGTTCGGGCTGCTCGGCGCACTCTCGACGTTTGCAGCTTTCGTAATGTGCTATTTGTGAGTCGGTGCGGCGGCAGATTTTGACAAAAGGAAGCCCCCACACCCGTGGACTGGACTAACGCATGGCAGTGTAATCCCTGCCACTGTGTGGCTAGTTCTCGGGTCGATCCTGCTAAAGAGGGTGCCAGCCCTTCTGTCATCAACGTCTGGAAGTGCCACAGTGTCGCGTCGTCACACGGTGCTACAGGCGGCATCTCAGTCGTGCGTCGTGTCCTTCAGCTGCCATGCATCGGTGTCTTGCTGGTGCTGGTGAAGGGCGCAGGTGGGATCGTCGTCAAATCCCCTAGTGGAGCCAGGGCTGGAATCTGAAGCAAAACCAGCGGCTGCCCACCCCTGCAGATAATCGAGAATGTTCAAATCTGGATCCAATCAGAGCCGGGCTGTCATGCTTGAATGGATTCCCCTCGCTAGGCCGTTGCAGGCCAGCCGGGGCGCCCATTTTGACTTGCAGGCATCCGTCATGGCTGCCCAGGTGCAGGTCAGTGCTTCGTTCTCGTGTCTGGTCTCCTCGACGTTCCCTTTCTCCTACCTTGCGACAACGACACCCGACACAACAACATGCTGCCACTGATCACCGGCGCGCTGCCTGGCTAAAGAGTCGCTCTACTCTTCATTCCCAGCACCAACGAGGTGCAGTCTCACGTGCCCGGGCCTCCCTCACAAAGAGACCCAGCGCCACGTCAACGGGCTGCAGAACATCTTCAACACGGCACGGGACTGCCTTTGTTGACTACCACGCGCTTCTTAACACTCACGGTCATCTTTGGACGACTTTTCCTGACCTCCAGCACCAGGTTGACGCGTTTGCAGCACGAAAAGGGCGTTTTGGGCGTAAAGGCGACGATAGCAGATCGAATCTCAGCTTCCGGCGCCGAGAAGCTGCACCTGTTCCACCGCGGATCGGGGGTTTGGCGCTTTCCCTAATCTCCTGGTCTCGAAGCACGGGCCTTGCCGCTAGCGCCTCGTCTACCACGGCTTGCAAACACGAACTTCGATTGACGTCCTGTGGCCAACGTCAGTCTAGGACACCGCGATTCGCTCGACCAATTGTACTGTACCGTTTGAGATCGACATAAGACACTATACCCGGCCATATTCTCTTCTCTGTGCGACAGCTTCCCTTACGACGTTACTGCACGCGATTCAGACCTGCTATCACGACGGAGATTCGTCATCTGCTCTGACATACGACCTTTACCCGTGCCCATGCCGCAGTTGCAAGTTCCTTTTACAGTAAGAAATCATCAACATGTCTGCCTCACGGTACCCGGAGAACGGCAGATATGCCCGCGACAGGTCTCCGCCCTATCGGGACCGAGACCGAAGGCCATCCAACTTTGGCGGTGGATACCCCCCAAGGGGTAACGAGACCTTCAGACCAAATGCAGAGCCAGGTGGTTTTCAAAGAGAGATCCCCAAAGGTCCAAAATCACTTGCTGACCCGCCACGTGGCCCGCCTGTGGGTCCGCCATCAAGCGCGTCTGCAGCGCCACGCGATGAAAGAGGTCGCGGATTCGCCGGACGTGGTGAAGCCACGCCGCTGCGAACTGCACCTCCATTAAGTAGCGGTCCTGGATTTCCGCACAACTCTCAAAACTCCTGGAGGGCAGACCGCGACCGAGATCGCGACTTTGATCGGCGTGAGAGACGGCCAACTCCACCAAGGCGGTCACCTATCCGGGATTCAAGAGATTCCCGCGACCAGAGGGATTTTGGACCGCGAGATCTAGATGTCAACCGCGCCCGACGAAATTCACGAGACGGCCCCCCCTCTGCGGGCTCAACCTACTCTGATCCTCCACCTCCTGGTACAGCGTCATCTTACCGTGGTAGTGGGATTGGACGTGGACGCGGTGGTTTCGCTGGACGCGGCCGAAACTTTCACAGCGACGACCGCGATAGGCATCACGACTCACGTGATCGCATTCCAGAACGAACATATCGACCGCGTAGTCGGACGCCCCCGAGGCGCCTAGAGAGAGACGTTCGCGAAGACCGTGATTTCGACAGAAGAGACCGCGATGACAGAAGATTTCCCAGAGAATACGACTCCTACATTGGCCCAGCAGGTGCTGCGAAGCCTGGACTGCGGGCATTGGACACACATCGAGGTCCAGGTCCCTCTGATCTTCGACATCTGCCCGGTACACCCACAGGTCCAACACCGCACTCTGCTCATCACGCATCTCCGTCTGATAGACTAGGACCACAAGGTGATTCTTACTCGAGACGATCCTCCCTCGCCATTGATCCTCTCTCTGCCAAGGATCCTCGCCGCGAGCCAGGCAAAGACGAGGCTCTCCTAGCCAGCCGCGCAGAAGCGTCTAGAGAAAGGTATGCTCCGCGTGCTTCGTCGCCTCCTGCTTCCATCCCAGCCTTTGGCGGATCCAATGTTTGGAGGGCGCCTATTTCGGACAGTAAATCAAGTGCTGCCCCAGTAGCGCCATCGAAACCTGCTCAGCCTGCCCCTGCTCCTACTAATTCCTCTACTGCTCCACTCACTCCCGCTACTCCCGCCACCCCAGTGAAGGCCACCGTAGTCCCTACTGCACCAAAGGCGGCGATACCCCCAGGCCTTTCAACTTTACCGCCTACTGGACCAAAAGCCGATCGGGCGCCGGATCGTCCCTTGCTTACGGACGCTCCGAAACAAGAGAACAGAATGGCGCACCCAGCTCCAGCGCGTATGGAACCACCTTTCATTCCACCTCACACTGTTCCATCTCAGCCCACTGATGCATCAGCTTCAGACAATGTGGCTGCCAAGATTACAATGTCGCCACAGATGCCTGCACCACCTAAAGCTCCATCCGTTATGCCAGCGGCTCCTCCAACGGCTCCTAATGCGCCATCAGGTCCGGCGAAATCTCCTCCTCAGGGTCCTGCTCCACGACCGCGTGCGCCACCCACAGCCCCTCAAGCAGCTCTACGTGTCAACGTATCACCTTCGTTCTCCAGAGCGACTTTACCACAATACGCCCCTCGAGATGCATCTCCTGGTGCAAACCCCTCAGGTTTTGGTCCACGTGGCGGTAGTGGGGGAGGTTCTGCGATGAACACATCACCGCAAAGTTTACCAGCAAATATTCCTACAGGACCAAAGGCTGACCGAACACCGATGGCTCCTAGGCCGCTTCCATCTTACCCACAATCTGACCGACCTGGCTTCCCCCCAGCTAGAGGTCCATTGAATGGAGGACCCAAGAGTATGCAATGGGTACGACCTGGTTTCAATTCCAATCGACCTTCGGTCCCCACTAAGCGCGAGTTTCCGGCGGAAGATCGGGAACGACCATTCGGCACTGCTCCCAAAGCCCCCCGACTTGAGAACAGTATCTCGGCAACGCAGACTCAACGAAACTCACAAGCCAAATCAGTGTCACCGTCGTTCTCGCGCATCTCAACTGAATCCGAGCGGCCACGAGAACGTGCAGTGTCTGCGGAGCGTCCTGCGGCACCCTCACCCAAGCCTACTCCGATCGAGACCAGGCGATACTCTGACGTAGTTATGGCAGAAGCGTCACCTCGCATGGCCAAACCACCTATGTCGGCCGCGTCATCCGCTCCGGAGGCTTTGCAAGACTCTGATGATGATCTTGATCTTGACGAAGAAGACTTCGCTGAATCTGAGGCGAAATACAACCGAGAACGAGCGCGCCTGGAAGCCAAACGGGTTGATTTGAGTGCTCCACACCTCCGAGCTACGACGCCCTTGCAAGAGATCGTTTTGCTATCATGCTTGAACGTCGACCATCTCCCACAAACGCAGCCCGATGCGGAGCTTACCGAGGAAACAAGCACACCTTTGCTTCAGGAACAGGAGCAGGAATATTCACGTCCCTCACCTGCGCAAGAACTCCTTGTAAAGCCAGTTCCTGCTCAGCCACTTCCAGAGAGCGTTACGGCAGATTTACCGACTCCCAAAGCTGAAGAGTCAGAGGACGTCGAGATGGAAGACAAAGAGGAGACCGAAGAAAGGTCGGCTGCGCCCGCAACGATGGCGCTTCGTCTGCGACGTGAAACTTCTGCAGAGCAGGAGACTCTACCCGACCTCAGCTCGTTGCCGTATCTAGGGTCAGGTCCTCCAACGCCTCTATCCGACATTGGACAAGACCGGCCAAATCTCTCTGACGATGTCATGAATGCCATTCGAAGCAAGTTGCGCAAAAGCATCGAGCCTGAACTAAACACCGATCAGATACTCGAAAGATACGCAGCTGCATACAGAGAGTGGCGAGTTGCAATCCGTCCTTTGGACGAAGAGCGGGATCAAGATGATTCGGACAGGCAGCCATCAGCTGAGCCCACACTGAAAGCCGTCACCCCCGATGTGCAGAACGCTGCGATGACTGGAATCCTGGATGGATCGCTGGCACCTACAGGCCGGAGAAGTCATGCAAGTCGGTGGGCTACTGAGCTTGATTTAGAAGCTGTTATCAAAGAGTCTTTGAAGACCGCAGAGGAAGAGAAGTTAGGGAAGAACAAGGAACCAAGGAAAGCCATGGCTGATCCGGAGAAGGAGGCTGATCTACCTTTGGAACTTACCGAGGCCGAGGCTCAGCGGAGAAGGTTTATTGACACTAATTTCCAGCGCGAACCCGGCCAAGGCATCTTCGTGTTCCATTACGAGCCACCAGAGGACGACTTCACTCCTGACGAACACCGCGTCATGGTGCAGAACTACAAGGATCAGTACGCTAAGAAATGGGGTAAGCTGGCCGAAGTCTTATACAAAGAAGTCGGGACCGAACGTACATACAAAGACTGTATCAATCACTACTATGCTACCAAATGGGGCAGAGAATACAAAGGCAAACTTCGGAAACCGCGGGCTTCCAGGAAACGTGGTGGAGCGGTCGGTCGTGGCCGTGGAGCTATTGCCAACATGGACCGACCCGAAGGACCGGGAGAGGATGGTTTGCCCTTGCCTGTTACTGATACTGGACGACCTAGGCGCTCAGCAGCACCCAAATTTGGCGCAATGGAGACTGAGTTCGACCCGATCACAGGAATTCCCATTCCAGGCCGTGCACGCAGGCCGACTGATGCCGACGACACACAAGAGAAGGCTATGCGGCGCGGAAAGGCTGCGAAGGATAAGCTCGGCCGGAAGGCAAAGAATATGCCACTTGCCGCGGCTCCCGTGGGTTCACCTGTCAAGGTTGATCGTAAGGACAAGAACCTGGGAGTCAAGATGGAGGATGATCTCAGCAAACGGCCGATGGGCGATATGCCCATACCTATGCCCCTCATCCCTATGGAGGACCAGTTGATGCTGCCTGGTGATTTGCAGCAGCTATCTGGCTTGCCAGGCAGCCTCATGGACCGACCGAAGACACAGCCTGGCGCGAGACCCGGTCCGTCTAGCTATTGGTCCGTCTCCGAGTTGCAAGACTTTGACAAGAATGTTGCACACTTTGGCACTGACTGGATAGCAATCGCAAACCACATGGGCACAAAAACGCATACCATGATCAAGAACCAATATCTGCGTCTTGTTGAGAGTGGCAAGCTAGACTTGGAGCAGGTAGCAAAAGAGGCAGATGCCCGAAGAGAACGAGGTGACGATCTAGGACCACCGCCAACGCCAACTCCAGCACCCAAGAGACGATATGAGAGTACACAGGCGGGACCAATCCGTCCCATTGCACCCACACCCGAACATGGTTCTCCACCTCCGAACCCGCTTGCGCTTCCCAAAGCATCTCCTCCGCATTCGACTCCGCATTCGACTCCCTCTTCGAGGTTCTCTACCATTGCTCAAGCACCTATGCAAAGCAAGCCGATGGTTCCTCCACCCGGATATCCTGCCCTACCAGAGACTAGCCTTGCGTCTGTACCCTCAATACCACCACAGCAGTCGCCGCCCGCTCCACCTCAACGTGCGCAACCACAACATCATCACCAGCACTCCATGTCGCAGCATAAGCCGCAGCCACAAGGGCCACGAGCTGGATACTTCTCAGAAGAGCCTTCAAGGTTTGAGGCACGACCACCCTCGCAATCATCGAACAACCAACAACCACATAGACCACTGCAGCAGCAGCAGCAACAGCAGCAGCATGCCCCACCCCAGCCTCGTGCACAGGAGCAACATCATTCGCCTCTCTATCGTGGGCTTCACTATCAAGAACGAGACGGTGTGGGTAGGCCCGAAGTCCAGCAAGAGCAGGAGCATCAACGCCGGATGCATGAACACAGGCGTCAGATATCACAGGAGATGTCACAACATAGACCTTTTGCCCCTGGTGCGGCACCGCCAATTATGCCCCCAGTACGTTCAAACTCTGGGATGAGGTCGCCAGAACGTCGTTCGTTGCCATTCTCACATTCCCGGCACCCATCACAAGCGCAATCACTCAATCAAGCTGCCGCGGACGTATACTCTCCGAGCCATGGCACTAGCCATGGTGCGCAACAACTGCCGCCCAGGTCGAGTATTCTTACACCGCCTGTCAAGGAGGAGCCTAGAAATCCTCCTCCGGTTAGCCTTCCTCCAGCGCAATCCCAAGCAATGCTGCATACACAGTTGCAACATCCTCAGCGTGGTCCACCACCTATGCAGAATACACCCCCACCTGCAGCATCAAAGCCAGCTGCAGAGCCACGCAAGTCTAACCTGATGTCGTTGCTCAATGACACCGACCCTGAGGAGCCTAGGCGTAAGAAACCTAGCGAACAAGGCCCACCATCGCATACCTCTACCCCTTTGCAATCAGCCCCAATCGCACCTCCTCCGACAACGCAAAGCTACTCATCTTCGTCAAGACGTTCGATTTACGAGGATCCTATGGCTGCTCAACCTCCGTATACTCGTCCATCTTCATATGCTCAGCAATCCTCGCTTCCCAATGCAGCACCGAACAGGCCAATCGACTTAACCGATGATAAACCACCAGTGAGTAGGCCGAGTCTGCGTGACAGTTGGCAAACCCAACAGCCGTTCCACCGAGGGCTATCCCAGACCCCACAACTCACGCCACTTTCGTCAACGCCGTCTGGCCTGCCTCAGCCGCCGAATGTCAACGAGAGGATCTTCAGCAACCACCGTGCCGTCTTCTCTCAGCATAATACTCCTCGTCAGAATCCGACACCGCCGCCTCTTGCCGGTTTCAACAATTCTCCGAACCCACATTCGCGCACGTCAAGCATAAGTGGGCCGCCCGGGCCGTTGCCTCGACACGGCATCCCAAGCACCACTGCGGCGCAGCATGCCCAAGCAATGAGTGCATCAGCGCAGATTTTGCAACCAAATCCATATGCCCAGGTCGATCCACCAGGAAGTGGTGTACCGCCATCCGGACCTATGGGCATGCGGCCCAGCCCACATCTGTCGACAAGCCACATGGCACAGCAAAGAGACGCATCTAGTCGCAATGACCACTCCCAAGCTTCCAACGCCAATCTGTCGTACTCGAACCCGCAGACGCCTAACGAGCATCCAGCGCATCCTTTCCAAGGGCTGAGCAGACTGACTGAGCCCTATCGTCCTCGCGACCCTCGTGACGCACACGATTTTGACCCTCGTCACTCAGACCGTGACACCAGTCGAGAACTATCTCAAAGGACTGAATATCTACGTGAACAACTTTCTAATCCTGCATTACGTGCGAGCGGTCCTCCAATGCACGAAGATATACGATTTCAGCCTCAAGATCGAGGGTATCTCTCTCAACGCTCACAGACCCCACTGTCTAGGTCGGAGCATGGTCAACCTCCACCTCTGCAACATCCTCCGCACTCTTCACTTGGCGTAGCAAATCAGGCGCTTTATGGTCAACGTCCTCCCGAAGAACCGCATCGTTTTATGCGCGATCCTCGCGATCGCAGCATGACAGACCGTATTCGCGAAGAGCAAGCCCAAGCTCAACACCAGGCAGCGATGAATCGAGATGAACATATGCGAAGAGAAGCTGAGCGAGACGTAAGGGAACGGGAAATGCGCGAAAGCCATGCACGAGATGCGCATTACAGGGAAAGTATCATGCGAGGAAGAGCTGAGATGAGGGGTCCGCCGCCACCACAAGCCCCCAGCTCAGGACCAGGGTCAATACACGATCCACGGCCCCCTGCAGGACCCATGGACTGGGTGAGCGGAGTGCGACATCCACAGGGGCATCCACAGGATCGTGGTCCATGGCAGCAGCGATAGGAAATTTGCTAAATACGGGAGTTTCTGATATTACATGCTCTGCGCATATAATTTCCTTTGTGTGTTGATAGATATACTAGCGTCTCGGTGTCATGTTTCCAGACGCCTTGCTTTGTCATGTTTGAAGAAGAAGCCGATAACGATACCGTGCGGTAGTCATGCTTTGGCGTTGGATGGTATTTGTCCTGCGCTGCCTTTTGTGATCTCAGAGCGAATGATTGGAGCGCAGAAAGAGAAGGTTTTTCGACCCTTTCTTGTAGAAACTTTTAGTGTATTATACGTAAAGTAGCTGTCAGGCTAATTGAGAAATGTTTGGATGAACATATTCATTGATTGACTTGGATCTTGCTGTGTACGTCTATCTGATGTTCTAACAAGTCGTAGTCAATGTTATCGCTCATTGCGACAACTATAAGAAACATGAGATTTCTGCTCCTCAGCGCTGGAGGTTGCAGTGCAGAATTGGTGGAACAGTCCTTGGGAAGTTGATCACTCTTTCTTAACGTCAATAGCCCTGAGCATCACTGGCCATACGTCTTCGCTCATGGAGACCATCTAGAGCTCAACGGCGATAAGCCTCGGTAACAAAGCCATCCCACTCCTCCTTCAGGTCATCCTCCAAGTTACCACCAGCCATCCTGGTGCCCTCGAAAACCAAATCGCCAACACCCGGCACCTCGTAGAGACAACCATCTACCATACCATCCCTGAAGAACGTCATCGTACCAGTGCACTTACGACCAAACGTCAGCTTACTGGTATTTAGATCGCGAAGACGCCATCCCAATGAACAAGGTAGACCTAGGCTGTTGGAATCACTTGGACCTGGGTTCATCTGGATGATACCGTCCCAAGCGCCCCAGCGAAATGTTGCCCACCATAAGCCATGGGAGGGATCGCGAGCGAGTGTAAGGTCGAGGTTATAGTCGTTAAAAACGGAGCTAGCACTCGCACAATCGATGGAGTAAGTACCACTGAGGAGTAGCGAAGGCTCAGGTTGATAGTGATCTTGGTGTGGGTCGGACTTGATGTATGGAGAGGAGCGCATCGGCGTTGGATCGTACTGCTCTTGCTTGACGCGAGATCGTGAAGGGGTTGATGACGATGTTGAGACGCGGCTCTCTTTCTTGACGGTGGAGACAGATCGCTTTGTTGTGGGCTCCTTCTTGACTCTTGCTACTTTCTGTGGCGTCGCTACCGGACTGGACACGTTGCTGTCCGCGCGCTTACGCTTAACTGGTGATGACTTGTCTGAGGTGGTTTGGCTAGCCTGTTGTGTGTACATATACTGACTGTATGGTGATCTTCCGGAAGCCAAGGTTAGGTTGACTTTAGTGTAGCGTCAGCACCGGGGAAGATACCTATGTATCAAGGGTTATAAGCCTACCCGAGACGTTGATCCCACCAGACACACCGTGAGAACTACCGATACTTGGACTGCCGACAGTGCTAGACTTGGTCGCCTTCTTGCCCTACAGAGGTAAAGATACGAATTCAGTGTATGTCTCACATGATTCGCGCACAGTGACAACTTACCAAACTGGCACCCTTCTTTAACTTCCTATTCTCTGCCTCCCACTCGGCTTTTAATTCGCTTTCCAACTTCAAAATCCACGCTGGTATCTCAAGCTTGAATTGGTTCATGGCATTCAGGAGTCGCACTTTCGCCGCGTTCTTGTCCTTTGTGACCGGCAAACCATAGTGAATGAGCTGGGCAGCATAGAAATGCCACACCTGGTCCTTTACTGGTGTCGCAACTTCGGCTTTTTTACCCTTGTTGTATAGATTGGGTGCTTCCGGACGGAGGAGAGCCGCAAGCTCAGCGACACTGGCGCGCGTGTGGTGATTTCCGCCAGGATCTGCGTAGAGGACGGAGGAGTAAACGAAGTCGCCACGGCGGACTGGAGGGGCAAGTGCTGCCATATCTCAACTCTGAAGCCGACTAAAGCAGGCTGCAGTCTGTGCAGAAAATTGTCTGAAGAACGTGTGTTCGAGAAGGTGGGGTCAATCGTGGAGTGAACCCGTGAACCGATGGTAGGCTACCAATGAAGCTATGATCCGTAAATGGTTAGAAGCATAGCCAGCGCTTATCCCAACACATGCAGAGCGCTCTTGGAGATGTTCAGACGATTCAAATGCTGAATCTGGTAATCCGATTCGGCCGTTGGCCTACGTCTTTGTCCTCGTCAGAAACTTTAGATTACATTATCCTCCATCTTTCAATTTTTAATCTCTTCCTTAGCCCTCATGTTCATCATATCTCTGGTTTCCTTCTTGACCTAACGTTCTTTTTCATGGTACCTAGGTAGGCCAAAACGCCGAACATGTTGCGCGAAAGGTTTATACAGAATTGCGTGTCAAATGTTTAATGTCGGGGTCACTTGATCTGCCCGTTCTTATTCGATGCACATAAAATCACAACTTTCTTGAACAAGATCCAATAGACTCTCGTGTAGAGGTGCATATTTCGGTTTGGATGCTATTACCAACATCATTTCCACAATTGTTGACACCCGCCACAGCGGGTGGGCCTATATCGAGATTGACAACGTTGCAGACATGCTACTTCAAAACTTCAACTCGAGATGGCGAGGTTTCTAACAGAGATTTCATTGAGGCGTTGTTGTCAAACGATGGGTTTGGAAATTTTGTATACAGTTTCTGAAGGTCAACAAGTCATGATGTCTTGCCTCAACTAAGACACATTGGACACGTTTGCAAAGACATGAAGGCGAGGAACACATCGAAACAAATCTTACACCAGAGCCAAGAACTTCCAGGCAAACACATGTCAAGCTGTAAGCACGTGAGATGCATCTATGTATAGCGTAGCATTATACCTTCGAGATCAGCTAAGCAGAGTGATAATAGCCTATGTGGGCTTCATATATCCTGTAGATTCGAACGAGACAAAGCTCTTATGTCGTGTCGCTTGCGCACGTAGCCAATCTTGAAGGAAACGGAATGTATTCACTTTGACATTTGGTAAATTCACTGGCCCCGCTTCCTTTCCCAGAAAAGGGGCACCCACAAGTATCTAGGTAGGCAGCTAAGTGCATCATCCTGAGATGAGTGCCTCGACTCATCGTCGATCTAGCACATCGAACTTCGAGGAAAAGTGGATGCACGATCGAATTATTCATCGTTCCGACCCTTTAGCCGTACTTAGGCAATAAGACCAAATTTCGCATATGTAGGTATGTGAGGTCTGAGCTGTTTGTTACTACCTAGGCACCATCTACCCTGCAAGACTCAAGGGTATTTCTCCACAAGCACACACTACGGACACCGCTTAGTACTTCAAAAGAAAAACAATTTATACACAAACTACTCAAGAAGTGGTCACGTAATCGTCCAAGTGATTCGAGGTAGCATCGGTACGTTGAAATGAACAAGGATAAGCAAATTACCCTACCTTTGGCGATGGCGAACTAAGACCGCAACATCATCTTACACACAACCACTCACAGACCGCGCGTTATCCTCCTGGCAAAATGTACATGGTATCCCTACAACGGCGGCACAAACTCCCGAAAAGAGAAAACATACGGCATGAGCAAGCTGCTCCCGTAAGCGTACCACAAAGCACGCCTACACACGGCAGCAACGTTCCCGTCAAAAAGAAACATGTCAACAGACCATAAGGGTACTTCTTCGCGCTTTCTAGCGTGGGGCTACACATGCACCCTGTCTTTTCCCTCCACTTCGCGCTATGCGATCGCGAGATCGAACGATACGGTTGCACTTTGATCGGCATATAAGCGAGGTGTACCAGTCGGCAGCCCTCCGAACAGGTGCTCTTACCACGGCTTTTTCGAGGTACCTGTCCAACTGTGAATATAGAAACTTTGAATCGGCGATTAGCGAGAAGTACCGCTTAGGACCCCTCCGACCTACTGAGTCTCCCCGAATGCTCAACACTCATACCACCATGTGTCCATACCGATTGCATGCCAAATATCATCTTACTGCAACCAAGTAGCAAGTATGCACTAAGCCTGGACATCATGAATATAGCAAAAGAATCAGGCAGTGTTCGTAAGCCGTAGTATCCATCAGTCGATCCCTCCCGGACTCCGAGACCGCGTCGGTAAAAGCCAGCTCCCACACTACACATCGCCCCAAGTTTGCCATCCACAGCCACAAGTCCGATAATCTCAACGTACAGTGCCACCACCGCCATCCAAAAAGCCCACCAAAAAAGCCTATCCAAAAGCCCATATGCACAGCCCCACCCCCCACGTGTCCGCCATCCAGAAACCCACCACACGAATTCCCATCTCCACTCATCCACATCATCCGCACAGACACCGTTCACGCAAACCAGCAAAAACATGTGTATGTGTCTCTCTCCACCGCCGCTCCGACCTTGTCCGGCAAGCCACACGCGAGCCATCTGTTAGCAGCACGTCCCCCAGTGCCTCGTCCGATTCTACCTAAGTTTGCTTTGCGGCACGGTGCAGTTGCGGCACAGTACTATACATCTGCTGCATGGCATGGCATATGTACGGCGCAGTACTTCTGAAACAAGCGCGTTGGCCATATATGACGTAAACATGTGCAGGAGGCGAGGTAAGGTGAAGTGTTGGTTTGGGCAGGGATGAGAGGCGAATTGTCGGTATGACTATTTGCGAAGTGCGCGAGGTGAGTATTGTATGCTGATGCTGTGCTATGCTGTTCAGTGGGGCAAGACGGGGATCAAGATACGTGCTCATGGCAAGTGTGACGAGATGAAGTGTTGTTTCATCTTGAGTGCCGCTTTGTGAAAGCATTGATGTGATGTGACTGAGGATGCAATGCAGGATGAAGTGGGTATTGACGGCGATGGTCACTACGGTCAAAGGGCAGGCGAGTATCACGGCAATGAAGACAAAGTTGCAATTATGCGTTTTGCATTGAGTTCAAATATTATACACACGCCGCCTCTCGAAGGGGACAGACGTAAACCATCAAGCTACCTGCATATCTTCAAAGATAAAACAGCAACGATATGCGTATACGTGCGCTTCAAATGGTATCCAAACTTCTCAGTCCACTATCAAACAACTTTTGCAACAAAGCAAACCATGCCACCAAGGATATATCCATCAACAAGCGCTGAGCAACAGATCGGGAAGGGCAGAAAAAGAAAAAGAAAAAGAGAAAAAAACGTGAAACGATGAGACGAGAAAAAGAAGTGGTACTCATGTTCGTAGTGTTGTGTCGTCACCCAATCCCCCAAAAGCCGGTGGTATCACACCATCCCCTAGCTCCGAAGGTTGGAAAGGAAAAAGAAAAACAGATGCAGCGGGGACATGAAGAGTGTATGCCGGTAACACAAGAACAGACATCGGTCTAAGAGGATTAAACGCGAAGTGGAACAAGAAGATTGAACAAAAAAACAGCAGACTGGTATCCTTCTAGATGGCTGCGCCCTTGATTGCGCCGAAATGCTCGTGTCACGTGTGTAACGTCGTGATAGGGTATGCTCAGTAGTGGCTGCCGGCCATGAGGCTGTGTTGTGGTGGCGCCATGGTCATGCCGAGTCCTGGACCGGGAATATCGTTGATAGAGTGTGACAAGCCGAGGTACTCGTTGCCAGACTCGGGCGAAAGCTCGTCTTGGAGTGAGTTGAGGTGGTCATCCTCGCCTTCAAGGTCTTCTTCTTCTTGGTAGTCGCTCAGCGGCTCGCCGTCAGCGCGGGGCTCGTGTGTGCGACGATGTCTGATGAATTAATTAGTATGTGATTTATAATTGGATGCTGACATGGGTACTCACTGGGCAAGGTTGTCTGAGCGCGAGAAGGCCTTGTTGCACAACGGGCAAACGTATGGTCGTTCTTGTGTGTGGGTGCGTACGTGTCTAAGCGCCAGGTCAGCGTCTATGCAAAACAACAAAAATAGTGGACATTCAAGTGAAGTTGTGTCACAAAAATAGAATGATGGGGAAATTGTGAGCGCTTACCTCTTGAGGTGTTCTAATCTCTTGAAGAGACGACCACATGTGGGGATCGGGCAGGAGTGCGATTTCTGGGGGTACGGGCCGATTTCCATCATGGTAGCACTGCGGGCGCGTCGAAAAACGGGTCCTGCACCGGCGGTACGAGCGACTGCGCTGTGCTGGAGAGGGCTCTCAAATAGCTCGCCGTTGACCAGGGTGTTGAGGTCATCGTGGTGCAGCGAAGCCGATTGTGGCTCTGGGCTCTCTTCGACAGTGTTGAGTGGGGTACCCTGTCGGGACATGTCCATGTGAGGCTTCGCCTCAGGCATCTGAGGGTAGCTTGTACCGTTCTGGCTGTTGGGCGAGTTGTGGTTTGACTCGTCGACCTCAGCAAGGGGAACAACAGAGCTTGACATTGATCGCCTCAGATCACTTGGGCGGTGGACCTGGTGAGCACCGGCACCGGAAGCGGTGACAGCGGCGGCAATGCCCGCCGAGAGGGACGAACGTCTCCTGCGTTGCTTGTAGGTAGGCGAACCTTCAATGACGGAGTACACGTTGCCAGGAGCAAATGGCCGTGAGACACCAGGGTAGCCAGATCCCATCAAGTTCGATGGTGGCATGTTCATCAGAGGGTTGAATGTGTTGGGAACTGGAAGGTCTGGAATAGCACTGTAAAGACCAGTGTCCTCGTTCGCGATGTAGGCAGGCTCAGCACCGAGGCCAATCTGATGTTGAGGAGGGGTCAATGGCTCGAAGGACATGCCGCGAGTGCTGTAATCCTCGTAGTGAGAAGAGACGAAAGACGGCGCAGGCGAGTACTCCATGTACGCGGGCATCGAGCTGTGACGCTGGTGGACTTGCGACAAAGGAATGCCGTTGCGGTCGTACTGGAAAGACTGGCTGAGCTCGCGCTGCTCTCGGCTCTTGACGACTGTGTTTTGCATTGAAGGAGGCATTGACATTTGCTGGTGGTACTGGGCCATTGGGTCCTCGTGGTGCATTGGCTGCTGCATCTGCTGCTGCATCTGGGGCATGGGCTGCTGGACAGGGACCATGGTTGGTGGGGGCATGGACATCTCGCGCATATCAGGCGATGTGCTCTGGTACGAAGGTTGCACGTTGTTGTTGAACGACGAGGAGTTTGTTTGTTGTGCCTTGGTAAGCTGCTCAAAGAGCGACTGTGATGAATCGAACTCGAAAGAGAGCGCAGGCTCGCTGACTGCCATGGTGGTTGCCTCTTGGCCCATCTTCTCACGCTTCAGGTCGCGCTCAAGGGCGTCGAGGAAAAGCCTGTCGTGCGGTACGCTGTACCAGTAGAAGACCTTCTGCTTCTTCTGTGTTCGGATGCAGTTGTTCTTGTACAAAAAGTCAAGGAATGCGCTCTTGGGCTCTTCGAGCGATGCATCCGTGCCGGATTTCAGGTTGCGCAGATCTGAGAAGATGCCCTCTTCGAACTTCTTCGAGTTCTTCACTGGGCGGCCAAAGGCCTGGAATCTGAATGACAAGCATCGTACAATATCTGTGCCTGAGATGTGGAAAAGGTTGTTCCTGGGCATTGTTAGGGTGGTGAGCAAAGTGGGGAAATGAATACTAGACTTACCATAGAACACACGAAACGTATTCGCCTGTTGGTAGAAGAAAGCGGCGGATGTACTGGTCGGGTTGCCAGTCTACGGGCGCTGATATGAGGAAGTACTTGACTGCAGTAGTGTTAGCAAGCTACACAAAAGGTCCATGCGCGGCGCAGGCACGTACGGTTGTCGACCTGCTGCAGGGCAACGACACTGTCCGGCGGGAGGCTTTGCTGAGCGTCCTGGTCTAATAAGAAAGTCTCGGGCGCGACAGATCGTGCCTGAGGCGGCGGCATCTGTTGGTGGTGTTGTGATGGATACATGGTGCGCTGCAACACGTTCCTCTATACAGGTGTTTGAAGTGGGAACGTCAGACGCGGTGGCCCGAAGATGGGTTGATGATGGAACACGAGGGTCTTGCTCGACGAGGACCTGCCAGGATCGAAAACGAAAGAGTGTCAGGCTATGTTTAAAAGGATACGATAATAAAACGCGACTGTGAGGCGGATAATAAAAACGTGAGGAACCTGCCTCAGATAGCAGTCTCAAGAATTCACCAAGAAGGTACAGCTCTGGGAGGGGGATACGAAACGCAAATCTGAGGGGGCAGCGGCAGCTTTAGGTGTCGGAGGGCGTGTGAAACAGGAGACTAGTGGTCTCACATTGATCTATTTCCGCACACCAGTCAGCGGCCTGGCCAGTGCAGGTAGCGCGGCCAATTGGGGCGCCGAGGCGAGAGCAAAGGCCAGGTTGGTCGGCAGGGGTGTTGGCGACTCGTGTGGGACGCCCGTGCATGCCTGCCGTGATGAGGGTTGGCTAATGTGCTGGCCTGGCCGCCCATGCGCTGGGACGCTGCTGGCGGACGAGGTGGTCAAGGTGGAGAGCGGCTTTTTTTGCTCTGGGATGCTTCCTTGCTGCGCTGGCTCATTTCCCCGGGCGCATGTTACTGGGACGCGCACTGGGTGCGCTGCGTGCCTGGGTCGCCCTTTCCTCGCGCCTTGTTCACTCCTGCCTTCCCTGCTGCTGCTCGCCGCTCGCACCTGCCCTGCGCGCTGCCCTCGGCGCAGAGGCCACATCCGGTCTAGCCCCGCCTTTTCTTCGACGCGCGAAAACCTTAAGCCTCGCTTGCAGCCCACCACGAGGCCCTCGAGACACAGACGTCCAGTTTGCCCATCTTGAGTATCGATCATCGCGGTCCGATGGCCGCCGCTGCTGCTTCATGCCATGGGAAAACACGCTTCTTGCGTCAGTTTAGCTCGACGATCCGGCCAAGGAACCGTCGTCCATGTCCATGTCCATGTCCACGTCCAGCGGCCATCGTCATGTGCCTCTAGTCCCAGAGGCGCAACTTTGCAGCCACCTGGAAGCCCGCCGTCTCTCTTCGTCCCATGGTCGCAAACACAATATCTCGCATTCGGCACAACCGTCGACCTGCCTTGCTTGCGACATTTCCTTTTTTTGCCGCATCCGGCCGCTGTCAAATGTGCCCTCCACCACACCCTCATTGCTGCTAGCCACTTCCCTGGTGCTGTTGTGAACCATGTTTGCCTGTCTGCCATGGCCGGCAATCGTGACGCGCAGAGCATCCATCAACAAGGTTGCGCTACCGATGCAGGAACATCACACACCCTGAACTTCTGCTCGCTGCACCTTCGTGCAAATTCGGCCAAAGCGTCACGGGTACATGTCGTCAATGACTACACCACCCAGCCTCGTCGCTCAAGTCATCACTTGTGGCTGGTCAAGTGTCCATCTGAGGTGCGTCTAGATGCAGGAACCAGCAGAAGGAGCACAGTGGGCATCGTTTGATCTCCATCTGAAACACGCTCTTTAGCCAGTCTGCGGGAGCGGCCATCGGCTCTTGCAAATCTCCATGTCATCGCAGAGCTGCATTCCCATCCAATCTGTCGCCGTTTGCTCGTCACCTCTTCACGTCCAAAGTTGTCATCCATACATTAAGAGCGCGCCCTCTGCCATGCACTGAAGCCTCTCTGCGCGGCGTCACGCTTCGCTCGCAAGCCAGTGAGATAGCGGAACTCGTTTCAGAACTTACTTTTGACTAGCCGTTACCCACCGGTTGTCTTCGCTCATTGGTCGGGGAACGAATCAAAACCTTCGGCGGCATTCCCTCTCGCGTACAAGCGCTGCCCGCTCGGGATGTAATAGGGCACCATTACCTGGACATTCATGCGTTATGAAGACTTGATGTCACAGACACCGCGTACATACCTGCGCTCCAAGCTTTTGCTTGCAATTCACAAGGTGGGCATGTCTGCTGGTGGAGCTGCACATGAATGCCGGACTCATAGCACCCCACCATATGCATTCAACGAGTCGCAACTCCACACTAATCAACGTTTCCTCACCGATTGCGGACTGTGCGATGCTTTCGGTATACTCGTGTCCGACGCGATGATCGGGCGAACCCATATCTGAATCCACGACACAAACATCGGCGCCGTTTCTGCGGAGACTCGTGCTCGATCGTAGACTTGCAGTACCGTTGCCGAAAACAAATCATCGCGGGGGTACAAGTGTACTAGTGATGACACGCCTGACGGAGTAAACAACATTTTGGGTTGGTGGGAAAGTGTACCTGCGTTAGCGGAGGCTGGAGTTGCACTCCTGAAACTCATGGCCCTTAGGCCAACTGCCGGAACGGGACACGAGATGCCGGTCAAAAGTGGAATGGCCTTCGCTTCAATGTCGCCTGTGATGAGGACCTGCATGCAAAAATCTGCGCTTGTCCTTATCATGCCATGTTATAGCAGAACTAGATCTGATGCATGCGGTGCAAACCACCACCTGAAATATTGAATAACCGTTAGTGCTATTGACAAGTCATGACTTGCAGCAACAGATAGGAAGTATCCTCCAGCAAAAGGGATGGCGGGTCTGCACTTCCGTCGATAACGTGTTTTGAGTAATCTGCTTTGGCGACTTGGTCGAGCAGCCGACGGCAATGGAGTAGCCTGGCAAGTTTAGCCGTTGCAACCGCATGGATACTTGATAGACCCCTTTCAGTCTGCCTCAAGCAACCTGGGCAGAATCCACATGTTAAAAGCTTGAAGTTCGCCCATTGCGCAAGCAGAGTTTCATACCGTTGTCGCATGCTTGAGGCTGCTCGATTCTGGCAGGCGTAACGAGGCAAGTCAGTGCACATCTATGCACATGGCAACGTGGGCAGAACAGCCGAAGCAGGGTCGTTTCCGCGTTTAGGTCGTTGATCTGCCATCCGTGTATCAGACTTCGGAGGCTGGGTATCAGATTGTCGGCAGTTTCACGTCAATTTGTCACTTTGCAGAAGGGTCCACGAGGACGACGACATTGCCATTATCAGCGCATCGCGGGATGATCAGACTGACCGTGGGTAGTTCTTGCCGGCTCGAGCCTGAGGTGATCTGGAGATCAGTAAGTGCTCGTCGAAGATCCAACGCTAGACAGACATGGGAAATGTACCTTGGTTGCGTGAGCCGAACATTTCCGGCAAACTGTGAAGAGTTGAATCCTGTGTTGGCATTACGTTCTTCTGGAACGTTTCTACGTGCCTTCCTACCGAGCCCCACTCCGCTCGTCGTCATTGCGCAATAATCTCAGGTGAGGTTATGGCGTGGACGCAGGACGATTAAAGTTCCTGAGCGGACACAGTGGGCTGCTAACGAAGCGAAGCCACCGACTATCTCCTAGTGTCTTGATGCACAACGCATGACACAGGGCAAACCCAAAGTCAATTCCGGAGACAAGCTACTGCAGCCACTCAGAAGGGCGGCCCGTAGCACGTAGAGAAGAGAAGGTGCGTACGATTTCACCTAGGATTGCTGAGCCTTTCGAGTGGCGAAAATAGCAACACCTATTCCAGTGGGCTTAGGGGCAAGGCTACAGGCAGTTTCCTGTCTCAGAGACATGCTACAGATGTAAGCTAGTGATCGTATGCCCCGGAGATTAGCAGAAGGACTCCAACCCCGCTGGAATCGATAGTTTTTGCCTCCGTTTTTGGACTCTGCAACTTCACGACAGCGAATCTCCAGTCTCTCACGTGGCGCCTGATTCGACGGCTCATTCCATCGCTCGGTAAGACCCGGGCGATCAGTAGATCCCGTTCTCGTGACGACTTGCGGCTATCGCGACATAGTAATCAAGGGAGGTCACTGGTGGTTAGTTCTAAGGAGAGCTATATGATGCCGAGGCCGGAAATAATCAGACCGGGAGACAAGAGAAGCGATTTACACATGATAACCTTGCAGCAGGGAGGTCTGAGTGCGGAACTCGATGGAAGTCCCGCGGGGCCAGTCTGAGACTGACGATGCGTGGAGAAGCGGCGGAACAGCTGAACCAGGCGTTGGCGGTGTTTGAACGCATGATACTCCCTGCGAGCGCGGATTGTCTTCGGCGATGTCGAAGTGTGGTGGCAAGAGCGCAAGCCTGCAAGCATAGGTTTCCAGCTGGGTACCGGAGGATCGGAGTGAGTCTCGCTTGAACTGAGCCTCGAAACCAGGGAAGCTCTGCCGAGCTGAAGCTTCTCACTAACCATGCTTTCTAAGCGGTTTCAACAGCTGCTAACGTGATTCCAGTTCTTCCAGAGCGTAGACTAGCTGTCAAGATTGTGTTGAGTACCCGTTACCACCACCAAGTGTCAGACCCCGTTGTCGATGCCGGCGGCGTCGTCTAGGATGCATCACATCGTTCAGTGTGGAAAGTTTACAAGACCCTAGAGATGCATCTATCGCCATCTCCAGTATTTTGCCCGCAGTGTCGCCGTGATGGCTAGGTGTTCTTTTTAACGAGCCTGCATAGACGGCCCGTAGCCTCGAACCAACATTTTCCGGTGGCAAAGCACTATCGTGTGCATGAACGTGCTGTCTGCGTGTGATTATCCTCAAGGTTTTCATAGTCAGTGTAGCTTCAGTCACCATACATTTTGTTCATCTGGCGAAGACAAGGTAGGTGGTGAAGGTTAGTTCGTGCTGAATGTTCGCGTGCCATGTCGTACAAAATCGGTAGTTCATGGTTATACAATTCGAATTGAAGCCATTCGCCTTGATGGTTAATGTGAGTGCAGAAAGGAAGTGCAAACAGTGTTTGTGAGGCGTCTTCTGCTTTTGTCGCTAGCGGTTCTTGGCAAACTCCAACGGCAGCCGCGAGCCTCAAGCTGACCTCTCAGCGCGACGGTGCACACGCGAAGGCACCAGCATCGATGGTTCCTTCATTCACGGCGGGGGCCAATGTACCTTTTCGCGCCATTGCAGCTCTCTCGGACGCATCTGTCAACCTAAGAACACTTTCGCGGCTTACACAGCGTCGACAAACGCTGTGTTCAGTCTCCTCACGTGCCTCTTGTACCTGGACTCGCGATGACGTCAAAGCAAGCCGACATCCCTTAGTATACAAATCCTACAGGCAATATGGTATTCGGCCCGCTAGTCTATTCAGTACATCAACCACGCGAAGATTGAAACTAGAAGATGAGGTACCAAATTCTTCGGCTTCTAGGAGCAGCACTGAGGTAAGCGCCCACTTTTTCTCTTCAACAACAGCTTATGTTCCATTTATGTTCGAAGATGAAATGTCGCCTCCCAAGTCCGATGTGTATTTTGAACTTACATATGTCCATTCTACTCGGAAACAATGGATCACAAAGGTCTTCTCAATTCGACGTTTTCGTTTGTTTCATTTGGAATACTAGATTGAATTATAGACGGAGAACACCGGGTTGCCTTACCGGAACTTATAGCTGATTGTATACAGCACCCTTCGCCCGCCTTAACTTCCGCCAAACTCGCTTCAACCCTAAAATCCACCCTGAAACTCGACAAACCGCGCCACGAGCAGATTTGGAACATCCCCAACATTCTTACGTTTTCGCGCCTTGTAGCAACTCCTGTTGTTGGATATCTGATCATACACAACCACCATCTATACGCCTTCACTCTCTTCACCTATGCCGCTTTCTCCGATCTTCTCGATGGTTGGATTGCCCGGCGTTGGAATCTTCAAACCGTTATTGGAAGTGTCGTTGACCCCATGGCCGACAAATTCTTGATGACAACTCTGGTAACGTGTTTGGCAGTGAATGGTAGTCTGCCGATGCCACTAGCCGCACTAATTCTAGGAAGAGATGTCAGTCTGGCGCTCAGTGCATTCTATTATCGGTATGCCAGTCTGCCGGCGCCCAAGACGATGGCGAGATACTGGGATTTTAGCTTGCCGAGTGCAGAGGTACATCCCACTACCATCTCTAAGTTCAACACGTTCCTGCAGTTGAGTCTACTGGGCACGCTGCTTTGTACCAACTTGCTGCACGACCCTTCCGCCACCACATCTGCAGCGGGCGGTTTGCTCATGTCGATCCAAGATGCGCTAGGAGGTGAAGAAGGAGTCAAGACGATGATCCAGGGAATTTCGGCAGTCGTCGCTAGTACGACACTGTACAGTGGCCTTGAGTATACATGGTCGAAGAAAGCAGTGGTTATCTTGGGTGGAGATGAGGCCTTGAAAAGGAAGCAAGGTTTCCGTGGTAGGATGATCATGGCAGGTGGATACGGTTCTTTCATTGCACTTGCAGCATATCTGTGGTTCAACGGCGAGGCTGAAGAGGACCTGAAAAAGGAAGCCAACAAAAAACTAGGTAGCAAAAGTGCATGATTAATGTTATAACAGTATTGTTATATCGTCCTGGATAGCAGGTATTGACAGTCAACATCGAATGTGTCGACACAGAAAGAAAATATACGTGGAATATACTCTACGTTCCCTGAATATTAATTGTCCTTCGCTTTGCAATCATTTCCTTGTGGTTACCCTTTCCACTATTCATCTATTCTTTCTATAGCTCGTACCTAGATTCTCGGTGTCTCGAAGGATAAGCATAGCGCGTGGTGTTATTACGGTAGTATACACTACGCTCGTAGACGTGCTGATGTAAACTACCATAATTTTGGATTTAAAGAGCCGTTCCAACCAACAAGCCACACTACAATCAAGCCATAGTCAACTTCAGCGAACTTGACTGTGGCGTCTTTGCCAGCCAAATCTTACTGGTCTGAGCCTTCTCATGTATGAACTGCACGTGCGATCTACACTAACTTCGTACATCGATATGAAGTGAATCAAGATGAGTCATTTTGGATCATCTCTAACATTCTGGAATCGTTCATGAGCCTACATTTAAGCCATGACGACTTTCACATGAGCAAATCATTACTTCTATCCCATCTCGCTCTACAACATGGATAAGGATGGGTCATTCCTGCGACGGAAGTCTGTCATGATTGACCCGGAATCGCTTGTCTATCGCCCTGCATAACACCGTTTGTTCTGAGTATCCATGAACGACAAGCAACTGTAAGCTTCTACCCATTCTCTACAAAAAATTTTATTCCTGATGATGAAACGGTTATCACTCGCCGTTCCTACTCTATATGAGGATATTCCATGGCATGGTTTCGCCTATCTGATCCCAGGCAATTTGAAACTATCTCAAAGCTCACACGTTTGACGAACGGTTACTGACTCGCTTGTAGCAATCTTCCAGTGGAGCTTTTCGTTTTATTCACATGAGCGATTGTGCTTGACAGCCAGAGATAACAGTCAAAGTTCACTCACAACTTCCGAAGCCTCCACTAGGAAATCTCTTAAGTTGTCTATAATACTTCAAATCCTGCACTAGTCGGTGCACCTGCGTTGCAGATGTGGACATCCATCGGGCACGCGCTCATTACGACAACGCATTCTTGTTCTGCCTTCAAGACAATGTAATTGCCTGGCTTGCCCGCTGGATCTTCGCAAGGTATCTTGTTGTCCGCGACAAGAACACTCATGAACAGATTCAAAGGATCAGGTATCCAACCATACTCCAACAGCTCCCCTAGCTTCTGAATTGAAGGGTTTTGGTATGTGTCAACTACCTTCCGCAGATTCTGCGCGCAATTGTCGTGGTTCGCTGGAGCGCCAAGCTGGATGTACCGCTCAGGAGAGCAGGCGGAATAGAGCACATCGTGATGTCCGGGAGAAGTGTCTTCAGTGATTGTCAGGATAGGGTTGCGGTGATTGTCCAAGTACGACTCTCCGACTGTAAGCTCCAGTTTATGGTGGGTGGATCGCGTGTGCGACATCGACATATAAGAAGGGAAGCCTGAGGTTGGAACAAAGGCCCAGGTGTCAATCACTTGACCTCCGCTTGTGTTGATGATCTTGATGGACTGACCAGCGCGCAAATGCTGTATGGCGCTAGACCGGGCGGGAATGGTGGGCATGATGCTTAAGGAAGCGTTGGATATAAAAATAGGTTGGGTCTGATAGTGAAGTGGCTGTACTGAGCAACTTTGAGGCTTAAATACTGTTTGATATGCTCGCTGGAGACTCAAGTCCTTCCTACGATCCGTTCGAGCCAAGACGCTAGATCGCGTCACAGGGCGTGGGGCGCAGGACGTGAGTATGTTGACGATGAGCAATTTTCATGTGCGAGACCGCGACACCTAGCTTAGTTCCATCGGTCTGAGACTGTCATCTGTTATGTTGCATTCGACTGGAGCTGATTGAAGTTCGGGTGTATTTTCATGGATCACAAGGCGTATTGATCGGAAACGCTTGACGCTGCTCCATGGGTTGTTGCGACGCCTCTCTTTTTTCGCCAATGCACGACATTCCATCAGAGATGAGGACGTGTGTGTTAGAAGAAAGTTGTCCTTACCACAATAAGTAGAGGGAAGAGGTTCCACTCTTCGAGACCTGCGATCCGATCACAAGCGACATTGAATCGCAGCACGGCTCCTCTCCTTTCCTTGCATGCCCAGTCACATGCCCCGCACTCTCCTCTCACACTTGGCTGTAGTGTTCCAAAGGCGCTACAGCTTCAAAGCCCCATGATCCCAGTAGAATCTTCAGTACTGATTATACCAACATCTCTCTTAAAGCGCCACAGCCACTCAGGGTGATCAGCAGCAGTTTGGTTCCACGGATCATCAGATTCATATATGATCCAGCGCGCGTGATGCTGAATCTCCGCGTCAGATGGGACATGGCAGCCTGGGTTGGATGGGGACATGGTGGCGAGGACCCAGCGCCTAAGGTCATTGGCAAAGAGGCGGTAGAAGTTCGTGCCCATGGCCATGTGGCTTCGCGAGTGATTATCAGGCAGACCAGGGGTGGGAACAAGCGGAGATAGACCACGATCTGTCGTGTGGAAAGGGTTCTCGAGGAGTCTGGCAATGGACGAGGGTTCCATAGGAAAGGGAGCAAGCAGCCCTTGGTCATCGATTGGCTGGGCTGGAAAAGCTGCGGATGGGTTCTGGTTGTCAGAAGGTAAGCTGGTGCGCAGCTTAAAAGCTGATAGCCAAACGTTGTTTACTCCAATCGTGTGGATAAGCCAGCCTGCGAAGCCTTCTAGGGTAGCATTGGGAGCATCCTCGATACGGCGGATGATGTCGCAAGCCTCTTGCTGGAGTGTCCGGTCCGGCAGACCAACGGATGTGTCAGTTTTTGCTTGTGCGAAAGCGCGAAGTTGAGTCTCTAGTGGACACCGCTCAAAAAGGTGATTACGGCCGCAGATTCGCAATGTCGAAATACCCTCGGAAGGGGTACGCAGTGGCCCAAAAAGAGCTTCCGTGGCGATATCTGGGTTCGACATAATGATGTCGCGAAGCCAAGACTCTCCATCATCTCGCTGCGATGTCGAAGGTCCGGTATCTGACAGCGCATTTGATGCGAATATGATACGGCATGCTTCTAGCTGAAGAGTATGAGCGTCCGGCGGTATTCCATTTAGATCGAGATAATTCTGTCGAAAAAAGTTGACCTCAAGCTTAAGGAGCTCGTACGCGCTGACAGACGTGGCGGTTGGCGTGTCACATGCGCGCAAAGGCCAAGGCGTCATCTTCTCAAGATGAATAAAGTCTACTCTGAAGGTCAGATTAACTGTTTTTTGGATATATAACTTACTGAATTGGTCGAGCACGTACATGGCGGCACGCCATCTTCCACACGCTGCAATACATGGTCCTCGAACCCCCAATCACCTTGCCATTGCGCCATTGTTGCACCCGCCTTGAAGTGCTCCCCTAGGTGGTTCACTCGCTCCGTCCAAGTATGCATGACTAGGCTGCAGAATCCACACCTCGAATGTACATCTAGCGTAGAGGTCTTCCATCGATCTAGTGGGACATATGCAGTGTCAACTTTGTGAACAAGCCTCAAGTGTTGTACGAGGTGGTCTTTGCGATAGAAACTGCGTTCGATTTCATCTCGTGCTTGACAGGCAGAGTAATGATGTTCGTCGAGATGTGTATCGTCAGGAGATAGTTTACCGCAGAAAGTACAGAATTGATCCTCCTGCCTGGCCGATAGCGGAACTCTTGGACCCTCTGGTGCACATATCCATTGCTCTAACGAGAGATGCAGGGCCTTTTCATGACGTTGCCAGTCGTACTTTGTCTTGAACGTCTCAACGCAAAAGGTGCATTGGTATGGTAAATCGGGTGCAGCAAAGGCTCTCTTGGAGCGGTCGTTTTTCTTCAGTCCCCGCTTGCGCGATCGTCGAATTGGCCCATTGGACGTTTGAGATCCAGATGAGTTGCAGTCCGACCGCGCGTTAGAGTAGGATGTGCTGGCACTGCTTGCAGAAGACGATGGGTACAGTGTTTCTGAATTATTGTGCTCACCTTCGAGGTAGGGTCAGCTTGGTTACGTGCATACTTTCATTCGAGACATACTATTGGAGCAATCTGAACCTGTAGTTACAGCGCGGAAAATATCACCAAACGATGCTGCCTCATTTTCTGGTGGCGATTCGACCCATCGTTGCAAAGGATCTTGATGCTGAATTCCAAGCTGCACTGCAGGTGTACCAGGTCTCGCAATGATGTCAATTGGGCTTGTTTGAGTGTCGTGGACTTGCGGATGTTTTGATCCAGAGTCACGAGAAAGGCCTCGGCGACGAGCATTCGAGAACCAGGTCGTGATTTGCTTGTGTTCTAGACCGGTCTGCTGCTGCAAAGACTGCAAGTCGTTGTGACGAGGATAGGGTTTGTTCTCATGGGTGATGAACCAGGTTTTCAGAATGCGAATTGCTTCCTTATTGATACGCGCACCTTTCTTTGAAGGCGTGGCACGATTGGTCACAGGGTCGGTTGAGAGGGGCGCATAGCGCGTGCTAGGATGACTGTGTAAGTTCTGGCTGGGGAGCTCAAAGTCTGATGGCGCTGCTGCTGGATTATCCAGTAGCAATGCGGATGGTGCGATGAAGCCAAAGTCCTCAGAAAACTCGTTTTCGGTGAGGCTGCCCATCGTTGATATAGGAGCCAGACATACAGACTGAAGTGTGTAGAAGAAGACTGGCAGAGTCGGCGCCTTTGTCGCTTCATCAGCGCTAGAGCGCACAGGGTACCGTGTCCGTGCACTCCGTCTCGATGGGGTCAACAAAGTGAATTATGTAGTCTGAAGCAAAATAAATTTTCTCGTAAAATGTTCGTAAGTTATAACGGTGTTAACAATGATAATATACAACACATGGTACTATACTACACATCATCCTGTTCATCTTCCACTCTACCTCAACACAGCCTTCCCCTCATACGTCTTCACTGCCTTACTAAACAACTCCTTACACGGAACCCTCGACCCCAATCTCGCGCAAAGCAAGAACGCTCCCGAGAGTTTTCGATGCAGCGAATATGTCTCTTCGGGAGGCGGCGCAAGCCTTTCCTTGACCATGACAGGGATCAAACCACGCACTCTGTCCGTAATAGTTTGGTCTCTGAAATCGTATATCTCAGGTCCACTGCCACTAAACGGCTCAGCAAGCGTGAGAACGCTTTGGATATGAGCGTCGAGCATAGCGGGGCTCTCGCTACCGGTTAGGTAGCCGAGTTCGAGAGAGAGGTCGCGGATAGAGTTGCGGTCGCCTTTAGAGGCTGCAATGAGGACTTTAATGTAGGGCTCGACAAACTTGTCTGGGTAGTCTCGTGAAGCGCCGAAATCTAATAGCTCGATTTTCTGGGCGGAAGCGTTGTAGAGGAAGTTTGTCCAGTTTGGATCTGTCTGCATGAACTTGAACTCTACGATCTCGCGTAGACAGAGACGTAGAATTTGGGTGCCAATCCAGTCGCGTTGCTCTTGAGTAAGGGTTTTGAGCTTAGTGACGCCGACGCCGTGCATCAGCTCTGCGGTCAGCACGGTAGGACCACAAGCTTCGGGGAAAACCTTAGGGACAGTAAAAACGTCTGTGTCATCTTGGAGGAGGTCGCGGAAACGAGTTTGGCATTCAGCCTCGCGTGTGTAGTCGCACTCCCAACCTAGTTCTGTTCGAGCGTTGGCAATGGTCTTGTCTAGGTATAGACCCTTTGGTAGAAGACGAGATGCTGTCAGCAGGAGGGATAGATTGCTAAGGTCAGAGTCGATGGAGTTGGCAACGCCAGGGTACTGAATCTTGACAGCAACTGCCTGTCCGTTGGACTTGAGTACTGCTTTGTGTACCTGCCCAATCGAAGCGGCTGCGATAGGCACATCTTCGATGGATTCGAAGAGGTCACGCCAGTTTTCACCAAGGTTGCTGCTCAGGACTTTGTTCCGTTGTGAGGCCGGCATGTAGTCTGCGCTATCCTGCACTCGCTGCAGTACGTCGTGGATCTCAGGCGGCAGCATCTTAATGTCTTGGAAACTGATCATCTGGCCCAGCTTGAGAGCGGCACCTCGCATGCGCGAGAGCTTTGCAACTAGTATTTCCATGTTGCCAGGGCTAAGCATCAACGACCCAGTTGCTGACGCAGCGCCGCCGGTCGCTCGTCGGAAACCTTCACCAACAGCTCCGAGAGCCATGCTTGTGCCTAGACCAGCATACTGCCATATGCGACCGAACCGTGATGCCGGGACTCTCGATTCTCGTAACGCATAAGAGGCCTTCTCTGGTTGTGTGGCTACCTCATTGGGTGACTGTTGTACATCTGTCAGCAAATCAGCAGGCTTCAGGCACGCGGATGTACATTTCATACCTCAGATGCAGCCGCGTTTGACTGCACGTCCTGCGCCAATTGAGATGCCAGGTCTTCCATCTCCTTCGAGGTGGTTGTCGGCTGATGCTCTTGCGTCGAAGGCTGACTTTGCTGCTGCACTGGTGCTACAGGCCTATCGTCAAGCGGATGTCTGCCGCTGGTCTTTGGTATGGGCCTGTCGTCGAGCGGGTGTCTACCACCGCTCTTTCGTTCCGCAAATTCCTTCCTCGAGAAGGGGTCGCTTCCTAACATCCTTGCGACCTTTCTTGAATGGAAGACGTCTGTGTTGATACCCTCTGGTACATCCTCCACTTGTCCCTGCCCAGGCTTCAGAGGATTATAGAACACATCCTGGTTTATTTGCTTGTCCTCTACATGTTCATCACTTTGCTGTCTCGTTCCTGAAGTCTTTGGTATCTGTGTTTGAGGGTGTGAGGCGGTTGTTGGTTGCGATTCGACCGATCTCGTGTGGAAGACGTCTCTGTCGTGACCTTTCTGAAGCTTCTCGGTTTGTGGTGATATGGGAGTTTGTTGCGGGTCGTTCGCATGTGCGGGGATAGTTTCAGCGGCTTGAGTCGAAGCACCTCGAGGACTTCCGGGTAACGGTATCGTAGTCTCTGTGGACTCGACCGGTTTGATGCCTTCGTCTTTGTGACGGACCGATTCACCCTGGTCCTCAGCCAGAGGCTCCTTCGGCGCTTCGTGTACCGGCCTCTCCGAGAACGTATCCTGACCCTTCTCCTCCTGTTCGAGGGTCAACCCCTGGCTTGGTATGGTCCCGTCTGGAAGTGGTGATCTGGGGGCCTTTTCCTGCTCAACCTCCAGCTCATCGGTGGGTGGAGGTTCCTGGGCGCTGTTCTGAGCGGATCGATCGTAGTGGTGATCTTGCTCTACGCCTTCTCTTACATCCTCTGCTGGTGTTTCCTTCTCCACCGTCCCTCTTCTAGGTATGTCGGGCTGCTGTGTCCATTGTGTATTCGTCGCCCGGTCCGCTGCGGCTCTCGCGTAGGAGGGAGCTTCTTCGCTGAAGCGTTGTGAGAGGGCAATGGCAGCCGCTGCTGTGAGGGTGACGCGGTCCGTCTGACTCTTGACGGCTTTCGCTAACGACGAGGTTTTGTTGTAGGCATCCCACTGGCTCGATCGAAGCGCCATGTGCTTCTGTGCGACGGATTTCGAGGCATTGAAGAGTTTGGCGGCATCAACGAGCCGTCTGCCTGCCATTGCGATCGGATGAAACAACTACCGGGAGATGCGACACATGACGAGAAGTGCTGGAGCGGTGCGTAAGATGTCGAGGCCGTCGTGAATCCATCAGAGTTATGCGCGTCATAGCTGCATCAAGTTAGGCCCAAGTGCGGAAATGGCACGATTGGCTGGCTTTCATTCCGAGCAAGGGTCTTGATCGCCTGGTGGGGCATTCATACCCTCAACAGAGCGACCGCCTGAATTGTCATACTCACGCGATCGCATTTTCTAAAAACCCGCCGTCCTTATTAGTCGCTGGACCCGGCCCTATGCTGCTTTTTGTCACCAATCAGGAAGCGCATCCATCTAGTAGCACGAATAGACCAGTACTCGTGCCTGGTAGCACCAATCGGTACACTCCAGACGGCACGGGAAGATAGCGACTATTTGGCCTATCAGTCTGGACTGATTCAAGTGAAAGATACAAGTGTTCTCCCAGAAGCCCTCAAAATACCCAAAACTCGCCTCAGAATTTCCACCCCAGAATCTCAAGTCAACCGAAGCCATTCCAAGGGAACGAACAGCAAACATGAAAATCGCCTGTCTCCAATTCGCTCCAGAAGTCGGACGCGTCCAAGAGAACATCAAAAGAGCCGATGACATCCTCCGATCCGCCGCAATACCCACCGACCTGACCTGGCTTGTCCTACCTGAACTTGCCTTCTCAGGCTACAACTTCCAATCGCTCGAGGAAATCAAACCATTTCTCGAGCCCACCACATCCGGAATCTCTACGCAATGGGCACAGCAAGTAGCAAAGCACTACAATTGCCACGTGACAGTTGGGTATGCAGAGGTCACCATCCCGGATACCAATCCCGAGGACAGTCAAACGCAGTACAACTCCACTGTCACTGTATCACCAAGAGGAGAGATATTGCACAACTACCGGAAATCCTTTCTCTACTATACAGACGAAACATGGGCGTCTGAGGGCCCGGGGTCAAGATCACACAAACTATCCGATACCTCATCACCGGACTCGCCCTTCTACGCTGGCCAATTAGGTGATCTGGGGAAAGTCACTATGGGAATATGTATGGATATCAATCCCTACAAGTTTGTCTCGCCATGGTCTGATTACGAGTTCTCCTCCCTCGCTCTGTCGTCGCAATCGCCAATTGTTTGCATAAGCATGGCTTGGTTATGTCATCTAACGCCCACGGAACTCATGCAGGACCCATCACAACCAGACATTGCAACAGTAGCATATTGGGTCGAACGTTTCCAACCGCTCGTTGACGCCGGAGGGGAGAAGCCTATATTTGTTATCCTGGCCAACCGCTGTGGAATGGAAAAGGGTGTCTGCTATGCGGGTAGTAGTACGGTTTTGCGTATCGAGAAGGGAGTTGTTAGTTTATACGAAACAGCGGGCAAGAGCGAGGAGACGTGTTTGATCGTAGATCTGACCGAGCGGCCGAAATTCCAAGTAAGAAGTGGACGATGAAGGGGCAGAGGGCGTCAATATTGAGACTGGCTTCGTTTGACAGCTTGGCTAATCAGACATGCGGAGGGGGCTCAGAATTTGTTCTTCGTAAAGCCGTTGGTCGAACGGACTTCTTTAAAGATGGCCGTCAAGGATCATGCCTTCAAAGAGGCGGCTATGGGTTTTCTGGCACCGTCGGGAGCACACCAGAGCATAGAGGGTGGCAGAAGTGTTGAAGGTGTTGTTGGAGGGGCCATGTTTGACTAGTTCTGGAACGACGTCAATGTCATGAGCATCATTGTTAGATACAAACACCGCAGTAATATACAGTCCTAACGGGAGTATCGTGTATGTGCAATCTACTCAGGCTCATACGTGATGACGGGCCGAAAATCACTCTAGTTTCACCCCGCATTTGGCGTTCGTGAAAAGAGCGACGCCTTAAGCATTCCACACCGAAGTCCTCGGTGATTAAAGCTCCACATCACGATCATCAGTACTCCAGCAATTGTTCGTTGCGACCCAGCATGTGCTTTCATTCATCACTGCCTAGGATCTAAACCATCATGAATCGATTCCCTTCATTCCCATTTACAGACCCAAAGCGCCATGAATGAGAGGTAGGTAGGTATCCGGTAACGTGAAAAGAAATACCACCCATAGCATCCCTCGTTTGCAGATGTACTTCGCTTAGAAGACTGGTCGCTCGGTTCCCACCATGTGCGAAATTCCCAATGTAATCGCTCGTTTCGTGTAGAGAAGATTGTCGTTGCAGGAACAAGTAATGATTGAGAATCGAGAATCGAGTGAGGGATGGTTTGTCGAGGGCGATACGCTTAGATACCGAGACGGGTCTTGCGCCAGTGTCGTCGCTTGGCGTTGTACCTGTGGGTAGAATGTCAGTCTCGTGCTCCCATTATCATATGGTGAGATCCCCGTAGTGTCCAGTAGCGACGATCGGAAGCGGCGAGGATGTGCGTATCGTGAGCGGTGCGTACCTGATGGTGTTGCCGGTCCTCAGGCGAATCCACTGAGGGATGGGGCGGTTCTGCTTCTGCGCGCGCGCAAGCTTCTGCTTGGTGCGGAAAGACTTCTGGGACTATGAAGGTGTCAATAACGGATCCTAGGCATGTTCGCAACCGCGGAGAGTGATATCATACCGGCATCTTGACTGCTTGTTGTGAGTAGTCGGATGTCGAAAGGTGTTGTCGTTGTCGGAAAAAAGCCAGAATATTGATCGATGTTGGTGCGCTTGGCAGGCGGCAAGCAAAACCGGCTAGGCTGTGTTGGGTGCGCTAGTGGGGCTCTAGCGTCATCGCTGTCTTTATCACTTCTTGTGCAACAGCATCGATGACTCGCTACTGCGACGCCTTGAATTATCTGAAGAGACGTGATGACACTGAACGATGTGACTGGAATGGTGTGCTATTGACAGGCTCAGCTTTGACTTCAGCCTTTGCCGCTTGCACTTGGCTCTGCGACGTGACGCTGCACGAACATGCATATCAAACGTTGCGTATAGTCGCAGACTACGCAAGGTCTGGGCTTACAATGTACGCTTCAGGCTGGGCATGAAGAAGTGACGGCAGAAAAAGAATGGATAAAGGATGTTTCAGCTGACTTCACAGTAAACTGGATGCGGGTAATCCCTGAAGACGAGGCCTTGTAACCAAAGCGGCCAAAATTCAATTGCGATAACGGCGACATTGATACTCAGTTTCTCTTTCCTGCCTTATCTTTCCAATCGGTCTCGTCTTCTCGAAGTCGTGACATTCTTTTTGGAAGCCTCTTTTGTTCCAACACTCGTTGCCGCAGATCTCGTCATTCTACTTTTAGATCTATGCTTATCACAAGCTTTTGAGAAAACCTCATCCGCGTTCTTGAACGCGAATATACTTGGGCGGTGAAGTAACATGCTTCCCGCTTCCAGCTAGGCTTATCATATCCAATAACTTTTTTTTCGATACTATAATACATTGCCGACTCAATTGTCAGGCTCATCTCCAGATCACTCCTGCTGCGACATGTGTGTCGGGAAGTTGTAGTCTGTGTAATCGATATGTACAAACGCGCGATCAACATACGGCACACTCTCTGTATCGTCGTTAGCTCATAGATTCTTGGAAGGAAAGAAAGGGACGAGAACTTACCAAGCACATACTGCAAACTCTCACCCAAATCATGGCTATCCCTCAAACTGAGATTCTCATCAACCACGATATCTACCTCGACGTTCAGCTTGTCGCCCGCATGGTAAGCCTGCAGTCCTTGGATCCTCTTGATAGACTTTGCGAAGCGCATTGTCATGTAGAGGAGAATGTTACGCTCATCCGCTGTGGCACTAGCGCCAGTCAAGTTGCGAATGTGCTCCGCAGAGGTAGCACTCCAGTTGATGATAACATACGCAGAGAGCAAGATACCACCGAGTGAGTCGAGCCACCAAATCTTCGCAAAGTAGCCCACGAGCGGGAAGAGGATGGAGAAGGTGTTGAAGACGACATCGGTCATTGCGTCTTGGGCTAGTGCTTGAACGGAGGAGTTGCGGATGAGGCGGCACCAGAGCCAGCAGAGACCTTTAATGACAACCGTAGCGGCCATGATGGCCACAGCAGGGACGGTCAACTGTACGATTGTATGGTCAGGTCCAGAGAGTCTGGAAATGCCTTCGATGCCGACTTGGAAGAAGGACGTCATCATGATTACGGAGAAGATGAGCACACCGATGGGTTCGAGACGTCGACGACCGACTGGGTAGGCATATCTGTCCTGACGCGCGATCATCCAGGATGTAAACCAGACGATGGCGGTGGAGAGGAAGTCAAGGGCTGCATCGACTAAACTAGCCACCACGGAGAGCGACGAAGTCAAGACTGTGACAACAATCTTCATGATCAGGAGGGCAGTGTTTGCACTGAGGTTGACGTATAGCGCTAGCTTGACAATCGGACTTTCGGTGTCTTCGTCTTCTTCAGGAACCCAGTCTTTTAACTTGGAGTTGGCGATTTCTAGATCTTCTTCGTCTTCTACAGCGTTATCGTGTGCTAGGAGCGGGGTATTCTCGTCTGCTTCGGGGACCTTGTAGAGGTTTTTGGGTGTGCGCTTGACCATAGGTTTGTTTGCGCCATTGCCGTTGTTCAGACTGCCCGACGAACCACTTCGCCCGTTCTCGCTGTAGTAACCAGGTGTATTTGTCCCGTTCGTACCGTAGCCGGGAGTAACGGCGAGTGGGGTGCTGACAGCTGAAGACTCTTCGGTAATGGTAGTGGGGATCTTGACAGCGCCGGATTCAAGATTCGTGTACTCTTGAATGAGATTGTGCGGGAGTGAGGAATCGAGCAAACGGTCGATGTACAAATAGTGCTGCAGAAGCTGGTTGTTGCGCTCATAGTATTCCCGTATCGGCTTCTTCATGCCCTTCAGCTCTTCTTCCGTCTTGTAGTACTTTTCCCACTTGTACCTAGGATTGGAGTTGCCAATCAAGCGCTGGCTCCTCATCTGCGGCGTGTTGAGCACATGCGCACCTATGCTACTCCTCCGATCCGAGTCCCGATCGTAAGGCATCATAAGCCCGTTTCTGTATGCTTCCAAGTCTTCATCGTCCGTGTCGCTGCCCCGGCGCTCACTGCTGCGTATTGTAGACGGCCGGCGCGCGCTGTTGAGTAGCGAAGGAAGATGATGACCACGCGTAGATATTGCGGAAGCTTCGTTCTGGGTAGGAAGAAAGAGCTTCGAACTTGCTAAACGTGGGAGGCTGGATGAGCGCGGGACAGTCACTGGCGAGGGCGACTTGGGCGGTGGTGTGGATGGATAGTCTGGCATGACTGCGATTGGGATGCTGTCGCTGAAGAGGCGTGATTAGAGGGCCAATTCCTTCGAATCAAGGTCCTGCGCGTAAACGCGACAAAAAGAACAAGCCAATCTCGTGCCGTTCTCTTATCTCAATGGCGCAGCGCGATGAACTACTGCAGAAGACTTGAACAGGTAGATTCGTGCGCCAGCTGAATTGTCTTGAGATGGAGAGCGATGCGGAGCGTCAAAGGAAGATGTTGTGAAGCATTTCAGCCGTGTCAAAAGCCCAAGGGACTATATGGACCGTGGTGCCGCCGACGCGTGCGGGAATGCGACGAGCAGGTTCGCCGAAACAAGAGGGTCCTGCACCAGAGACGGGATCGACATATCTGAGGCCCACAAATCCTTGCACCTGCATCCACTTTAGCTATGGCCATAGCTTTTCACTAACAATCTGGGGTTCGTGAGCCGAGACGCCATCACAAGATTTTGGCCATGGTTTCGTCTCTTATGTTTCACGTAGTCACATATAGCTCGTCTAGAAGACCAATTTGATTCGTTTTCTCTACGGCATCTTCCGCTGAAACCCTGCTCCATCGAATTTAGCCCATCTAGCCGTTCTGTGCCCGCTCTGCTGAGGACCCACATTGACCGGCAGTCTCAAGTAATGTATTCGTCTCCACGGTGGTACAGTAGCGCTGTTCCAGGTCTCAAACTCCTGTCTTGGCTGTCTATCACACCTCAGAGGCTGGCATACAACCTTGAACCCTTGACACCAATATGTCCGTCAGTTTTTGCGTGCCCTAGCGCGTACTCCAGAATGCCTATGCCTTGTTGCACCGTTCCTCCATGCCCAAGGCATCTTGCAAGCACGCATCAATGAGTATGTTAAATATATACGGATGGTTGCGTATGCGCTCTCGGCATTGCTTCTTGTCCTGGACTCGATGCTCGTGCAAGATACAAGAATGAGGCAGAGTCAATTCCCACTGAGACGAGGCACCATGCTTATTCGGGAAAACTTTGTCCCTGTATATTTCGACCTGCAGAATAGCGACCTCGAGGGCGAAGTCTTTATGCGTCTCTTTCAGGTCACACAGCAGCCTGGTAGCGTCCTCGTACGACGAATCCCGAATGTACCAGGTGGCCACGGAAAGTACTAAGAAGCGGATGAACTTGGAAGACTGCGGCAAATCTGCGTATGCATGCTCGATCAGATCTTGGTCAGGACTGGAAGGCCATTTCCATATATGCGGCTGTGCAATCAAGGCAGTCAATATGTCATCTCGAAACTGGGGAATGTCGTACTTGTCAGCGAAAACGTAGAGGCGCAGGAACGAAGCACGCATCAACTGGCAATCGACCACCGACTCTGGATTCGTCCAACGCGAATCGTTCTTCTTCCTTTCATCATGGTAGCCTTTTTCGTCGATCCCAGGGATGGTTGTGGTTTCATCCCTCAATTTTGTCATGAGTTTCTGGAGGACGGCGTCATGTGTACGCATGGAAGCAGCACTCGACTGAGAATTGGCTTGGAAGTGTGTCCACTGCAGGAATATCCGGAAGGTCTGTTCGGAAACGTCTGTCAAGGGTAGAATGCGATCCGTAGCCTCTTTGAAAGGACCCTCGAACGCGCCACGAAAGTACAGTGAGACAGCCGAAAGCTGATCGCGATAGACGGGTATATCGACTGCCACATCTGCTTCGCCGACACGCACGGTGACCATTTCGAAACTCATGGTTCTGTCATATATGTCAGCTTTATCCCCAAAGTCGCAGAGTTGTCGGTATGTCATGTTCCTTACAGAAAGTTTGGCAGCATCTTGCCGCTAGGTGTATGACCAGAGGCCATCACGATGACTAGACTTGAGCTGCGCTGAGTGTGGTGGCTATTCTCGATGGATGGTGGATGTGAGTTGACCTGTGCGATATAATTATATCATATCGTATCGTTTCGCTTTTAAGCGAGAGAAGTGTAGTGGAGGCGACTCCTCTATGGACGTGTTCATCGCTCGTCCTCTCATCCCAGACTGGTACTCTCGAAAAGCCAATGCTCAGGTCTGCATTCTGATCGCCAGGTTGGATGCCGTACTTGTAATAGCTGAGATATTCTGCTGGTCTCAGCGGTGGTGTGCATCCTTTTCGTTTTGTCATGCTGATGTAAGAGAAGCATTACCTTGAAGACGTTAAATGTTCTCAGAGAATTCCAGTGGCGTCTTGAGGTGAGCACTGAGGTATAGAGGGAAGGCGCGACACATCAGCTTGTCGCCATCTTGAAGAAGGCACGACCGGACAGAACTAAACACACACTCACGGTAGGCCAAGCTTGCGTCGACACATGAAGTCTTCAAATGCTGGGTAACAAGATGAGAGATAGAGGACGTAAGACTGGCTAGAGATACGAAGAATGCGCAAACACGCAACAGTTGCGTAGCGTCTATCGAAATGTTGTGTGAGAAAGTGGGGGAGGCGTGGTGAATTATCACCAACAATAAACCAAGCATGACTGATATGCTAATATCCCTCTCTATATATTTCCGCCTCCACGTTATGCCCGTCCCAGCACGCCCTATGTGCAAAAACGCCGCCCAATGCCATATAATACATAACCGTCTTTCTGCATAGCCTCCCAGCCTACAATCCCTCCACACTTAACCCTGGAGTCGCACCCCTATACTTCTCCTTCCTTGCCTCAATCTCCTCCTTCATCCTGGCCTGTCTCTCCTCCCTTCCTACACCCCTAACATACTGCAGCAACCTCAGCGCACCCGTCGGTGTGACACCTTCAACTCGCCTGGCCATACCTACGCTTTCTGGTCTGGCTACCTCCAACGCCCTCTTCTCTTCAAAGCTCAACCCGAATATGGATTCGTAGTCGAGGTCAAGTGGTAATTTCAGGTTCTCGTCCTTGAGCCACCTGGCTTGAGAGGCAGTTTGGGCGGCGACATAGGGTGCGTATGTGGCTTCGATGTGTACGCGGTCTTGTATGCGCTGTGTGAATTCTCTAATTTCAGGTAGGAGGCTCGCAAGGTTTGATGGAGTGGTGTTGGGTAGACGGAGGAGGTCGTATGCGGAACGTTTGGTACTGTCGTTTCTAACAGGGAAACCTTCTTTGTTCCAGTCTGTCCATCCCATAGTCTTAGATTGAAGAACCTGTGTCAAAGTGGCCATTTGCTCGGCTTCGTCTTCGAATGCTTTCCAGCGCGAGTCGCCAACTACTCCGGCGGCTCGACCCATGGCCGTAAGACGCGTGTCGGCGTTATCGGCACGGGCGGACATACGGTATTCGGAGCGGGAGGTGAACATACGATACGGTTCGGAGACACCCTTGGTAATGAGGTCGTCAATCATGATGCCGATGTATCCATCCGCTCTCGTTAAGACCATGGCTTCTTTCCCTAAGCTCTTCAGGCCGGCGTTGATACCAGCAATTACACCCTGGCCTGCTGCTTCTTCGTAGCCAGTTGTACCGTTGATTTGACCTGCTAGAAAGAGTCCTGAAATGTTCTTCGTTTCAAGGGTAGAACGAAGATGGCGTGGGTCAACGTAGTCGTATTCTACGCCGTAGCCAGGCTGTAACATGGTCACGTTCTCAAGCCCCTTGATAGTCTTGAGCATAGTGTTTTGTACGTCTGCAGGGACTGTGCAGGAAATTCCATTGGGATAGATCATGTCGCTGTCGAAACCTTCCGGCTCCAGCCATACGATATGCGATGTCTTATCTGCGAAGCGAATTACCTTCGATTCTAGCGAAGGGCAGTATCGCGGTCCTTTGACGGTTTCGCGAATGTGTATAGATTTGTCGAGGTTGTTTCGTATTACGTCGTGGGTTGCTTCATTCGTTCGTGTCTCGTGATTCAGTAGTTGGTTCTCGACCTGTACTCGCTCGTTCATATAGCTGAATGGCATGGGTGGATCATCACCCTCTTGGGCTTCCAGAACTTTGTAGTCGATCGTCTTTCCGTCCAGTCGTGGTGGTGTTCCCGTCTTCAGTCTTCCCATTGTGAAACCGGCATCCTTCAAGCTCTTACTCAGTCCAAAAGTTGCAGCTTCGCCCATGCGACCCGATGGATATGACTCAAGCCCGATGTGTATTTCGCCACCAAGAAACGTGCCAGTCGTTATGACAACATTGCCTGTTGGTATTATCTCCCCACTCTCCAACCTCACACCAGTAATTTTCCCATACCGGCCCTTCGATCCCTCCTCTTGCGTCCTATCGACAATGATGTCCGCCACACTGCCCTCCACGACACTTAGCCCCTTGTATCCTAGCATCTCATCCTTCATGTATCTCTTATACAGCGCCCTGTCAATCTGCGCTCTGGGACCCCACACTGCAGGGCCCTTCTTCCTATTCAGTACCCTGAACTGTACGCCGGCTTTGTCCACAATACGTCCAACGACACCATCCAGCGCATCGATTTCGCGAAGCATAGTACCCTTTCCGATGCCGCCGAAAGAAGGGTTGCAGGAGCAGACACCGAGGTTGTGGACGGAAGGCGTTATGAGGGCTGTTCGTGCGCCGGAGCGGGCTGCCGCTGCGGAGGCTTCACATCCTGCATGACCGCCGCCGATTACTATCACATCGTATGGTCTATACCAGAGTCAGAAACGGTCCAATGGTGGGGTTGGAAAGCGCAGTGGCGTACCGATCAGTGCCAGACACAGTCGCAAATGTGCGTGGATAGCGGGTGAAGCGATTGAATGACCGTACACGGGGCGCGTGGCCCCAGAGCTGACGCGCTGGTAATGGCACGACTCTGTGCATTGTGTAAAATTGCTGTGTTGGAGTTTAGACGCCGTACTACAAAAAGTTGGGATGGGCCAACTCGGAGGTCTTCGTTCGCCGCATCACGTCCGTGCACAAGTGGGCAGTTTGTAAGAACGCAATACTTAGGACGCTCAATCGATGCCTTAATCGGCGTTATGGCAAGCGAAATTCCCTTGCCGGAATTTCCTGGATGTCAGTGTATGTCCAAGTTTTCTGAAGAAAAAAGGTATCATTCCGTAAATCCCAAGCCACGCCACTCCTAGAGTAGAGATCATACAAAGTGAACTTTCAGTCCATGGTGGTACATTCAAATATCGTAAAGGGAAGTCCCGTGAAGAGATCCTACAGCGCCGAGCAAGATATGCTTCATCAAGAACCATCGATCCAGCACAAAACATCTTCCACTTGCGGGTATTATAAGAGAATCGCCGTTGGGTGATATCCTAGTCGAAACAGCAGGCAAAACCGTCCATTTAACCTAACCTTCCTGAACAAGACCCTCGTCGGTAGTCTCCGTCTCCTCAGTGTTACGAGGGCGGGATAAGACGTCGAAGTTGCCTGCATCGGAATTAGCAATCCATCTCCTCACTAGTCCAACACTCCAAAAACATACGTGCAACCAAGCTCAAATTGCTCTTCTTGTTGCCCTCGGAGTCAAGGTACGTCTCCATGCGCGCATCAGCATCAACATAGAGTAGCGATCCCTTTGGCAAGTTCATCAGGAAATCCTTCTGTGCTCCCTGTACGAAACTCGCGATCCGGAACCAGCTGGTCTTCTTGTCATCGCCTTTGCCGTAGTTCGTTCCTACTATGTATCGAACCAGTGTCCTGTCGCCGGATATGGTGACTTCTTCGGGTGCAACACCTAGACGGCCAATAACGGTCATGCGCGCGACTTGCGAGGGTCGGGTGGAGGAGAAGCTGCGTGTAAAGGCCGAGGTGGGAGCGCGAGCTGCGGCGCGGAATGTGGAGGAAAACATCGTCGCTGTTGTTTTTGGTGGTGCGGAATTGGCGGGTTGCGTACTTTTCGGTGGTCGAATTGACGGCTGTGGGGTGGACGTTGTTGTGATGCGAGGCGGGTGGGGGTGTTGGGGCGCGACGCGGTTTGGGCCAAGTTGGGCTTGGACGCTAAGGGACGCTCACACGTGCGTCTCTGCCGTTCAACTGCACATCATCTTTCTCTCGTCTGCCATTGGTCACCATCGGCTTATTGGAGAAACCTTACTAGTCTATAGTCTCTTTTATTACAGGGTATATGCTTTTGTTATCCAAACGCCTCTTGTGGACAGCCCATGTTCCCCAAAGTCTCTCATCTAGTGGGCTTCATCCCGCTTTGACTATCGCCTTGCCTTCTTCTTCTCCCTCTCATCCTCTTCACTGTCGTAATCCTTGTAGATTCCAACTGGTTGAGTCTTTTCCCACGCACCTGTAAAGACAGCCTTCTCTCCCTCTTTCAGCGCATACTTGAGTAGCGCCTCCCGAGGGTCCTCGTCCCTCATATCACTGCCTTCAATCTGCTCCATGACATATTTCTGATCAGGCGTTGACTTTGCAAAAGGCGTCGTAGCTGGGATATGCGGTCTCCGTGGATCCCTGCTTTTGCCGGATGCTGTGAGACCAATTGTGGGATGGCGCGCTGAGAATGAGGCTGCATTGCCAGAAGGATCATGTGCTTCACCAGCCATTCCGAGAGGATCCATATCTACAGTGAGAGATGGGTCATCATCGAGATGCCGCTTCTTAGGTGCCTTGCTGAGGATTGTGAGAGCGCCAGCGTTGGAGAGCTTGGGATTGAAGAGGATCGTTGTCTGACCGTTGGCTGAACCTGTGAGAATCTGGTTGAGCCTGGGATGCCAGTTGACTGTGATTAAAGGAGACCCTGGAGTTACTGGTGTCACAAGCTCTGGGCGAAGAGTTGCAGGGTTGAGGATGTGGAGGTGGCCAGTCTCTGATCCTGTGACTATGCTCTGCGAGTTGGGCGCAAACTTGATGTTCGATGTCGGATATTGCGAAGACGTTGACGGATGTGATGTGGTGTTGAGGGGTGTCTTGAACTTCCTGGTATCCCACAGCTTGATCGTGTCGTCTCCTCCTCTTGTAATGACCAGCCTGCCATCTGCGCTGATATCCAACCCACTTGTCCAGGTGTCCCTCGCATGTGCTTCTTTAATTTCTGCTGTTGGTCGGTGGTATGGACCTTCACCACCCCACATGACCAGACTTCCGTCTAGTGCTGCTGATACAAGCATACTGCTTCCTCCCTCGGCCGCCGCACCCCATGCGATGGCCGTCATCCTTGTCATGCCTGCACTACCGGAAGCTCTCGATTTGTGTACGATGACTTCTTCCTGCTTCATCCTCTTGTTCACGTCCCATATCCGTACAGTGCTGTCTGTGCCTGCTGTAGCAAAACGATCGCGATTCGTTGGATGCCATGCGCCGCTCGTGATTTCGGCTGTGTGTCCTTTTGTATTGTGCTTGTCTCTCAAGTACATGTCGCCCTTGACGAACTCCGATATAAGTTCTCCATCCCTGCTGAAAAGTCTTGCTTGTGAAGTCGCGGTAATGCATAGGAATTGGCCTCCAGAGTGTGGGCCGAACAAGACTTGATGTATCGAATGCGATTCTGCGGTTTGAGAGGGTTTTGTCGTGAAGGGATCTACCGTCTTGAATGCGCGGATGGTACTCGGCGTGAGCGCACTGAGGTCGTGCAGCTTGAGTGTGCAGTCGTTTCCTCCGGTCACCAGCCGTGTTCCAGATGCATCGAGCGCAATCGTCGTGACTGCGCGGTCGTGGGTCTTGATGATCAATTCGTGAGAAACCGGATACTCGTCCTCCTCATCGCTCATATCACTGTCATCGTCGTCGGAATCCTTGTCGTCGTCAGAACCGGCCTCTTTCTTCGCCTGTTTGCTTTCATCGACCACTGGCCTTCGGGCGCGCTCGATTTGCGCCTCTACGTTTACGGAGCCATCCTTCTTCCCAAACTCACTTGGGAGATATTGCTTGAGAGCTTGTTCATCGTCTGCAGAGAAATCCATTGTTGTCTTATACGCAAAGCACAGTGACTTCGGTTATTGTTGAGTCGACAGCTGGTCGCGAGAAAGTTCGAGGTGCAGGCGGCGGTATGACGCGCCGCGCTACAGTGCCCGTGCGTCAGTTGAGCACCAACGCCAGTTGAGCACCCCCACCAGCTCAACAACAAAACTTTAACGCGTTATAACTTAACTAATATAGATTTAATTTAAGAAGTAATTATAGAAATTAAATTATAAGAACTAGAAGATAATTTCTTATACTAAGTAATTATAAAAAAGTATAGTATAGCACAGATAATATTAATAAGATAATACTGCGGCAAAACTAAGGCCTATAGTATACGCTACCTCTTCCTCTATCTATAATACGAAAAAGAGCTTCTATAATACATTAATACGCTTACTAAATAACATTTACTACCTTTAAAAGAAATAATATAACGCTTTACTATAGACTTAACTAAAAAAGAAGTTTTAGAAACTTAGGTTACTTAGTTTCTTTAGCGTTATTCTAACTCTCTTATCTTAGCGTATAGTAAGAAGTTAAGTAAACTTTATTATAACGCTAATTTAGGAGCTAAGTATAGCTTATACTTTAAGCTTTTAATTAAAAAGATAGAGAAGTATAACGTCTAGCTATCTTATATATTTAATATAGATAAAAAGAAGTTTTAACTTAGAAAGATTAGTAGAATAAAGCGTATTTTCTCTAAAGCACGTTATATAAAAAAGAGGGTACGCTAACTACTTAAAGATAGCTTAAGTAAGTAGATTACTATTATAGCTTATATTTATTTAGATAGGAGCGTTTTAAGTCTTTTTCTTATCTTTAAAGTAGCTAATAAAGCTATATAAACTAGCTAAGTTAATACTATATAAGTAGAAAACTACTTAGTCTTTACTACGTTATTGCCCTCTAGCTAAAGTAATAATAATATTAGATTATATTAGCTTAAGGAGGTGTTTAAAAGAGAAACTTAGTAGTATACTTTAACTAAGTATTAATTACTACTCCTTAACAGCTATAGATCTTATATTATAATAGACTTTATTAATTATTATTATAATTATAAGATCTTATTAGCTATATATCTACTTTATACTACCTATACGCTTTAACTACTTAATAAAGTAATATTTAAACCTTTAGTAAACGCTTACTTAAAAGAGCTAACTTAATACTTTTAAAACTACTAAAGATTACTTAATATAACTAAAAGAGACTTCTTCTTACTTTTCTAGAGGTCCTAAGTTAAGGTTTTTAAACCTTTCTTTATTAAAAGGTCTTTTAAAGTAACTAGTATATACTTACCTAATCTAGTAGTTATACTTAATAAGTTTACTAAGGAAAAGTTAGATTTAGAAGCTAGTTTAAGCTCTATACTCTTTACTAAGAATTAGCTTAAGCTAAAGTTAATTATACGTTAGAAAGTAAGAGATTAAAGTAGTAAAGAAGTTAAAAAGCTTTAATAAAGTTTATACTACTTTATAGCTTAAAATATACTCCTTTATAGTAAACTCTAAGGCCTTAAGTAGTTTCTAGCTATTAAGAAAAAGTAAGAAACTAAATCTTATACTTTATAGCTTAAAGATTATCCTAAGTATTATAGTAGAGCTATTTAGTAGTTACTAATAAGCGTTAAATAAGTTTAAGATAATAAGATATAATAATAATAATAAGCTAAGCTTAAAAAGCTTTAAAAAGCTAAGTAAGCTAAAGTAAGTAAAGTAGCTTATAATTATAAGG